TCTTCCATCGTTATTTTTGGTTTTAATTAAGCCTCTATATTTTCATGTCATAGTAAAAAATCAAATTATGGTGTTGAATTGTTTAATTGTAAGTGGAGCATAATATTTTTTAATTTTTTATGGCTTTTCGTATTGATTTAAGTAATAAACTTTTACAAAACTAGCGTAGCTTTTAGTGTTTCATTTGCACGCTGACTTCTGTGATTCGCCGATAAAATCAGAGTATTTGTCTTTGGTTAGGAACTCGCTGCCACAGAGGGTCTTAAATTTGCATTCATCATTTGCCACTCATATCTGGCTTGCGAGAGAGCGCACGCGGAAAGCACTCCACCGAATTCGGTAAACAAATATATAATCTGCCAATCCGCAAATAAATTACAAATTCACCATCAAGCAGCAAGTGAGGAGTGCTCTTGGCACACGCAGCCAGGCAGGCACTCAGCCTCTTTAAATAAATTGGCTGCTCTCGTCTCTCTCTCTCTAGCTCGCTCGCTTCACATAATATCGTAAGAAGTGCAAACAAAAGTGGGGCGGAATTTTACACACCCGACGTCTGCGAATCCATTAATTAAAGCGCAGCTCTCTTGCTTTTCCGCCTTAACTAACCGACGTCGACTCAAGATTTTTGTGAACTTTGGCAACTCTAGCTCCGCAGAAAGCACTTGAGATTGCAATCGATGGAAATTTTGTTGGGAGCTTTTTGCAGAATTTCGAACTAAATGATGCAGCAGAGCCAGATTAATATCAGTCATGCGGCCGCGATTTTTTCCACAAACTGCCGACAGGCATTTTATCTAACGAATGGCAGTCGATCGCTCAAAGTGCACCCAGATGCACAGCAATGTTTTTTTATTCAAAGAGTTGTGTAATGCATGCAATCAGTTTTCATAAAAGCTTCACGTAACAAAGACATCTATGAAAATATAATTGCAACATGCTTCAAGCGAAAGGTTTTATCTACTAACAAGCAGAGCGTGTTTAAAATGCTTTGTTAGTTTTATAAAATATGCTGTTTATTCTGGATTTAAAAAATGCATACAGAGTACTGCATCAGCTTTGCTAACAAACGTTTTATACCAATCCATGTGCTTTGTGTGGATGATGTGTTAAAATATTTTATTTGTTTCAATGAATTTACAATCAAAGGTTATGTTGAAATTAAGAACAGGGCTTTTCTGGGCTTAATTATTTATAAACGCTTCTCCTAAAATGCAAGTTCTGTGTTAATTTTTTCAGGATGAGTAACAAGTTGCCAATTAAAATTTCACTTAATTGCTCCATAAAATAATTTTAAATCGTTGATGAAAAAGCAAAAATTTTATTTAAATATCCCAATTTTTCTTTTGAGATTGACCATTATAATTATACCAATTATTTGTGAGCACACAAGAATTCTTTTATGAAAGCAATAATTTGACTCTCCAGCCAGTAATCAAAAATAGTCATTTCCGCTACTAATTTTGCGAGAAGCCTTGCAGAACTCAGTGATTCTGAGCACGCTTGCAGCGGCAATAAAGCACCAGCTTTTCCGCCAACGGAAGATCAATAAAAATTTAATTAGCAGCTAAAATCGAAGCAACGCAAAACCAATTATTCCGCCTCGCGCGTGGTGGCGAGAAACGATTTTTTATCTTTTTCATTTATTTTTGTTGCCAGAGAGGACCAAATAAATTTTATTGCGGTGGTGGGCGTTTAGTTAGAAATTCAAATGGTATCGCACGGGTACAAAAATGCACATCAATATATGTATGCACATAAAAAAAATATAATAAAAAAGAGCGTTGAGCTGCAGAGCAAATTCTCGCCCGCCGGTGAAATAAAACAAATGGTGTGGTGATAAAAAATGCTAAAATGGGCGAGATTTAGACCTGGGTGCCGCTGTTTGCATAACTCTTTATTTCATCTGCGGCTCTTTTTTGCCTCCGGTCGAGATTCGGATGCAAATTTGACGCTGCCAGTGATTAATATTCGCGTGAGGACGTCGTTATTTGTCCCCATTGCGGGCGATAATCACTTTTACGCATCAATTGCCAAACAAAGCGACAAATAAATTGCCACTAGCAGGAAATTATTTTAATAGGTGCCAGGGTGAAAACAATGAAGCAAAGGAGCTGTGCAAGTAATAAAGGAGCCGGCAGTGAAAGGCAAAGTAGTTTTATCAGCTGAAAGTAATTGCTCTTCTATTGACGGAAAATTGCATTAGAAATTGTTTTTTGTTCCTTTTTGAAACTCCTTGTAATGTAAAAAGTAGTGCATAAGGCAATGAACACATATACAGTCAGTTTTTAAAAATGTCCGTTGTTTATTTCTTATTTTCAAGTTTATAAACAAAATTATTTTTAATATAGTTTTTCAAATAGTTCACTAAATGTGCGGCTGAAGAGACCAAATCAAAATAAAATCACTAGCGCAATGACAACAGGAAGCATTATAAAGATTATTTTCTACCCAAAATGACTGTGATATAAGAGAATTATCTCTTCTCTAGTACAATTTGGGTGCAACGCAAGTTTCTTGATTTATTAATAACATTTTATGTGAATTGCAATTTTTATGAAAGTAATAGGATTAAAATAAATACCAGTTCCTCTATAATTTCCAGATTCATTAAATATTTTAACAATGTGAGTGTTAATAATGTTAAATATATCTCACGCAAAATATTGGGCACAAAAATCAAACTTGTAACTGGACTCGCGAGTTAATTTCGCTCTCTGTAAGTAAACGAGGAAAGTGGTTGAATCAGGAGCAAATAGAGGCCGCGTGTTGCCAACCGCAAATCCCACCAACAGCTTCATTGGCTAAATTTCCATTGTTTGCATGTAATTTGCCTGCTTAAGACAATATTTACCGCCCAGGGCAATTCGTATTTGCCCTTGAGAGTCGAAAATCCTCTGAGGTGTTGTCGTGGGTCGGAGGCGAATCCGCTCCAGTTAATGCACTCGGACCACTGGGGCGGCAAATCCGGCATTGCGAAATACTTCAAATGCACTCCCCCTTTCCGAAGAGCAAACATGTGTCTCCTACTAGAGTGCTGATTCAGCGGCGAGGAAGAAAAATTGTGAAGCTCCCAAGGGACTCAAAATCGATTTTCGGCCTCGTTTCGCCCATTCTTCCGTTTTTACACGCAATTTGCATAATTTAAAATTTCGGCGTGTATACCAGTTATCTCCCGTTAATTCCGCTTATTTCCCCTGGGGGCGTAAATTTTGATGACGAATTTCCCTCTACAAAATTTTCCCTGTTATTTATTACAGTTACTAAATAACCTAATTTTTTATTCTTTGTACAATCCAGGAAGAAAAAATTATAATGCTCAGTGAATGAATAAAATATTATACCAAACTTGTTTAACATTGAGTATTCCTAGAAAAATACTCACAATCAGATGCGATGTTCAAAGTATTTCTGAATAATTACTTACAATTAGACATTGATAAAAAATCATATATGTAGAAATGAAAGTTCAATAGTCAGTAATATTTTAAAGTCGTTTAAAAACAGAAAAAAATTAAAGACCTGAAGAATTTAAATTCACTTTGCACATACCTTTTAATTTAATCTATTCATGTCAGAATCATGTTTCCAAACTAGACATAAGGCATTATTCATACATAATGTATGTTAAACTTCACTTTTTTTTAACATTTTAATTTGGTAAATAAGTCTACACAACTTTTGAATTTAGAATTTTTCTCCTCTACTCACCTCTACTAATTCAATTCACAATATAAAACACAATACAATACTGAATAATTTTAGAACATTTTTTAGGAAACCTTTAATTGAAAATTATAATAATTATGATTATTTATATAATGGACTAGCTCCTTTTTTCATTCAACGTGGCTGACATGTTTTAAATTTTCACTGCATTTAACTCGATAGCCTGGAGCCATTCAAGTTTATTTGCACGCCGAGTTTGCATAAAAAATACTACCATGCACTACAAACCCAACGAACCTTGTATGCGTTTGCGAAATCACACAATTAGCGAAACAGCGAAACACAATATTCACTCGGTGGACAAACGTGCATTTGGCCCGTTAATGAGCATCGATTGGAACACGGCCTAATGAATAATTCAGTCGATTGCCCGGCGCCGCGTGTGCAGTTTTACTTAATTGCGGTGCCGAAAATTGGCATAAGCCGGGATGTGTTTGTGCGGCAAATTGGACACACACGCAGCTTGAACTAATGGAAATGCCTTCCTTGCGAGAGACCCACTTAACGGCAGCAGAGAAAGCGACCGGCGAGTTTAATTCGTACCTGTTTACCTATTACACCGCGAAAAATACCCCGGGCCAAATTAACTCGGAAAATAAATACCCCCGCTCCGCAAAGTTTAATCCTGCTGGAGGAAAACTTCGGCAACTCTTATAACGGAAAACTTTTTACAGATGTGTAAAGTATGCAACCGGTTTAGCGTCTTGGACAAGCGGGTTGCGTTCCATATTCGTCCAGGGAGCTTCCAAAAATATTTTTCACTATTCGGGAGCTTAGCAAAGAAAAAAATGTGTTTTTTAAATGTATCTGAATTACCCTAAATTTTGAAAAACATAGTGTTTCAGTACCAAAAATTATACAATTAAAAATATTTGTGTTTTCAAAATACCAAAAATGTGTGTTTGTGATAATTGTTCAAGACAAAATAAATAATGACTCTTGACAAGCTCAATATCTGCTCATTATAATTTAGAAACGATATATGTTTGCTTTTCTCTTTCAAAAATTTTAAAATCACAATTTATTTTATCTATTTTTAATTTTCTTTTCCACTATTGTGCAGGAAAGTGAAATTCCGATGTATTCAATTCATTCCCAGTGTACATCATCCTGCTTTTTGTGTAATTGGTTTAGATTTTATGACTTTTGTTTAAAATAATGGAAATAATTCATTGTCAATTACAATCCTAGGTTTTTTAACTCTATCAATCACTTCCACCATCTTGCAAGATTAGGAAATTCTTACGTTAACAAAGAGGCGTTGTGTGTTGCAGGCGACCTTTGATCTCAACAAATCATGATTCTGCGCTGGACGGCCGTGTCGCGTTAGCGCCCATCGCCCGAAGGCACTTTTCGCCATGAGAAGCAGCTGCTTGCCGTCAGAGTCGTCAGCTCTGTTACTGTTGCTCACTTTCATGCACCTCATCTTGACAGGTAAGTCAACTCAGCAAAAAAATTTCATCTCGAAATTGCTCCAAGCATTTCAGACAAAAAAAAAATGCTTTTAAATTTCGCGGATGAAGTTTTTCCAATTAACTTTGAGTCACTTGTAAATATTCTTGTCAAGCATCAATTTTTCAGATTTTTTTTACTTACAACTTAATAAAAAACTGTTTATGGAAACTGTTTAATGTGGAAACAAACATTTAAGATTTGAAAAGAAAATCAAATATTTTGCTCAAAATCGCAGCTCCTAGAATTTGCAAGTCAAGATAATAATACAGCCTGCCTTGAGTAGACGCAGGAAAATTTATGACAAGGTCCTTGTTCGCAAACGCGAGACACTTTGTTACTATTAATAGACGAGCGCGGTCGCTAAGTAACCGAGGGCCGTAATGAATTCCTCGCCAAATTACATCGCTCTCTGCTTCAGATTCCACTTGGCGGTCTTACTCTTAATTTTATTGCATTATTACGTCGGTCGGATTTCGCAAAAGTTGTTATCATTCAAAGCCTGTGCTTCCAAGAAAGAACCCTGGTGCGGCGGCTTATGTGCGCGCAAAGTTCTGCAACTTCACAATCGCCAGAACACCAAAGTTTGCGCTTGACGAGAAGCGCCTCCGCAGAATTAAGGAGAAGAAAAAATATGAGTTGTGCGCAGAGGAAAGCTTTTGATCTGCTGCTGTACCTGCAACCCATCTCGGCCAAGATATTTGGACGAGAAAATAATTAACGGCAAACTCGCAACTTTTGCCAAAGTTGATAACTCAGTATCGATTATCGAATCAGGTTTTGGCCTGTAGCGTGTTTTGATGCTTTTCAGATTAACTCGATAGTCTGCCAATCTTAATTATACTTTCCGCCAATAAGGCCTAATTTTGGTTTGTTCCCACTCAAGATAATAATTGGGTTCGCTTGATTGAAATTTGGAAAGAGAAATTTCTCGACAAGACCACTTGAGCAATATGAAATTAAATTTCAAAACAATAATTATCTTGATACGCTGTTTTTCGACAATTAGAGCAAAACCCTTTTTTCTCTACACAAATAAGAATGTTAGCATCAAAGAAAAGACGAGGCAACTTTCCTTTAGCATTTTGTCGCGAGCAAAAAGATGTTTAATTTTCCGTCTTTCTTTCTTTTCTGTCGCGTCAAAAGAATTCTCGGAACTCAATTGTCGCCGGCAAATTGAATGAAAAATCGCGTGCGTCGCGATTACGCGAGGCGCGCAATCATAAAGCGTTTGCGGGCACAATGGCAGCAATTTTTGACTCTCCGGCAAGACAAACAACACAGACGCTGTTGTGTGTGCTGTGCAAACACCGCATTAAACTTGGAGCCGCTCCAGAAGCTGGGCCGGCGAACCAAGTTCAAAACGTATTTTATTTGCATAGCCGAGAAAGAGAAAGGGGGTGGGGGAGAACGGACGGAATAAGCAGAAATAAAAAGGCGCACAACTCTCAGAACTCGGCCCTTCTTGTTTTCTCGGGTGGACCTTCGACGACAAGGGCCACTCGTAAAAGAATGATTGATGGTTTCAGTCGCTCACTCTCAGCCGTCTCGAGGATTATACGCCGCCGTTCACCTTTCACGCCTCACTTGCTCTTCTCGTCCAACATTTTATATTTATGTTGCACTCCCCTTCGGATTTGTGTTTTGATTAAAACACACTCCCGAGCAGTTTCCGGGGTTTTGGCCACGAGTCACAGCCGATTTGATGGATCTTTTGTCATGCCCGCTTGAAAGATCGCAGCCTGTCGCTGAAATACATATTCGCCGCCGGCACTTAAGTATTAATACGCTGCATTATTTCCGCAGTTTTATTACGGCCCAAATTCCCTAAGCTTAGTTTTTATGTGCTCGTATTGTAAGGAAAGAAGCAGAGGCTTCAAATATTTTGCCCTGAACAAAGCTCGTTTTCCGCATCCTTTCAGCCAATTTTTTTATGCTCTTTTTAACGAGGGAATGCCTTTGAACTAAAAATGAAGGCCCAATAATCAAAAAGATTAAAATTTTATGATTCTGTTTACTGAATACATTTTGAAGGTTGTCTTTGTAAATAAAAAATTGAGAATAGGTCAATAAAAGCAGAAAAAATATGCCAATCATCCCGGTTAGGAAATTTATTAATTTCAAGTCTTGCGGAGCGACGCATATTTTTTTATTTTTTTTTTTTTTTAGGCTTGATAAAGTAACATAAAAATTAATTGCGTGTTTTTATTTTAAATAAAGTATTTTTAATTTTTTTTATTTAAATTAAACCATTGTTATCAAAAACATCATTTTTTTAATTCAATAAAATTGATTTTTCATGAAGTCTTTAATTTTTATTTTCTATTAGTTTAATTGTTATTATTTTAGTTATAAAAATTATTTACTTCCTACTTACATCCCTAAACAATATTTATTATTAATACTTCTTAGATGAAGCCTATTGGAGAAGTGATCATTAGAGCATTTATTTCATACATACATTTATAAAGTATAAAGAAAACGATAATTTTTTTATCAGCCCTTCCAAGCCTTCAAAAGTCTTTTCAGTCACAAGTTGCAACATTACTTTTAATAGTTATTATTTTAACATCCCTTACATTACAGGTTAAGAAAAAGACTCGTGAAGTTTTCTTTCAAGAGCATCAGGGTTTGAATTGTCATTCATTTAAAGATGCTGAGAAAACAAGCAGTGGAATGGCAAAAAAAATTGCGGCAGGAAGTGGGCTTCTTTTTCAATTTGTCAATTTCCTAAAAAAAAAACTCATTTTCTTCAGCGGGTTACGCCGCGTGGAACACAAAGAAAAGAAAGTTCTCTCGTCAATTTATATTTTATTCATTAAATGGAAGGAAGGGGCTAAAAAAATGCACAGAGAGCGAAAAGGGCCAGCAAGACAGCTTCTGTCTCATTCAATCTGATGACATTATTTCTGCGTCTGCTCCCTTTGCAACTTTCCTCCCTTTCCGCGAAAAAGGGCATTCCGCCTTGAGCTCACGGAACACGCAAAAGTTTTATAGCCGCGGTACATTTCGTAGAGCTTATTGTTGCTCGTTTTACGGCCGCGCACAAAAACGAGCTAGCGACACACTCGGCTAAACTGTCGCGATGAAATTTAATTTTTCTCGCGGCTACATTACACAAAATGAAATAAATCCCAAGTCTGTTATTATTTGCGAGGGCGTAAAACAAAGCCGAGCGCAACCTTCATGCCTCAAAGGCTTTCTCCGCAAATCCTTATTCTGCAGAACGAGGCGTGCGCTGAAACCAAGCCGGGCCAATTATATACCTTTGAAGTTGTTCCAATTAAGGACTTAAAGATACCAGTGCCGCTTAATTTTATTATTCCTCGTAATGAAAGTGGAGACAATGTTACTTGTAAGGTCTAAATTACAATCGAAAAATTGGCAACCACGAGGGTTGAAACAGAGTGATTTAATTTTTCTACCAAAAGCATTTAAAATCTGGTTCAAAATTAATGTACTGAATCTTGTGGACTCTCAAATAAATAAAAAAAAATTGTTATAGCAATTTAGAGAATAAATGAATAAATAATTGACCTTTTTTATGAAGTTTTTCCATTTTTATTATTAAAATACTCATTATGAGAAAAATTTAGGGTATAAATTGATTAAAAATCTTACGAACGAAAGAGGAACAACGCATTAATTTTGCAAGAGCAGTTTGGAGTTTGTATATTTCATTATGGCGCTCAAACAAAACCAATTCCTCTGTAGTAATTAACTTAAAGCAAACTTTGGCGGGCAAATGAGCTTAATATGGCTGCTCGTTATCGCAGGTAACAAGAGAATTAAAAAGACACGCCTCTCTCTCTTTGAACCAACTTTTAAAAGCAATTACACCCCCTCTGTGAGCAGAAATTTTATCAATATGTATGTATATGTTTTGCGTGGAAACTTTTAACCAGCAGCTATTGCAAAAAGTCACCTCCAACTAAAGTTTGTTGGAAAATTTGCTGCAATCGCGTCGCAAGGGCGTGCATTATTTATCACTTTGGAAATTAATGCGTTGATGCTTTTGGGTTTGTTGCAGACGCGAGTTCGGAACAGCCGCCGGTGGCGAGCGGCGCGGTATCTGCGTTGCCGCCGCTGTTATCAATCGAGACGCTGCCGACGGCGAAGAGTCCAGAGGCACGAACCGATGCGCCCAAAAAGCTGCTCGGCTACATCTTCGACACGCACATGAATATCAAACACCACCACCACGACCACAGATGGGGTCCACACTTCGAGGAGGTCTCCAATAGCACCAACATCACCATCAAAGTCGGCAGCTCCGTTACCATGAACTGCCGCATCAGCTTGCTTCAGGATAAGACTGTAAGTGTTTTTACAAAAAGTTTGAATTTTAATATACATTATTTAAAATCATTTGAAACATAAATTATTTCTATATTTTTTTTTTTAAATTTTCGTATTTTTTACATTTTTTATTAAATTTTTTAATAGATTTACAAGAAGTTAATTAAGAAAATTGCATATTTTTATGAATAAACAGCTAAGAAATTTATTAATTAAATATTTAGTTAATGAAAAACTTCGTCATTTATTTTTAATGTACCTCTCTGAAGAATTATCATATTTTGGCGAGGTTTGATCAATAGCATCATTGATATGGGAGCAAATCGATTTTCCATACTTTGCATTATTGCATTTATTGAAAATGTATTAGGCTGTGTAGCAACACCACTTTTTTCCGCTCTTTCCTACGATTTTTCCAATACGCGTCATCGACTGCCAAGAGACGTGCATTAGCAACACGAAGAAAAAAGAAATGCTCCTCCTTTCTCTGTCGCCGAACAGCATGTGTGGTGTATGTATGTAATCATAATATGGGCGAATGCGTCAAATCGCATTATCTTTGTGCACATCACGGCCAGACATGACACGTCGGTCTACAGCAGCAAGCTGTTCCGCTCTTTATTGGCTTTTTACGGCGCCTTTTGGCTCTGCCATAGCGAAATGGATGTGTGATTCTGTTTTGCCGTCTGTCTGGCCACCGCGTGTCACTCTCGTCGACTTAGCCAACGCTGCACACACAAACTGACGCCCGCTCCGAAAAAGCTTCTTCTCTCACTAACGCAGAAAGTGCTTGGAAATATTAATATAAATGAAAGTCTGCCTGCTTTTATACCTGCTTTATATAAAATCAAAATTTTTTAAAGAAAGACACACTGATATTTCTTTTTTTAATTCCCGAATGTGAAAGTGTGCAAATTTTTATCAATAAAAGTTAAAAACATGGAATTGCGTATTCCCCCTAAAATTATTTGAACTATATTATGCAACTCGGTGTCACGATGCAAAAGTTTAATTCGAAAATTGTTTATGGATGGAATAGTGTAATTTTAAGCTTCCAAAGTTGCTTAAGATGGCTTACGTTCAGAAAACTTTGGAAACTAATAACCTTCCTCCCAAAAACTAGTTTCTAAAAATTTGTTTGAAACACTATGCAAACTTTCATCAGTCTCAGCTGTGAAATTTCGCTTTAGAGAAAATTTGCTCCACCTCCATCAATATCAAAATAATCAAAATAGTGGTCTTCAGTTTGACAGGATATAAGACACTTTTACATACTCTAGACATTTTACGATATTATGATAATAATATTAATTTTGAAACTCATGAAGTCATAAATGTGCAGTCCATATGATTAACCGGTAATCTAACTCTCGAGCGCGCAGGCAAAATTAATTAGCATTTGAGCAGCCAGTAAAGCAAACGGTCAGTTGCGAGTGTGTGCACAGCGCACCACCTGCTGTTCATTTTCCGTTTGGAGCAAATTAGGTCACACGTATATATCTCGTAGTCATTACAAATTAACTTCCTTGCCATTGTGCGCGTTTTTAATTTGGGCGAAAGGACGCACAAACACACACAGCCTAATTAAAATATGAAACGAGCGTGTTTGCTGGACGGAGCTAACGAGGAAAACGGAAATGGTCTCACGTTTTTGTGAGGAAATTAATTTTTATGGTGATTGTGAGGGAGGAAGTTTTAATGCATCAATTTGCCTTTCAAAAGAAACTTGTACCTCCAACTTTCACATCAAAGGAAAAGGAAGACGACGACAAGCAATAAAAAAAAATATTTTTTTTCTAAAAGTAAATCTTATGAGGATAAAAATCAAATGTAACGATCAATAATATTTTATATTTATCAATGATAAAAAAACCATTTACGATGGTGAAAATTTTTCATTGTTTTTATTAACAATAAAATTCTGCTACATTTTGAATATTTTTCGAACACAAATTATCTATACTCGTCATGTTTCATGATGTACATATTTGTATAGCAGGATGTGTTTTTTGTCTAATTTGCTGGCGTACGCTGCCATCCCTCCGGAGATAAATTATTCAAGTCGGATCCTCGAGTCGTCGGAAAACGGAGGCAAGCTAAATACACTGTTTCCTTTCGCAAGGAGCAAATACAAATGTGAGTTGAGCACTGAAGAGCAGCCAGACGTGGCTCTTCTTGCTTTAATGCTGTCTGCAGACGCGGTGTCCCAGACTAAATAATGTGTATTTTAGGATAGAGCATTATGCCATTAAAGAAGGAATGAACGCAAATTTACACTTATAAAAGATGTTTTACACACTTTTATTATCATTTTTCAAAATGCTTGTGTTTAATTTATTTATATTTGTTTATTTAGTTCAATTTTATTTTCTACTTCTATGTTCAAATATAAAAAAAAAATATTTGATATAAACAAAATTTATGTGTTCTTTCATTCGTTTAAAAGAGCTATAAAATTAAATACATTTAAGTGCCCTTTTGTTTCTACAATTTTTTGATACAATCATACTTGAATTCATTGAAGGCAGGTGAACAATTTCTTAAAAATAAGCAAATATTTTCACTTAAACTAAAATTCTAATCACAATTTTCTTGCCAATTTGTGAAAGTAATAAGAACTATATTAGAGTTCAACAAGGTTCAGTAATTATATTTCAATCATCACTCAAAATTCAATTTCGCATGTTGAAATTGAGAAAAAGGACGTGTGTGACACACCCCAGCCAACTATAATTAGGCGCCATTCATGGCAAGGGTGTCCGATGGGCCAGTGGGCGCGCCTGCTGCTGACAAAGTGTAATAAAAGTGTGTGCGGCAGGCTAGAATTGCAAATTGCCCTAATTAAAGCCGAACGAAGCCTGCTTGCTTTTATTCGCGGAATATAATGGCATTGCCGCGTGCACTGCCATCGACAGTTCCGCACGGAGATAAATGAGATTTGCGCGACCGGCCGTTCCGTCGACACGCCGCAAATTATTTTTGTCAATCACTCTGTCCGAGAGCCAGTCGCAAAAATGGCCGTCTGTGTGTTCATCGGCGACGGCTTTCTGTTTGAACAGAGGGCTGCGCTGAATAAACACGCCCCAGACGGTGAAAGGCTCTTTGTTTGCCAAATCACTATTTCCTTTGCTGAGATTTTGGCACAAATCGAGGCCAATTACGCAAATTTTCAAATTGCTCTACTGAAAAAGTTACGTATGAAAGGGATTTTTTCTGGTATTTTAAAGACATGAAAAATAATTCAATTGAATCATAAAATATCGTTTTTTTTATAAATTCAAGATAAGAAGTATGCACTCTAGGTGTGAAAAAACGGGCTTTTTCCTATTTGAATATAAAAGAATGAAATCTTTCATCTTTCAATAAAAAACTATCGTTTGCACAACTCGATTAACTCGCCAGACTCGAGTAACTCGCCAGACTCGAGGAACTCGCCAGACTCGAGGAACTCGCCAGACTCGAGGAACTCGCCTGACTCGGTCACGAGCGACCGCGGCTATGGCGTCGCCATGGCGAGGCTATGGCGTCGCCATGGCGAGGCTATGGCGTCGCCATGGCGAGGCTATGGCGTCGCCATGGCGTGGCTATGGCTATAGTGTTGTGATGTTGGTAAGTTAATACATACATATGTAAATATTGTACAGTTGGTACAACTGCAAACCAAATAAAATTAGAACTTTTCTACCCTTTGAACTGAACGCACGTCTCTCTCTCGTTCTCCCTTCCGGAGAGCGGCCGCTGGCCGCCCTCGAACATTCGAGGCCTTTTACAAAGGCCGTACGAGCTACAGCAAATTGGCGACGAGGCGAACTTAGCGGCGGAAGGAGGAGAGGACGACGAAGAGGAACCGTCGGAAGCGAGAAGACGGCGTGGACAGTCATCCGCGTGAAGGCCACGTGTTGCGGCAACCGGAAGTTGGCTTGGTAGGTGTCCGGAGGCGGACCAGTCCGGCACCACTGACACCAAGGCCGTCCCAGCGCAAAAGGCAAGTGGTTAAAAGGGAAAAGAAGAAGTCTCCGCGTCTGATTGCGAAAAATCAGCACTGCAAGTGGTGAGCAAGTCGAGCCGAAAACGTGGTGAGAAAAAAAGAGGGTGCAAAGCATTGTCAAGTGAAACACTAGCCGCAGAATATTATTTCCACCATCAGTGTCTTCGAGACTGGAAATAATCTAGTGAAGTTTAAGGTGAGAACTCAAGGGCCAGAGGGAAGAAATTCCAGGCCAAAAAGGAGTCTTCGAGACTTTTGCCTTAAAAAAAAGAGGGGTTTTTCTCAAAGGTTTTGAAAAAAAATGGTAGTAAGTTGTTGTAATTAAATGACTAGATTTGCAGCACACCATTCCTGAGAAAATCTATAACCTGATTGCTTGTACGTAGCCACTAAGAAAACACACGGCAGTGAAGAAGGAGGGCCTCTCAAGAAGAAAAAAGAGGTTCCGTAAAAAAGAAGAAAGAAAAGAAAGAGGAAGGAAGGAGAAGAGTCTGGAGCGGAACTTGTGGAGCGACAAGGTGGTCCAAGGAGAAGACGAGACCACAGTCAGCTGCAAGGAAGCCCCGCCTCGAAAAGGACTTCAACCAGAGTTGGACTCAAGAAAGCAGTCAAGAGCAGCAGAACAAGTAGCTGCCAAGAGAAAAGGGTGTGCACCAGCACCAACGGCCGAGACATCGGAGGCCGTCGGACAGAAGGCGTGTGGCGCCCTGTCCACCTGAGACGCCGGGAGGAGGCAGCCGCCTTCTCTGGCCATCATGTGAGGGACCCGAAGGGTGCAACCGCATCCTTGGGCCGTCGACCTGAGTGGAGGGGATCTCCTCAGGGGTCGCTTAGAAGTACCGGACTACAAAGAGTCCGAGGTGTAAAACGAGGAGCCGAGTGTCCATCCAGCATGGAGAAGATGAGAACAGCAACTGGCAGTTCAGACCGTGCCAAGTGTGCTGGAACATTTTCGGTTTTCATTTGAAAATTTAGTGATTGAGCGAAATTCAAGTAAATTAGTAATGCAGAAATACAGTTTTAAACAACCAAATTTCCGTTAAAAATTCAGGAAAGTAAAATCAATTAAAGTTTCAACTTAAATTTCCTAATCTGAGAATTAATTTTAGAGTTTAATCAAGGAACTCAATTTAGTAAACAAATTTTCAAAGGTTTTTGAGTAAGAGTAATTCTTGTGAATGGATGTAAATGTGATTTTGTAACAATGTTTCCAAATTAATCAATTTCTTGCTCCAACGCCAAATGCCACAGTTCTCCTTAAAGTGCGTAAATTAAAACTTGTTTTTATCTTAGGCGGGAAGTGTTGTGATGTTGGTAAGTTAATACATACATATGTAAATATTGTACAGTTGGTACAACTGCAAACCAAATAAAATTAGAACTTTTCTACCCTTTGAACTGAACGCACGTCTCTCTCTCGTTCTCCCTTCCGGAGAGCGGCCGCTGGCCGCCCTCGAACATTCGAGGCCTTTTACAAAGGCCGTACGAGCTACAGCATATAGGAACTCGCCTGACTCGAGGAACTCGCCTGACTCGGTCACGAGCAACCGCGGCTATGGCGACGCCATGGCGTGGCTATGGCGAAGCCATGGCGTGGCTTTGGCGACGCCATGGCGTGGCTTTGGCGTCGCCATGGCGAGGCTATGGCGTCGCCATGGCGAGGCTATGGCTATAGGAACTCGCCCGACTCGAGGAACTCGCCCGACTCGAGGAACTCGCCCGACTCGAGGAACTCGCCCGACTCGAGGAACTCGCCCGACTCGAGGAACTCGCCCGACTCGAGGAACTCGCCCGACTCGAGGAACTCGCCCGACTCGAGGAACTCGCCCGACTCGAGGAACTCGCCCGACTCGAGGAACTCGCCCGACTCGAGGAACTCGCCCGACTCGAGGAACTCGCCCGACTCGAGGAACTCGCCCGACTCGAGGAACTCGCCCGACTCGAGGAACTCGCCCGACTCGAGGAACTCGCCCGACTCGAGGAACTCGCCCGACTCGAGGAACTCGCCCGACTCGAGGAACTCGCCCGACTCGAGGAACTCGCCCGACTCGAGGAACTCGCCCGACTCGAGGAACTCGCCCGACTCGAGGAACTCGCCCGACTCGAGGAACTCGCCCGACTCGTGTAACTCGCTTGACAAATTTGTAGAGGGCAATTAGGCAAATTCAACCATTCCTGGATTTTTGTTCTACGTCAACGGGAAGCCGAGATACAGCTACTTGAAATTTTCCAAAATCCAAATTTGAACGTCCCGTAAAACCCATAAATTTTGAGATACTTGGGTAAAATAAATATTTTTTTAAACCTCTTGACATGGTCTTTATGGGTTCAGAATATGGTCACGATCGTATGACCCCTGCCAAAACACTATACAGTTGAAATATTTTCGCCGTGTTAGAATTTCTGCGAGCGCGCTAAACTATGATTTTAAAAAATTACTGTGTGAGTTTTCTTGCTTAGTATACAAGAATTTACCTGGGGAACTTTAGCTAACATTAAAACAAAAAATTCACTTTAATTGTAGAAAATTTTTTTGTTAAAATACCCTGAAAACACGACAAGTGTGGTTAAAAATAAAATAAAAATAATTAGTTGATTAGTTGACTGCCTTTAAATTTTGTTGAAACTTTTTGCATTGCTACGGCTCCTTCTGAAACTGGCCTATGTTTTGAAATTGTTAAAATATATTAATACCTAAAATCGCCTAAAATCTTCCCTGCCAAAAAATTCCTATAAAATTATCTACGATTTTTAATAATTATGTGTACAAAAAGGTTATCATTAATGTCAAATAAATTTATATACGCTTATTTGAACCATTATTTACTTTCAGTGAGCGAGCAAATTTATATTCCATACAATTTCTCGACGGTTCTAAATCTATGTGTTGGCGCACGTGTTTGACTATAAAAGTGTTGTTTGTGCCTGCAGGTTTCGTGGGTGCGGCGGAAGGACGGCAAAGAACTCGAGTTGCTGACTGTTGGTCTGCACACGTACACCGGCGACTCGAGGTACACGGTGGAATTCCAATATCCCAACAACTGGCGCTTGCAGATCAAGTACGCAAACAAAAGAGACGAGGGCACCTACGAGTGCCAAATATCAACGTACCCGCCCCGGGTCATAAGAGTCCACTTGCACATCAAAGGTGGGTCTCTCTTGAATTTATATATGCGCCTCTCAATAGCTACAAAACGTATATACAGGCAAGCAGCTCTTCTTATAATCCCGTCGATTGGACCTCTTCAACCCTTTTACTCTAATATTGGGGCTCACTCGATCGCAAAAATTGAATTTGCACGCGTCCATCCATTGGGAATTGCATGGTGTTGATAAATTTACAGCTTGTTTGATCGGACAGGGGCGACGCTTCAAATTTCCAGGCGAGTTCGGCGTAATTGACCTTTGTCTGCTAATATGAAATTCATTTTGTGAAATTTAGAGCAACTTCGACCCAGGCCTCAATTATTTCCAACATAAAATATTATTTTCAATTCCAAAACGTCGAAAGTTCAATTTGTGCAACTTATCTGTTCAAAAATTTTAATTATAATTCTGATGAACTTTTTTAACCTCGGAGTATTAAAAACTATTTTTATAGTCACCAAAAATTAAATACCAGCCGCATATAATTTTTTATTTGGATTCAGATTTAATAACTTTTCCTGCAAATTTAATCGGCTAAAAAAATTAATGTAGAATTGATAAAAAAAATTCAGATGTTTGACTTTAATTTTTCCCATTTTTTTACTGGTTCATTTTTGTATTGCTCCCGTTGAACACGAAATTTTAGGCTATTATTTTGATATTTGCTCAAAATGGTTGACCTTTCATGAAATGCGTTTTGCACGAGAGAGCTTTCCGAGTCTAGCGACGCGGCATTCGTTCGGTCGTCGAGCTGCTGCCTGACGTTTTTTTTAAAGTGACCATATAAATTGAGTGGCAAAAAGCCACTTTTTTACGACTGGTTAAAATGCTGTGTGCATAACCACGCGGGAGACGTTTGTTTGTTCACTGACTCGCCTCGTGGGTAATTATGCAACTCGGCGAGCAAGTTTTTCCAATTAGCAGTGGGGCGAGGCGAAGTACTCACTCCTCTGCTTGCATGTTAATGAGACACAATTTTCAATTTGTCTTGCATCAAACGAGCTTCAACGAGATGTAATGTGCAAAAAGAAGTTCTGTATGTTTGATGAAAGAAAAATTGATGCTCTCTTTTGATGAAATGCACTTTTAACCTTTTGCAGCACCTGAAGTCCTAATTGTCGACGAGCACGGTCGGCCGATTTTCGAGAAGTACTACAAAGCGGACAGCACAATTCAACTCGCTTGCTTTGTGCGCCACGTCAGCATGGTCTCGTCGGTGGTGCTGTGGAACCACGGAAACAATACGCTCAATTACGACGTCACCAGAGGCGGCATAAGGTATGTTGCATATCAGCAACTTTTGCATAATATGTTGTCGACAAGAAGCAATCAGAGGACAATACTCGGCCAGACCAACAGCAAAAAATATTATTCTGCCTGAAAACTACTCAAAGTGCTACTTTTTTTGCAAAAGCAATTCAATATAAGAAAATTTAAAATTTCATTGGGTTGCTGCAGAGTCCATAATAAAAAAATATTTGGACACTTTTAAAGCAACCCGACGTAAGGGATATTTAATTAAGGACGAATCAAGGCATTTATAAATTTTAAGGATGGCTAAATCGTTTTTTTTTCTAAACCATTAATCAAAAAATTAATAATAAAACCCAAACTTTTAATGAAAAATTCAAAATTTTGATTAAATATCAACCTATTTTCATCCTTTTCAAGATTTGTTTTCAGAAAAATAGTCCGATTTATAAATAATTTCACCTTGCAAAAGCCTAAAATTATAAATTTTCTTTTAAAAAATGAATAAATAATCGAAAATATTCTTCAAGTATTACACTTTTTACCTTCCTATTCTATGCCTACTTTGCAAAAAAAATCAGCCATTTTTCCCTGAGACTAACTACATGGAGCTGAACAACAGAAAACAATTAAAGCTTAATTGAGCAGTTTTGAAATGCAATTCATTTATTAATTTTTTTATTTATTTTCTTTGAAGCCTAGAGGGATTTCTGATAAAGTCAAATCAGGCCTTTGTTTTTATTGTACTCGGGAAGCAAGCCTGCAATTTCTATTTCTTCCAAACAAAAATACATTATTGTATGTAGCTCGAGCACATTTTTTTTTACTGCTTGTTTTTTATTTAATTATGCATTTTTTTCTCTTGTGACATTTGTTGATCCACCCAGCCGTCTGTAATGTTATTCGCGAGAGGTACTTTGAGAGTTTCCGCATTTGAACAACAAAGAACGTCAAAACGAACATGGGCGGCGCCCCCTGAAATAATGGGCCTTTGGAAAAGAGCCGTAATGCCACGGATCCATCTTAATTACTCGGCACGCGAGCGCTGAAAGGAGGCCATAAATCATGCACGCGGCCGCGACGGAACAGTGCAGTGCTAATGAAATAGCTGCTGGTTTGAAAAATTTATTTCTTCCGAGCACAGCTTTTGCGGCTCATTCTCATTTGAATTTCAAATTTCCAGTTAGCCTGCACGTGTTTAATTTATAGCTAATCTCACCTGCAAATTTTAAATTCGTTCAAGCTGGTTCAAGCAACGTATCCTTGATAAATCTGTGTGCCAATATTTTAACAACTCGCAGTTTAAATTTGAAACCCCATTGATATGGTTTTGCTTTGGAGTAGTCAAATGGCGATTTTTTTTTATCCTGGAAACAAAAATTTTTGTGAAATTAACAAATTTGAAAGGTAATGAATTCCAAAACAAATATTAACAAATTTTGACGTAACGAAATTTAACTCTAAAATTTTAATCTGGACCAACTTTTATTTTTCATTCACTTTTTCAGACGTTTTTTTATATGTATACGACACTGTAAATAGAATCACTTTATTTTGCGATAAAACGGGTTGGCCGGGTCAGAGCCATCCGTCTTGCGTATTGGCTTTTGGCATTAAAGCAAACGTCAGAAGATAGAGCAGCTCCGGCACGGAGATTATCTGCAATTCCAAGTCTGCCCGCCAGATAAAAGAAAACCAGCCGTTCTATGGTCGTGAAAAGCATGTGAAATGCGCGCAGAAAAGACGTAGAAGGTGCACTCGACGCTGCTTGAGAGTTTGCAGCACACATGTTATGTATTTTGCGACTAGGGAGCATGGTCTATTTTTTTCGCAAAGGTCAGCCTCGGTCCGGAGCTTGCAATAAAAGAGAGACGCTTTATAAGAAATTCAAAGCTTCACCACCAGTGTATTTTAAGCGGTTACTGGTCAAATCTTTTAAGCTAGTGCAACTTTTTTACGAAAATGATTATTATATAAGTGATAAAGGTGTTTTTGGTTGTCTTTTTTTGTAATTACAGCAAAGGGGATTCTGAGATAGATATTTGCTAAATATGAATTTTAATTCAAAATATGTGAAACTAACAATGAATTTTCGTGCTCTTCCTCGACAAAAGAATTATTTGGATTTCTTCCCTTCCTTTTTAGAGCTTTGAGGCATTTTTTAGCCATTTCAAGATTTTTAAATTTTCTATTGTTGCTGTGCAATATTTTTTAGCACAGTATAAAAATTTATTGCAACCTTCAAATAAATTATTATTATTTTTAATATAAAACTCACCTTTTTAGTTAAAGCGCTTTGATTTCGTTATATTAGTGCGATTTTGAAACACAAAATAATCTCTGGTTTGTAATAAAAAGACTTGCTAATTAAATTTTACAATTTAAGTTTCTGAACCACTTTACCAGGAAACTTTTCCAAGTAGATTTAATTTTTTTGTAGGAAAAATTTTGACAGATTAATAAATTTTGACAAGTAATTTGCTTTTGATGGCAAAAAAATTAAAAAAAAAATATTTAAAATAATTAATAAATAAAATAATTATTCAAGTTAACTAGATTTGTGTGCATTTAAATGATTATTACAAATGTATTGGTTAATTTTTAGTCATATAAATTAATTATCTTCTAGATTTACGAATTGATAGATTTAATTAAATTAGCAACTTCGCAAATAATTTCATGAATTTTATTTGTCAACTTATTAAAAAATGTCTGATTTATCTTAACAAACATTCCTCCTCTCTTGACTTATTTAGGCCGCTCTTTTGAACGAGACCTAAAGTAACAAAATAACTATATTTTGTAAAGTTCATTTTTGTCATAAAAATATGACCAAATAAAAATTAATCATCATTCATAAGAGCATACAATATTCAAACTAATTTCCTATTTAGATTTATGACAGTCAGATATATATGGCGTTGTAGAGTTTTAATCGACCACACTCGCAATACATATAAATAAAAGTTGTGGAACAAATGATTTTGACATTTAAAAATTTATATTCCAATTTCTATAATTGTCACAGTTTGTCAGCCATCACGCAGTTGTTCAAAACCGCATGTGTTGTAATTACAGCCGCACGATTTGAACTGGAAAATAATTTTACGCAAATTTCCGCTCGCGTTAATTAGGAAAAGTCGTTGGAATTTGGAAATAATTCGTCGCTTTTCCAGGCAGCGACAATAACGTGCGCCACAGGTTGACGGAAACAAAAGTCGAAAAACTTTCGCATGCGAACAAAGTAAACGCTCCCCCGGGGGGTGCTCATTAAAAATACACCGCGCGCTTTTTATTTCGCAGAGTCGGCAGGAAAAACAACATTTCTGTCTGCGTGCATCCGAAAGCAGAAAAATGTCCCATCCCAACTTTTTCGCTCTCGGTGATTCGAGCGGAAAAATATTTTTTTCACGGCTGGATGCGGAGAGTAAAAAATTGGGAATTATAGAAAGCGGCTCATCTCGTAGGCAAATTAGATTTTTCTCAATTTGTGTGTCGTTTGGATTTTTGCAGCGTGAAGACGGAGCTGATGGAGGACGGGGCGAACAGCTCGCTGGCGGTGGCGCGCGCCGACAAGGCCGACAGCGGCAACTACACCTGCTCCATATCTGCGACCGAGTTCGCCACCGTCGCAGTTCACGTGCTCAATGGTGAGGAAAATGCCCTCATTGTTTTCGCAGCCAAACACCCCTGCATTATGCAAAAGAGGGAAAACGAAATTCAATTTTTCCAATCGCCCCGAGAGACATTGAAGAAGCATCAAAGCTGCTTTATTCTTTGGTTTCTTTCCTTCTTTGGCTGCGGCGTGAAAAAGGGACGTCTCTTCTCATCATTTCCCGCCAGCCAAACATATCAAATATCATTTTTCCTTTTGTTCTTCCACACCATCGCATGGAATCGGAAACCTTTTCATTTCTTTTTTATTCAAACCTGGTATATTCTTTAGTTTTTTTATTAAATATTTTTATTGGCCATTGGAGATAAAATTTCAAAACAAAGTTCCTAAAAAAACATTGTTTTGTAAAGAAAAAAGTTCTTTAGAAAAATCAATGCCATCATAAATTTTAGAAAAAAATATCAAATATATTTTTTCATCGAAAGATTGACTTGTTAGAAATAATTTTTTGTTAACAGCAACTTTTCGTGAGTTTTTTCACGAAATTTTTAAACTAATCAAATAAACTACATTTTAAATTTTTTGATCAGTCGAGCTGCGAGCTATTGAATCTGTTTAACTTAAATTCTTAAATTTTACCCCTCTCCCATTCACGTTGAGATTTAATGAACTATTAAGACTTGCTTCCCAAATTCCACAAAATTACCTTTCAATTTTGAAATTTTTTATTTTTTTAGTTTTTCCTTGGCAGATTATTATTCTGAAATTATTCTTTAACGTTTATTTACAGCAAGTTATTAGTCTAATACTGGAATATATAGCAAATTGAGTATAATAAAGGAAGAGAGAAATAATAGTCCGTTTTACTTTTTCCCTTTAAAATTCTCACAGAAATCAAATATCACTAATTTATTTTTTATTTTTTATTCTCTGCTAAATTTTGTGCAAAATTTCCAATTTGTCTATCCTTGTTGGATACAAGAAATGAAATTCAAATCTCTGCGTAATGAGACTTTTAATCCTGAAGCTTTAATTTTAGGGTAGGATTAAAACACGCAGTGAATATGAATGAATTCTCTCTCGATTGCGAATTCAAGCTGCCGCGATCAAAAACCGACGAAACCACTCAATAAGAGGGATTATTTGGGTAATTACTGCTCGTTGTGCTCACAGGAGAGAATCCAGCCGAACTGCACCACGGCAGCGGCAGCCGGCGCGGCCACAAAGGAAATCCGGTGGCCCTGGGTCTGGTGCTCTTGGCAGCGCTCGTCCACACCCTCAGATGAGATTCGCAGCAATAAAAGTGCGAACATAAAAAAAACTTGACAAGTTATGAATTTATCAATGTGCAGTTCAAAAGCGATAAAAACAAACTTTTGCTATATTGAGATAAAAAGCGAATGTGAAAAAATGATGTTCTGTACACGCACACGACGATAAGATTGTTTTAATCATATTGAAATGAAAACAGAGAATGCATTTTAATTAGAAATGTCAAAATAAATTAATTTTTGTACAAATGCTGTGTGTTTTTGAGTGACTGAATTGTTGAGTATTGTTATGAAATTTGGGACAAATGAAGACAAAGAAAAAAAGTACTACCGAATATTTTGTGGTTTGCGAAAGTCAAAATGAAAATGGTGTATCACATGTGATATTAAATAAAGAAAAAAAAATTAAATGTGGTTGTTTGTGTGTTTTTTTTTACATCTCACTTGAGCCATAGTATAATCAGTTATCAAACTTCATTCTTTTCACTATATTTGTGCTATATTTAATGCATATAATGCAAGTTAAGACAAATAAAGGCTATTACATTGTTATATTTTTCCGTAAATTTTGTATATACTTGCTTAAATTTTCTTATCTTTAATCGCTATGTTGGAACGTCATAAGTTGAACCGTTTATCATAATTTTATTAAATCTTTACTAAATATCTATTAATACTTCCTCAAAAAATGAGATGTTTTACATTACATTGTTGGCAAACAAGAAAGGATATAACAAAATATATTTATTCTAATGCACTATCATGATATATCAAACTGTACGTCTTTGATTTGAAGTTAAACTCCAGAAAATAATTTTATAGAAGAAATTTATTTCACATACAAACATTTTTATTCTTGATTTTCCACAATTTATTTTGGAAAAGCGTGCAAAAAAAATGAAAAATCAAATTCACTCTTCGCTTTCCAGTAAATTTTGATGTAAAGCGTATTCGCCACTTTTCAAAAGAGTCCATGAAAAAGGTAAATCAGCTTATTTCTCGTTGGTGGAAAATGTTTATTGCAGCATCGCAGGAAATCCGCAGCAACTACTTTTCCCTCTCGGCGTTTGAGTGCGACGGTTGCGAGAAAGTTTGGTGTTAACGCTGGAAATCGACGTCGCGCGCCTGCTGGGTGGGTGCACATCTGCGGTGCTGATGATGATGGTCGGGTCCCACCGGAGACCTTTGCCTTCCTTTGAGAAAACACGCCATGAATAAGTCATGAGCTGCACCGAAATCGCGCCCTCCATCTCTACCGTTCTTGCTCGAGAATCATTTTTCACATCTGCATGTTTCATTAATAACGCGAAACCGCGAGCGCCGCCGTCAAAGGACGACTGATTTCCTTCCTTTTGTAAACACGACCGTAAAACCCGCTTATTATTTTTATTACATTTGTTCGAGTTTTAATCCCCGGTAGTGCCCTTTATTCCTTTCTCTCTCTCTCTCCGCGTGTATATTTTGCACTTTACGAGCACCCGAGCGAAAAATTGACGCGAATTTTGTGCAAACTTTTGAGCAGATACAGAGATATCGAGGGGGGCGACACAGAGTTTCTTTCAACTCTGCCTCCCTCGGCGGGTGGGTTGCATACATCGAGCAAAGTTTTCACTTGGAAACCGCCAGCATAATCTTGCAAATCTCGTTCCTGCTCAACGGTCGCGCGCTCTTTTTGACCCAGTTATCGTCGGCCCAGCCCTTCGATCTCTCCCTTTATCGGAAGGTGCAGTCGTAACTATAAAACGGATGAAGCCGTTTTGTTTTATATACAGACGCGCTTTTCGACGGTATTGTTTTGATGTAGCAAAGAAGTTTGTTAAAGGAAGACAGCGAGGAAGTTCAAAGTTATTTTTTTGTAAGTAAAATTTACAAAGGCTCAAAAAATAAAATACAACTGAAAATGCATGATAAGGTGGTTGGCAACTTGCTGGTATAAATTTTTTTAACATATTTTGCTGCCATCGTTATTTAATTTAATTACTTTCAGTTATGTTATGAGTTATGAATATTGGGGGAGATTCAATAGACTTGGCTCTTCCAGTATGAAAGATATCCCGGAATAAATCTAAAGGTATAAAATTTGAACCGCTGTCCCGGGTTGAATATTTGTTTATCCCACCTTCAATTTTTTGTCCCCAATTCATTGGTGATAACTTTTCGTAGCCCCCTCAACGGAATAAAAATTTAACCGCGCTTAAATCAAGTCAGCTGGTTACTAAAAGATCGTCAAGATGCTCGCAAACTTTTCAAATTTTGACACATAGGTGCAGCACATTGACTATTTTAAAATAATGAAGATTGAGACTCTTATTATTATATTAAAGCATTTTCTTACTTTTTTAGTGAAGACGAGGACAAAACACACGGTGGCAATTTTGCGAGTGAGAGAATACAGCCCATATGCATTTTCCGCCCCGACATAATGTAGAGGTTTCATCAAAGCGATAAAAGAGATGTCGAGTGAGCTCGAGTGCGAGTCAAAGAGCGTCTCTGTGTGACTGAATGTCGCTCAAAAAAGGAGAGATGGAATCAGCAAACAAAGTTTGAAATAAATCGCGTCTCGAAAGGCACGAAGAACTTTTTCTTACTGTCCTGTATGCACTTGACGTGCTTCTTTCATTAAAAGCATCATAAACTTGCTTGGCCCACGACAAAGTGGAGATGCGATTGAATAAATATTTCCGGTTTTACTTGCGGAAATTTTGCGGCAGTAAATAGTTTTCCTCAAAAGAGAGATTTTAAATTCATGAAGAGTTTTATTTTTCGCACCGCAAATATGGATTTATGATGCCAAGTTTTGGCGGAGAGCAACAAAAAATATATAACTAAGTAAGCAGCAGGGCGCGCAATCATATTTTTCACTTATTTTTCAAGCTGTGCACCAGACCGCGAAGAACAAAATCAACTCGGTGAAACGGGAAAATTATTTTTTTTTTTAAATAATAAAAAAATGTATTTAAGTTAATTCTGTTAAAATATTTTAATATAATTTTCAGTACATACGTACATCTGAGGACTATAAAGATTAAAATGCAACTGTTCAATTCAAGATTAATGCAACGCAGGGGAACAAGGATAATAATAAGAAAGGTGCGCACAACTGCATAAGAGTTGCCGCCAAAGGGGAATCAATTTACCTCTTGCAAAAGTGCGAACATAATAAATCCTTATAATAATTTTTCTAATATAGGAAATTGAAATTATTTGCTATTTTTCATTAAAATGATCCCTTGCTGATCCATCCTTTTGTGCAGTAATTTAATTTTAAAATCGATAAATCCATACTGAATAAATTCATTATATCTTTTGGTGGGAAATCTCATGCAGTTGTGCGCACCTTTCTTATTATTATCCTTGTTCTCTTGCGTTGCCAAACTGCCATGAAGTACAAATGGGACGGGAAGTAAAAGCGCGACGCTGTCACGCATTGCTGTGGTCTTGTGTGAATTAAAACTGGAATATTGAAAACGTCCTGAAATACAACTGCAACTTTGTAGTACTGCAGCCATTTGAAAAATGTAGCTGCAACACTTGAATTTTACAAAAGAACAACTGTAACGTTTTTCTATACCCAATCAAGAAATTAGCTCTTCCTTTTGCACCAAACTCTACCTTCAATGTGGACGCCCGCCTTTAGTACAAGTGAATACAAATTAATACATCTGCAGCGAAATGCAAGCGAGACCCTTGCAATTATGTTACTGGCGTTGCTGTTAAGAGCAGCCAGTTGCATAACCTGTGCTCTCTAGGTCTGGCGTCGTACGGTGCTGCCTCGCTTGTCCCCGCCCGGCGCATTTTATCAATGTGTGTGTCCTTCGCAGTCCGACAGATGATAAACAAGCCCCCGATCGAGATGTTAATAATGCGACTTATCAAAACACGGCGAACGGCAGCAGGCACTTGTTGAGCGGATGATTGCCGAGTGACCTTTGGCCCGGTATGGGAGCGTCATCCCAATCAAAGCCAGCAACTACTGCACTCTCGTCCATGCCGTTCGACCCTGCCGCCGGCCACTAACTGACACGGACGCACCGACACCACCCTTTGCAAAGTGAGTTTGACGGCCAAACAATTCAATTTAGTGTTTCTGTTGCTTCTTGAAAAATTCCCTTAAAATTATACTTAATCTGAATTGTAAAAATAATTTTAAAATACTTGACATTGATTTTACGTTTCAACAATTAGGGATTCAAATTTTTTACGATCCAGATTGCAATCTACTGATAATTACATAAGAGTTTGTGAAATTTTGAAATAACGTTGGTCGTTGGTGCATCCAAGGGTAGAATAATACCAAGAATTTATTGAATGATGAATAAATAATAAATTAACTTGATAATATTATTGCTTAATATTGTCAATTTTGTCAATTAAAAACTCTCCAGATCGTTTTTCTTTTTGTCTGTAATTTATACGAAATTATTTATAATAAAACTTAAAATTTATTTTATTATATGGAGAATTAAAAAAGCATTGCTAGCATTTTTAGTATTTTTTTTATAACTAACAAACTTCTTAGAACTATAATAGTCCCAAATTAAAAAAAAATGAATTTCAAAAAGTTGTTTATTTTATATTTTCGTTAATAAATATTTCATATTTTGATACGCAACAACTTCAGACTGAATTTTGAACCGAATTAAAAAAAATCCATAGAACAGTTTAAAGTTACTTGCCTTCCACAAGTTCAACAAAGGGTCTTGGCCTGACCAAAAAATGAAATTTTTTTCAAACTGATCACACCAAAATTGTGTTTTGTAATTGTGCAGATGCTGAGCACCCTGTCGCGAGTGGCGAGGCAATGGGTGCGGCCGCTGGCGGTGCGGCAGGCGGCCACTGAGGCGGCCGACGGCCCTCGGAAGACGTGCCTGTACGACTTCCACGTGAAGCGGGGCGGACGGATGGTGGACTTCGCGGGCTTCCTGCTGCCGGTGCAGTACACGGAGGGCATGTCGGCGTCGCACCGCCACGTGCGCGAGCACTGCGGCCTCTTCGACGTCAGTCACATGCTGCAGACGGAGGTCAGGGGCAAGGACAGACTTGCCTTTGTTGAGAGTCTCTGCGTCGCCGACCTGCACGGCCTGCCTGACAACGGCGCCACCCTCTCCGTCCTCACCACCCACAGCGGCGGCGTCGTAGACGATCTCGTCATCACCAAAACGCCACTTGGTATGTCCTACAACCTTCATTTGCATTAATGGGACAAAGTTGAAATCTCGATTCTCAAGGGGTTAATTTACTGCTTTTGAGCAAGCAACTTGATTTTTTTTAAATATTAAATTCACAAAAGATAATTTTTTTAAATTTAAGTTTGTTGAAATTTTTAATGAATTTATTTGACGAAAGCAAAAATATTGAATTATAAGTAAGATAAAATTATAATTTTGAGTGATTTATTTGTATTTTTTTTTCAGCATTTTTTAAATTAACAGAAAATCAAATTTCCACATTAGTTAAATATTTAATTAAAATGCATGATTCATATAGGATTTTCTAAAACATTTATTATTAATGCTTCTCAAAATACTGTATAACAAAAATATTTCAATTATTACTCTGCACTTGAACAATTAATTCAAATTAACAAAAATAATCACAAACTACAGGTTACATTCACATGGTTTCGAACGCTGCCAGACGAAAGGAAGTGTCAAAACTATTGGCCGATGCGAGAGAAAAGTGGGCGGCCAAAGGAAAAGACGTCGTGATAAAGCACTATGTACCTGAAGATTGGGCCCTTCTAGCACTGCAGGGACCCAAGGCAGCCGCAGCTCTCCAGCCCCTGGTGGACATTGACCTCGCACAACTCAGATTCATGACCTCTTCTTTGGCTGCAGTGGATGGACATGAAAGGTTTGCAAATGAAAAATCTTTAAAAAATATTAAAATTGCCAAAAGTTGCCTTTTTATCTCCTATTTAATCATTTTTTCGATATCCAATAAAAATATAAAAAAAAACTGGCAGAAATTTTTTCTTTAAAAAAAAAAGATTTTTTTATCTTTGGATGATTTTAAGACTTTTAATGAATCTTTCTGAAGACTTAATTTTTTGCTACGTACTTTTAAAATTTTACAATGCACTCTAAACTTCAAGCAAATTAGATTAATTTTCAAGCAAAAATTTGCTGTGCAACTTATGTGCGGTGTTTTTAGTCTTTTCAATGACTTCATAAATTTTACAGATCAAAAATGAAATTTAAATATCAATGATTGTTCTTCCATATAATTTTCAAAACACTAAATCAATAAAAATAAAACGTAAAATTTACGTACGTTAAACTTGCTTTTAAATCTATAAAATAAATAATTCAGTTGACTTTTTCACGTCTTGCAATATTTTCACTTTAAGTAAAACAACATTTTTGTTACAATCAATTATTGAAGACGTTAATAACTTAATTAAAATTTCTCACAGGTGTCGAGTAACTAGGTGTGGTTACACTGGAGAGGATGGATTTGAAGTGTGCATTCCTGCCTCAATTTCAGTGTAAGTACGAATAATTTTAAAAGAGAAAACTTCTTTGAAACTGATGAAAAATTACAGTCCGGTCTCGGAGCAACTTTTGGCGTGCAAAAGTGGCCGAGTGCAGTTGGCCGGGCTGGGCGTGCGCGACTCGTTGCGAATTGAAGCGGGTCTGTGTTTGTACGGCGCCGAACTAAGCGAGGAGATTTCGCCGATTGAGGCCGGGCTGACGTGGCTGGTGGCGAAGCGGAGGCGCGAGGCCGCCGACTTTCCGGGCGCAAGTTCCATCCTGCAGCAAATCCGACAGGGTCCGGCGCGCCGAAGGGTTGGGCTGCGTTCGCAGGGCGCGCCGGCCAGGGCGGGCGCCGTCATCCTTGACCTCAAGGGCACCCAGGTGGGCCACGTGACCAGCGGGTGTCCCTCGCCCAGCCTCGGAGGGAACGTGGCCATGGGCTTTGTGCAGGCCGCCTTCGCCAAGGCGACCACCAGGCTGCAGCTCTTGGTGCGCAACAAGGCTGTCGACGCCGAGGTCACCAAGATGCCCTTCGTCAAGACCAACTACTACACCCCCGATAAGAAGAAATGAGAAAGAGATTTTTCTTTCATTAAAAATTATCGATTGCCAAAAATATCAAACCTCAGTTATGGATATTAATGTTTTTTTGTAATTTTGTAAAATTAAACTCATTTTTCCCGTTATGATCAATATTTCTTGTAGTGTTATATTATATTGTGTTTGATTATGGTGAAATTATTTTGTGTAAAATATTGATAGTTTTGTATACAAATTAATGGCCAGTTAATTTCCCAAAATAAAAAATAGAATCACAGGCCCTTGCAGCAGAATGCTTTTTTCTGAAAAACTTGCATGGAACTAAGCAACAAATTTCAATAAAGTTTCTGTCGTCTAGGAATTTCCATAGTTTGATTTTGAAATGTCGATAAAAGATCAAGGATATGTTTTTGTTATTTCTGTTTTTTTTTTTTTTTTTTTTTTTGCAAGAGACCAAACAGAAAAAATGCGGTAAAAAATTCCAGTCATTTAATATCACCTCAAAAAAATTTAAAAAATAAAAGTTAAAAAATTTTTTCGTATTTCCTTATTAAAAATAATCTTAAAATGGCGATTAATATTTGGAATATTTGAGTCTAAAATATCGGTTTCATAAGGTGTCATTTTCACCAGTGTCATTTTTTTTTTGGAATCAGAAATAAATTTATTAATATGGAAGGGATTATTAATTCATGATTATTGCAATACCTAATAAAGTCCAGAATTCTCACAATCAGACGTAATTCCATGATTTTCCACCCGACGCCCAAAATGGATTATCAAAGTAAAAACTTTTCACATTTCACGTCCACAATTTATTTTTTATTAGTTATAAAAACACACCAATTAGAGAGCAAAGTTTATTTTTTGTTAAAATGTTATAGCAAGTTATTTGAACTAATTTTTTTAGTTATACTGGCGTTTCTGCACCGGAATCCTCAATATCTGGGTTGTCTGAGTTGTCTCACAAAATAAAATTCTCGTAAATTTAGTGTATACGTGACGGAGAGTGCGTAACTCGCTCGCACTCTTCGCAAAGATCAAGTGAACCAGGATGCGTCCATTTCAGGAGTTGCAAAAAAGCAACTTAATCTAGATCGGCAGACTGCTCTCGAAAATACTTTGCAAGCAAATTTCGCGAATAATTTCTTATGCTACTGGTTGCCAGCATAATTATTGTAAGTTGACTCCATTACTTTTCTTTAAATTCAGTTTAAGTGTAACAGGACCTAAACTAATTATTAAAAAATTTAAATTGTATTTTATAACCGAACTTTTTTAAATTATTGTACCTTTCTTACAAGAATAATACTTGATCATAACATAGACTGGTGAATAATGTCATTTTTATTATTTATTATTTTTTTTTCATTTAGATTTTCATACTGATGATGGATCTCAGAGAATTAGTCATTCTGATTCAAAATCTAGGAGATTAAATCTACTTATTTAAATTTTTCAAAAAAAAAAAAAAACAACAATGACAACAACATGACATTAATTTTGAGAAACATTTTTTACCAAGTTCAAATTCTCTCATAATTTTCTCACTGCAAATATATTTAGCAAAAAATTCATTACAAACTTAAAGTGGATGCTTTTTATATACAAGAGGATAATAGAAAATTAAAAATTTTATTTAAATCAGTACCCTTAAGAAATAAGAATAATTTAAAGTTCAAACAAAATTTACTTTATAAGTTCTTTTTAAAAAATAAAAATAAAATATCCGAAAATATTCTTCTTTAATATTATTGACTTAGAAAGAAAAATGCCTGGTCAGTGGAGATTTATTTCTTATTGCTTTAAAACAAATTTCCTAATTAATATTTGAAACTTTGTTAGCAATTATTTGAAAACAATTATTATCTAATTTAAATTTAAATGAAAAAGAAGTCAAAATATTTATTTCCAATTTGCAGATTCCTTCATTTAATATTTCTCATGAATATAATAATGTTTGTTTTCAAATTTGGTTTTACATAACCTTAGGTCACTTTTCCCAGCATCCGTTTGCCAAAATGGCCAAGGCCCTTTGTTCTTGTTTGTCGCTGGGGGAAAATCTGGCGTCCTCCTCGGCAATGGTCTCGCCGGTGCCTCTCGTCTTGGCCGAGCGGTTGAAGATGTGGCTGGTGGTTTGGCCGCTGTACGGCGTGTAGCCCGGCATGCGTTTCAGGTACGAGAGGTCGGCGTGCGGTACCAAGGGCCTCTGCTGCTCCCTCTTCGGCCGCTCCCTTGCCAGCCTCCGCTCTTCTTCCTGCAACTTCCGCGCCTGCTGCTCTCGCCGCCGCTCCTCTCGTTCCGCGATTTCTCGGTCGTGCGCCCTTTCGTGCGGCAGGTACTCGCAGTATGTGCCTCCCCAATTCTTCTTTTTTGCCACTGTGAACGGCAAATTTGATGACCGTGACTGAAAAATTTATTTTTATTAAAGTCAATTTTTTTAATTTAAAATATGTATATAGATATGGCTTTGCTGATCGTTGGTGAAAACATAATTCAAAATAAAAGTGATATAATTTGTCAATTAAAGTGATTTTAAGGATTTTAAGTTGAAATATTTATCCAATCGATGGTTTTTAAATTATTCTAAAACCCTAATTTTTACTTCTGTTATTTAAATTTCGTAAAAAAAAAATGGAATCTAAAAAAGTAAGTCTCAATTTTTTAATATATTTGATGCAACATCTTAGATTATATTGGAAAATGAAAATTAAAAAATTACCAAATTCATAACCCAATTTTCAATAATTCTATGACTTCCCATTACTTAATATTTTGTAATTTTTTAATATTTAACTATAAAGTCAAATTTTTAATACCTCGAAATTTGGTAGTTGTATTCCAGGCCAACTTGGGAACTGAGTTACTGGCGACTCCTGGTACACGGGCATATCCTCTGGAGTGAAATACTGGGTGGTCGCATTCGTGGTCTGGAACTTTGGCGAGGCCAAAACCTTCTTTGCTGTCTCAATCCACCGGGCCTTGTGGAGCGGCTCGACCTGCGTGCCGAAGGACTTTCGCGTCGGCGACTCATCAGTTGTTTGATTTGCGTTGCATTCATGACATTGATGAGTCACGTGGCCGGGGTGAATCACCTCACGAGTCCACTCGGGCTGCTGCTGGGCAAAAGGGGAAAATCCGTCGCGGGATAACTTCTTTGGTTCCGGTTGCTCGAACTCAAACTTGGACAGCGGCCTGATTTCGACGTGCGAATTCCTCCATGGGTAAGCACCCGGGGTTCCGTAACTGACTGGGATTTTGGTTATTGGAGAATACCAAGAAACTTCAGAAATCGGAGATTCTTCAGCCGGTCCGAAACTGTTCCGAGTTGTCTCAGAGGAAACAAATCCTTGGTCGCTGTTGCTCCTCCGCGGGTTCTGTTGTCCCGAATCGTCCAGTGTTGGGCTGAAGCCGCGACCTGAGTCGCTTTGCATACAGGGCGCCTCATATTCTAATCGCAAAATTTGGTCCAACAGGTCGGAGGTGAGCGTCAGTTTGCGGTAGTAGTTGTCGACGGCTTGCTGGAAGAAGCCGTAGGACTGCAGAATTTTTTCCCTCTCCACCAAGCTGTTTTGGCTGGACAGCGCCTGTTGCAGGGTCTTGATGCCTTCCTCGAAGAGATTCGCCACTTCATTTCCTAAGTTCAAATTTATGCCTAAAACCTTAGCCATGTTGGAGAGAATTTCGAAAAAAATAACATGAATGAGCTCAAGAATATAAGAAATGAATTTGAATTCCAACAATGTGCATCTTGAACGTGTTTTCGAAGAACATCAATATTCTTCGTAGCAAGGAATCATTGTTGTAAAAAAATTATTATTTTCATGAGCATAAAATTGTTATTATTGTAAATTTTTAACAAATCAATAATTTCAAATTTTATAAATCTATCCATTTTTATTTCATTGTATTGTTTTCAAATTTTTAAAACAATTGCAATTAATTTTTTTTTTAATTTTTTTTCTTAAAAACAAATAATAATTTACAGTAGCAATTTCTTTAAGGCCTTGTTAAACAATAATTTTATGTGTTAAGTGATAGAATTGCACTCATCATTGGAGTTTAATGTGATGAAAGTTATATTTAAAATTTGACTACACAATCATGCGCATATTTGTAATAATCAAATTGTAATTTTACCCTGGCAAAACAACTTTTGCTCTTATAAAAAAATATCTTCTTAACTTCCTCTGTCCTCAGTCTCAAAATAATCCGCTGACATAGACACAATAAAAATAAAATTATTCACACAATTATTCGTAGCTAGTCAAACGTTATCTAAATCATGAGCGAGGCACCGTCTACGAATTATAAAAAGAGGAAGGGTCATCGCTTCGACTGACCCTGTTTGAAATTCCGCGAGTAAAATCTTGATGGGGGGCGCTAATCAATGTCTGTGACACTTACTGAATCTCTGCATTGACTCGGCAATTATCACACGCGCACGTTCAGAGCGAATCTGCGAAAAGGCGCAGGGAGGTGCCGTCGCCTCTTTTTTCCACCTTATATTTTTTAAGCGACTGATTTGCTCCAGAAACTCTCTACTGCTGCTGCAGGAGAGTGAGCGAGCGGGCGAACGAAAGGTAGAAACGACCTAACCTACCAGTCGGTGTGTAGCAGGTGAAAGAGAAACACGTGCTTATATGGATAGTGCGCTGTAGTATGAGGTGCGGCGACGGACTTTTCCATGTGATCAGGTGAAAACTATTTACGCACACCCCGGATATCCCAGCAGCTCAGCGTTATTTTAAAGGTAGGTTGTTTTTTTTTATATAATTAATTTTTTACATCTTTTAAATTAGTAAGAGAAAATCATTAAAATAGTTTATCAAAGATGCATAAATCAGTAAGTGAGGACTAAACCTATTCAACAGTAATATAAAAATAATTAAAGCCTTGATTTAACAGAAACATTATAGTAGTAAAGTTGAGCATTACACTTAAAATGATTTTTTTTTTAACTTTAAAAGAATTTAAAAATATTGCAATAAAAGTTTAAATTTCTGGGAAAAAAATCAATTTATTTTTATGACTCTGTATGTTAATGTTAACTTGTTTCTTGTTTTATCCTCTGGGTAATTCTAATTAACCCAAAGTTTGCACCAAGCTAAACAAACAGAGAAACCGCCTCTCTATTTTGCGGCACTAGAAATGCGAAGCGCCGTGTCGTGATAATGAACCTGGAGCGTGAAACACGGAATTGGCCGTGCCACCGCAGTGACAACTCCAGCCGTCCTAAGTCGCTCTTTTGACTGCTTAGTTTCTCTTGCTTTAACACACTTGATTGATTTGTCATTAATCAGAAACAAAATGAAAAAATACAATTCACTAAATTTAGCTTTTTTTTTCGAAGTAAGAAAAATATTGCATAAAACTAAATTTATAATAAAATTAAGTAGTATGAAAATAAAATAAAAATATTATAATAATATTTGCTTATTTTCTAATAAAACTTGTTATTTATTTACATATGTGTAGATTAATATCGGTAAATAATTGAATAAATATTTTTCCTTCACATTTAACTGCAAATAATTGGCAATAATTAAATACATTAACGTATTTTATTAGATTTATAAATGATGATGTTTGACGATTATAAAGTTTCAATTTCTATGAAATTGAGGAGTAGATCATTGAATAAAAGGCCAGAATATTTTTAGACAGTCGAAGTAAATTAAAAATATATATCTAGTGTTAACGGAATGTGCGCTCATTTTTAATTATATATTTTTATTGAAATATTAAAATTATACCTGGTCTAATGAATGTACATGTACATTCATTAGACCAGACAATATGTATATTTAACGTTAATTGTAACTTCCCCTAAAATATTTAAATTTATTTCGCTTAATCTTATATTTCATTTCAAGCAATTACTTTCCAATTCTGAAGAAGAGCAATTCATCAATTATTGAAAGAGTTTGCAAATCACGTCGGAGATTGGCTGAAAGTGCAAGTACTCTCGCAATAATTGCGATTTTGCGTAGATCGTACGTATTCCAGTTAGTTTGCGAGCGAGTTTCTCAAGAGAGAGGAAAGCTGCTGCTGCTGGGTTTAGTGTTTTGGTCATCTGCAGGTGCGAGTGTGTTATGCCGCTTATTAGATCTGCACTCCAGATGCCGGTTGAATATAATCGACTTTCCCTAACTCGCCTCTCGATTTCTGCGGGCGACCAGACCATTTCAAACACACTTATCTCTTAACTCGGTTTGGCCCGACCGGCGCGTGTATAAATCAAAACAGTGCGCGAGACGAATAACTGGAGCACCAAAACACCCGCCGGGGAGATAAACAGCGTAACAGCTTTGCTCCCATTGTGTAAATTATCAAATCTTTATTCTGGCTATACATGAATGAGCTATAAGCGGCGCCCATTAAACTGCATGGGATTTTTCACTCTGTTCAACGAGAGTGGATTGGAAAAAGAAAAAAAAAAAGAGTCGCGCGTAAATCAAACGCCCTCTCGCTTGCCAAACAACTTTCTTTCAAATTCCAGAAGATTTTATGGGACTTCCAATGGTGGCCGAATAAAAACCGTTAAATTTTGTCACTTGATATTTTTGACGGTGGAAAAAGGGACAAAAATAAATTTTTTATTTGTTTAGAATTCAATTTCAATTCTTACAATGAATTTTTGGTTGAATAAGGTTTCGATAAGCTACATAAAACGTTTTTTTATATGGATAAGTCAGAAAAAAAGAGATTGTGTTATTGTTCTTGAGCAATTCTGGCCACTTTTTTTATGAGGATTTGAAGTAATTTTACGGAAACTTTTAGCCACATTTTTAATTCCTATAACAATAACCAAAAAATTTAACAATTACATGTCGATATGGACCATAAAAATTACCTTCATTAAAAAATCTTACTTTTCAAAAAGTCACGATGAACACTCCATCAATTTTATTATTTATAGAAAATCTGTAGCAAAAACTACAAAAAAATTTATTTATATATTGCGTTATTTATTATTCTTTTATGTGCATTACAAGAAGGCGTAATTTATATTATTATGCATTAAAAAAAGCAACACCTGCTTTGCAATCGCAATTCGCAACCGTGCAATAAAATTCACGGTTTTGTTTGTCGGCTGCAATGCCGCGGCCGATCGGTGCACTACTTTCAATACACTTATTGCAATCACGAGAGCATAATATGCCACAACAATGCAAAAAATTCTCTCTCGCTAAAGAGAGAGACGACATAATTCGTCACGCATATCAGTTTAGAAATGCGTTTGTGCACGCGATCTCTGCGGAATGGAGAACAAAACTCGGCAGTTTAATTTACCTGCGAGTAGCTGCGATTTCAACGAGTCATGCAGCTTGGCTTAATTTCCACCAAGACGGAATGAGAAAATGCAAAAACTGCAAGCGATCGTTGGCGTTCAAACAAGAAATCATCTCTCGCAAAGAAATATAGGTTTCCTTCGCCTGCAGCGCGTTTGCTCTTGTGATTAAAAAATAACATTCTCTTTTCTCGTTTCATTCTCTATTCGCTGGGAAAATAATAACATTTCTTCGTAATTACATTTCATACTGAGAAAATAGATCGATTTATCAGCCAAAGTTTCCAAGAAAATCATTTGTGCAGTTTGCAAAAATTTATAGAGGGTTTTGTTAGAATATATAGTATACATAAATGAATTGAAGCTTCACGGAATTTTTTGCAAGGTTGCGTGGCCAAAAAGTAGCCGCCGGTGCGCAGTGCTCGGCATTGCCAAATAATAATTGAATTAAATTGCCTGGAGGAGAAACCACTCAAAGAAATGGGGCGTACTTTTCTTGTTTTTGCTACTATTGTGTTGATTCTCTAAAAATAGAAGTAATAAAATTTGAAACGTCTGAATTTTTTTAAAGTTGATTTAAAATAGAGGTTTAATGCGGCAGAATTTAATTTGAAATTACCGAACAAAAAAGTGTTGCCACAAATTTTATACTCATTTGTATTTTTATAGAATCTCCACTCTTTTTTTACAAAAAAGAAAAAAATTTATACTAAAATAATAGTGGGGGAGATTCAATAGACTTAGCTCTCCCGGGAAAAAAGATATCCCGGGATAAATCAAAAGGGATAAAATTTATACTTCTGTCCCGGGTTAAATATTTTTTGTCCCGCCTTCAATTTTTTGTCCCCAAGTCATTGGGGGATATCTTTTCTTGGCCCCCTCTACGGGATAGATATTTAACCCGCGCTAAAATCAAATCAGCTGCTGGTAAATAAAAGGTCGTCAACATGCTCGCAAACATTTTAGATTTTGGCCAATTGCAATGAACAAAAAACTTAATTTTTCAAATCAGAATTTTGTGAGGATCATGGAAATGAGGGCAAAATTGAAATCCAAAGCTAACACAAAAATATGCATCTAACTTAATTTAAAATTGCATATTTATTTTGCTCAGAAATTTCTAAAGACCTCTTCATCAAAGCGAAATTATGCAAGGATTTTTTTCTATTGAAATTTTTTGCACGTGAAATTTCAAATTTCTCAACTCTGAAAAATTAAAATTCTCAAGCTTATTTTTTATTTGTAGATAAATTAAATTCGCCAATTTTTTTTTTTAATTACACTTAACAAATAAAAAAGGAAAAAAAATTAGTGAACGTGAAAAAGTAAAAAAAAAAGAATTTGCTTTTCTTTCATCTAAAAATTCACTACAAAACGACTACAAAAATACTCCAAGTTGACTACAAACTCACTACAAAACGACTGCAAGCGACTCCAAGTTGACTACAAACTCACTACAAAACGACTGCAAGCGACTCCAAGTTGACTACAAACTCACTACAAAACGACTGCAAGCGACTCCAAGATGACTACAAACTCACTACAAAACGACTGCAAGCGACTCCAAGTTGACTACAAACTCACTACAAAACGACTGCAAGCGACTCCAAGATGACTACAAACTCACTACAAAACGACTGCAAGCGACTCCAAGTTGACTACAAACTCACTACAAAACGACTGCAAGCGACTCCAAGATGACTACAAACTCACTACAAACGACTGCAAGCGACTCCAAGTTGACTACAAACTCACTACAAAAAGACTGCAAGCGACTCCAAGATGACTACAAACTCACTACAAAACGACTGCAAGCGACTCCAAGTTGACTACAAACTCACTACAAAACGACTGCAAGCGACTCCAAGTTGACTAGAAACTCACTACAAAACGACTGCAAGCGACTCCAAGTTGACTACAAACTCACTACAAAACGACTGCAAGCGACTCCAAGTTGACTACAAACTCACTACAAAACGACTGCAAGCGACTCCAAGTTGACTACAAACTCACTACAAAACGACTGCAAGCGACTCCAAGATGACTACAAACTCACTACAAAACGACTGCAAGCGACTCCAAGTTGACTACAAACTCACTACAAAACGACTGCAAGCGACTCCAAGATGACTACAAACTCACTACAAAACGACTGCAAGCGACTCCAAGTTGACTACAAACTCACTACAAAACGACTGCAAGCGACTCCAAGTTGACTACAAACTCACTACAAAACGACTGCAAGCGACTCCAAGTTGACTACAAACTCACTACAAAACGACTGCAAGCGACTCCAAGTTGACTACAAACTCACTACAAAACGACTGCAAGCGACTCCAAGTTGACTACAAACTCACTACAAAACGACTGCAAGCGACTCCAAGTTGACTACAAACTCACTACAAAACGACTGCAAGCGACTCCAAGATGACTACAAACTCACTACAAAACGACTGCAAGCGACTCCAAGTTGACTACAAACTCACTACAAAACGACTGCAAGCGACTCCAAGATGACTACAAACTCACTACAAAACGACTGCAAGCGACTCCAAGTTGACTACAAACTCACTACAAAACGACTGCAAGCGACTCCAAGATGACTACAAACTCACTACAAAACGACTGCAAGCGACTCCAAGTTGACTACAAACTCACTACAAAACGACTGCAAGCGACTCCAAGTTGACTACAAACTCACTACAAAACGACTGCAAGCGACTCCAAGTTGACTACAAACTCACTACAAAACGACTGCAAGCGACTCCAAGTTGACTACAAACTCACTACAAAACGACTGCAAGCGACTCCAAGTTGACTACAAACTCACTACAAAACGACTCTCAAAATGCGCTAAAACACGCAAAGCTCGTTCTCCCTTCATATTTATATACCACCTCGCTTAAACATCCCAACAATTTTACCATCAATAAGCCGTCAACTATTTCGACTGTTGAACCAGCTGACCTTGCTATCAATTTTGAAACAAAAAGGTCAGCCGCTAGTAATAAAAACATAAATGAATAAAACCAAGTCAAACATTTTCTTGACTTTGGCTGAGCTGAGTGTTCATTGCAGTTGCACTTTTGACAGCCGGCAGCCGGTAGCCAGCCACTGGTTCAATACTTGATTTGATAGCCATACGAAAAAGATGTATTTGCCCAAATTAACTTTGACGAAAAGGTATTTAAATATTTGGGAAACCTTAAGATGAAAGAAATGCAAATTCTTTTTTCTTTTACTTTTTCACGTTCACTAATTTTTTTCCTTTTTTATTTGTTAAGTGTAATTACAAAAAAAAATAGGCGAATTTAATTTATCTACAAATAAAAAAATAAGCTTGAGAATTTTAATTTTTCAGAGTTGAGAAATTTGAAATTTCACGTGCAAAAAATTTCAATAGAAAAAAATCCTTGCATAATTTCGCTTTGATGAAGAGGTCTTTAGAAATTTCTGAGCAAAATAAATATGCAATTTTAAATTAAGTTAGATACAGATTTTTGTGTTAGCTTTGGATTTCAATTTTGCCCTCATTTCCATGATCCTGCGCGGGTTAAATATTTATCCCGTAGAGGGGGCTAAGAAAAGATATATCCCCCAATAACTTGGGGAGAAAAAATTGAAGGTGGGACAAAAAATATTTAACCCGGGACAGTGGTCTAATCCCTTTGGATTTATCCCGGGATATCTTTTATCCCGGGAGAGCTAAGTCTCTTGAATCTCCCCCAGTATTTTCTATTTACAATATAAGTACAATATTTCAGAAAAAGCTTCAAGTAAATGATTTTATCGAGATGTAATTAATGAGAAATCAATGGAAACTATTTTGAATTTGCATTCTTGCCACCAAGAATTTTTATTAGAAAAAAATATTTTATTTCACTTTAGTAGCCTAGAACTTATTGGCCGTTTCTAATTAAACTTTTTTCAATTCATTGAATATAAGGTTCGATTTCATGCCTGCTAAAAAAAGGAATTGAATTTTGTTGTGAATTGTCAGTTAAAAACTTCACCAGATCATCGGCGGTGATTTTGAATCGAGCATAAACGAGCATATCCTCATTTCACCGCAGCTTGAATGGAGTGTCTGCAGTCTCGGTGGAGTGAGCAAATGCAAAGCAGGTGCTAACATTTCGGCCTATAACCCAATTGCGCGCTCAAACAAATTGAGAAAATCGCTCGGCGCCGCATGCAAATGTGAGAACAACAGAATCATTCACCGGAAAATTCTCCTTAACTGGGTTACTCTCCGCAATTTGTTTTTTCCTTACTAAATTCGCTTCCACTGCACAGCTGTCAGCGACGAAGAAAAAAAATCAAGAGAAATTCCTTCGTCTGGAGCGTAGGAAGTCCCCTGCAAAGTACAAAATTTGATCCTCTCGAAAAACCGCACCTTGTCATCCGGTGCTTCTCGTCTGCTCTCGAGAGTGACACAGTGAGTCCGAAAAGCGCGGTGATTTCTCTTTCTTGTTAATTCACGCTGGACTAATTTGCAGCGTCCATGGGCGGTCGTTAAACACATCGAACATGCAGCGCCGCGCTCACAGGATATCGCTTTTTTCATAATTAGGAGAGCAGAATATCATAACAGAGCGACTGAATGAAAAGTGAATGTTGTGTTTCGGTGCAATTTTCTTCCACGCATCTTTCGCTTAACTTTCTTCAGCAATTTAGTTTGACACGCACTTAATAAAAATTTTAAGTGCACTTTTAGGTTTATTTTGAATTCATTAAAAAGTAGAAATTCACAGGTAGAAATCCACTCTGCCAGTGTGAATGCATCAGAATGGAGAGAAATGTTGGGAGGAAACTGTTGCACAAAATGACACCAAATATTTTTCAGTAACAATAAGAATAAATATTTAATACATAGTTATTTGATGATTTTAATTATATTAATTATAAAATATAAAAAGAAATCTGACTGTTTTATTATATCATATTTTTATTGAAAATCACATGAATTACCAAAAACTTTTATCAACAATGCTCTCATTATAACATTTCTCGTTTTATTTAAAAAAAAAAGTTGCCATAATTTATTAATCTTTTAATTAATGTTCTTACAAAATTAATTTTAACTTTCCATAATTTCTCCTTTTACTTTCAAGATTTGAAACTGTTGCACAAAATGACACCAATTATTTTTCAGTAACAATAAGAATAAATATTTAATACATAGTTATTTGATGATTTTAATTATATTAATTATAAAATATAAAAAGAAATCTGACTGTTTTATTATATCATATTTTTATTGAAAATCACATGAATTACCAAAAACTTTTATCAACAATGCTCTCATTATAACATTTCTCGTTTTATTTAAAAAAAAAAGTTGCCATAATTTATTAATCTTTTAATTAATGTTCTTACAAAATTACTTTTAACTTTCCATAATTTCTCCTTTTACTTTCAAGATTTGAATTATCAATTAGCAAATTTGATGTGCATTTAAGTAAGAGATTAATCTGATTTCATCTTAATGCTCAAGAGGCTCATTATTGAACATAACTGTAGCAGAACCTTCCAAAGATTACGCGTATAAAATCCTCTAACGCTTGATAGTTTTCACTTTCTCCACTTCTTATTCTAGCAGAACTCAACTTTATATGTCTTCGCCTAGAAAAATAATTTGTTACCTAGTCAAAAAAGGGAAACCTGCACGCGCTTGTCAATAGGAGACTAAAAAAGTGTAACCAACGTTTGTTTTTACAAGCGGAGCGTTATGGCTTCTGAAACTTAATACTCGCGCCTAGATTTCTTTTCTTTTTATAAACAACAGTTAGCTCTTTGACGACATCAGGCAGGTGCAATATTTTTATAGTAGATCCGAGATCACGTATATAAACATTATGTTCTTTCCTCTCTTTGTGCAAAATTTATTGCAAAGTCGTAAACAGCAAAATGCTACCAGAATATAAAATTTTTCGGGGAAAAATTGCGAAATTAGCAAAACAACTGGAGTGAAATTTGCGCAATTACTTTTGCTTGCGTGCATCTCGGATTTTATTATTATGCTTTTTGAATTATTCAGCAGAGAGTCGTGAATCAAATACAAAATGCGCGGCCGAAATTAAATTTCCTTTTTTCCGCGCCAGCAAGTTGATTTCAGCTCCACTGATTGCCTCTTTTCCTATTTGCAATCGAATAAATAATTGGAATTTTATTTATAATGAGTATGGGAGAAAAAAGCCGACGTGCTCGCCTGCGTTTGACAATCAATTGGACTTAATTTCTAACTGCATTACTTGACTTTATAAACTGGAAAAATCTGTTTTGTTAATTTTTTTTTAATTTGCTTAAAAGCGTCAATTCTGACAATGGATCTTTGCAAATTGTTGAATTGTGTAAAAATATATGAGACTAAAAGCTAATTTTTTTTTACTTAATTATAATTTTTGTATAATTTCAGTTTGATAACCTTGTTTTAATAAAAACAAATGATTAAATCCATGTTTTGTCCACTAAAGACACTGAATTTTGGTTTGACTCGATGAAGGAATCTTTTTTGTGGGAAATATATTTTTTTGCCATTCTAATGTAATGAGTTAGGAGAAAAGCTTGGCGTGCTTGATAAAACAAACAAGTGAAATTGATTTCAACCTGCATGACATCTGGAGCATCTTGTTTGCTCTTTTTTTGTCGGCGGCACGAGTCAATAGGCATTCCCGACTAGACGACGATTGTTGGTTAGAAAGCAAAGTGGAAGATTTTAAACGGTTTCTTTTTCTTGTGGTTACAGGGCGGCTGAAGAAGAAGAAGAAGAATGCGGTGCGTGATTTTGGTGGCGGTGCTGGTGTGCGTGCAAAGTGCCATCGGCCAATTGTACTACTGGGCGCACTCGCCGGCCCTCGAGCCACATTACGCTTACGGCGACGTGATCACCTCGTGGGACCCTGGAGTGCAACAAACACAGAGGGTGAGTTTCTAAAATATATAAAATCTCGGAAATATCGTTTGTTTCACTTGCGGCTACACTTCTACGGCCTCAAAGGACCTGTAAATTCGCAAGTTTAGAATTTTTATTATATAATATGTAAAAAAAATTCCATCTTCATATTTTTTTTTTGCAAAACTATGTTCAAAGTGCTATTTTGTAATTTAGATTCTATTTAAATAAAATTAATTATTTGCTCAAAACTTACACCAAAATTAGTTGCTATCAGTAATTTTAAATTATTAAATATAAATTTTTTTCTTTCTACAATTATATTAATGTTATTTCTGGGCATTATAATTGTTATATAAATACATGCAATTAATAATTATTACTAAACAAATAATTAATTAAGTCTTTAAATTCAAAATCTATGAACTGCTTATTACATCTGATTTAATTACATCCTACTACTTTTCAACTGAACAACGATTTTAGTGTGTGATTGAAGTTTAAATAGAATAATAGAAGTTCTTTTTTTTATCGACTTGACATCGTTTCAACTTTTTTAGTTAAATGTGTCGCAAATTTATTTTTAAACAAGCCGGAATTCAACTCTCGAATTAAAATTGGGTCTCATTTAAAGTACTCGTCTTGATTTTAAATTGTGCCTTTTTGCTTGTCCCTGCATATATTTGCAGTTTCGAAACCAGATTAACGAGAGCGGGCAAGAGAAATTTTCATGTAAATTGCAATACGAGCAATTTTGCCGGACGTGGAAATCTCCATGCAGCACGTAGGCACCGAAACCAACTGGTTTTTGACCGGAGAAAAAAGTATTGAATCGGGGATGCACGCCGGTTTTATTTGGAGCAACGCGTGCGTCTCGCGTATGTGAGCCTTGCAATAAAAGACATAAAATACACGCCTGAGGCAAAGGAAAGGGACACAAATTTCAACTATGCGGACGTGCAACATTCGCCACGCACGATTCGATTGACATTCGATTTGTGTTTTTGTATAAAAATTATGTCCACAAAAAAATAATGTAACTTGCACGACTCCTATATATTATAATTTTCAAAAGAAAGTGAAAATTTTAAATTAATTCGTCTGATTTTGTGAAGATAGCTATTAAGTAGGAAATTGCATTTTTGATAATTTTTATCGACAAAGTTTCACCTTCCGCGTGAGTAGATTTAAAAGTTGGACGGAGAGAGATCGGTGATCTATTAGGTTTCTCAAAAGCAGCCAATACAAAATTACCTATTGTGTCACTCACGCGCGCCGAATCCAATCTCGCGTTTATTACCCAAACTTTTTCACATTTGGGCGTGTGTTATATTTTCTCCGGAGCCAAAAGTTTGCTCTTTCTTAACTGCCTCGACAGATGCGAGTCGCGTATATTTTAATGCGTGTGTTCCATAATTACTGGTCTGATTCGCTGGATGTGCTCGAGTGAAAATTATTATCACGTCATTCCGAGTTACGTCGAAAACTGCACACACCACGGAGCATACACACATTTGCTGCCATTTCCGGATGCTATATAATATAAATGCAGAAGAAAGTGCAATTCCAATATTGAATCATGAGTTTAGTCACAATAGTCGCTTCCTTTTCCCCCGCAAGTGTAGGATGTTGCGACGGAATTTTCTATGAGCATAAGGATGATTCATTAGAGGCTTAACACGAAAGATCCGCGTGTGAATTTATGTGTGTCAAACAGAGTTTGTTGACCGTCGCCATGATTCGCGTCTCATAATTCTTGCTGAATTTGAATAAATGTGCGTAAAATTTTACTCAGCTTTTATACAGAATATCGAATTAATTCTGAACCTTCTCCATGTTCTATTTGTAAGTTGCAAAACAAAATTTGGCGATTGGTTAGGTTTGGTTACACCGGGTTAAAACTTTGAATTTGCCCTTTGATATTTAATCAGATGGATTTACATTAAAGCAGCATAATTATCTGATAAAAACCAAACATAAGCCTGGATAGAACACAGATCAGCTTAAACCTAAAACAACTGCATTGAAAGCAAATCTCTAATTGAAATGGAGAGCTGCACATTATTTTTTCTTCTTTTATCCATTTCAAAACAAAGGCCATTAGCGTCACATCCACTTGCAAACTTAATCTCCGAATGCAATTGCGAATGAATGAAAAGCGTTGCGCAACGTGATTGATTGGAACACGAGAGATCGCCTAATGCATTACTTTATAGCACAAATATATTCACGCAGAGGCAGAGAGAGCCGGAGCGTGCAGTGTAGGATTTGATTGTAAACAGCATTGGAGCAGTGGGTCAAAAAACTCCTTGCCGCCGCAACTCGTAAAAGCAGAACCAGAGTGCGGCGGTCGGCCTTTGCCCTTTATGAATTGCTCTCCAGTCTTACGCACTCTCCAACAAAAAGAAATCAGGTTATATTTGTCGCATTGCAAAATTCTTTGCAAGCAATTGAAAATTCAAGCAGGTCTCGCGATTTTTTTTCTTCTCCTACGAAAGAGAAATAAATGTTTGTCGAGCGCAAAAGCCGAATAATCCGATTGAATCGAACGTGCAAATCGCTCGCAGAATTTGTTCTCATGGAAGGGACTAGAATTTGCTGCTGATTTTCGTTCCACTCGAGCGCCGCCTTTCAGTGCATTCAAGATTAATTCTGTCCTATATCGCGGCGACGAGGAAAGAAAGAAAGGCACTAACTGCCACTGGTCAATATCAAGGATTAACATTCACTCTTACTCGTGAATTGGAGAGCGTTCGAATCGGCTCGGTCTCACTTTTCCACAAGAAACTTGAAAGGCAGTCTAAAGATAAAAACTGGATTGATGAATTGCACGACGGAAATCACGCCTCTAATTGTAAACTTCAACTTGATTTTAACACTTTTAAGCGGAAAAAGATTCATTTTGAGAAAAAGAAGATGACAGCTTAACAATTTAAAAGTGAGAAGAAGAAAATGGATATAGATTTATTTTTAATAAAATTATAAATATAACTTTTTTCTGCTGCTAGACCTAATTGAAACAATCAATTTCAAAAGAGAGAGAGAAAACAATGATAAGTAGACAACCACAAATGAACCTTCATGGACCCACAATCGCCAATAACCACATAAAAATATAGGCAAAAAAACACTAGATTTTAAAGGTTACTTTTTCAATAAGCAGTAGTTGTGCAATTTGTTTGTCAACGTGATTTTCACAAGTTTTGGTTGTCAAGTATACATTTTTTTTTGCAACATTAACTGTCTATTGATTTTTTATATTAAATTGCTATGCAAATTTCAGTAGTAAAAAAAAATCATGTTTAACTTCATCTACAAAGAGAGAGAATCTATTTTTAAAATAAATCACATTCGTTGTTTAAAAAATATTATAAAATAGTTATTTTTTATTATATGCGATGATCATAATATTGAATGAAAATAGATTTTTTAGAAGCTCAATCGCTATTCTCTGATTTTGAATTAAAATTAATGAATCTAGGCAATTTTAACATAATTGAACTATTAAATTTAAAATACAATGATTTTTTATAATTCTCTAAATAATTCTAACTGATTCTAAGAATAATCTTAGTTGAACATAAATATCAATAAACGCTACTACTGGTTCAGCATTATTATTGAGGTTAAAAAGCTGTTCTTAACAAAGCGGTATTGGCCACGAAGTAAATTTGCATAATTACCCTGAATTAAAATTTCGCCGTTTTGAGAGAATGAACTTTTTCTCTGCTTTTGTTTTGACTGCTTGGAAAACACAATAATTATGTCGGCGCGCGGAACACACACAGGTGAAGAAAGGCTCTAAAGGTCAAGTACAAAAGGTGAAATTTTTAACCTCTCTCAGTAAGTATTCCTCAGGAAGAGACGCTGATTCACTGTAAACAATTGTAGCTCACCTCATTTATTAATAAAAAAAACATTATCTCTTTTTTAGATTTGAAATTTTTCATACTCGCCGTGCGTTAAGGGGAACACACGCGATAATTGTTTAATTTCGCGGTACTTCGCACGTGTTTTAAGATAGAAAAAGGTGCTTTCTTTCTCGACGCGATGAATCAATTTTGCGGCAAAGCTACGCAGAATAATTCATTCAAGCCTTGGACAAAACCACACACCGATAGACCAATTTTCGCCGCCGCCGTCGAAAGTGAAAGGCGCAGATTAAGTGAGGCATTCGCACGGAATTAATCACGGCGGCGCAGGCTTTTAAAGTAAAAAGTGATTCGTATTTGAGCACTTATTCGATTCTTTTTTTATAAAAATAATCCTCTCTCTCCTTTTAAGGAGAAACGCATATATTTAAATTTTTTGCTTTTAATTTATTCATATACGTATACTTTACAAGAAGCGTCGTGGGTTATTTCCGTTGTTGATCATGGTCCATGAGCACGCGGCGCACCAACTCAAAAGTTGGTTATTCAGGTTGTTTGCGTTCGGAGAGGTGCTTTATGACTTGGATTTCCTCCAACCTCAATTTTTATACCAACAAAGAGCCAGAAAGCAATTTATTCAATGTTATTTTCAGCAGCGCAGAATTTCTTTGCCAAAATACGTTGAGCTTTTAGGTTAATAGAATATTAAATTTATTTTTATTTTTCTTTGGCAAGTTTGCCATATTCTGATAAATTACTTATAAATTATTTTTTTTGCGCAAGAATCACAAAAATATAGAGAAAATAATTTGTTCACTTTTAATTGTTTGTTTTATCCTTTATACTGATATAATTATTTACAAAATCAATAATTTAAGTAATAAATAATTTGTACAAAACAATATTATACCATTATATAAAATTAAAAAATTAATTTAATTTAATATTATAAAATTAAATTATATAATAATACAATTATTAATATTTACACACACAAAAGTAATGACAAAAAAAATTCTCAAGGCACTTCAGAACAATCAGAACATTCCCACATCGATTGTGTTAATCCCAACCACACTTATTTGCGGTCTCCTCTCCAAATCTTTTCATCCGTGCGTGCCGCCAAATTAATTATCCAATCGCATGCAAATTGGCCTGGGAGTCTGCGGATATCTTTCACTGCTTTTCTCTTTCCTTCCTCACACGACCCTGGCAATTAAATTACCAATAATTGGTGATGTCATTAAAGCGAACATAAAATTATTATGCACCACAATAAATCTTAAACGTACTTTCCCGTCGGTGCTGTAAATTGAATAGAAGGGCGCACACAACAATGCCACTCACAATGAAAGTTTAATATTTTGATACACGTTCGCGGTTCACTTAGTCGATTGTGTATCATTTCGTTCGCAGCAGGTTAAATTTCGAGAGTCAATGATCTGCTCAATTCGTCGCATCAATTAAACTGTTTAATTAATATAAAGCTGAAAGCGAGAGTTGAATATTTTTTTCTGCAAAAGGAAAGGCGTATACATGGATGTATAATATATATTATACATTTTTAGCAAAACCACTTTTGCTTTTGGCCGAAACCTGGTCTAGAGAAAGCGCCAGAGAGAGAGAGAGAGAGCAATTTGCATTTCTCGTTGACGAATGGCTTGACGGGGATTTAAATTTGTTAATTAAAACCAATAAGGCGGAATGATGATATGATGAGGTGCGTTTCGCAAAAAAAATTATAAATTGGGTTTCAAGGATTTAACGAGCAAGCAAATATACTCGCTGGCAGAATCGAGAGCGAAAGTTGTTTTCCAGAGCAGTCATTGAATTTTATATTCATTTGCAAAACTCTTCGCCTCACATGGACGATTTCGTGTGCGCGGAAGTGATTTAACACCTGCTGTCCTGCTGCTCTCATCCGAGGAAAGAGATAATCGCAGAAACCGCAGCTCTTTTATTACCAACAAGAAGCATGACTCGGCTATGTTATATTTATGTCAGAAAATTGGAAACCGTGAAGCAAAATAGAGTTATGAGACTCAACGCCGAAAATTGCCACTTATCTCTCTTTGCTCTGAAACAGAGAACTCGTGAGAGATGAATTTTCACGAGAGCTGGTTTTGAACTGGAGTACTGACAGCCGCCAGAGCATTTGCGCAAGCTGGACGCGTCAATTAAAAATTGCTCAAGCATTTCACTTATTAAAAAGTAAATAAATTTTGAAATTCTTCGTGATGCACTTCGGGGGTTTGTTTGGTCATTTTTTTTAGCACGAATTTCTCACATTGGTAAATCTAGACGTGCATGAAGAAAATATATAACATTTTTTGTTTTAGGCGTTTTAGGTTTTATATTCCTCTTTAAATTATTAAAAGATTAAATTTTTTCTAACTAAAATTTCAAATTAAACAATGACGCTTTATATTGGCCTTATTTTTAAAGTTTTATCATAAAAATTAATTTTAGTTCATTTAATTTATCACTTATGTAGTTATACATGTATTTGTTTATAATATTACTCTGGGTTGGTTTTAATACAGAAGCTGTCTAATTAAAAAAGCAAAAAGCCTCCGCAATAAAAAATTTGTTGAATATCAATTTGAATACTTATAATAAATACAAAAATCTTATTTCAGCTACCTCGGCTCGCCATTTCAGACGACACCGAGTTCGCAGCTTCAAGCAGTGATTTTGTGAATAAATCCCCATCGACCGATTCTTCCAGCAGGAGGAAAGCACGTCAACGCTACAATGGCGTCAATCAGGTACGACAAAAAATATCTATCGATTCGAAGCAAGCAAATTAAGAATTGAACTTCCTTTTCAATTGTGGTACTTTTTCTATTGAAAATATCCAGAGACTTGAACGCTCGAATTTCCCTTTCGAATGCTCCAAATACGGAAAAATAAATTTTAGTGAACGACTCACGGTCTCCAAAAGGCAAACCGCATTTTTATAAGGTTTCATCTCAGGGTTTGGCAAAGAGAGCGGAGGCACCCCAAGATGCAGCGGCGGACGGCCTTGCAGCCGTTGAGAGTGAAAAAGCGGCACCGCCCAAGAGACCCAGAAGTCGTACTGCCGGCAGGGCGGAGTCGCCGACTCAGCAGCCTGCTCAACAGGTAAAAAGGAGAGAGATACTATTTTGCCCGACGCAATGTAGAAACCAGAGCGATTATTTATGTGGGAACACCAGGATCTTGTGCAATTTGAAACGAATTCCTCAAATAATTGAGAGGCTTTAATTGCTGCTATGAAAGAGGAGAAATTTCTATTATTCAAATTCAGAGAGTGAAAATAATATTTGTGTTCATCTTGTGGACATTCGGATAAAAAATTGTCAAACAATAAAGGAAAGTTTTGACGGTAAAAGGCAAAAAGCCGGTTTGAGCGGCGTTCATATCACTTCGCGCCAGGGGCAGTAATTCTCACTTGGTTCAATTGTAAAGGACGACTACTTTTCAAATCGCAAAGCTTCTCACTTGTTAGCATTGTAGATTAATATCAGCCAAGGCCAATCGTCTGCACCAAATTACTTTTCAAAAGATGCTGAGAGATGATATTTTTTCATCGCACGCATAAAATAATTATTTTGTCAGTCAGACATTTTACACTATCAACATCCGATAGCTAATCTTTTTAAATTTTCCATTGTTGTCAAACTTTTTTCTTGTGTTCAGTCAGCGTATTGGAAAGGCCTTTCTTCCTCTTTCATCAAATTTCACGTCAATCACTTGATTACATTGTGTGCTCCTTTTCGGGTCACCGACTCCCTTCAAAAGCTAAACGCTCCCAATTAAAACGTGATCGCCTAATTGTTATCTCCTTTTTTTCTCGTTTTGATTTTTATTGTTATTTTGTGGACGAAGGAATTCGAAAAGCGGCGGCACAGATCTCATAAAGTCCGTGGCTCCGTCGGCTACAGCGTTTGATATACTTTCACTTGTGCGCCAAGAGTGTGGGTCACTTCATATATGAAACGCACAAGACAATTTTCCAGCGTTAGCGCCCGATCGTGATGCGGTCAAACTTGGCTGCGCTTTCTCGATGAAAAACGATCCGATGAAGAATTTTTGGTCCGCGTTCGTGACGGCAATGAACTTTGCCAAAAACCTATAAATTTTTACATTTAAACGTAAATATGTATTTTCTACCTGTAAACATATTAATTTTATGCTTTTATAACACACACGGTCAAGAGACGTTAACTTTCTATAAACTTTTAAAAAAATTTACAAGCTCACACCTTACTTTGTATAAAAATGAGCAAGGGAATGAAAAAAACTAGCCGTCAATAGAATTTCTATTAAAATTTTTTTGTTGGTGCGGTGTGTATTATAAAAATAAATAGCAGCCTTGATGAGTTGATGGATTATAACTGACCGCACCCACCACTGACAATCCATATCCTCAAAGTCCCCAGCGTTTTTCTCTTGACCTTGATTGGCCACAATACAGAAAAGTAGGATCTTGTTGGTTTATCAATTACGGAGACTCTATTGTCCTCCGACTTCATTTTTCCATTCACACAAAATTTGACACACTAATTTCGGGTTCACTGACAATCTATTCGTTATCCAATGTGGCGAGTCACCGGATCATTATCGACCTGCATTTCACACGCGCTTTTTAACCAAATGATGAACTCACGTCCGCTCTGGTCCACAAAAAGATGCTGCGTCGTCGCCCAATGAGAAAAGAAAGGACGCCGAGCGGTGCATTATTTTCGGGCACTCTGACCCATTTAATTAAATTCAAACTCTTTTGTAGCGCAAATTACATGGCATTTCTTCTTTCAAGTGAATGAAACGTAACAAAAAGTGGTGCATTGAGATGAAAAGACATTTCTGGTACGCGGATGACTGTGCGAAATTTATTCATAAAGAGTAAAAACGGCGTTTCGGTGGATTTTTTTCCTTGAACGATGACTTTTGAAATATCGTTAGAAAATCTAGATTTTCTCATTCAGGATGCAGAGTCGACGACAGCCAAGAACGGCAGGGGAAGGGGCGGCTTTCGAGGGAAAGCCACCTTCACCACCCCTGACATCCCTGAAAGGAATCGCGGAAGGTCCCTGAGAGGCCCCCAAAATATAGAGGTTATTCCCAAATCTCTATTTTCAGAGAAACTAACAATTATATTATTTGAATGCAAACTAATGCTGAAATCGTGGAAAATTTAGAGGTTTTGGAAAAAAATTACACAGAAATGCAATTATTTTATCTTTAACCTTAACACAATAAATTTAATTTGCAGTCTACATTTTTTAGGTTTTCGGAAGCAGGATTTCAGGACGATTTTTTATGAGTGTGCACGGCATAGTTTCCTTTCCTGTTTCTGCGGTTACGGCATGTTATATGAGCATGCATTTTGATATTTAATAATAATGATGCACGGCAATTAAGCCTCAGTGAATGACACAAAAATCATTATGTCACTTTCAGAGTCCAGCAGCTGTTGGCTCAACGGAAGGCACTTCTGTTATTAAAAGGCGGCCGGTCAACGTCAGGAGGAAACCTTACGGCGGCGACACGCAAAGAAAGCCGTTCCCTTCCAACAGCGAGGCGGATGGAGAAAAGTCATCCACTTCGGAAAAACCGTCCACGGAAAAACCCATCAAGAGACCCTTTTTACCGGTGAGACCTGAAACAAAAAACATAATTATGCACATTTATATTTTCCAAAACCATCACATTGAAAATTCTACAAATTGGTTTTTCATTAATTCCAAATAATTTAGGTTTTAATTTATAAAAAAAACTTTTTTAAAATTTAAATCAATGCAAAATAGTTTTCAAATAATGATTTTCCTGCACAGCCAGAGGAAGTGTCTCTTAAGGAGCAGCATCAAAAACCACCGACGGACGTCAGACCAGTGACCTACAAACCACCCTTGCCTCCCAACAAACCCTCGAATTCCTCCAAACCTGCCCCAAAGCCCACGACTTTCAAACCGTCCTTCGTTCCCAAGGACCTTTTGGTGTCAGAAACCACCACCGCGGCGGCGCACCCCTCGCCCAAATTCACGCACGTCAAATCGGTGACGATTATTTCCACCTCCCCGGAACAAGTTTCCATCAAACCGCACCGGACTTCGGTGGTTCGAACCACCGCCAAACCCTTGCACAAGGCCACCACCGTGGTCAAGGCCATTTCACCCAAGGGCGAGCACAAAAAGGCCATAATCGTTTCGATCGGCACCACCCCCTTGCCCACCCTTAACTCCACGACGGCCCAGCAGATCCGCACATCGCCCAGACTTTCAATAAAAAATTCCGTTCTCGATTTGTCGCCGCCTGCTTCAAGTTCGAAATTCGGTTTGTCCTCCACCCCTTACAACCCTTATTCATCCATCAAAGTCACATCAACCCCCGCGGCGTCCTCCAAAACCCCGACCACCGTTTCCGTCACACCACCTTCCACCACCACCTCGACGACAACCGACAGACTTTTTCCAGCTCACGTTTCGTCACCTAGTAACGATTTGCAGCCACCAAATGAGCAAAAGGTGTTGTAACTTTTGCAGAAATTTTACTTGGAGAGGAGTAGTGGTCGGTCGGAGTATTACAAAAAAACGAGCAGGCCGAGGAATGTGTTTCTTTTGTGAAATGGAAACTATTTCTTTGGCCGTAACGCTTACTAATTATTTCAGAAAGTCACTCAACAAACAGCACCTGGTGTAAAAATTTGTTGAAAAAATGTAGCGTCGAAAATGCTTCTGTAAATGAGCAAAACGCAAAATCTGTTTCTGCATATTCTTGAGAAACGGTTTTAATTTCCAGACGACGGCGGCTAGAAGAAGAAAGCCCAGCGGAGAGGCGAACAAAAATTCAACACCACGCCCAAGAAATTCTGACGAAGACATCAGCGAGTCTGACAATTATCCCGATGAATTCAAACAGAAAATCAAAAGCGGAGGAAAGAAGGTCAGACCTGAACTTTATTCTTTTACAATGAATTATTAGACTTAATAAAAGATATTTTTTTTACTTACTGGGTTTAGAACTCTAAAATTTAGCAAATAAATTTAAAAATTGTGAAAATTACTCTGAATAATTAAAAATAATTTTAATCAAATTCCCGCAGGAAAAAGAAACTCCCTTCATTGTCACGCCTTCAAAGACATACCCTTTGAAAAGTTCAACGACGACGACAACCAAAGCCCCGGCAACAACAACTACCACCACAACGGCCCAGCCAAAAACTCTGCCGCCCGTCGACAAACTGATTGAGGAAGACAATCAGTTGACCACCAAAGTTCGCCGACCCTCCCGACCTTCAGCAACCACCCCCTTCCCAAGAAGGCGGTCACCCACTTTGGCCCCCAGAGTGCCAAGCGAGGGCAAAGACGACGCCGCCATCAAAAGCCGCGCAGAGCTGCTGAAGAAGGGAAACAGGAGGCCGCCGCTCCAATCCGCCTCTCTGATCAACGTAAGCTCCTGGCCGGTATGCAACCTGCTCTCTCTGGAGCAGAGCATGTTGCATACTACCAGGTCGATTTGAAGAGAAAGTTCCACCAGGTGATAAATTTTATTTTTCACAGGAGGGCATTCGCGAGGCAAAAGAAGAGATTGTAAGCACGGCGGCGCCCAGAGTCTATTCGAGACCGAACAGACCCGTGGCAGCAATTGCTCCCGAGCAACAGGTAAAACCAAAATTTGAGATTTTTTTGTATAAATTATATTTTCGTTTAAAGGAGGATACACCGTTGACTCCCTTGGTGCAAAAGTTCAGCTCCAAATACCGCGGCGACCTGAAGGGAATTGTTTCGAATGCGCCTGTTTATGTGCCGACTGTGCCTCCCCTCACAGTCTCATTGGTGAGTCCAAAGCAAAATGCATGGTGTAAAATATATATAAACGTTTAAAAGTACCAAACCACTTCATACAAATTGTAACAAGTAAATCATGCATGCCAAATTTATATCCCACAAAACCATAAGATCTAGGAGTAAGTCATAAAAATATTAATTGTTTTTACAAATACATCTTTTACTATTTTGAGTAGTTAGCTGGGATATATTTAAAAACCTAAATAAATTTTGTACAAAATTGTGAAAAAAAACTAATTGTAAATGGAAAGCGTCTGAGCTTTTAAAATTTGTACAGTCTCATCATGAACATGCATGGCCATATTTACAGCTGTCCGAGACGAACTCAACAAAACAGCGAGGCGCCAAAATCCCCGTCCTCCCTCCCAGGGTGCTGTCCACGCGACAAGCCCCTTCGACCACCACAACCACACCCTTGCCAACCACGACAAGGACCACAACTACAGAAATCCCCACCACGACAAACACCCCTTTGCCCAAAACGCTCCCCTCCAAAGCGAGATCCCAAGAGGCTGTGACAGAAAAATCTAAGGGATCCACCCCTATAATCAAACCCCCTACAACTCCCAAACCACCCACAACTACAACAACACTCGCCCCTAAGATAATCACCACCACACAAACCCCTGTGATAACCACGACTCAAAAACTCACAACCCAAAAACAAAACGATCTCATCCAAACGCAGAAACCGCAAGTCGCCACCATCATCACAAGTTCAGGTCTGCGGTCCAGCACTGCGAGGACAACTCTTATGGACCACACCATCCCCAGGCTTGAAAGCATTTTCGACTTTTCCAACGATCTGAGAAGCCAGCGAGCGCTCGGTTTAGTGACTGAAAAACCAATTTCAACTGAGCCACCCTCAAGCACCCAGAAGAGTTCCCCAGTCCTTTACACAGAGTCCTACTCGAAGGTGACAACTTCTGGCATTCCAGCCACCACAACCCCGATCCCTTCTGTGGTTTTGGCCACTAGCAGCTCCCAGGAGGAAATGACTCCACCTCCGAGGTTCGCGGTCCGAATTCCGATTTTGCCCTTCGGAACCCAAAGTAGCACCCCAGTGTCTGTCAGTTCAACCTTCCCGAATCACTTCAGCGCCAGGAGAGAGAAGACCTTGTTTGATGAAACGACTTCCTCGTCAACTTCAACTACCACCTCTCAGAAACCACAAACAACTTCAACTACCACATCTGCAAAACCAATATCCACTTCAACCACAACTTTTACACCACCTACAACCCTCTCAAGTTCGAATACGCATTCCAGGTCATCGACCACAGTTTTGTACTCCCAGCCGTACTCAAGATCAACCACAACTGAGTATCGAGTTCCTGAAACAACCACTGAGGATCAGAAAACCTCTTCAACAAGTCCCAGAACGACGAGTTACGCATCCATATCCCGCTCTTCTTCCACAGCCAATATTGTCCCTGAAGAGGACGACTTCGCTATGACTGAGGCCCGTTCCATAATTCACACGACCACACCTGTAGTTTACTCGACACTGAACTCACTCAAGTATAACCCTACCACACACAAAGTCTTTTCCACTACAGTCAAACTAACACCACACGATAACCTTAACATTGAGGACAATGAAGTTTCTCAGTCCTCCCTTTCCCCTCCACCCGTATTCGTGGCCTCAACCCCAAGAGAGCAATCGGCTCGTGGCTTCCAAGTTACGGTACGCGAAGTTTCATAAAACTTTCAGTCTTAAATTTAATAGTAGATCCATTACTGCACCAAACTTGCACACAATCATACTCTAAAAATATATTATACAAATGTAAAGAAATATGCATGTTGTAAAAAGGTATAAAAAGGATTTTAAAATTTTGAGGGAATTCATTTCTGATTAAGTTATAAAAATAATAACATTAAAAATTTTATAACTTTTAGAGTCCTGCTACCGCGCCTGTTGCCGAGGCCCTGACGTCAACCACGAAGAAGGAGGAGTCACTCCTGGAATTTGGTTCCAACTTTGACTTTCCCGTATGTTAATATTTCAGCGCATGAAAATGAATTTCATTACATTTTGACTTGTGACAAACTTACAGACTGAAACAAGTACTAAGGGAAGCACTACTGAACGCGCTACTTTCATTTACAAAGTTCCACGTAACAAAGGGGTAAATATTAATAATTAAATCATATTTCATCTGCATGCACATTCATTCATCAGCTACTGCACGTAAATGTTTATGAAGTTTACATTTTGAAAAAGTATCATTTATTTTAATGAACCTTCGTGTGTGCATTTATTTATTCACACTTGTTGCTTTTTTACATTTAATTAATTGAGTATTGGTTGATGTTTGTTGTACGAGATGCTAAAAAAACATATCGCTTTTGTTGCCATAAATTTATGCTAGTTGAAACTTAAAATTGCTTTCTAATGGTAAAGGGTACCAAGAATGGTTCGGGCAAGCTATCGTCAGTTATGGAGGCAGCAGTGGAGTTAGCCAAGTACCGAATTTTAACAACCGACTTGGTTCCATCAACATCAAGTTCCGCTCCTCCGGTAAGACTCACAATCAATAAAAACATTAAATGCGTCATTTTTTGGTGATTGAGCACTTTCTCTTCCACAACTTTTCTTTCTTATTCACACGACATTGCAAATTAAATTTAAATTTAAATGGCACCAAATTTTAACGTTACATATAATTAAATTATCTTAGACCACACCACTAAGCACTGATGCACCAACTAGTAGCACAACAGAATCGTTTAGATGGAAACCTTTAGAAACCACGGAGACAACTTCCGAAAAGGTCAGACTCCAGCTTTGAATGCACTTTTATAAACGATATTTATTCTAATATTATTATTTTTGAAGCCGCTTTTTGTATACTAATTGATGTTTTGTGCTAATAAATGTGTAGGTTGAAGTAGTAACGGCTGAAACTGTGGGGCCTACTGAAGATTTGTTGTTCGATTTAATAAACGCCCAGGTACACACTGGCGGATTTTTATAAGATGCGCAAATTTAACTTCGTTTTACTTTGTTCTAAAGAAATCTACAACTTCATCGACGACGACCACGACAACAACAACAACAACCACGTCTACAACAACAACTACAACTCCCAGAGCGCCAATTTCCACTACTGAGTTTGAGGGTCTTGATTTGGCCAGCTTATTCAAATCGACTACAAAGGTATGAAATTCTTAAAAAGTGGATAAAAAAAAGTATAAAAAATCAATTTTGTATTTAAATTTATAGACGAACATCAGACCAACAGTGTCTTCCATAGAGGTATTCTGGAAAGAAAACTCCAATTAAAGGAACTAAATTTTATAATTAATTTTTTCAGACCTCCAACAGCGGAAGAAAAGTGCCAAATAATGTTGTGCCCATTATAAACGAGAACAACCACGTACGATTTTTACAAAAATCTTAATGATGATCAGAATTAGAAATAATTTTAACTCAGGTGGAGCAGCCAACTCGCCGCCCAAGCAGAACGCGTCAAACCACCGAACCGACAACGACGACAACAACAACAAGCACCTCTACGACAACAACTACTGAAGCTCCCTCAACCAAAAAGACGAAGGTGTGGGTTGTCCCCAAGGACGCTGGAGAATCAACTTCAGTAAGATTGAATAATTAGAGAATTTTTGTGGTAACTTAAGCATAAATATTAAAACTTGAAGGCTTCAAATAATGAAGAGACGAGTAACAAGGCGGCCATTCCTGGCTTTGGAGGAATCACAGCCAATGATCTTCTATTGCTTGAACTTCTGAGCAAGCGAGGCGGCCAAACTCCGGAAGAAACAAAACCAGCAAATTCCAAAACGGCAGATAAACCTAAAATTGATTTTGCTGGGTTAAATTTGGCGGTAATTTTTTATTCAAAAATTATTTTGTTATGTTAAAATTTAAATTTATAGAAATTGCTGGCAGCCGGTGAAAATGGGGACGCCACCGAATTGGACGCATCCCTCTTTCCCGCTCCCCCCTCAACCACAACGAGACGACCAAGGGTGGTGCCCACCAACCCCCCTGCCCCGGCCTACGCAGCCCCAGCCTACGAAGCTCCGGCTCAAGCTGTGGGCAGTGGGGCCTGGAATGCGGTTCAGGGCAGCGGATCGACCCTGTTTCAGCTACTCAGGGTGATTGGGGGCGCCAGCATTGGCCCCTCTAATTCCGCAGGCCAGGCGCCCGTTGCTGAACCTGACGAGGTTTACCTGGAGCCGGCCACGACCGCTTCAGTGGGTCACGAATTTATAAATTTGAAGAAAAAATGTAAAACTAAAATTGTTTTCAGACAAGAACAAGAGGAAGACAGCAGAACAAACCAACTGCAACCAATGGAAGGAGGCCAGGGTACAGAACTACAACACTAAGCCCATACTTTGCTGAGGAACTTCCTGACTCATTTGATGCTCCGGTAAATAAATAATAAATACAAGTTATTCTTTGTTCTCCATATCAAAAATACCAAAACTTTAAGAAACAATCGAAATAAAAATAAATTTGTTTCAGTAGAAAAAAAATGTTCAATTAATAAGATAATAAATTTTTCTTTCTTATTATTATTAAATGTATTTTATAGATTGACGGTATTTTTATCAGAATATTTTAATTCATATTGTAATTACGTATTGTATTTAATATTTTAATTTAAAAATCAGATAATTTTATTTTAATCAAAATTTCTGATAGCATTTCACATTTCTACTAAGTTTAGTAATTTTTTATAATTCAGTTTTTCTTCTCTTTTTAACATGAACAATTTTCAGCAGGCCCCTCCGCAATCAGCTCTTGTGACTGTGGCCATAAACGTGACTAAAACTGTTGCCAGTCTGATGGCCAGAGTGTTGTCGGTGAGTTAATTATTAATTTGCCTCATGATGAATCTGTTTTGCCAGTAATAAAGAACAAAGGCGCCGATCCAATTAATCGCCTTCTGACGCAAAGTGCTATCTTATGTGGTGTGTAATATTGAGGCAAATATTTGTTTATATTCGCAGGGTGCCGCTCGGACGTTTGGTGCCGCCGTGAGGGGTGCGTCCACCGCCATCCAAGAGCAGTGGCAGCAGCCCAGCAGTTAAGCGAGCCGCCCCTTATTTATTGACTTTCTTTCTTCCGGCCAAACCAAGTGTGACATTGTATCAGTTGCCAACACTGACTTAAAAAAAACTTGATATTATTCTATTAGTTGACAAATAATACCGCATTGGGTGAAAGGAATTTTAAAAAGCAGAGCTTTTATTTATATTATGACATCATTCATCATGCACTTATTCATTTCTCACACATGCTGTTTGTCCGGCGACAAAACTCTCATCCTCATCACATGTAATTAGTTTTTAGGACTTTTATTGTGACATAATAGATTTGTAAGATTGAATTAAAATACTGGAGTATTTTTGAATCGAATGTGATTTGTGCGAATGTTGTCTAGTCTGACGATTAAGCTGCAAAGCTTTTGATGTGCGAATCTGTGTACAATAAAAAGAGAGATGAAGCATAATATTTCTTTAAAAAATATTGATTTTTAATTTAAACACCTATTTAAAATTTTCATTATAATAAAAAGCACGCTCATAGTGGGTCGTTTTGATCATTCATGCCAATAAAACAGATTTGTGGAAATAGTGTAAAAAAGTTTAGTTGAAAAAGCCTCAGAATTTGATTTCTATATGTATGTAGTGTTATTTGTATCACAAATTTTTGTCCCAATATATATTGAAGTAAAAAAATGACATTTTAATCTAAGTTTTGTTCTAAAATTTATCAGGGAGTTTCCACAAGACAAGAAAATATTATTATAATTTTCCTTTTTTATTCATATAATATTGTTTTCACAGAATAGTTTAAATACTTCCAATTTTTAATGAAATTGGAACAAAATATTTATAATGAAGAAACAATAGAAAAATTAAAATTCTAAAAGAAATGTGAATGTGTGAATCCATAAGTCCAAAGAGTGTAAAGATATCTTCAAAATTTTTAATTTTGTTTCCCATGAAACAGTCCAAAAAGTAGTTAAATCCTCAAATATTTTTATTCACAATCATTCAATTTAGTCTGAATAAATTTTGCAGTGAATTGAAACAAAAATCAAGACGATCACACCAGTCTATAATTATGCGAGTTACTGTCTCAATGTATTTCCTATGCATAATCCGCGAGATGCGACTTTGCTATCACTGACCTAGATAATTCTTTGAGATGCTGCCCCCTCGCGCTGGAGATTAAAAGCGACGAGCTGCTCTGGCGCTAGAGCAGAGCGGGCTGCGCTTTCTTGGCAGGGTAACATTTTCACTCTGAGGGTAGGTTTGTTTCTTCCAGTTCCTCTCCGCCCGCGCTCCACGGAAGGCCGAGACGAAAGCGCGAACAAAGCAGGTGAGTCGTTTCGCAACTTTGCCAATCAGCGAGACGCGCTTGTCATTATTAATCCATTTATTTGTCATATCGGAAAACGTGTGTGAGTCGTGGAAAACCTACGAATGCGTGAAATTGCCTCACTCATATATAAGAATAGGCTGATTTTTATTTTCCATTGTTCAAGTAGATTTCTAATTAAAGCCGCTTGGATTGAATTTTAAAGAAAAGCGACTGGCGCACGCAATAAGTCAATCAATAAGGCACATGTGTCGTTGATAATTAAAAGCGTCACTGCCGAGGTCATAAATAAAATCAATGCGGCACTCGATTTGCAACGACAACAAGGACAGTGCTACTTGATGACCTATCCATCCCAGAGAGAGATATTCCACTTTGATAACGGAATGCAGTGGAAAATCTTCAAACAGGGAAATCCTCTTATTTGTTGATACAAAATTAAACGCACATGGTTGTGGCGTTTTTCGATACAAGCGCGATGAGCAAAATATCATTTTTTTTCTTTTAGAAAGCTTAAAAATTTTAACCCATCAGATTTCTTGTGGATTTCCTCTTTTTCACAAACTTTTGACTTACGAGTGATTTTTTATCTCGTTATATCTCTCGAGTGTTGTTTTTGATAGGCAATTAAAAGGGTCAGGCAGCCTTGAAATAATTTGAATAATCCGAATCACTTGAAACGCCACTTTTAATCCGTTCGTCGTTTGAATTGCAACAACTCGTCTTATTTTGTTGTCGCTGCAGCTGACACACAACTTGATTTGAATTATTTATAAACTGGGATCTTAGAACGGAAGATACGGTGTGTCACAGTAATGAGAGAGAAACAGAGATGATTGTATCGGTGAGATTTCCTCATTTTTACATCATGACTTTGTTTAAAGCAGAAAATTAATTAATATTTTCACAGATAATGGAAATTATTTGTGATGGATTTAAAAACTATGTTTCAACAATTATTCTTCTTTAAATTTAAAAAAGGTTAAAATCTAGTTATTAAAAATGTATTTTTATTTTTAATCTGCAATTTCAGCAAACCTTTAAAAAAGCCTTCATTGCTGTAAATATTTTTAAATAAACACAAGGCAACTTGACTCTTCCTTCTCAAAGAAATCAAAAGAAATAGGGAATATGCTCGAAAAATCTCTTGTGAACTCCAGAACGAAACTGAATGATCTGGAAAGGTGCTTAGAGTAATTTGACCTGCGGTAATAATTTCACGTCTAATGGTTAGTTTTACGACTATGAGAACACACCGTGCCACTCAATTATACTTTATTTCCCCTCGTGGAGAAAAGAAGGGTGCGCTTCAAAATTCGGAGATAAAAAAAATAAACCCAGACAGAGGCATTATATACGGAAATAGCACGCGCCTGCTACCCTGCTCTCTTTGCGATGGAAATTTCCACTGAATTATTTCCCGCCGAAATCATCTCTAGCTCGAAACGGGGGATGTGAACAGTGGCAACTGCGTGCTCTCGAACGAAGAGAAATTTATTCCAGACCGTGGCGAGAAAAGCTGCTTTGAAAGCTGCAAGACAACAAAACATACATACCCCTCGCAACCTACCCAACACTGACCTGCATTGTGACGGAATTATGGCCCATATTTCACAATGCCTCTGAAGAAGATAGCAAAAAAATTAAACAAAAAGTATTGAAAACTTGCTAGAAAATTTCAGTATTAATAAATAATTTTATAAATTACTTGTAAGTTTCCTCATAAATTTATATTTTATACAAATTTAAAATTTTCTTAAATTTTCCATTTCTATTGTTATTTTAAATTTCAAAGTCGCGCTTCTCTACAACATTCACTTGTTTAAATAAATTGCCTCATTTAATTACCATTTTTTCAAATTTTACTGCAATGAATTCTATTTTAAAATTACATAATTGAATTTTATAATCGTCATTTATTGAAGCAAGTTATTTTAAAAATTAGGAAACCGCAGCCAAAAATCTTAAGTTGGGAATCTAGTGGAAATCTTTTAATTTTTTATGTTTCATATCTTTTATTTTTTATTTTGATACAAACAAAAACTTTCTATCCTAAAGAGGAGTGGGCGCGAAGTTGTTCATTTTGCCCGAGCACTTTGGGTTTTGACCGCAAATGCGACAACATCCCTCTCGGCAGAGTGGAGCTGCTGCGACCAACCCCCAAAAGCTCTTCCGCCCCAGTGAATATTTTGCCATTTGGCTACTTCTTGGAAAGATGCATCGCCTACAGAGTCCTTTATTGTTGCTCTCTCAGAGATTATTTACGAGCGGCGTGAAAAATTCTTTCTCTCCCCACCCGACCGACCGGCAAGGTAAATAATAAGGGGTGTCTGTCTGTCTGTTGGTCTCCCAAGGAATTATACAAGTTCAGCGCCAACAAATGCGCGCCGGCCATAAGAGGTTTATCTTTGTGACCTTTGAATGAGCAGCAGACACCAACAGAAGCTTATTTATTCAGGAAATCATAATTTTCAAATTGTATCCTGAAGCGATGATAATTCTTTAAATTTTTTGAGCATCCAAGAGGGAGAAATTGTAGAAACATTTTTTATCAAAATGATTTTTTATGGCTGATTGTTTCGACTTGTTTGGAAATGAATAAACTAAATTGATTTATTTTTAATTACAGAACTGTAATTTTTTTAATATTAAAGTCTTTTCTCCTTTTTTAACTTGAGAGGACACCTTTAGGATGAAATGAAAGAGTCCTTTTTTTATAAATCTTGATAATTGGCCTAGGCAGATGATCAGATCAGACTTTATAAAAAAGAATATGCAACCAGCTGAGCACGTATGTCACTAAAGTGCATATTATTTGCAATTAAGAATTTAGGCAAATTCTTGACAAGCACGCCGTGCAGGTTGCATTTACCAAACTTGTTGTAAATTTCTTTGAAATAGCTAAAATTAAAACAAATATAACAATCTGAAAACTTCATAATATAAAAGGTCGAAAACGTTTAGAAAACGTAACTGTAAAATTATTTTCGTCAGAATTTTGCCAATGTTAAAATTAGTGTACCCAATGCATTTCTACATTTTTGTTTTTTTAATTCCACATAGAAACAAGCAAAATAATTATAGCTTTTATTGTGAAACAGGAAGATTAATTTTTAGCGTTTCGCGTTGTTATCAGTAACGGAGAACGCCTTGGGACGCCACCGGACGCCTAGGAGCGTCTCAATTACTCCGCTCCTAATTTTGATTTATTAAATATTAGTATCTCAAAAAATACTTTGTTTAATTCCCCACTAATGCTGAAATTTTGACTTCTTTAAAATAACGCGTTCTAAAAAATCAATTGTGTTTGCGCAAAAGTCTGAACGCGCGCATTGGGAATAAGCGTCTCGTGTCAATTTGGTCGATTATGAGAAGATGTCTGTCAATATAAAATAACTCATATTAATATAATTATAAAATGAAGTTAATTTAGATGATAAAAATTACTTTTAAAGCCCCGTTTTTTGAGTTCTTTTCCCTCAAAGTCACTTCATTTCATCTAGCATATTTCCTTTAAAGTAATTCACAATTCAATGTTCTAAGTGGCTCCAAATAATTTTACATCCTATTCAAATCTGCTTATCTTTAATATAAAAAAGTGGAACTGCAATAAATAATTTTGAAAAACTCCTCCTGGATACAAGGGAATTGCCCGATTGTATTTAATTGAATACAATTTTTTCATCAACTTGAATGAAAAAGTGATTTGTCTTCATCAAGTGGACTGTTTTCGCGCGAGTAAGACTGCAAAGGCCAAGAAACCGCCCTTCGAGTTGAACACAATTTTGCTGATTAGTTTGTTTTCTCGCCCGGTCACCGCCACGTGCTCTCTGAATATGCAAGGGGGTAACGATCCAGGAACAAACACGCGGTGCAAACGTGACAACGCAATCCGCTGGTTTGACCCCAATAATAATTTCGCCGCTGTGAAATCAAGTGAATGATATTGTCGTCATGTGCAACAAGTTTTATCTTCACTTGCGCGCATGTAAATTTATTTAGGGTTAGCGGCAGCGAGTGACGAACTTTACTCCCCATTATCGCCACGAATTTTTGGTTGGCTGCTGTTAGTTTGGTCAATATTTGTTCGTTTGAGGGCAGTCTTTGTCAATCAGCTGCTCGTGGAAATTGAAACCGTGATTGAAAGCGAAATTCGGATTTGTGTTTGTAGCAGATGTCATCAAAAATTGTCTCCAGAATTTAATTAATTGCTTTTAGCCAAATTAATTAGATTAATTTGTTCCATCCAAACATTTTATTGAAACAAGGAAAACTTCTAAAAATTAATAAATTTTATAAACTAAATTTTATTTTTGGCTTTTTAAGTTCCAATATGAAGTTTGCATTAAAATCTTAAAAATGGAAAATTTGAATCCTATGGGAGCTCAATGCAAACACAATTTCATTGTTGAATTTGGCCTTTTCTTGATCAAATCTACAAAAAAAGTTTCTAAACAGTCCATAAATTTAAAATAAGTCGCAAAATATGCAGTTAAAAAAGAAAACATCTATCGTGATCAAATAAAAAATACAATTGTTGTCTTGCATGAAACACATAACGTAGCATCATCAGAACGACACAATCTAAAAGTCAGAATTATAAAGTGAATTTAAAGCAAAAATCTAGGAGACGTTTTCACCAGTCTAGTATTCCATTGATTGATTCGCAAAACAAGTTTTTGATATTCTCAAAGCAGTCCAGCAACACTCCTCGGTCGCGTGCCAATAAAGTGCGCGAAAAGTCGCCAAGTGAATTAATCGATTCCCTTTCTTTCTCTGTCTTGAGCAACGCCGATAATTATGGCACCGCTTTTTAACCCGCGCCACTTGTTACTCGAGCATTCCAATCTGTGTTGCAGATCGAACGACATGGGCACCAAGTATGTGGCGATTCCACCTGACGGGGGATGGGGGTGGGTCATCGTGGCTGCCTCTTTTTTCTGCAACTTCGTCGTGGACGGCATCATCTTCTCGTTCGGCATGTTCAAGAGCTACATCATCGAGGATTTTGGCGAGACCGAGGCCAGGACGGCCCTCGTCGGATCCCTGCTTTCCGGATTCTACCTCATAGCAGGTTGATTATTCATTTGACTGAGTTAAATGAAATTGAGTAAAATTGATATAATTAATTTATCTCCATAATTGTTTCTAAAAATTAATCTGCAAAAAAAAAAATCATTTTTTTTTCAGGTCCGTTTGTGAGCGCCCTGTCAAATAAATACGGATTCCGCACAGCCACGATTTTGGGCGCAGTTTTAGGCGCCCTTGGTTTTGGAATTTCGTACTTCGCCGGAAGCGTCGTCTATTTGTATTTGTCTTTCGGCATAGTTGGCGGTGAGTAGATTTAAAAGTTTGCATTTGACGGCTAGTTCAGACTAATTAGAATGCTCCATATGTTGACGTTGACAACAAGCACTAATGATGGGTCGCGTCAGTTGACCTCTCACCCAGTGAGCTTGTTTCCCAATTGAGCAAATTATTTCGTTTGCGTTTAGTGCCAAAAATTCATGTTGCGCAAAAACAGTTTGTTTGATAATTTCAACTGGTTTCTTTTTTAATTTAAATCAGGCGTTGGTTTTGGGTTGATTTACGTCCCTGCCGTCATTGCTGTTGGATTTTACTTTGAGAGGTGGAGAGCTCTGGCCACCGGAATTGCGGTCTGTGGCTCAGGAATTGGAACTTTCCTTATGGCGCCGTTGTCAACTTATTTGATTGAAAATTGGGGCTGGAGAGTTGCCCTCTTAGTTCAAGCAGGTTATTTTTTTTAAATAAAAATTTATTTTTAAATTTGAAAAAAAAAATATAAAATTTGTTTCTTTTAAGGTATTATTTTGATTTGTGCCGTGGTTGGTCTTTTGTTCCGCCCACTGGAGCCCACCTTGGTTGAAACCGACGAGGATGAGGACGAGAAGAAGGAAATGAACGACAACCAAATCCCTCTGATGACCAAACGGATGAGCAAAGACTTGGAAATGCCGCGATCCGCCTCCTTTGCCAGCATACCCGAAAACGGAAGGTAATTTCTCAAGTGAAGGTTTTTTTGAACTTTTTCTCAACCCACTTTGCAGGTTATCACTCAAAGAGAAGAGGTTATCAACATACTCTCAGCAGTCTTGCCCGCCACCAGACACCATAAAAAACGGACCGACCGCTTTGAACCATGACGACGATGGTATATTGAAAGCAACTCGAATTAACTTAGGTGAAATTACATTTTGTCTGCAGGCTACTTGGCTGTCCCTGACTTGAACCCTGTGGAGGAGGAGTGCAACGGAGGCGCCATTCTGCACAAAGTATTAAAAACTTCTGTTTGCTCGCGATTTATTTGGGCAGTTTGAAAATTTGAAATTTTACAATTTCAGGATCTGAGCAGGAATAACTCGACCACCCTGATTGCCAAGATGGGTAGTCGGAGGGCGTCGAGGATAAGAACGTCTTCGGAGTGCAGCAACCAGAGTTCAAAGAAACCAGAGGCCAAACCTATGCAGAGGGAAGATATTTATTTCACAGGAAGCATGCAACGATTGCCTCAGTACACCTCACGGGTGAGAGTCTTCAATTTTAATACAGATAAATGAGATACAAAAGTGATTACTTTATTTGATCTTACTTCATGATTTTAATAAATGTTTATTCATAATTTAAGATTAAAAAATGTAGGTCATTTTACTTCTAAACTGTTCTATAAAATTTTAATTATATTTTATAGAATTTCATTTTCAATATAAAAGTTGCTGCCTTTTTAAAGTCACATAATGAATTAAATTTCATACTCATAAATTTTCCATATAAAATGAATATTTAAATTAAAATGATTAAAATTTAACATGATTTCAGACATCTCTGGCTTATCACGCTTCTGTGACTCACCCCGCCCCCACTGAAAACGTTGACGGCTCATTCGAGGAAACTTCAAGCAGCATTTTCGACATGACCCTTCTGACAAGTCCCACTTTCATACTGCTTTGCGTGTCCGGTTTCTTGACCATGATGGGCTTTTTTGTGCCTTTCATGTTCCTGACAGGTCAGATTTAGTTGAAAAAATGTACCATTTTAATGAAGAATATATATTTCAGATCGAGCCAAAGACGGAGGAATGGATCCGTCTTTGGCCGTCTTTTTGATTTCAAGCATCGGCATCACCAATACAATTGGCCGAATCGTTTGCGGACTGATCTCAAGCATGCCAGGAATCAATGCACTTGTGGTCAACAACATCGCCCTTACCATTGGTAATGAGGAATAATTTAAATGACAATAATTAAGCATTTGATTCTAGGCGGAATTGCCACAATTTTCTCTGGAATTTCCAATGACGTCGTTTTCCAATATTCGTACGCCTGCGTTTTTGGCCTGGCCATTGGTAGAAAAAATCAAATAATAATAATTAATAAAATTTCAAAATTAAAATTGATATTTCCAGCTTGCTTTGCATCCCTCCGATCCATCATTCTCGTCGACCTTCTCGGTCTGGAGAAACTGACCAATGCCTTTGGCTTGCTGCTCCTTTTCCAAGGAATTGCTGCCTCGATCGGCGCACCTATTGCTGGCAAGAACCTTCAAAATTTGACTTGCCATCCCTTAATGCTAAAATATATTTATATTGCAGGCGCCTTCAAAGACATGACTGGCAGCTACGACCCCACCTTTTATCTCTCCGGAGGGCTGATCCTTCTCTCGGCCATCATGTGCTACCCCCTGAACCGACTCCATGCCTGGGAACACAGAGTCAAGTCTCCTGTGCCTTGAAAGACGGACGAAAGTTGCAAACCTGCTCAAAGTCACGGAGACACGTGCCTTGGACCAATCCTATCATAAGACTTGGGAAATACATCAATTGTGCCAATCAAACGCTTATTTACCACAATTAACTTTGTACACCACGTAGGTTAAGCAAAAATTATACTTGCAACCACCACTAACTTAAAAAAATATTAAAATAAGTAATAATGCGTGCTTTTGTGTGATTTTGCATTATTGTCGTGTCCACCAATAAAATATTTTTGAATCTTTAATTTTAATCATTTATTGTTAATCTTCCTACCTTGATTTATTCTGCAGTCTTGATATTATCCTCGATGCTGCTGTCTGCTCTTTTTGCAGATTCCTTCGAAGGGGCAATGGTGAACTTCAAGTTGCCACCTTTGAACCTTTTCTGCAGGAATCTCGCACCCGTACTGGCCAAGCCCTTTACGAAAGTTTGGAAGACTTTTTCCTAGAATTAAAAAATAACTTATCTTGTCATGAAACATGAAAACAAAATATTACAGTCCCATCCTCGTCTCCTGTTATTGTGACCCGAGTCTCTGCTTGCTTTTCAGTCCATTTGATTGCTTGCTTGATTTTCGATTCCAAATCATGAAAACCAATTTTTGCATTCATCGCCATCTGAAAAATAATGAGTTTTTAATTTGTCAGGTCAGAAACAAATTTTTTTGTTTATATAATAAGTATGTAGTATAAAATAAAAAGAAATGAACCTGCTTTTCTTTATGGTCCAGTTGCTTGTTGATGACTTTGGTTTCCGTGCCATAGGTGTGACTCTGGAAACTGGACCCATGAGACAGCAGTCTGTAGGTAGCCCTGTGGCTCTTGCCGTCGGGGTCGCTGACCTTCTCAAGCTTCAGGTTGCGCCTTTTCGCGATTCTCTCCGCCTCTTCCAACAACATGACGTTCATGGTGTTCTTCTCGGGGCCGAGCAAAGTCACTAAAGGTTTCGGCACGGTCTTGGGCCGGGGCTGCTTTTTCAAGTCCTTTCCATCCGTGCAGAAGGAAAGGCATCCGGCGATTTGTACTCCATTCGATCCGGCGAAAACACATCTTCGACGCTGTTCAAGTAAAACACTCGAAAAACTGCGCGTTAAAACGCTTTTGCTGATATTTGCCAACAACACTGGACGTATTCGCGTGAAAATCAACGCCATGTTTGTTTACTAATTTTAATTCCTGGCGCCACCGCTAGGCGAGCACAAAGGCGGTAAAACAGGGTGAAGGGAGAAAAGTATAAATAAGAACCAGTAAGAAATAATTTATAGTCATATTGAGAAAAATTAATTATTGATCTACAACTCCGATAATTTATTAACAGCTGATTTTTTTTAGAATTCTTTTTTATTTCTATTTCGAATTATGTATTTATTATGTGGGTTAATAATTCTTTTCAAAGCCACGAGAATGCGCACCCATCTTCATCTGTGAACGGCTTGATAAGCAAAATAAATAATCAAAGTATAATGCTTGGTATTAACAGCGATCAATTTACAGAATTGGTGAATCACTTGCTTTTTTTACACATAATTAACTTATCTCGAAGCTGGCCAAAAATTTATTATGCTCACGAATTTTACGATTGCACACTTCATTCTTTCTTTTCTTATTCAATGTTAAAGGCGGAGTATGAAAGATTATAAATTGCTTTTGAATCAATATTTAGATTTGTCATGAAAATGGTTCCCTACGCTCTTGTCTTCGGTATAACCCTCTTCGCTGCATCAGTTATTGCTCTCTTTACAATTCAAGGTAAACAGTTTTAAATAAATATTTTTATAAATTAGTAAATTATTGAATCATGTAGATCCATTTATTGATTGGGCGCAGAGCGACTAAAATTGAAAACTTTTCGGCCCAGAAACAGAGCCAAAAATGTTGAAAATTATTAAAATCTTTAGATGAATATGGTAAAATTTTCTTTTTTTCTTGCAGTTCCAGGCTCAAAAGAGATAAAAAAAATTGTTGAAAATGCGCATTACCATTATTCCTTTTTTAAATTATAATTTTGGTGTAGAGTTTTAATCGCAAATTACATTAATCCACTTGTTCGTAACTGATAAAAATGAATAATTAATATATCTTTCTATTATTTACAGCTAAAACTGGTGGCAATGGCTGCTTGTGCCAGGATTACACTTGTGGCTGTTGCGTTCACATGGATGTAGATTTGATCGAATTGAATAGCACACGTAAGTTGTTTTAGTTTTAATGAGGAAATAAACATATACAAATTAATTTGTCTTATTGTTAAGTGTGTTCAAATTTCACCTATTTGCGACACGATTACGGCCTGTCATTTACCATAACATTGAACCAGCACACTCTATTCAACGAAACCGTTTCAGGTACTTTTTATTTAACTTTTTTTTTAAAATTATTTTTGAAGTGAAAATTAAATAATTATATCTATATAGCGAGGAATCCACCGCCCTACTGCGTTGGCCCTCCATTTGTAAAAGAGTATGCTGAAATTTGTGTGCGATTCTATAACCTGAACACAACCAGGCACAGTTTCTATGGCTGCTTAGAGGCAGACGCTAAGCTGAAGCACATTCGAATTGCGCGATACGACATAGGCTGCTTCTCAATTGGACCTAAATTAAAATATGATGACGAGGATAATATTTCGGTTGTGAAGATTTAAAAATGAATGTAAAACTTTTAGCATTTTTCTGTGAAATATATTTTATTAAAATTTTATTAAAGAAAACTGTCCATTTATTAAAAATAAATTAAAATTTCTCGACCAACTTGTCGCACTGTACAATTTTTCTGTCCAAACCCTAATGATCCGGCGTTTTCTCTTAAAATTTTTATTTTTAAAAGAGATGTAAAGAGAGATCAAACTTCATTCAATCGCGGGTTGGTGAAGGCCCGTCCAGCTTTTTGGGAGGGCGCCTCGGACGCCGGAGCCTCGGCTTCTGGCGCCTCAGTGGCGTTCACCTTTCCAACGCCAAAGTCGATTCCGAAAAGGCTGCCGAGGAAAGCGAGGCCCTGTTCGGCTGTCTCATTGACAGCAGCGATCACCTCCTCCTCGGAAGGACCTTCCTCCTCCTCCTCGGCAGATGCAGTTTCGGGATTTGCCTCAACGATACCCTCGGGCCTGGTGTTGTTGGCCGGAGGGTCAAAGATCATGCCCTGTGGCCCAACCCGGAAACAGCCAACGTCATACTCGGCCGTCGCTTCGCCGAGCAACTTCGGCTCCATGTGCACGCAGCCCCTCATGCCCTCCGCCGTCGGGTTCAGGTCAGAGATGCGGGCGCACACCTGAGCCAGGTCGGTCAGCAGGTTCATGCAGGTCGGCTCGGGATTGGGACCTGCAAGATAGAGAGTCGGATCAGAGAGAGGCTGAATGCGTATCTCGTTATTAATGTAACGGTGCCTCGCAGTTAGAGGACTACTTATGAAAAATGAATAAAGTAAAAATCTACAAAAGGAAGATAGTCTCCTACATTTAATTTTTCTGTTATTTATTATTATTATTTAAAAATTTTATTAAAAATCTGATAAAGCTTAAACTTCAGCAGCTTATTAGCACCGGTGTTTTTATTCTGAAAATCAAGAAATTGTGACAAAAATTTTTAAATTAAAAATTTGCGAATTGCACCTCTGTTAAGCAGCAGGGGTTAGGGGTTCATTAGATTTTACCTACTTTCCACATATAGGTATGCGAACCTGACGAGAAGTTCGCTCTGATTACTGAATTTGATTAAAACTTCTGGGCATTAGAATTGACTCTCTGAGTCTCACATCAGTAAGGTATAATTCAGTTAAAATTTATCAAGGGTTATCAATTTATGTTCCAATTTTGAGATTATCCCAATGTATCCACTTTCACATTTTTACGAAAAAAAAAAATTAATTTACTGATACGAGTCACGGGTCTTTAATTTATATACATGATTTTTACCTTTGACGACCTCGCTGTGCAGCAGACTGTCACCGTAGGATACATTCACAGCCATTCCTTCCTCAGGAGAAAGGTATTTGAGACTCACGCAGCCTGCATTAAAAGGGAAAACATAATAAGAATGATGTGAAGCTAAAAAGGAGAGAACGCTAGTAAAAGCGTAAAAAGAAGTTTTTTTCTGCAGCGACTGAAACCAACATGACTAGACACGGTCTAGCAAATAAAATTATAACACGCGCACTTTCTTAATGAAGAAATTCCTCAAATTATATATAAAAAGAAAAGTTTTTTTAAATTTTTAGATGCACCTGAAAAATTTAAATCTCAGAGGAATTTTTACAGTCCATAATTGCACAACCTGAATCTACAAAGGTCCTGTTATATGATCATCAGGCAGGCCATAAAATGAGATTAGTGAATGATATAATGTTATAAGATTCGAATATAAAAAAGAAAGTCCGCGGCGCCCGATTGGATTCCGGGACCAACAAGGGACTAGAAAGAAAGTGTATCAAGGCCGCGCTGGGTCTTCTCTCGATTGCTCTCCCTCCGCAATGAGGATGTGAAAGGGTCATTATCATGTTCTTACCGGGCCCGCCTAGGTCAATGTAGGTGAGATTAAAGTCGGTGCAGCAAACGCAGCCCGGACCGTCGCACACGCAGTTGCTGATCGGGGTGCCAGGGCCTTGCTTGGCGTCTGCTTTGGCTTCATCTTTTGTAAGACCGAGGTCCCAGCTTAACAGCTCTGAAATTGAACCAAAAAAAGGGTGATTTTTATCATAAAAAACAAAGAAACACAAGAAAAATGAGAAATGGGCGCAAATTGCTGTAAATAAAATAAATATATTTTGGTAATATTGGGTAATATAATGAAAGTTCCAATTATTAGCCTATTAAAAAATTAAATTAGAAAAATTTATTGAAAGTTTCAAGCATGAAAATCGTTTGAATTTTATTCTTGGGTAAACATTTCGAAGAGGATAAAGAAAAGCCGTTGTTACTATCTGTAATATGTGCAAAAAAATTATAAATAAATTCAATAGAAAATCTCGTGAATTAAAAAAATCACAGAAAAATAGGAGGGAAAGCAGGGTTCTAAACTTTCTAAAAAATTGCAACAAGTGCCTTAAAACCTTCAATTTCTTCTCCTCGATCAAAATATAATATTTTGAGTTTTCTTGTCCAAATGATTTTTTTTTTTTAATTTCATGCAGGTCAATTACTAGATGATCAAACGTTTTTCCCAGCCTTATTATTGACATATTTACAAATTGTATATAAATTCATATCTAAAATATTTCATCAATGAATTATAAATGAGTAAAAAATTTACTCTAAATTTTAATTAATTAATATTAGAAACTTCAAACGCCGAGTGAAAATTACCGTATTTTGTTAACAACCTGGCAAATGTGAAGCAAATATTTACTTTTGGTTTCAGCAGAAACAGTAAATTAAATACTATTGTCTCTTGAGAGAACATCTCTAACTCATCTCATCTAAATTATATTTCTTTTGCTCAGGTAATTTATAAAAAAGTAAACTAAAGTGGCCGAGCCAATATAATTAATAGCCGGGCTTAACCCAGCAGCGCAGGAGCAAAGTGTGTGTGTATTAATAAAAAATTAACCGTTTTAAATATCCACACACGCATTTATAACTGATGAGTACTAGAACAGTTATACCAGAAAATGATTTTGGACTAGGAAGGTCCCCGGCCGTGGCGGAGAAAGAAGGAATCCCGCTGGGAAAATGTTACGACACACACTCGCGAGCGCTTCTCGATTTTAAAAATTGGTACTCACGGCTGAGGAAGGACTTGGCCGAGGCGGCCGAAACCAAAAGGGCGAGCAGGAGCGCGACTCGCAGGGTGTGCATGCTTGCTCGTCAAATCGCGACAACTGTTGTGTTGCTACCTTCCGTCTGTACGCGCCGGCCGCACTGTAGGACGACACACTTCTCTTCTCTATACCCTTTACCTGTTGACCGAGATTTTAAAAAGCAGGCAGTCACACCCGGCGTTTAATATATATACGGCGCGCCGCGCACAATAAAAGTGGAAGAGAGATTTTCACTTCTTCTCTCCTGCAAGCGAGCATCGCACGCCAATATGATTTACTGTGTCAATTGTTGCGTCCTCTTGTCAAACCCACCGCCATTCATTGTTGCCATTCGAAATAACCTAACTGTCCCTAATAACAGACGTGGTCGCGAAAGTTTCACTGGTATCTTTCGAACATAAAAATAAGGAATTAAAATGTAAACATAATGAAATGAAAAAATCATTTGATATTTGATAATGATGCTACTTTTACTTATTCTCAATTTATTCAAAGTTTTGATGGAATTTAAAACGTTTCTTTTTAAATTGAAGTAATAAAAAGATATAAATTTGTTTTAATGTACTATTTTGCTATTTTTCCATAAAGAGACTAAATTATTTTGAAATCACGTTTCATACTTATCTTATTGTTGGAACCGGTCAGAACCGATTGAAACATAATTTAAAACATTCCAACCATAAAATAAAATAATTAATTTTTACAGAAATAGTTATATGCTTTCATATTTTGGAATACTCCGGCAAAAAAATAATAAAATTGAGCAGATTGCCGAACACTTTGTAAGTTATATAACTTTAGTTCATCAGCTATTTTGAGTCCAAATATTATCAACAATTAAACAAATATTGAATTAAAATAGGATTTGAACAAAAAAGTTAAATAATTTGCAAAGTTTTTGCTCTGCCAATTCGCCGCGATTGAGAGCGAACAAATACATTAGCCCAGTAAAACGCGTGTTTGTCATTCATTCTACTTATTTTCAGTGCTAATGGGTTAAGCACATTTTATATATATTGTCGCGCGTTGCCTGCTCATCGCCGCACGTTCTTATTCCATTTTCCTCCTTCGCGCCGAACGCAGCCGCTGCGAGTTGGGAAAAGAAATGGGAATTCTAAGAATAACGAGAGATGCTAAAAGAAAGTTCACGCCGCGTCTCTAGAGATAAATCATCTTAACGACGTCACGCGACCTTTGCAAGAAGCAAATGATCTGCTGTGTAGGTTTGGTCCCTCGGTGATCGCGCGCGACGCCCTTTGTTTGAATGCTCTACTTTGCAAGTTGCAAGTGGAAATTCGCTCCTCTTGCTTTTTTTAGCACGGCCGCGCCGAGCAATTTCTTAATATTGGAGTTCTGAAAACGACAGCAGCAAGGGCCGAGACCTGCGCCTTACTTCGCGACGATTATCATTGACTTGTTTGAACAAAAACGTGATGTTTGAGGCGGAAGAGAAGAATGGCGAATGGAGAACCGTTAACGGCAATAGGCCACGACAATTAGCATTAAAAATCCTTGTTTAAAAAAAAAAGAAATAAAGCAACGAAAGATAACTATATTGCGAAAGTACACTTTGCTCCATAAATAATATAAATTGTTAAGTCTTACTGTAAATAATAAAAATAGAGAGTTACCTCAATTTTTTTGTTATTTATTAATTCCATTTGTAAAATATCCATGAAATATATATGCTGCGGGTAGTATTTTGCATTTTATTTTGCTATGCTTAAGAAAATAATTATAATCTGATCTTAATATTAGCCGTTTTCCTGAACAAATAATATGAAACTCCATCTATACGTATTTCAATGCACATTCAATTTCATTTTGCAGATACGTAGACATCTTAGAAAATCCAGCAGAGGTAGCCTCTTATAACAGGAAGTTTAATTAATGAGATGCCGGAAATATTAAAATAATTATAATTTATGATTTTTTATGAAAAGAATTTCTGCAATTTTAATTTAATTGTAATGAACATTGTTTAATAAACTTCATTTATGAAACTACTCATTATATCATCACGTTTGTTAATGGCCAGCTAATTAAAACCAGAGATAAATCACCCAGTGAAACTAATTTCAATTACAATGAGCGCAGCCTTCGCATATTTTTGAGCACCCACTCACTATTAAGGAAGCACTTCTTGATCAGAGGGAAGGTTGTCTGCAAAAAAGGCGCATCGGAATGAACCGTAAACCGTGGAACAATGAGAGAGAAAGAGACGTGCACGCGTGAAATCAGGTGCCAACGCACCGGCGGCGAAAGGCCTCGGGCCGGCGCGAGGTCACGGCCACGGCTAGACCTTCCCGAGTGGTCGCGTGCGGTGCACCCAGTGGCCCATTGCGGGGATTTGCATGCCCGAATGCAAGCGGCCGACACATAACGGCGCCGGGTGCGTGATGGAAATTTGCGATCGGATCTGGTGCGAAAGGAATGCACGCGCGTGTGACATAATAAAAGAGAGAAAAAATCTTGAAATTTGGCACCTGCGCGAATGGACCCGCCGCGGGGCCACAACTGCCCAACAATTCTTGGTGGGGCACAATGGTGCGCATCTCACACGCCCTCTGATGACCGAGATTCCTCTGTGGTCCGTAATGATTTTTCCTGCTTACATCAGAACACCCAAAGGAGCCAAACCAAACGGAACATTAGCTCCTCCGTTTTAGTGTGCTGTCGAGGTCTGAACAGGAGAGTCGCTAGGTAACCAAAATTCAGCGTTATTTCTATTCTCAAACCGGTTTTGCAATTTGATTTAAATCGCATCTGATGCTCCCCGTTTTTTTTTCTTTCATTTTTTACTGAAATTATTTTGTTTCAAATGTCACTCATCGACTCACTCGCGGGCAGTATAACAAGTAATTGCTCTGGTCTGGTTTTGGGCAAAGTACAAAAATGCCAAGTCAAATTGAACCAGGTCATCAACCGCGTGTTCAATAATGTAGGCCGTTGTGGGGTTACTCTGCACGCATACCCACACATAGTTTCAGTTCAGCGTTCTTTCTGGCCGGCGCGATCTGAAAATCTGCTTCTTTTTTAGCAAACACTGCCTTAATGGTTGGCACGTCCGGTGCAATGAATGAGGCAACGGAGTCTCCAATAAATGTCAGAACATTTTTTTTAGCAATGATTACCACATTTTAGTTTTACCTTCAGTAAAAAATTATATCCATTATTTTTTTTTTTCTAAATTAAAATATTTTTTATTACTTTTTTCAAACATTTGCTCCCGTAACAAAAAAAAATTGAATTTCACTTTTGTTATAAAATTTAAAAAATTTTCTTTCAATGAAAATAATAATTGACCGAAAAATCAATGTCAACGAGCCGGCCCAGTGTGCTTGACGTGCTTTATTAGGAAACCCCTTCTACTATTATTTTTCACACGCACAAATCTCCGATGACGCAGTATTGGGCAGTCGGAGTAGAGGAAGAACACCGTACAGTCACACTCACCTGCATGCCTTCTTCATTGTGATAATTGAGCAGAGCTTTATTTTTAACAGGCGAGGCTGACAACAGCACCGTGGATCAGCCGTCCACCGTCAGAGCTGCAATCAAACGTCTGTCAACATGAGGCTCCTTCACGCAATCTGCATTTCCTTGTTGCTGGCATTCGCCGCTGCCAGATCAGGTGATTTTTTTTTTTAGTTTACAAAAATGTTAAATTATATATTAAATTTTCTTTTTTTTACAAAACTTCTTATCACTTTGGTTAATAACTAAATAATTCTTAATTTAAAATTTTAATAAAAAATATGTGTTTTTTTATTAATTTTCCAGTAACCCAATCACGGCAAGATGAAACTGCAGCAGAGACTGCAGCCCCCGCAGCTGCTGCTGTTGAAATTTTGTCAACCCTTGCCCCAGTGGCTCCCGCTGCAGCCGTCACTGAAGCCGCTGCTGCAGTCGTCACCGAAGCCGCTGCCGTCGTGACCCAAGCGGCAGAAGAGGCAGTCGCCCCTGTCGAAAACGAAGTTGAAGCCGTGGCAAACACCACGGAACAAGAACGATTCTGCAAATGCACCAAACTCGAGTGCAACTGCTGTCGCAACCTCAGGTTGCCTATTTTGCCCATCAGAAGCAAGGGTTAGTTCATAATTTTATTTACATTTTTTTTCATCCCTCTTGAAATTAATCTCTGAAAAATTACATTCAGTTGCGCGCAATTAAGCAATTTATTTCACACTTGCTCAGAGCTGAGAAAAGTTCACAAAAGGACAGCACTCAAAAGTTGTATGGCAATTTTAACGCCAGTTTTTCTCAACGGTACTCGCAGAGGCACCAAAAAACCTGTTCGAGCCGCCTAATTTTCTCATTTTCGACGACTTGGGTGCCGCCATAATAAACATTTTTCTGATGCCGCAAACTGGCGAGATAACGAACGCCTCATTAATTAGTCGCGTCTCTCTCTCTCTTGTGCCCGCAGGTTGCGCCTCACTGAAGTACGAGAAAGGAGATAAATTGTCCCTGTCGATGAAGCTTGGAGATAATGTGGTGCGAACCTTCACAATTGATGGTAAGTGGGTCAATCGGCAAATAATTATTGCCAAATTAATCTTACCGTTACTTTGAAATTGTTCTCATAGTTTTTCATTTCCTTTTCGTGAAACGCCTTTTAAATTTTCAATTAATAATTTTAAGTTTTATTTATTCATATTCAATTAGCCCACTGCAGCAAATTTGGCTCATTTGATTTTTTGTAGTTTTAGCAAATTTCTAACTTGTGCCGTTTTGTTCAACTATTCAATGTTTCCCTACAAAAATGAATTACTTGCAACTTTCAATGTATCAAAAATTGAAATATTTTTTTAAGTATTGGAAACAATAATAAACAAACAATGATAAAAATAATAATAATTTTTATAAAATTCTTGAATTATATTTTAGATAAATAATTAATAAAAGTCGCGATTTTCAGAGAAGAAACCAAGGCGCGCCTGTGTTGACATGCCGGGAGGCTTCAGCCAATTTTGCGGTCGAGTTTACGGAATTTCACGCGAAGCTGATGACTTCAAGGCTTGCCTCGGCCTTGAGCTGAGGGCCCCCCTCGACCTGGAAGCTTCTCTGAGGGTGTCGTGCTTCAAATTCAGCGAGAAAGGTGTAACTTTGGCGCCCGCGCCACCTCTGCCCGCCAGCCCTGATGATGAGGATGATGATGACGACGACGACGATGACGAAGGTATCGGCGGACTCTTCTCCGGCCTCTTTGGAGACGGTGGTGACGATTTGGAGATTGAGTACCGCGACGGCTCCAGCAGCAAACAGTCTGACGCTGCCACCGAAGAGGAGGACGACGATGAGGAGGAAGACGACGAAGCTGAGGAGGCCGACGAGCCTGAAGAGGATGAGGAGGAAGAAGATGAAGACGATGACGACATTGAGATCGAATACGGCGACGATGATGACAATGATGTTGAAGAGGATTCTGAGGAGGGTGGCCTGGGACTGTTTGATTTCATCACCGGACTGTTTGATTCGGACACCGAGGAAGACGAGAGCGAGGCTGCATCTGTGGAGGCCACGTCTGAGGCGACTGCTGCGCCCAGCAAGAAAAAGAAGAAGCAGCCGGCCAAGGACGTCGTGTCCACTCCGGTGAAGGAGGAAGTCCAGACCAAAAAGCCCGTTAAGGTTGAGGCGACCACTACTAAGCCAACCAAAGTGAGTAATTCAGTGACCACCGAGAAGAACCCTACGACAATTCTTTTATCACCCACCTCCTCTGTTCAGGTCACCGTAGAGGCGACGACTAAGCGCTCCGAGAAAGTTCCTGACCCGGTGAAGGCATCATCTGAAGAGGATGATGATGATGATGATGATGAATCAGAAGATGATGACGAAGAAAAGGACGATGATGAGGAGGAGGAGGACGAGAAAGACGAAGATGATGACGATGACGACGAGGATGATGATGATGATGAAGATGAAAAAGACGAGGAAGGAACCACTGAGGAGAGCTTCAGTAGCGAATTCGAGGCCGCCATCAACGAAGTTGTTCAAGAGGTCGGTTTTAATAAAAATTGAAATAATTATGTTTTGATTTATAATTGGAATTTCCAGGTTGAAAGCATTGGTGAAATTGAAGTTGCTGACCTTGATGACGACAAGAAGAAGGTCACCACCGTGAAGCCTGCAGTCACCCCTGCCGCGGCGAAAAACTCAACGGTTGCCGAAGATTCCTCTGACATCATTGACGAGGTGGAAAAGCTGGTTGAAGAGGTCGGCGAGGTCAGCATAGATGACGATGACGAAGAAGAGGAAGAAAAAGACACAAAACCCCCTGTGATTGGCGTGGCTATGGATGGAGAACCCAGGGACAAAATTAAGGTCGAGGTCGTCACCACAGCGCCTACTGCGTCCGTGGTGGTCAGACGTAGAAACTCGAGGGGAAAGGGTTTGTAACCCTGCTCTTAGACTAGGCTTAGTAAATTATTCTAATTTATTTATTTAACTTATTTATTTCCCATACGCAATCATTGGCTTTTAATTAAACCGAAAAACACCGCATTTGCTCAATGTAAATATATTTATAAGCTTTATAACAATTAAAAACAAAATCAAGAAATAAAATTAGTAAATCTTCTACGTAAAGAAAGAATAAAGCTCTCCACTCATCACGCAATAATAGACTGAGGTTTTTCGCCTGTTAATGCTTTATTGCCCACTTTACCATGTCAGCAGTAAATTTAAACTGTCTTCTTGTTTATTGAGAATTCCAAGGCCGGGCAATGAATAAAGAAATTCTCACTAAATTACCAAATCACGAGGTGTCATCATGTCACGCGATACTCTATATTGCCATAATAATAATAATAAACTTAATTTTTAAGACTATTTCACATGTTACTCTTATTTCTCACTCAATCCTGTCATCCTGAGTACGCACTTTGCCAAGTGTGCTACGAACCATAGCTCGAAAAAAAAACACGTTGACCCCTTTACCTCTGGGCTCGCTCCATAGCTGCTAACAAGCAATCATTAGTTTTACCCATCGTCCAAGTCGGAGTACATAACGGTACCGCAAAGCCCCACTGACTGATTCAGGCAGCCTCTCTGTCTGCATGCTCAAAACACGCGCTAGATTAGCGGTATAAATGATTTTTTCATATATTTTTACCTCTCTCTGCCCCTGAGAGTGAGATTCCCGAACAGATTTCAAGAAAAAGAAAAAGCGTTTAATTGCCTTTCCAGCCTGTACCGAAAAGGGAGAGGGAAGGTGCATACTAATTAAATATAACTTCCAACCAGTAGCTTGAAAGAACAATCTTGAGCAGTGATATCACGAAAATGTCAGCAGCACCTCCTTAGAGTAAGCATGAGAAATTTCAATTTACGCTTTTTGCTACTTTCTTTCATTTGCGGCTGCCGCGCACATCCTCCCGGATTCACTGTCAATGTGACTTTACCTGCTGAAGGTGAGAGTCTTTCAATATTTCCTGGAATATTTATTTATTTCTTTTTTAAAATTATTTATTCAGCACTTGCTCAACTCGGGGCGGAAAAAAGCGCGATCGGCAGCAACGTCTTGAGAGCGACGCGCGGGCCGTGCACTTGCTTAGACGGGGTTTGCAAATGCTGCACTGGCTTGTCACTTGCATCACTTGGACAAGATGGTTTGAATTAAAACGACGCATAAAACTTGAAAATAAAATATAAAATTTTAGTCTGTGCAAATATGGAGTATGACCCGGATGAATTTCAAATTAGTGTCAGCATGAGCATGAACGACAAGACTTATTTCAAGCGGACAATGTCTGGTAAAGATTTTTTGTCAATCTTTTAAATTAATTTATTATGAACCAAGTTTTGACGTAAAAATAATATTTAGGGAAAAATCCAAGACCGTTTTGCGTGCCGCTGCCTCGGTTGCGCTTCATCACAATGTGTACCAAACTCTCCAACGTTTTCCTGACCGGGCGCAACATTCACGCTTGCATTGACATGGAAGGGAAAATGTTCGACGTGTCAATGTTTTCCGTGTCATTCGACTGCGTCAGGATCGGTGATCAAGGTTTAGCACTGGTCTCGCCTGAAGACGGTGGAGGGTTGCCTAACGTGGAGGCGCCGCAAAAGCCGTCCGTAGACGAAGACTACGACCAATTAGACTACGAGGCAGAAAACCAACACGACGACAAGTAATAATAATTTTAATTCAATAAGAGTTAAAGAGTTACAATTTAACTGTCGCAGGTACGAGCCAACTCCGATTCCGCCAACCAAAAATAAAAAGGGTTCCACCACCAAAGTGAAAAGTTCAACCAGCAGACCAACAACGCCAAAGATTATCAGAATTCAGACGTCAACAGAAAATGGAAAAACTAACAATAATTCTTCAGCCCCTTCAGCCTCTACCCAAGATGTGACTTTCATTAAGATTGAAGAGACGGTGAAAAATTCCAAGAGACAACCACGAGAATAATAATATTTATACAATTCTTTTATTTTTAAATAAAAATATCAATAATATTTTAAAACCAGTCTCTTAAAAATTTCAATGTGAATTTATTGATGATTGAAATTAATTTGGTGAATGTGGCGCCTGAAAAGCACGAGGCGGTAGTTTATGTGCCACTAGGTGAATAATGAATGCAGGGCCAGTCGTGGCCGATTCAAAGGTGAACGCACTTCTTCCACCAACACATTTGGAAATTCTCCTAAAGTGTTGGTCGCGCTTGAAAACTGTATTGGCACACATTTGGTGTGGAGAGAAAAAAAAGATACGCGTCGGATATATTTACTTTGGTACGGTATCCGTTCAGTTGTGAGCGAGATGCTGCGCTCGAGGTTGCGAGCGATCGCCAGCTTAGCGGTGGTTTTTATTCTTTCGGCGCCGAGCGTAGTTTTTTCAGAAGACCAAACAGCGACCGACGATTATGAGGCCACGACGCTAACTGACCAGGATATCACCACCCTTCCACCCGCCGACTTTTTCTACCCTTCGGAGGAAGAGGAAGGCGCCTCTAAGGACGCGAACGGGACTGAACCAACCAGGCCGTGGTACAGTCTTGGCATTTTCCCCTTGCGACAGCGACAACAAAGGTGCCAATGTGAGGGGTACACGTGCGGCTGCTGCGCCGGAATGGCCTTGCAGCGCGTCAACATCAGCCAGCTTGGTGTGATGCGAATTTTTGTAAATTTGAAATTTTAATTTGTGAGGAAATTCCTTTAGGTTGCATGAATTTCACCTACGACCCCGACGAATTCTCCTTGAGCGCCAAGTTTTTGATGAATGAAAGGACACTAATGGAGAGAAGTGTCTCAGGTAGTAAATTTAAATAATTTCAAATTTTTCTTGTTTTTAATAAAATATAATTCATCTTATAATCACCTTTAATAAAATGAAATTTTGTTTTTACACTTGTTGAAATTTTAAAACTGAAGGAAGATAGATACAAAAATTACTAATTATATTATTTTAACTGAATTTAAATTCACTATTTGTTGGAAAAATAATTGTGAATATATTTTATGAAAATTTAAGGATTCGAGTTGAAAATAAAAATTGTGCAATACAAATTTAAGGCAAAAACCCGCCGCCACTGTGCTTCCCAATTCCGAGCGTGTGGTCCTACATCCCGAGATTCGACTTTTGCGCCAAGTTTTCCAACGTTTTCACCCCTGGCCGAAACTTCCACGCGTGTCTCGAGTGGGAAACCAAGATCAACAAAAGACCCATACTTCAAGTGGAATTTGACTGCGTCCGAATGGGTGCGGACGGCTTTGTCTTTTTGAAACCGGAGGCCGGTGGTGGTCTCGGGCCAAGCCAGGTTTCGCCAGGCATAGGTGGAGGCGACATCGACTACACTGGAGGCGGAGGTGGGGCCATTGGGGAGGACTACGACCCTCTGGAGCCAGAAGCGCCAGAAAAGAAGAAAAAACCGGCAAAGAAACCAGCAAAGAAGAAGCCCAATCAAAACTAATTACAAATTAATTTAACTATTTATAAGTTTTTAATGTTTACGGAAATAAAAATTTAAGATGAAAAGTATTTTAACTTTTCCTTTAAAAATTACCTTGGCAAAATTGTGACCCATTTCCACTTTTTTTTTCATTTGACCTGGGCCGCCATTATCAACAACCGGCCGTAAAAGAATGGAAATAATGACCAATAAAAACTCTAAAAAGTAGATAGTGGACTCATTAATGCACTCCATATACGACATCAAAATCAACAGCAGACCTGTGCCATTGTCTCGAAACTCATCAGTATTGCTCAGGGTGTCAAAGGCGCCTCAACGCTAGGGCGTGTGCAAATAAAATTTATATTTTTCTCGCGCCCTCCAATTAAATCGTAAAATAGAGCAAGGTGCGTTGTAAATTAATTTAGTTGTTTTCAAAACAGTTTTGTGATTTTGAAACCTAGCTGGCCTTTGCGATATAAAATTGTCAAGGGTAGATAACGCTGGCTCAGTGTGAGGGTTGCAGCGCCATGAGCAACATGAAAGCGGTCGTCCTCCTATTTTTTTGCGTCGGCACCTCCCTTGCATTGCCCACGGACACAACAGCAGGTAATTATAATTTTTTTTTTTCAAATTCAATCAATGTAAAATTTATTTATCCAGTTGCTCCAAACCCCGTGCCACAGTTTTTAGCTCCAAATCTGGGAAAATGTGAGTGTGTAAAAAATCAATGCGGATGCTGTGCACTCTACAACGTAAAGGAACTTAACTTCAATCAAACTGGTAAAATAACATGATTTTTAAAATTTGAACTATAATAAATCAAGTCAAATTCAGGATGCTTGAATTTCACGTACGTTCCGGCCGACTTTGCAATTCAATTGGATCTGCTTCTATCAAACTCTTCCATTTTCCAGGCAAGGATTTCTGGTGAATTTTATGATAATTTGAAAAGCTGCAAGATGATAAAATTTTATTTTAAGGCAAAAATCCGCCTGCTCTGTGCATCCCTCTGCCGCCTATGCCAATTCTCTCAATTTGCACCCAATTGTCCAGCGTCTACACCGATGACCAGTATCTGTACGCCTGCCTGAATATGCAGCTGCAATTCTCTGGAATAACCCTGGCATCATTTTCCTTTGACTGCGCACGTTTTGGCCAAAACGGAATCACGTTTTTCAAACCACCACCGAGCCCCCCTTCGGTAAACGGGCAGTTTGATTTCAACTTTTCGCTAGCGAATTTGGAGCAAGCCCTCAAACAAGCAAGCAGTAATAGTACGCGATGACCTAGTCTTTGAATCCGCAGCTAAATTTTAGAAACTGTACACGAAATTGTCAAAAACAAAATCTCATTGAGGCAACTAATTTTAGTGAATGAAATTGTTTGTCGATCGTTTCTTACAATATGCACAAACGAGTTTTATTAATTTTGAATTTTGACTAAATCCAGTTTCTGGTTAAAATTAAAAATGCTGTACTCACAGAAAAAACACCCCACTTCACTTTCACACTTTGATGACTGGGAAGTGCTGGTGGCCAGAAAAATCCAGCTCGACGGGAGATTCGCGTTTGTGGCCGCTTCCCAGAAGTTTCAGCACAACAAAATTCGTCTTGCAGATTTTCAGCAGCTCTTGGCCCTGAAGAAATGATTTAATTTCAAAAATTTAATTTGTTGTTAAATCTACCTCAAAGTCCAGAAACGGTAGTCCTTCCAAGAACGACCTAGCTTGGTGGAACAAGTCAGCGCCAGAGAGGTAATAGTGGATGCTGTTTTGCGACTCCTTGGCGTTTGAAGTCATTTCAATGAATTCTTGGTAGTGCATGATGGGAGGTGTGATAAGACTGGCAAAGGGCGCAAATCGATGTTCGTAGCGCACTCTTTCGTCGTCGAACTCATAATGTGGCATCTGGATTTTGTCCTCCAGCCGCAATCCAACCATAGCCTACACAAATTTACAATGAAATAAAAATCGAACATATTTTACAATAAAGCACCTTATAGTATCCTCCGCACATGTTCAGCAAAACTTGGGCCATAGTTATTTCCCTTCCGTACGGTCGGACCCTATTCTTCCTCTTGGCTTTGCTTTTCTTTGAACTCCTTCCCGAGGCCTTTTCCATTTCCTTGGCTGCCTCCTGCTCCATTATAAAACTGTCTGCTCTTGACAATGACGAGACTAGCCATCCGTACAAAAACTCGTACAAATACCTAGTGGGTAAATGTTAATAATCGTAAGTTTGCTTATTACATCGACTTACCAATAAATGTAATGGTATTCGTGAATACTGTAGAGTTCCAACTCGAAGCCAGACAGCAGGTACATGATCATGACTCGGAGAGCATGGTACAAAATCCAGGTGCCCAGACAGGCTAGATGTGGGCGCGGATTGTCCGATTTCAGAGAGAGGTTGTGCAAAAACGCATCAACTCGTTCAGCCTAAATATTTGTGTTAATCGAGTGGTTTTAATTTTAAAATTTAATTTAGTTTTACTTCATCTTGGAGTCCAGCAAAGTCTTCTAGGAGGTGGGCCAATTTATCTCTTTGCCTAGCACGGTTGTGTCCACTTATTTGAATGAGAGTTCCAAGCGGCCGGACGCAGTGTCCAAAGAATGTGTCGACATACTCTTTGGCCTAAAAATAGCATATATAAAAAGCAATTTAAAATCGGTTCAACTTCAAATAAAACACTAGTTTTTTAATAGTTTGAAAAATTTACCTGTTGATTATTTAACAGAGTTGACTTTGGCATAAGAGCAGGAGGACAGATAAAAGTTTTGGCTGCATCTCTGAGTATGTCAGTGAAATTGTGAGCGCCGAGGACTCTGTTGTAATGCGGCAAGTAGAGAAGTTGCAAAATTGACCTCGAAAGGATGCAAGGACTATTTCTGCTGAAATCGATGAAGAAATCCTAGAAGTTGATAATTGAAAAATAGGGATTTATTTTCATGAGGAGGCAAATACCAATGCTGCATGAAATGAGCTGTAGCTGCTAATCTTTGTGACCATTTTCAGACGTTGGATGAGAGCTTCAAAATACTCCAAAGCCTCATCTCTCGACTTGATTTTTGTGTACCGAGGAAAGGTCGGAGGCAACAACCTTTGGTTCACAAGAGGGTCAAAGCCCATAATTGTCGGCAAATCTAAAAAAAAAAATTTAATTTAAAAAAAAAATCAGATTTAAAAATAAATCCATTATACCTCTATTAGAACTTGTGTTGCTGCTTACTGGGGCAGGTTTGATTCCTCGCTCGACAGTTTTTTGGATGACGACAAGTAATTCAGAGCAGCCCCCTAAATACCTGCCCTGTTCCATTGTCTGCTCTCGTCTTCCCAGGGCAGCCAAGGCCATGTAAAATGTGCGCGTGAATTTGATTCTTGAGTAGAGAGCCAAAGAGTCTTCATGCTGTTGTTAAGAAATACATTAAAATAATTTCAACAATAAAAAAAATACTCCACCCACCTGGGATATAAGTTCCGCATTTTTAGGTTCGTGTTCCAAGATCCGTGCCTTTGAAGCTTTCATCTTTTTGCTCAGTTCGTCCTCCACTTCCCTCAACATACCCAAAGCTCTGGTTTCCGTAATGTCAGGTACCAAACGGAAACCATAAGTGACTAGCTGGAAGTCTTCTTCTTCAAAAACCAATGCCCTGCTTACACAATTGGCTTATAGTTTAAATTTTTCCACGGACGATAATCTTTTTACTTAGTGATGAAGTCTCTGATCGAATCAACAATTTTAAGGATGGCAATGCTGAAGGCCTTCATGGGCCTGTCCTCAATTTGGTATGGCTTGTGCAGATAGAGATTCGTGAAGACGGTCTGAGCCAAGGAATGTCCCTCGAGCCAAGAAACCAAGCAGGCCCACGTTGAGTCGATTATTCCAATTTGTTCAGCAGCAGTCAAATCTTTGAGTTTCAAGTTTCCAGACTAGACATTATATGTAATAAAATAAATAAATTAACAGACTTTCAGTAAAAAAATTTTTACCTCAACTGCCTGCTCAAAGCTGAGTGCTTTTTTACTCCCCCTGTTGCAAACCATCCCAGCGTCCATCTTCGGGTCCATCATCTCGATAGCGGACATTGCCTCCAGAAGGCCAAACATTTCATCGTGCAGCAGCTCTCCAAGGTGAAGGTCTGCACCAAAATTTCACGATCACTTCAAAATTTTAAGGAAGAACATACCTTTGACGTTGGTCAAGAATTCATTGGATATATCAATCCATTTGTACGAAACTTCGTTGCTCTCTGCGTTGAGCATGCTGTAAATATTATATGCAAGTCTTAACAATTTAAATTCGAAGAGGAAAGATAGAGAAACGAGGATATGTATTTTAAAATTTACTAGTAGAGTTTATTGAGAAAATTCTACGTCATATAAAGAAAGACAAATATCTGAATGAAAAATAAACAAAAATATTAAGCAAAGACCATCAGCAGACTGTGAACGACAAATTTATTAAATTTACCTGTATCTATTGACAAGCTCGTCCTCGCTCAGCGGTGAGCTGCTCCTCTCGTCGGTTGCAGCCATCGCACACCAATTATATATAAATTCGATAATCCTTTGTTTTTCTATTGTCCAAATGAAATAATTAAATTTTTAGTTAATTCCACTGGTCAAGACTTCTTCGATCAGCGATCAGATGGGCTGATCCCGACAAGTGATTTTTGTGCCACCTGTCGGTAGTAATTGAACTAAATGAATTACGCGCGCATAAAAGTAATGGAAAAGACCATAAAAAGAATTAATTTTTAACTTCTCATCATTCTTACTCCTGGCAGAGGCAGTCCTTTCGGTTTTGTGTTACGCTAAACTCATTTAAAATATATACTATTTGTTATATTATTATATTTGGTTATTTTCCTCTTTCACTTTGCTCCAAAACTCATTATTTTTAAAAGACACATAATAATAACAATAATAACCAAAACAACCTATTGACAATATTGGTATGTATAAATATTTATTTAAAATGATCTTCTAACCAGTTAAAAACAATAATTTGTATAATTATATCTCACGATTAGTAATGACGTAATCAATAATAATTGCACAAATTTTTTTTCTAGTTCATTTTCTGGTAAAGCTAGCAACAATATAAAACTTGATAATATTTCTTAAACAGATTTGTTCAAATAATGCAAATAAACTGACGCTACTTACAAAGAAGAACAATTGTAGCAACATTCATTTTTATATCCTGTGATCACAAATCACAACAATTAAGTATAAAGCCTGACGTGTATACAAGATTCACAGACCTTTTAATTATGTAACTGAACTTGATCTGTCCACATAAGTTGCAAGTTTGTCAGATTGGATTAAAATCGATGAATTAAATTCTGCTGGTCAACTTGCTGAAGGTTGCCAAGTTGATCCCACCACAGCGGCAGAAGGGTGTGAGCAATTAGAGAGAACCAAGGTGTGAGACTGTCTTTGTTCTCATTCAGGAAGTCCAGCAAATCTGAACGTCCGAGAAAATGGGTTTCGGCAACTTCGTTTTGATTAGGAAGTAAGTGCTCCTTCTCCAAACCTCGCAGGATGAGGATGTAGTCGATTTCGTGTTCACCTAGATAAATTATGATTTTAGTTAATGATTATATAAATTTAGTTAACTATGATAATGCCTCACCCCAAACAGGGCCTTTCCTTTGCGTTGATATCTGCGGAGATGGGGCCTGGTAATGGACTTTAGTGAGGAAATGCATTCTTTCAGGCGCGGCCACATCAGCGGGAACACCAAGCTCCAACCCAAGTCTTCTTTGTGCAGCAACTCGTGCTCCTGACTCTCCTTTGATTTCCTGAGGCAAATTCAAGGGGTGGCTGCAGCAAGTGTTGGCCCACAACAAAGGAAACGTCACCTGACACAATTAAAAAAAAGGAAAATAAGTTTTAAAAAAGAAGTTTAAAATTATATTTTCAATCATTATAGAAAATATTACAAAAATAACAACCTTTTTTTATTAAATAATAATAGAAATAACATTAGATTAAATACGGAAATAGTCTTAATATGATAAAAATGATTTTAAGTTTAGTGCTACCTTGAATTGTGACCTTTTCTGCACCAACAGCTGACCCGCAGCATTGAAGGCAAAAACGCTGAAGGCTCGGTGGAGCAGCAAGCTGCCGTCCGAGTTGACTAAATGGCAGGCGCGTTTGCTGGCACTGCCGATGACTTGGTCGTTGTCGTCGACCAAGATGCACTCCTCCTCCATCGATGCCTCCTGCAGAGGATCTTGCACCTGCCAAAGTCAATAGAGTAAAAATGAAATTAATAAATTTGCTTCGTCACACACACCTTGGCGCCAGTCATGGTGAATTGGCTCCGGCCGGGCACCGTCGACACAAATCGAATTCCGAAGGACGATTTCCTGCCGATGACTCGTTGGCCCACGAAGAGCAAGGAGCCCAACGTCTTGCTCATGTCTGCAAACATTTCAAACAGAGAAGAGCGCGTCAGTCAGAGGAGAAGAAAGCTTGGAATCCATGGATTGATTAAAGTAGAAAGTAGTGTGGGACCGTCAACTTCACAGTTCCTGACCACGCCGCGGCATAGCACAGCGTGGTATATTATCAGTGACCTACTTCACTTTTCTCGATGATGCGAGCATGGTCAGGGAAAGTGCATGCCTGGGGACATCCTTTTTTTAATCTATGACTTTTGGCAGAAAAATTTATAATTGAGAAAAATACAAATAAAATTTCGATCATATGAAATTATTACTTTTTAACCACTTAAAATTAAAATTTCCTGATAAAAATCAATTAATTTCTTTTTTTAAACACAGATCTTGTAAAATGGTGTTACAAGTTACGAAAATTTCAATAGTAAGAAGTAAACCAATTTGCATATATTTGATTATTATTTTAAATAAACTTCTATGCCAATTGAACTGCAATAGAACAAAAAATATAACACAATCAAAACATGCCGATTGATGTGGATGGAAGTTTTTAGCAGTTTTGTAATTAAATTTACAAAAAATACACTTTACACAAATTGCCTCCTTTCTACAATCGTTTTTTATGTAGTTACATGGATGTGGTTTTATGGAGAACTGGAGGAGTTTCGAGTCTCAGGAGCCACTTAAATACAAAAATTGTGGCCTTGGAGTTTGACCTCTATGTCGGTGTCCTGCGACTAAAGCTTTTTTGTGCACAAAGGCACTCTCATAAATTTTAAATATGAACTTAACTCAATCTTGTTTAAGAATCTCTTTTTTCAGAACATGCAAATTGTAGAAGAACAGCTAGAGATCTCTAGCCTTTCTTATTCAAATAATTTATTCTCACTGTTTAAGTTTTTTTTTACTTTGACTTTGAAAAAGGTCATACCCTAAAAACAGCCTAAAAGAAATTTCAATAAGTTAAGTTCAACTTTTAATAATTCAATTACATATTAACTGATAAATCTTGGCACTGAATCATTATTTTACATACCTGCAAATTAGATCTGCCAAAGAGATTGACGACTCACAACAGAAATGAAATGGTCAAAGCACCTGAAAGCAGAGAATTTTTCAAAATGTCAAATCAAGTCAAGTTGACTGAAATGTCATAAAAAAAATAATTGCATTGAATAACCCGGAATAACCTTTGAATTAATTGTGTTTTTTAAATGCTAGTAAATACAAACTAGAATTTGATAAAAAAAAAAATAATATTATTTTTATTAATATAATTAATAATGTAAAAACGAGACCTGATTATGTTTAAACAACAAAGCATTTCATAAGGAAAATAAATTATATTTTAATCTTGAAAACAAACTGCCAAAAAGATTTAAAATAAAAATAAGTAATTGATTAAAATTAGGTTATGTTGTATGCATGAAGCTTACAATAAATCAGTGGAATCGCTGCGGCGAGGCTGTTTTACAGCCGCAGAAATCGGAAATGGAGTTAAATGACATGCGGAAATCGAGTGTGTGATGACATAGATCGCTAAAGTCGCTCGGCCGCGTCCTCGTAGGAACTTCTGCAGAAAGTTTCGCGACTTTAATGAAATTGCGACTTTTCCTTGTTTTCGCTGTTGCTCGGAAGGTGACGCCCCCTTCTTGCTAGCATAAACGACCACGCCTCCTCCCTATCAAGTTTGTTGATGTTTTTCGTCTCGCTAGTCGCAACTCGACTCTGAATTTTCGTTTTACTCTAAAAAAAAAAAACTCAAAGCTTGCTTTTTCTTTTCAAAATTTTCTCGCAAAGAAGCAAAGTGGTTTTAATGATTTAGATAGTTTGATTTATAACCAAATCCAATCCGTTCTTAAATTGCAAAAAAATCCACACATAAATACATACCAACAATGGACCTGCCTCGACCACCACCCGGTAAAATGACGACCTTTTCTATTTACCTTTTTTTCAATAAGATGAATAAGATCATGAATTTTCTAATTAATGGAATATTTCAGATCAAGACCTTCGTAACATTATCGACAAACTCGCTCAGTTTGTCGCGAGAAATGGTCACGAATTTGAAAACATGACCAAAAACAAGCAAAAAGACAACCCGAAATTTGCATTTCTCTTTGGGGGAGAATATTTTAATTATTACCAATATAAAGTTACAACAGAGCAAGCAAGTATGTATATTTTTTTTTTCAAATAATTTTTATAACTATAGTTGTTATTATAATATCAAATTTTGCAAAGTTTTGAAGCAAAGAGGAGGAGGCCTTCCGCCTGGAATGAACAAGCCGCCTCCCCTGATGCAGCAGCGGCCGATGCTGCACCACCCTCCGCCCACGCACATGCCCCCAGGGCCAGCTCCTCAGACGCCGTCCTCACCCTGGATGCCACCCATGGGCAACTCAAACTTGATGTCGCAGCCTCCGCCGCAAATGCAGCACCACATGGGCATGCCACCCTCACACCCTCAGGCCCCTCCTATGCTGCCTCCACAGGTGCACGTGGCGCCCCCTCCCTCCATCATGCCCCTTGGGGTCCAACCGCCACCCCACGCAGTTGTACCGCCAGTCGGACCTTCGATCGAGTCCATCGTTGCCCAGCAGCAGAAACTGCAGGAGCAAATTCAGCAGAGCGAACAGAATCTGACCGCCCAACAGCAGGTCACTTTTTTGTCTCCATCCATAATTATAATTATATCCAGTATTTGAGTGGACAGTAATATTTTTTAAAGAAAGAAATTATTTAATTTTTTTTCATTATAAATTGCTGATAAAAATGCATTTAATATTTTATTCATGCATAATAAAAATCAATTATTTAAATTGCTTCAGATGCTTTAAATATAATCTGTAATTTTTTTATTTCAAAATTTTTATTCAACATATAAAGGCAATGGCACAAAGGCAGCAAACACAGGCAGAGGAAGCAATTCGGCAGGCGCAGGAGGAGAAATTGTGCATCATGGCTGAGGAAGTGGGAATTGACTGCTCCGAGTTGAATTCCTTGCTCCAGCCAATAATCAACTCGTGCACCAAAGACGCCATATCTCAGGGGAAAGGATGGATTCTTCACAAATCCCAAGCCAACGTTAGGGCCAATGCGGTCATTGCACTGCAACTCTTGCTCAAGTACTTTTCCTTGCTCATTCCGTCATTGTTATGCAACCCCTTTATTATTATTTTCAGATCAACAGAACCCAATGCACCGTTCAATCAGAAGCTGCACATTATTTACCTCATCAATGATGTCCTTCACCATTGGTAATTTTGTATTTTTCATTTAAATTTTGTAAACATGAGTTTTCCCAGTGTTCGCAAAAATGCTGATGATTTGAGAAAAGACCTGGAAAAGGTTGTAGTGCCAATGTTCTCCAACGCCAGTATGAACGTCAATGAAGAACAGCTAGCTAAGCTCAACAAGGTAGCTTTAATATTAATTTGCTTTAATATATTTTTATTAACTTTTCTTTTATCGTCAGCTTGTTGCTTTATGGGAAAGCAAAAATAATTATTTTGACGTGAGCATCATCGAGCAACTGAAAAACCCGCAGCAATCATTTTCAAACTATCGAGCATCTCTGGTTGCCGAATTTTCTGGCATTCTCAATCCAATCACTGTGCAACTCCAGACGACTTTCGAGGGCTACCGCACTCAACACCAGGCATTTGTCACCCACGCCACTCAGCAAATTCAAGTTTGTCGTGAAACATTCATAAGATGTAAATTTGTAAAGGGCTTTTTTTTAGACTTTAGAGCAGCAAAAAGTTCAACTTGAGCAACAACAGCAAGCGGCCTTGACTGCGAGTCAAATGCCTGTTGCTCCAGAGTGCAGAGGTGAGAAAATTTAACGTAAAAGTTAACAATACTCTTAAATTTAAAGTACTTTAAAAAATTATTTTGAAACAAAATGATAAGAAAGTTATATCTGATAATTCTTTTTGCAGACCCAAGGATGATGAATGTTCCTCCTCAAGACATTATTTTCTCTCAACCACCACCTGGCTATGTGCCCATAAACATTCCCCCTCCAGGGCTCCCAGACCTAAGCAAACCTCCGCCTGGTTTTCCTCCACAAGCCCCTCAACCAGAGCCTTGCCGCCCCGAGGAGCTCCTGCCAAGCGTCCCTTACTTCGAACTTCCAGCCGGCTTGATGGTTTCACTAGTAAAGGTGAGCTACAGAGGTATATTTACGACCGTCACAAAATTATTAAAATACTTTCAAAGTTGGAGGATTCTTCTTACAAGCCACTGGACCCGAATGACATTCGACTGCCTCCGCCTGCACCTCCGAGCGAGAGACTTGTTGCAGCCGTTGAGGCATTTTACAGTCCTCCTAGCCACGAGAGACCACGAGACAGGTAATTGTGAAGTTATTCGACTAATTTGAGTGATTTTAATTTTTTTTAGTGAGGGTTGGGAAAAACTCGGCTTGTACGAGTATTATCGAGCAAAGCTTACAGCTCAAAGGGCAAAAGAAGATGAAATCAGTATGGGAGTTCGTGAAATGTCAAGGTCTCCCAGTCCCATTATTAGAGAGAGGTCAAAGAGTAGGTCGCCCCCCAGAAGGAGATATCAAAGGTGACGCTTCTTTATTTTTGTTATTGCCAAAATAAATGAACAAATCACGCTTAAAATTTCAGTCCTCCTCCAAACAATGGCCAGCAGCCCACTGAGATAAAGAAAGAGCCTCAAGAGCATAGACGAAGAAGTCCCTCATCAACGAGAAGTAGAAGATCAAGGTCGAGGGAAAGGTCTGCCAGTCCAAATCGATCAGGAAGCCGCGAACGCAGCATCACGCCACCGTCATTTTTGTAACCAGTCAAAATTTATGTAATTTTGGTTTATCTAAAATTAATTTTGCAGCGGATCTGCTTATGGAGGATCAAAACAAGACCAAAGTCTAGACGAAAACAACAAAGGCCATCAGCTGCTGAAGAAAATGGGCTGGGGTGGGGCTGGACTCGGCGCTATGGAGCAGGGTATTGAGCAGCCCATTTCGGGAGGAGAGGTGAGATATTTCATTCACCCCTCACTGGATACATGAAAAATCAAATTATTTTTGCAGGTCCGTGACAGGGTAGACCAGTACAAAGGCATTGGTATTAACCTGAACGACCCCTACGAAAACTTCCGCAAATCCAAGGCGCAGTCTTTTATAACAAGGATGAAGGCGCGGGCAGCAGAAGAAAGTACATAAATTGTCATTTTTTTAATTGTATTAAATTGTGTGTATTAAAAATCTCATTAATTTTATTTATGCTTATAATGATTTTGACGATTGAGTATTACAGCTCGGTTAATTGTTGCTAACTGCAGTTGTTTCAAAATTTTCTATTTTTTTAGAATGTAAAATTAGCATTATAAAATGCATTATTCAACTAAATGTTGTTACTCAACGTGAATTAGGCTAAAATAAACGGAGAGATCGCGGGAATTATGCAAAATTTTATTATAAATGTAACAAGCGGGGTATATTTTTAGTCGAACTTTTGTACGTATAAAGGTCATAGGTGTATGTGCTTACAGCAAATTTGTATGTATACATAATTGATAAAAAAAAAATTATCGACGAATGCAGAAGACGACGTGCGACGTGTGTCCCCGAATAGGCTGCAGGCAGGCGCTGCAGCAGTCGCGTTGCGAGCCACGTGACGGTCGGCACATGGAGGCCACCGGGTGACGTCATGTCGCGTGACCCGTCTGTGACGTCACCGTCTCGCGAGGCACGTGTAGCAGGGCGTGCTTGCTTGCGGCTGAGAATGCGTTTGACTTTCAGTCGGTTCGCACCGCGTAGAAATCGCTCGTCGGCGCCTTTCGCTTCTTCTCGCGCTCTAACTAAGAACGAGACCGAAATTTCGCCCGCCGAACCGCGACTGCCCGCGCCTAAATGAGTGCCGACGATCGGCGGCAGTATGGATAGGAACAACTTCTGGCCGGAGCACCCCGTCGCCCCCCGCACCAACAACAACCAGCAACAGCACCCCTCGCTGGCCTCCTCAGCCAACCAGCCCGACAGCCCGGCGCAGGTGAAATTCGAGCCTGGGTGAGTTCCACTTAAATAAGCCAAGTGTTAATCAAATGCACCTACTTAATTTTTTTAATTAGATTAGTTTTTTTCAACACATACTAATTTTCGTTATCTCATCTGGTGCTTGCGAGAGATAATATGAAAAAAAATATTGATGTATATATTATGGTTGAATGTTTTGCAACATACTTGCGCATAGTCGAGTACAGAAGGAAGATCACGTGCCAATATAATAACAAAAATATAAACAACAAAAGTTAGTTCATCTTTTGCATCGTAGTTAAAAACCGGAATTCTCAGAGCAAAAAGTCTTAATTGTCAATTTAAAAATCAAATAACATTATTTTTGCTGCCGTATATTATTAATTGATTTTTTTATTATTATTAAATACCAACCTATAATATAAAGATTATACTATACAAATTTTAAGAAGTAATGGAAAACTTTCAAAAAATTAAAATAATTTTTTTACTCCTGATTTTTATCTAGATTTGACAGGTTTAAAAGCTCTTTCACTTTTAAATTTTCTAGTTTCTCAAAACACTTACTTTTTTTATAAGTAGTTAAGTTTTAAAAACTTTTTAGAAAACAGAATAAATTATAAAAATTTTAGCAGCGGAAGAACATTATTTTTTACCTTTCTGTGCTGTGCAAATTTTGTAAAATATTTACCCTCTGTGCATTTTAAATTTTAATACATAGTTTATTGGTTTTAATTTTAACTTATTTTCGATAAATAGGTGGTATGATATTTTTTTAAACAATATGGCAAAAAACCATGGAATTTTTAAATTCGTAAATTGCATCAGATCACAAAATAATAGAATAATAATATAATATAAAAATCATCACACTTGGCTCGCGTCCCTGATTCGTGAATGAGATTAAATTGAGCCAAATAAAAATGGCAACAGTTCAGAGCTTTGACAGCCAAGATCGCATTCTAAAATGCCTGCGTTAAGTACCAAGTATAATTTTAATGTGAAAATTAAATTACCAAACAAAGATAATTATTCTCAGAAACTCATTTTATTTTACATACAAGTTGAAACAATTAACATATTAATTTTTATATGTTGACGGAAAATACAATTATTAATTAGAAAGTAAAATAAAATTACTAAAAATCGTTAAAATAAATTCTAATAACAGTTCTTATTTTATTTTAAACTGTCAATGAGCAAATAGTTTATTTACTTATTCAGTTTGTCTCAATTTGAATTGCATTTTCGTCGTCGTTTCTCTTTTAATTTTGAATGTTAAAAATTAGATTTTTTTTCTTCTTCATTTTTAATATCTATCTGTGAATAAACCGTGAGCAAATTTGCGAAGTGCGCAAAATTAAAGCGGAGGTCGTCTGGAGGATCGAGCGGAAAATAGCCTCGGCGCGGCGACTGGCTGCTCGGCAAGCAATGGTCATGAACGCATATACGCATACATACTTATAATTACAAGCAGTAGTGAAAAGGGCACGTTCATTGCACGTGGTCGATACACTCAGCGCGCCCATTACGCCAAGTTGCAGCGAGGAAAGAAACACATACAAGAGCAAAGCGAGATTCAACCAGAAAACGCACGTGACAGCACGCGAGATTGCAATAACAGAAAGCTTGAAAGTGCAGCACACACAGCAACATAACCGTTTTTTTCCCTCTAGATGGTGTTTCAAATGAAAAGTGTATCATCATAAAAAATCTTTTTTTAAATTCGACTTGCCTTTTTTAAGCTCAAATTATTATTATTATTATTATTTAATAAAATAACTTTTGACCTCTTTTGAATTTTTTAAGTTTGTAATGAAGTTTATATTGAAAAACAGTCGAATTTGAAAATTAAAATTCTCTGCTATACAGTCTAAAAAAGTGAGAAAAAAGTATATTTTTGTAGCGTTATTGGTAGAAAAGTACATGCATGTTCTTAGTCTCATCCAGTCTCATATCTCACTCATTTGGAATCAAAATTCGCAAACAATCAACTTTGAAGTGTATTAAAAAGAATAAACAAAAAATCTAGTCTTCACATTAAATAATGTGATATTAAAAATCAGCAAAGGAATGACGGATATTCTAAATAAATAAATAAACCGTTTTTAAGAGACGAAAATTTCAAATATTGTTTTGCATTTCACTTGCAGAAAAAACACTGCTTGAATAAGGAATTTAAGTTATAAAATTTCAAATTGGTGATCATATTAAAAACTTATTAAATCTCCAAATATTTAAATTTTATAATCCATCCGTTAAAATAATTTTCTTGGAAACAGTAGTAACTATTTTAAATTGATTTATGACAAAAAATGATTGTGTGAAATCTGAAGAAATAAAATTTGCATTAATTCGTATCAAAAACTTTTTCATGAGTTTCTCCTTGACAGTTTTAGCATTCAATTTATTATACCAAAAAAATAATAAGTTTTTTATGTTTATTATATTTTTAACATAGTAGTTAAATTGATTATAATTGTATTTTTAACCTAAAATATACCCCATTTACAAGATTTATTTCCAATAATAAATCGGTTCATTGAATTGGTTACGGCAGTTATACAAATAGGAGTGAAAAAATTACTTAATTGGAATGAGATTGCGTCTACACTTACAGGGTGGTTTATTTAATCTAACTATCAATATTGTTGTTTTCCTTTACATCATAATTTGTCTTCTTGACCTTTGACCCAAGGTTTCCCGCTAATATAATTAGCGTTTCAGAGACAAATGGATCGAATCGAGGGCGAAAGGATGAGTTATGCACGTGAGAGGGAAAAAGTGCAGCGCAAAGTGCAAAATCGGCTCAAGGTCCCCGAGCTGCAGAAACAGAAACCTCTTGTGCTAATGCGGAAAAACACTCTTTCTAATATTCCAACTCCATACATTTTATTGTCCGCGTACGTGCTGCGCGTCTCCGGAGCAAAATAGAGCCGAGGTTTGCTTTTTTGTTGATGAAACGAGCGGGGCTCGGAGCGGCGCAGCCTCTCTTTCGCCAACTCGGCCGGTGTCACGTTTTACTTTCACGTGATCTCCGCGAGCCGCGCTCCATTTCGACCAGCAAATTCCACTCGTGCTCTTGCGAAATTCTCTTTGTACTCGCAGAATACCCTGCTTTACTGTAAATTTAAATATTTCCTTTTCTCTTTGCTTATTCTGGAGAATTTTGTATTTCATAACTTTTTGATGTTTTAAAATTTTATCGCATTTTGGTGACGTCTGCGCTTCAGAAGTCACGTATGCACCCAAACACTAAAACTTAAAACGCGAATTTCATTATTTTGATTAAATTCATTCAATTATGCTGCCTCTGCATTATATTTTAGTCTTGTGTGCAATGAAAATAAAATTGGATTTTCTTATCAAATGTGGGCTCCAACCTCAATTGATTAAAAATCAATTTTGATTTTTTTTTAAATATTTGGGAGAAATGCGATTCCAACTGTACCTTGAATATTTTTACTCTCATTTGAATAAAAAAAAATATATATCGGCCAGTGAAATTATTTTTTAAATTAATAGAAACGAAACTATCTTTTTATTCAAAATGAAAATTTAATTAAATTAGGAGGTAGATAATTAGATATAATTTTTATATAAAATATTTTTTAACACTCATTCCAAAATTTTTATTTGATCTCCTCAAAAGGTCTTGCAGGATTAATTATAATTTTTAAATTTTCCCCTCCTTAATTTTTTAACATGAATCTAAAAATATGAAATAATATTTTTCATACAATTTGAGTCTAAATCGCTGATCAAAGCTTTTACATTTTCCTTTGAAAGACTGCCTGCCACGATTATATTAAAGTTTTAGATATTTTGAGAGGCGAAAACGCGGCGCGATCACATGACTGTGGATGTTTGGGGCGTCCGTTCGCTCAACAAAACGATAAGCGACAAAATCAACAAGATTCTGCGCTTCGGCCGGTTTGCTTCTTGCGCCGGGTTGAAGCCATTTTAAATTCGCAGAGTCACGTGCTGAGCAAGAAAGAAAGATGATTTTTTGCGACGATTCGCACCCAAGGCAGTTTCGCAGTAATTCTGCCGGTACATGCGATGCCACAATTAAAAAACGCTTGAAAATGAGAATTAACGAGCAGATGTTTGGAACAATACGTGCCGCGGGGATTGCCTAAGTTGCAAAAAAAAACTCTGCTAGTTTGGATGGGTGGGTTATGCTCCGGCCCGAAAGAGAAGAGAGCAACGAGGGGAGTGTGTATTATGTGTTGTGTGCAAAATCAGGACTCGATCACGTGCTGATCCAATGAGACGAACATAATTTTATCTTGAAAGCTAGCCTTGGCTCAAATTAACACTTTTCTATGATTAAAGAGGAAATATTTTCGCCATCAGTGGTGTTGCAAAAATTTAATTATTATTTTGTTTGGTTATATAGCATAAATTTCAGGATAGAAATAATTTTTAGGTTATGAAAAAAAATTGAATTTTGATTTGGAGAGTCGAATTTTATTTGAAACAAACTTATGCCAGCACCAAATTACAATGTTTCTTGTTTTTCTTGTTCCAGAAATTTGAACTTCGCAACCATAGCAGACGACGACGATTTAGGTTTCCAGAAAAAGAAGGCTCTCTCTAGGGTAAATTTATTTGATTTTAAAAGTTCATTTAAGATTAATACTTTTTCATTCAATCAGAATGTTTAATAATTGGCTTTTATTGTGTGCATTTATAAATTTTATGGATTGATTGGACCAAGTCATGCAAAATAAATGAAAATCTAAATTTTATGGATATGAATAATTTTCTAAATAAGTTTTATCTAATTTTTAAACATTATGCCAAAGCTCGGTTACGTCAATTTGAAAACAAGCAGAGTGGTTTAGATGCTTTACATGTGAACAATAAGACTTTTTATATATTTTTTTTAAATAAAACCAATAGAATTTATAGGAAACAAATTTAAATTTCAAATTTTTGCTGACGAGCGTAGAAAAATAATTACTTTGCGTCAACACTATTAATAATGGTGGCACCCGAAAGTTGAATAGTTTTTTTGCGGGCGCGTCCTTTGCAACGTTCGAGGTGGGCTGTGTGAAGCTTTTCCTTTGTAATGGGAATAATCGTGGCATAAGCAAAACGTCGACTCACATGTCTGGCCATGAGCGTCGCATGCCCCCACTTGCTCCGAACGCGATTCACGTGGAAAATCACATTGGCCTCTTCCCACTCGGCAGTCTCATTAATTCTGTAATAATTGTGCTCTGGTATATTATCATACTCTAATTATTCAATAGAACTATTTTATTGCTTATCACCAAATTTATTTTAAAATTATATATTTTCTGCTTTTAATTTCAAATTCGGAGCAAATTTAATTTAGTTGGCTGCGACGGATTGAACCGAAAATCTCTCTCGGCCAAACGGAATTCTTGTTTTCGCAATTGAGAGTTTGCCAAAATTCACTTGCTCACGCCAGACAAATTTGCGTCCAAGGCCACATTGAAGCAGATTGAACTCGTTGGATTTTGCAAATTTCTTATTCGCCCTGATTCTAAAAATAATACACCTTTTGAAAGTTATGGCGCTTGAAAATGTACTGAGTGATGCAAGAACTTAGCACGTGATTCCACCTGTCTCTACAGCTCGGCCAAAAGTTTGACGCAAAATCTGAACTCAGGGACCGGTTCTATTTTTAGATTTCAACTACAGTTTTCTCTCGTCATTTCTTTCCTTTTCATAAAAAAAATGGAGCAATGAGTATCCAAATGTACGCAATGCAGATAAGCAAAATACCCGCGCCGTTCGGAAAAAAAATGTGAGATTTAATCAAGGCGAACGTGATCGTTTTCTACGCAGATATAAATTAGCAAACCGAATTTTGTAAAAATCGGCTGCATGCTCCGTGGACACGTGATCCGATTAACATTTTCGTGTTTACAAGGGCTTACTTTTTGCATAATCGAGTCAAAACGACGAGACAAAAAATATTCAAATCGAGCGGCAGGAACGTCAACATCTTTAGCAAAGAGGTCGTTGAATAAATATAAATAATTTTTGGCGTCCACCGATGTTTTTTGTAGTGCAAACACGTGTCCAAAATTGCGTTATAAAAAACGAATCACGCACACAAAACTTACCATCCGTCCAGTTTCCTCATTTACCATAAATTTGAACAAAAAATGCCTTCAATTATTCAGCGAAAAAGGATTTCTTGAATTATTTTGGAATTTGCATAGCACGAAGTAAAAACAGCAGAAAAACCATGCACGTGTTATACAGACTTTAGGCAAAATAAAAAGTATGGATTTGATTTTGAAAACTTGTAATATTAATGACAACAAAATGTCGTGGAAGTAAAACAATGTGACATTAGCAATTTAAAATGGCTCTGATTTTTCAGAACGATATTGAAGATATTTTTGCTTAAACAAGTTGAAAATATTGGGTCGCATGAACAAAATATAGTTTTTTTTTCAACTGTCATATTGTTGCCCTGTTTAAGTATACATCCCAATTAATTACGCCTGGAATATATTTGTCTTGAAAAAATGTATTTCTAGCCTATGTATTAGATAATAATAAAACTTAATTTCAATCTTCCATGAAATTAATTTTTAAATATTAGATAGGAAATACAAGTTTCAAGTCTCCAGGAAATTTTACTAATTGTATCATATTGTGTAATTATTCAACAACAAAAAATGCCTACGGCTACTAAATTAAATTTATTTTATTTTATCCGCTTGCTACAGCATAAAAAATTATTTGAATAATTGCAGAAGACTTCAGTTTATTTATTTTTTCCCTTAAATTTTCAGATTTTTCTAAATTTTTTATCAGTATGTGGTTAAACAGCAGCTCATTTTTATTGCGTAAATGAAGAGAATTAAATGGTTTGTGAAAAACCAAGCTTATAAAATTTTCAAGAAAAACAAAAATGTCAGTCCAATTATTTTGAAAATTTGCATGCAAGAGACGAAGCAAAAAAAAAAAAGTTTGCTAAAAGCAGTGTCGAAGCAGCTAAACAGACTGGGCCCGATGAGCTCTCTCGCTCCACGTGACTCGGTCCGTGCGTCCGGCGACCGAGCAAAGACCTGAAGGACTTGAGGGAGGGAGGGGAGGGCGAGAGGCTGCCGGTGCGGCGCACGTGACCGCGGCCGCGGTGCAAAAACAGAGCGCGACCCGCGGTGCGCCGATCAACGTGATCGCACGCCTGCCCCTGGCCTGCCCTCGTGCACAACAAGATGTACCCCTCTCGCAGGGAGGGGGAGCGGGGGGCAGTCGCGCGATTCCAAATTGGCAACAACTTTTCGCCGCCGCATCTCTTGGTCTCGATTTATAGCTAAATAAGCGCACGGCGAATCGCGAACGGCACCAGTCGACTCGCGCGTCCCTCCTCGCTCGCTCCCTGCTCGACCATTGTGACGCACAAGGGCACCATTCTGGAGAGGCACCTGCTGCTGGGCCCCAGCGGCGGGCCCGACCAGCCCCAGCAGGTCCTCTCCTTCGCGCGTCCCGCGTTCGTCGCCGCCTTGGCCGCCAAGACCAAGAGGAAGAGACTCTTGAAGGAGGTGAGCGAGAGCCAACAACAGCGCCTAATTCATCAATCGCCTATTTTTAGCTTCGATTTTTGCGTTCTATATTCCTCGGAGTCGCACATGTTGCTTTCGGAAGTGGTCGTGTGCGGCTCGAAATAGAGGATTTTCAATTTTTTTAATCCCGCGTCAGAAAAAGGAGCTTCAAATAAATTTAATTGAATATAAATTTCTCAGCGTCAATCCCATTGCAACTTTTAAGCACACGAGAACCGAGAACATTCATTAAATTTATTTATTCTTCTATCTCACAGTCAGTTGATTTAAAAATTCAAAGCATTTGAAAGTTTGCCTCTAAAAAATCAGATTTATTTGTTTACTTAGTTAGTAATTCCCATCGCAATCCAACTACAACTCTGTTCATTGTCTGCAATTATCGATTCTCGGAAAGTGACTCATTTATGGTTTTTGATAAGAATAAAATTATCAACTCTGCGTGCACGAAGTTGGACAGTTTGTAAACACAATTAAATGAGCTATACATTTGAAGCTCTATTACTTTCAAAAAGTAAAAATGATTGGCAAACTCACGTGATTTCATTAATTGATATAAAATCCAGAACACGCTACCATTTCTAATTAAAATTGTTCAGAGCTAAGTTATTTTGTCTTGCCAAAGTTTTAGGCATTTGTTCTTTTTTCCAATAACTATTTTTTTTTCCTTTTTTTTAAGAAAAATATTCGAATTTGTTTCAGGATCCAATGTCGCACAGAATTATTGAGAAGCGGAGACGCGACCGCATGAACAATTGCCTTGCGGATTTGTCGCGCCTCATCCCCGCCGAGTACCTGAAGAAGGGGCGCGGAAGAGTGGAGAAAACGGAGATAATTGAAATGGCCATCAAGCACATGAAGCACTTGCAAGCGCACGCATGCAACCACATGGGACCTGGTAATCATACGGATGCCCTTTTTGCATGACAACGAAGTTTTGCTATTTTTCCTCAGACTAAGTGACTTTACAAAAAATCAAGTTTTATTTTATAACTGATCTTTTTTCCTATTTAAAGCTTCAAAACAAATTTTAAGTAGTAAAAAGCATAACTGCGTGTATTCACATCAGGTAATTTTAACTTAAAACTGGAGAGGATTACCAATTATTTTTTTAATTTAAAAAAAAAAGAGTAAGAAGGAAATAAGAAAAAAAAAAATAGTAATCTCATTTTAATAAACTTTGAGCTGACAAAACTGAGTTACTTGAGAGCATTTTGCCACCTTTGTTTGCAGATTCGTCAGATCCTGGAGCGCAAGACTCTCAAGCACAAGGTCAAATGGGTGCCGCCGCATCAGCCGTGGAGCACTACCGCCTCGGCTACCAGGAGTGCCTCTCCGAGACAATGCATTTCCTCGTTGAAGTTGAGGGCTACTTTGCCGGCGACTCAATTTGCGTGCAACTGATCAATCACTTGCAGGAGCACTGCGAGAAAATTGTCAAAGGTGCCTTTCACAGAATGACAAAACCGAAATCGACATTGCTTATGCCGAATTTCTCATCTCCTTACGCAGGCGATCGCTTAAACTTCTCCAGACATTTACGGAGTGAAACTTCTTCCAGTAGTTCCCGCGGCTACTCTGGTTACAGCGGCGGACCGAGCTCTACCAGTTCTGGCTCGGACAGCGGCGGCAACGGCCATAGCTCTAGCAGCAAAGAAAACGTTGCTTGCAATTCAGGTATATTAACGTTTTTCTAAGAATTTACATAATGCATTTTTGTGCTTATTATTTTTTTGCACTTTTGACAAATTCATATTTGAAAAGGACTTTAAAAAAAAAACAGAAATAAAATAAAAAATAGGATAATTCCTTTAATTTTCAATGATCATTTTATGATCTCAAGTTTAAATAAGTAAAATAATAAATATCTGAATTTTTATTATGATTTGAAATGTTTAAAATTCAAAATCACAGTTTGTAGCATAATGCTGAATATTTTTTTGATCAAATCTTTAGAGTGGAGAAGACAAGTAGAAGAATCGCCGTCCCTGATTCCAGTGTCAATGACCCCTAACCAGTCCCTGCCACCTCCACCACCCCCACAGTCGGCGTGCTCGGAGCAGGCGGACAGTCCTTCCCCGAACAGTGACGCAGGCAGCGACGCGGCTGCCTCCAACACAAGCAGCCAGCTTCGCGAAATGCTGACCAGCGCCGCGTGCACGCCCCCAAGCGGCCTCCAGAGGCGGTCATCGGAGAACTCGGCCGCGGACGCCAGCGGCCTGTACAAGTTCAAGAACAACATCAAGCAGCGCTTCACGGCCGAGCACCACCATGACGCCGAGTCAAAACGGCGCAGACTGATGGTGTCTGGGGATGGGTCGGAGGCGGCCGCCCCCGCCTCTGTGGTGGTCAAGCTGCGGGACAGCGTAGACTCGCCGCCCCCGACCGCCACAAACCTGACGATCGTCAAGCGGCGGTCGCCCTCCCCTACCCCTGTGGCCACGCCGACGCCCTCCCTTTCCTCCTCCCCTCCAACCTTCGGCGTGCCTGTGTTTGCCCTCCACTCCAAGGGTTCCTTTTACATCCCCCTGACAATTGACAGTGACATGCTGGCGCCCTACATGAAGGCCTTCAGCGAGCACGGCCAGGTGCTGCACCCGGTCACCATCTCAGTCAACTTTTGTGGATTGGCGACCGGGGTTGGCGTGCCTGCTCCTCAGCAGCAGGCAGCCCCCATGGTTCCCTGGAGGGGTGAACACCCCGGTTTTGTGCCCAAGTGGTCCGTGTGTGACCGGGCATGACCTGGAGTCAACTATGTTTCTTATTTTAATTTGACAACTATTGGCTGTGATTTGTGAGTGAACACTTATTGAGCAAATTTTTGCACTTGAGAGGCAGTTACAAACCTCGCGGGCAATTTTTTAATTTTAAAATAATTTTTTTTTAATATTTCTTTTATTACGTTTCTGCAGTATTGGTCAGTGGTAGAGAGGGTTGATTTTTGTATAACGAATGCCACTGATTAAAACACAATTCTACGGAAGGCACATGTGCTTTTTCTTATACATGTTTTAATTTTCTTTGTAACCTTTGTCTTCAGTTGCAGATTTTTATCGTGTATTATATTAAACTCAAAACGTTAAATATAAATTATAGCTCAGCTATAAAAATTGTTTCGCTATGTGCCCTTCACGGGAACATTAAATATTTAACAACAAAAAATGTGTAGGCATAAAAAAATGTATTTTAAGTTTAACATATTTAAAGGACAAAGAGATAGGAAGGAAAAAATAAAAAACGAAATTTTTCTTGCAAATAGAAATTTAATTTTATTGAATTACAATAAAGTACCGGTCATAGTGTCTTTGGCGATTGTGCGCTCCTGCTTTTTCTTCTCGCGCCTCTTTTGCATGGGCACGGCGTTGTTGGCCTTTTCAGCCACCGGCACAGTTGGAGGCGGCACATACGTGTGGAATGAGGCCCTCGTGGCAGAGGTGAAGAACGGGGTCTGATGCAGGTCGACGCTCATCAGCTTGAACTGCCGGTCGGTTAGCATGGTCCACTTGTAGCCCAGGATCTGCGACACCTCGCGTTCTGTGGCCTCGTAGGAGCGACAGGCCGTTGACAGCCACTTGTAAAAAGTGTCGCTCCACTCAGGGCTTCGCGGCCAGTCGCGCCGAAGCACCACAGCGTTGCGCCGCACGTGCAGAAAGCGCAGGTTGAGACCTGTGTACGCCAACAGCAACACTGTTGCCGTAGAAATTCGCTCTCTCACAATCTTCAGGGGAAAAATTATTATTTTTGTATCGAATAATTTTATAATAATTACAATTGTGTGCAAATTTGGGCACTGTCTACACATGAGTAATATGAGAGGGTCGATTCTGTCGTGAAAGGACTTTGACCGATGAAACCTGGGCAGTCCAAGGTGTCCGTATACCTGAAGGTCACCCCTGTACTGGTCAATTGCGGTTAAAATAGAACCAGACGTTGCCTGAATATTTATAGTTTTTATTTAATTATAATATTTGAATGCAATTTAAAATTTTATACTTTGAGATGAGCGGATTTGTAGAGAATCGATCGTACTGGACTGCCTGGTTGCCAGAGGACTTCGCCGTCGCGCACGTTCTCCAGCTGCAGGTGTACGTTCAGTCTCGGGTTGGCCCATCGGCAGGCGCGCCACGACTTCCACGAAAGTGGAGAGAGATTGTCTGTTGTGTATCGGTTTTGAATTATGTGCAGGTGACGCAAGTGCGGGCAATCGCCCAGCAAAATCAGCAGATCCTCCCCAAGGTTTTGAGGACTCAATTTTAACACCTGCAGGCAGGAAATCAATATAAGCTAAATAAATAATGAAAAAAATATATATCTACTCGTAATTTAACAAAAACGCCAGCGTGCAGCATCTGGCAAGGAACTTTGGTCACGTTTATCAAGGTGAGGCTTTCAAGAGTTTCACAGCCGGAGTAGCAAACGTCGTCTAATAATTTGAGCGCTTCAAACCTGAGAGAATAAAAGTTAACTAAAAAATTTCTTTTATTTTTTTCTACCTCTCGAGGAGAAGGTCTGCGAGTTGCAAGTGCCTCAGTGTCCTGCCTAAACTACCCATCAATCTCTTTAGGGATTCAAGCAGCAGCCCACCGGTACCGAAAATGTACTCGTCCTCCTCACGTCCGGTTGGAGCCATGTTGCAAGGAAAGGTGAAGCGGAGCCGAGAGATGCGACTGGCTATACCTTTCTGGCCACCTCGAACATCCACAAGCACCTTATGTGGAAAAAATTTAATTCGTGCATCAAATTTTCATTAATAAAAATCTCTAAATTGCAATTAAGAAAAATAATTTAAGTAAAATAATTATATTATATAGTCGAGTTGTTACATAATTATGGAAAAGTTGTCAAAAATTTTAAAATCTTTAAACCAAAGAGAAGTACTTCTGAATTATTTCTTTATTAATTTAAATTTTTCCCTGAATTTAAGAATTAAATATAATGAAAATTTGCTAGTTATTCATGAATTGAATTTTATGTTGACCTTACCTTTCCAGATCTTAACTGCTCATTGCGTTCTGCATAGTAAGTGAGCATTACAACGAATTCATACAAATTGTGGAAACTGAACATGGGTTCAAAAATGAGCGACTTTATGTTCTTCCCGACAGCGGCAAGGCAGTTTTGAGTGCGCATATGGTCCAAAACATACTATCAAAATACAATAAATAATTATAGTTAAAGATTTTAATTTATGTTGTTACCTGCCAGCCCATGTAGTAATTGAACTTCCGTCGAACTAGGGTCATGTCAGTCATGACAAAATCGGACCAAACTGAAGGCAAATAGAACGCTTCGTACCACCGCCGACACACCCTGGATGCAGCGTAACGATGTCTCATACTCAAGTACGAGAAGATCTGCTCCAAAATCAGGTCTGGCAAATCGGCCCAGTAGCTTTCGACGGGCTTGCTTTTTGGTCGCTGCACCCGGTTTCTCTTTTCCTTCATTTCTATTAATTTCATGGATGTGAAAGAAAACCCAAAAAGCTGTTAAGAAAATAAAAGACGACTTACTCTTCCTCGGAATCGCGCCATTGCTTGGTGCCTGCACTTCCTTACTTTCAATTGAGACCAACTCATTCAGAGACGAACTACTTTGCATTTTTAGTAATAAGAATTTTCCTAAACTCAAGTTTTCTGCCAGCCGCCGAAACCAAAAGCAAAAACAAACCAAACCAACCAGCTGCGAATTTGCTTTCTTGGCAGCAGTCGGCCTTTGAGCTATTTTGGGCTTCTAGCCTCATCTTTTGCTTTCAACTGCAAATTCAAACTCTCGCCGAGTTTGTTTAACCATACATTCTATTTGCTGCTTTTGTGCCGCACTTGCCAATCCTTTTTGAGCCCAGAAATTTCTGCACAACTTTAAATGTTGTAAAGGTTGAAAGGGCATTTAAATTACAAGAGGGGGAAATGCAAATTTCATTAATGCAGTAAATACCCTGATTAAGAAAATGTCAAATGAGCTATTTTGATTGCAAAAAACAGTTTTATTTATTTTCAAATAACTTTATAACGAAAGTGTTTTTGTTGTGTTAATAAAATTTCTTGAATTTATAAAAACTATTATAACAATATTTGGCAAATAAGTTTTTAATCCGCACAAATAATATCAAGACAAATTCGTCATTTGCATTTCAGTTTTTAAAACGGAAAATTTGACAAAAATGATAATTTTTCGTTTGCTTGAAATTTGGTTTAGTATATTAAAATTGGTATTGTGAAAAACTTGATCATGAATCATTAGACGTTTTTACAGATTGAAAAGTGTCAAATTGAATTTTATTGGAGAAGAAGACATACTTAATTAATCAGCTTGTTTCCCATGTTCTATGGCATTTTTCGATGGCTTGACGTCGTCCTTGGAAAAAGTGCCCAAATCTCTTCTCATCGCATAAGCGTCCTCACCGTCAGCATAGTACTTAGGCTCAATTTCGGAAATACTAAGCGCCAAATATAATTTGATCTAATTTTTTTTTAGAAAGTATCTTACGTGAATTTCAAGGTATTTGTATAAAGGTTGAGGGCAGCTCTGTTGCTTTTTCTCACATGAAGAGAAACATATTTGGCGTTGAAGCACTCGACCATGGAGAGAGATGCTTGGTCCATCAACTTTTGGGCGAGACCCAGTCTCCTGCAAGTCAGAATTCAGAAAATGTTTCATATATGTATAGTTTTGAAAAACTAACCTGTGAGACCGCTTGACGGCCAAAGAAGTGATGTGACCATGAGGATCATCTTCACTGTCTTCTTCCATTTTTGCAAGGACGTAGCTATGAATTGCGATTGATTTAATACAAATTTTATTTTTTATTTCGCGTTCCTACCCGACAATTTTCCCATTCTCATCTTCAGCGACGTAACTCAATTGTGGCCACGAAAGCCCGTGGTAAAAGTAATATTTCATTTGGTAATTTTCCGGCAAGCACAGCAAGTTGCAGTGCTGCATATTCATCAGGTCCTCCGGCTTAAAAAGAGAAGAAATTAAATTAAAAATCATACTTTAATCGGATAAAATCAAGTTTCAATTATGGAATGATAATATAATAGATTCAAAATAAACCAACCTTTGCACAACGAATGTTCATTTTTGTCTTTTTATGTGAGGAAAATTTGAAATGTGGTAGAAAGCTCGCGGATTTTACAGCTCAGAATAATTTCGACTCAATGTGAGTAAAATAAATTGCCACGGATTTTTCTTCTAAAACGCAAAAAATCGCAATTTGATTATATTTTTCTTGTTGTGTGTGTTCTCGTGCTGATGCTCTTCCGAAAAGCAAAGCAAAACACCTGGGTGACGATGGAGGCGTGGTCGGCGTGGAGGCCGTGGAGGACTGTCTTTCTTGCAACAGCCGACGAAGGGGTAGGAGGAGAAATTACTTACATTAAGCTAGGCAACGATGGCAACATTTTTCGCGCTGACCTAGGAAACAAGTGCTCGCTTCCAAGGTCCACCCGGATTGCTGGGAAAAGGGGGCGCTGCCTTTTTGTCGCTTGCCATCTTTCAGACGTGTCTCTGCCCTGACCATTGTTGACTTCTAAGGAATTTGCGACTCTTTTTAGCAAATTTTCCAACATTAATGGTGAGGTATTTTGCTATTGGATGCGATATTAATTAAGAACAAACTTTTTTTACCTACATCGGGTGGTATTTGACGACACCGTGCAGCAAATTTGCGGCTTCTTCCTTTTTACCGTGGCTATTTTTTGGAATTCACTTTTATTGACATTGTTAAGATTATTGTCTTGTAATGAGTAAAGAAGCTTTATCTCAGAATCCTCAAAAGCTCTAATTGAGCATCTTTATTTTTACAGGAAACCAGGCGATAGAGTTGGAACAAAGCCGCCGCCTGTGAGAAACACAGCCTCGTGAGATGGACATCGCCAAATCAATATTTGGACCAAAAGTTCCTGACGGCTATGGTGGAAAAGAAGATTACAATGTAAGAAAATGCGGTCTCCCCCTACTTACAATTAGTATCCTAATGAAAATACAATTTTTAAGAACTTTCTTTCTTGTGCAAACTAATTTTTTTTAGTTAAATTTCTCATTGTCTTAAAATTTTTCAATATTCTGGCAGAATTTTTAGGATGTGAATTTAAATTCTTCAATTTAAGTTTTAAGTTGACTTTCATTTAATTTATTATGCGTTTTAATTTCTTTGCATCAGAGATATAAAATAAGATATAATATTATTCATAAAAAATATAAATGTTTTTTCATAAAAAGAATTATATTGTACTCAACCCTGTCATTTTTTGATCGGAGTAATTTTTCAAGTATCAAAACGACCGGCAAGAAGTGCAATCTTGTTTTTTGGCCGTCTGTTTTTCTGGCATTAAAACCGGCGCGCGGTTCGGCAGCAAGTATGAGAGTAGGCAGAAGACCTCATCCTCGATTAATTCTGCAGGAGGCGTGAACGATGAAGACGCGAACGGTGGTGAGCGGCCGCTGCCTGGCCGCCTGCCTGGCCGCCACCCTCTTGGTGGTCCTCCTGCTGGCCCTGAGCCCCCTCTCAGCGCCCGACTGCAACTGCGGCCGCTTCGAGCCCCTCGAGACCCCCCTCTCTTCGGACCGGCTGGCTGTCCTTGTGCCCTTCAGGGACCGTTTTGATGAACTGGTCGAATTTGTGCCACACCTGACCAACTTCCTGCAACACCAGGGCGTCAACCACGAGATCTTTGTGCTGAACCAGGTGGACCAGTTCCGCTTCAACCGCGCCAGCCTCATCAACGCCGGATTCAAAGTTGTCCGCCGCACTTTCGACTACGTTGCCATGCATGATGTCGACCTTTTGCCCTTGAACCCCGAGTTGTCCTACGCTAGACCGGCCGACGGCCGCCCCTTCCACGTAGCCGCCCCCCACCTGCACCCCAGGTACCACTACCCAACCTTCGTCGGTGGAATTCTGCTCATCTCTGTCAAGGACTTTGAGCAGGTCAACGGCATGAGTAACAAGTACTGGGGTTGGGGGTTGGAGGATGACGAGTTCTACGTGCGAATGCGGGACGCCAGGTTTAACGTGACGCGGCCTGGCAACCTGACGACCAACACGAGCAACACCTTCTGGCACAATCACAACACGTCGCGCAGGAAGCGGGACTTCACCAAGTGCTACCACCAGAAGGAGGTGACCCGCCGCAGGGATCGCTACACGGGGTTGAAGGACGTCAAGTACCAGGTGGTGGCGCGCCACCACCTCAAGATCGACAACATCCCCTTCACGCTGCTCAACATCGAGTTGGAGTGCGACAAAGTTCTCACCCCGTGGTGCGAGTGCGAGGAGCCAAAGGAGAAGGCCAAGCCAAAGACTTGAATAAGTGTGCCTTCCCGTAGAAAGTATTATTTGGAGAGGCCATATGAACTGCCATATTGTTTGAAACGCAGCACTTTTTGTAAGAATTAAGAAGTGGCAAATGGATTAACTGTAGGGAGTATTTAGCTGCTTCTAGTCTGTAATTCTACTGTGAACGTTTTGTTTTCTGTTCAAGTGATATTATTTTTTTTACTGATTTTGTTTACGAATCTTTATTATAATAAAAAATAATAACAACAACAACAATATCTTTTGCTTCTTTGTAATTTAATTTAGTTTGGTATGACAAGAAGAAGGAGTATAATTATCCAGTTAATCCAAAAATAAGCCAGAAAATTGAAAAGTATTTGCTAATTAACTTATTTGAACTTCTTATACACAAATGATTTAGGACATTGTCTAAAAATACCGTTGCAATTTAAATATTTTGCTGTAATTTTATTTCAATTTTCTCCCCAACAGGAAAAAGTTGAAACGGCAGTGTCGGACGAGGAGGATGGTGGTGACGTCGGATGCTCTTCTGTCGACGCCTCTGACGGCATCAGTATTCTGGCAGAAGGAATGGCCCCAACGCCTGGGGGCCCCTTCTCTGCCCTCATTCCCTCCATGTGGCCCCAAGACTTGCTGAGCCAACTGGGCCAACCAGAGGATCCAAATTCGCAGCCAGAATATAGATATGATGAGTTCGGTTTCCGGGTTGAGGAGGAGGACGGCCCGGAGCAAAACTCCAACAAGCTGTTGGGAATTCCCTTTGTTGAAGATCCTCAGCACAGGTAAAACTAGATTCGTATTAATTAATTACATCATATTTTCATGGTATCTTATGCAAGTATATACATATGTCCTTGTTATGATGAATTAATAAAAAAAGGGGGGTGAAAATAGGCTGCAGTGGGTGGCACATCTTGAATTCAGTCACAACAAGGAGGCCAGTGACCTGACCTGGGACACGGTTGATGTCAGATTGCCTCACACTGACCGGCTGAGAACAATGGTCAGACAGGGAATTCCGCACTCCCTCCGACCCCAGTTGTGGATGAGACTGTCTGGTGAGTCTGAGGAAACGCTTTATCTTCTCAAATTTCAAGTTGTATTGTTTGATAGGGGCTCTTCAAAAGAAAACTGCTTCGGAAACAAGTTACAAAGAAATCGTCAAAGCTTCCAGCAACGATTCTCTCATGACCTCCAAGCAGATCGAGAAGGACCTCCTTCGCACCATGCCCAGCAACGCCTGTTTCTGCCGCATTGACAGCACTGGAGTGGCTCGGCTCAGGAGGGTGCTCAGAGGGTTGGCCTGGTTCTACCCTGACATAGGGTAAACTTCAGTAGAACTCCATTGCATTGATAAATATTAAAGGAAAAAATTAGTTATTGTCAAGGCACTGGAATGATTGCTGCATCCCTTTTGCTTTTGATGGAGGAGGAAGACGCGTTCTGGATGATGTGCACCATAGTCGAAGACCTCTTGCCGGCCTCTTACTATTCCTCATCTCTATTAGGTAATTATTTCGAAATTTTCTCAAAAATATATATTTCTAATTTGTTGCACAGGCGTTCAAGCTGATCAGAGGGTCCTGCGCAACCTGGTGTCAAACTACCTTCCCAATGTGGACCAAGTTCTCCGAGAGCACGACATCGAGCTTGCCCTGATCTCAGCTAACTGGTTTCTGACCATTTTCGCCTCTGTTGTCCACATGAAGGTGTTGATGAGAGCTTGGGATCTCTTCTTTTTTGATGGCTCCATTACCCTATTTCAAATCACACTAGGCATGCTACGCATTAAAGGTTCATTTCAGTGACTTTTTTTTAATTTTTCCCTTAAAAATAATTTTGTATTTCAGAACCGAATTTGACCACTCTTGAGAACTCTGCCCAGATTTTCAACGCTCTGTCAGACATTCCTGGTGACATCGAAGATGTCGAGCAGTTGATTGAAGTACCACACGAAATAATTAAATAAAAAAAATCCTTACAAATTGTCCTCAGGTCTCTTTTGAAGTTGCTGGATCTTTGAATGATATGATGATTGAAACGCATCGGCGACGCCACCTGGCCTACCTCATGGCTGACCAGGGTGCCCTTGTTGGCAACCCAGAGTCAGTGTCCCACTTGCCTAAACAGCACCTGAGCAGGTTACGAACTTTTTTGCGTTGGCTTCTGTATCCGTTCCTTGGCTGCTTCTTCCCTTCTCACTTATTCTTCCCGAAACCCAGAACCAATTCAAAGCGAGAAAATGGCCTTCGTAAAAATGTCTAAAAAATTTGGTGGATGTAGCTTGTAATTAAGAAGTATAATTTGCATGTTGCATGTTTAGTTGCTAAAATGATCTAGTTCTCCTTTGTTAATTTGCCTGCTTTCAATAAAAACCTTGCATGCGCTTTCATTGTCGCTCTACTTATGACGAACCCAGCCTTCAATCTCTGATCTTGTAGGCGTCAAGTGAAAAGAAACAAATCGGTAATTCAGCTACTACTGTTTGGCGACGAGACCACTGAAGACGACATAAAGAGTAAAAATATCAGACAAACAGAAATATTGGTTGATTTAAGAGAAGCAGTTTTGCAAGTTGGGAGACACTTCATGGCTATTGAACCAAAACATTCCAGACTCTCTCTGCAGGTAATATTCAATTTAAAAACAAATGGTATTTCATAAGAAATAAAAATCTAGGCGGACTACACAATGGAGAGTCATGCTCGGGACCATGAAAAATATGTTGACGTTTCGTTGACCAGAAAGAGGAGGGCAAAGGCTCTCTTAGGTAAAATATTCCAGTTGATTCAATAAAGGTCAATTATTTCATTTAATTCCTGTAAAGATTTTGAACGACATGATGACGATGAGCTAGGTTTCCGAAAGAATGACATCATTACCGTGATTAGTCAAAAAGATGAGCACTGCTGGGTTGGAGAGCTCAATGGTTTACAAGGTATTGAGAGGCTATTTTTTCCTGTAGATATTTATAGGATCATATTTTAGGTTGGTTCCCGGCCAAGTTTGTAGAACTGCTAGACGAGAGAAGCAAACAGTACTCCAGTGCCGGGGATGATGCTGTGTCAGAAGCAGTTACAGATCTAGTCAGGGGCACTTTGTGTCCAGCAATCAAACAGGTGCTTGAGCACGGAATGCGAAAACCCTCGTTCCTGGGTATGCTCTTGAATTTTTAAAATCTTTTTTTATGAAAAATTATATTTAGGTGGAACTTGTCATCCGTGGCTCTTTGTGGAAGAGGCAGCAAAAAGTGAGGTAGAGCGAGACTACAACTCTGTGTACAGCCGCCTAGTATTGTGCAAAACTTATAGATTAGATGAAGATGGTAAAGTTCTTACCCCTGAAGAGGTATTTTATTATTTAATTATTTATTTTTTGCTAAAAAAATTAAAAAAAAAATCTAGTTGTTATATCGATGTGTGCAGTCAATAAACTTGACTCATGATGAAGCACATGCACAAATGGATGTAAAATTGCGAAGTTTGGTCTGCTTAGGCCTCAATGAACAGGTCTTGCACTTGTGGCTGGAGGTCTTGTGTTCTTCCCTTGATGTCGTCCAGAAATGGTGAGTGTTTCAATTAAATTACCAAGAAATTGTAAATGATTTTAAGTATCTTCTCCATAGGTATTACCCTTGGAGCTTTGTTTGTAGTCCAGGCTGGGTGCAAATAAAATGTGAACTCAGGGTGCTGTCTAACTTTGCCTTCAACCTGAACCCTGATTGGGAACTACCAGCCAAGAAGGAGCAGTCACAACCATTGAAGGACGGGGTTCGGGACATGCTTGTCAAGCATCACCTTTTCAGCTGGGACTTGTAACTTAACAAAATTCTAAAATTGCACTACCGAAGCCTTACAATTTTTAATTTAATGTCAAAATAACTTGATATCTGACTGAGTCACACCTGTAGTCTATTTTAGTTATTTGCATTTGTTTTCTAGTTGTTTGTTGTTTATACATTATATTTCATAATTTTACTTTGGGAGAGTCAATCGAAATGAATGGATGGGTGCATCCTTTTTTTATTCTCTCCAAAAGCGTTGTTCAATTATTTTTATATTTTTAACAAAATATTTAAATTTATTGTTTCATTCCATACAGATAAAGATAACTTTGATTGAAATCAAATCCAACAATATAAATATATATGATATATGACCAGTGTCGAATAAATTGATGTTCTAATCACCTTGACAGACTGACCAGCAACCTATTTCTTGTTTTGAATTTTGTAGTGCACACTAGAGCAATTCCGCAATCTCTCGGCTGCTTGCTCTGCAGTCAAATCCCTCTGAGCCTGAGCAAGCAATTCGTATCTGGAGAAATTATGAATCAGAATTGCACTCAAAGATATAATCCAAGTATTATTACCCAACCATAAACTTCTTAATTGTGGCTGATCTCAATAACGGCGGCAAATAAATACCGTGAAACACCCAGTGATCCATATTTTCAGTCAAGTGTTTCCCAGTGGGTGCCCCTGATTATAAATTTAATTTCCAAAAAATCCAAAAAAATGAGACCAAAGATTAATTCTCAAAAATACCATGCCAGCCCATTGAGTAGGGGAAGCTTGTCAGGAACAAATTGTCATACTTGGTGGTTATCACTTTCATGGCATCAGCCAGACTCTTTTCTTGTGAGGTTGTTAGGTCGGTGAACCGCTTGGGTAGTGGAAGTGATTCTTTTGGAATGGGCAGGATCATTGTTTCAAAAGGCCAAACTGCCCAGTAAGGCACAACAACAACCCAGTCAGCATTTGCAAAAACAACTCTTTCCTTTAAAGTATTTTTTTCGAAATAATTATATTGATATTAAAATAACATACTTTTTTCTCAATTTCCTGGGTGGCATATTCACCAAGCATAATTTTCCCTTTCTTTTGAAAATACTTGAGCTGATTTTCATTCTTCACACGGCCTTCGTTGGGTACAAAGTCGGAAGCCCAGATTTGGCAGTGCGGGTGTGGATTGGAGCATCCCATGGTGGCTCCTTTGTTTTCAAAGACCTGCACCCAGGCATACTTCTCGCCTAACTCCTTTGTTTCCGAAATCCACCTTTTATACAAAAAAGATTAATGACAAAAAATAAATTAACAAAATATATTATATTATTTTCCTACTTCTGAATAACTTTTGTGATTTCTTCGACAGACATCAGCGGAATAGAGATGTCAGACCTTGGATGAAAGCACATGACCCTGCAAGTGCCTTTGGCTGCTTTGGTTCTAAACAGGCCATCAGCCTCACCTTCATCTTTTGGTTCAGGAATTTCCTCAAGTAGGGCAGGGAAATCGTTGGTGAATGTGTAGGTTGACTCATAAATAGGGTTAACCTACAGTATGATTAAAATATAAATGAAATACTTTTAATTTTTAGAAATATATTTACCACTCCAGATGACCTCTTTGCTCCTGGACAGAGAGGGTTGTTCAGGTCTGCTGTATTTTGTCCTTCTTTGTCGTCTGGCTTTTCTACTTGTCCGGTCCACGGTCGAAGCATCCGGTGTGGAGACACGAGGACCCATTCATCCTTTAAAGGATTGTATCGAATATGCTGGTGTTCTGTGCCAAAGTTTATAATTTAAGGAACATATAGTATATATTATGAGATATGAGATAATAATTAACATTAACAGCAAAAGCAAAAATTAACCTGTTGGATTGAAGGACATTTTAAATCCAGGCAGTTGCAATTCAGCAATCTCCAGAAAGACTTGACTTTTCTGTGTCCGGACTGATCCTGATATAACTATGTCACCGACGCAATCTGAGATAATTCAGATAAATATTCCAATTAAAACTCAATTGCTTAGATAGGAAAGGAACAAGAGCCACTCCCCCCTTGTTGGAAGAAGGAAAAAAAAGGGGGCGTGCACAACACAACAGCAATGCCGGCATGGAAAAACACGTGTTTGTGTTTTGATATCTCGAGCTCGTCGGTGCAGAGTTTTTGAAACAGGAACGTGTTCATTTAATTTGCAGCAAGACATTCCAAAATCATGGTAAGAGACTAAAATGACGTAAAGAATCATAATTGTATATTCAAATGTGTTTTCCGCAGAAGAAAGCTTCGAAAAAAAGCAAAGGCCGCAGCCTCAAAATCAGCCAAGTAAAAAGGGCAAACCACATCAAGACAAAGTTGATGAAACGTGGCAAACTGAAAGGCAAAGTGAACAAAAATCATAGGGCCGATATTACTAGGAAGACGGTGAAAAATCCTCCAAGGCCTGAACCAGTGGTTGAAGAGTTGAGCGATGATGACATGAAAGACATGGTCGAAGAAGGAGATGTAGATTTCCACAGAGATGCTGCAGCAGCCAAGTCATACTCACTCCTGAAAAGGATTCGTTTTAACAAGTAGATTTTTTTTTATTAAAAATGAAATATTATTAACTTTTTTGAAGGACAAGCAGTGAAAATGGGTCTAGAAAGAAGCGTTCCAAAGGACCCGGAGATGGCAGTGACGATGAAGAAGTGGAAGAAAAATATGAGGAAATGAGGCAAGACACCCATGAAGATGAAGCTCCTCAGAGAGATTTGCTTCCAATTAAGACAAAGGAAGGCATCGTCCGACGTACCACAACAGAAATGGTGAAAAATCTAAAACCGGAGATTGCAGGTCTGTAAACAAACATTGTTCCCTTTCTCAATAATATTACTTGCTGATTTTTAAATTTTATCAAGTGGCCCGAATTGAAAATGGTGGTCCGGTCGAAGATGAAAATGAGGAGGAAGAGGAATTTGAAGAGATTTCGGAATCCAAAATTGACCTTTCGCAACCACTGAGTGCAGCAAGATTGTTGGCTCTGCGGCATGAGCAGCTGAGCAAGTTTAGACTCAGAATAGGCTGCCTGGCCAGTGGTGTTCTTGAAGATCCCACCAGCAAAGTTGGGTTTTGGTTATGTTCGCATTGATCAATTTTAATTGTCTATAATTTTTTTAGATTGGAAATTTGAAGCATTTACTGGCCTTCTTGAGAGAACCCCAGCCCACGGAAGTGGCAGTTACAGTTCCCCGATTGGCAGCATTTTCTCTATTGGAGGTTTTCAAAGATTTGTTGCCTGAGTACCAAATTAAAAATGTGGCAGAACCTGGAATCAAACGTAACATTTCAAGTGCATGTGAGCTGTTTTTAACTAAATACATTAATTTATGCAGTGAAAAAGGATACTTTGAGGCTCCAGACAGAGGAGAACTTGCTTCTCTCAAGCTACAAGCAGTATCTGACCCACTTGGAGAAACTGATCGAGCCGATTGTAAAACGCCGAGGGCAGACGGCAAAAAAGGTTGAACAGGAAACCCGTTTGGCTGTGGTGGCTGTGCAATGCATGAGCCAACTGCTTGTAGCTAGACCATATTTCAACTTCTCGGCCAACATTGTCCGTCTGCTGGTGCCTCTGCTCGACCACAAAATGTTGGAAGTGTCCAATCTTGCAGCCGACGCGATTTCTCAAGTTATGAAAGACGACAAGAAGGGTGAACTGTCCTTTGAGGTAATCTGGAATTTTTACTCGCTTTTCTGTATATTAATTTTATATAAAATTAGATCCTGCGAAGAATCAATGCATTAGTCAAAGCAAGGAGTCACAATGTAAAACCGCAGTGCTTGAAAGTCTTGTTGGCGTTGAGAATCAAGGACATCAATTTGGACAAGGAAAGAGAGCTCGAGACAAAGCACAAGAAATTAAATAGGAAGGAAAGATTTTTGTCCAGCTCAAAGAGAGACCGAAAGGTGATGATTACAATTTTTAAATTTATGAATGTTTTTAATGAATTTTTGCTAGCGTGCCAAACGTTGGGATGAGCTAAACAAAGAACTACTTGAGACTAAAGCTGAAGAAAACAGGCAGACAAAGAATAAGTTCTTCACCGAAGTGACCAAATTGGTATTCACAATTTTCTTCCGAGTTTTGAAATCTGCTCCCACTTCGGCTCTCCTCACCGCAACTCTAGAAGGACTTGCCAAGTAAAATTATCTTGGTTTATAATCTGCAAAATCATTACAATAACGTCCTTCAGGTTTGCCCACTGCATCAACGTTGAAATGTACCATGACTTGTTAGCTGTTCTTGAACGGCTTCTGAAAGATGAGGATGGGCAGATATCTACTAAACACAAACTTCTGTGTGTCCAGACTGTCTTTGCTATTCTCTCCGGACACGGAGAGTTTTTGGTGATTGACCCCACAAGCTTCTACACCCAACTCTTCAAGTGTCTCTTCAAGATTTTCTTAGGTAAAGTTGGGGAAATTGTTAGATAGTCGTAAATTCTTAAGGTTGGCCTAATATTTGCTAGTATGACCCTGGAACTATTATTATTTTTTTAATGAGTTTGAAATTGCAATTAAGTTTTTGCCTTTCTCAAATGATGAAATGAGATGATTGAAATATAAATCATTTGCTCGCAGGAAATAAGCAAGAGGACTTGAAGGTAGCTTTGCAAGTTTTGACCAATTCAGTCATGAAGAAGCGCCACCATCTGTCCCAGCAAAGGTTATTTGCTTTCACAAAAAGGCTTGCCACGGTTGCCTTGCAGCAGCAGCACAACGGCACCTTAGGGTGTCTTCAGATTGTCAAGAGCATCCTCGAGGTGTGTTATTTATTAAACTTAGCATAATAAATTTTTTTAATGAAATTCTCATTTCAGTTTAGCAGAAGTTTAGATATTCTTCTTGAGCCAGACAATTCTGTTGGGCAGGGCGTGTACATGCCGTTGGTCGAGGATCCAGAATATTGCAACGCTGGAGCAGCGTCCCTTTATGAATTGCTCATCCTAAAGGTTTATTTTTATTAGGTTCAACGTCCGGTTTTACCAAATTTTAATTCTAACAGGATCACTACCACCCTATTGTCCGAGACTATGCTCAACACATTTTGAAAAGGCCCCACATTGAGCAGGAAAGTGGTGATATTGTCTCTGGTGTGCTCCCACAACGCATTGAAAAATTGCAAGTTATAGTTTTATTATTTAAAAATCATCTTAAAGGTTTTTTGATATAGGTCAGCCATGGAGTTGTTTGACCAATATGATCCTTCCGATGTCCAGTTCAATCCAGCAATAACAGCCCCTTTCCATTTCAAACCCAAGCAGAGGGTCTTCTTTGTTCCTTCAAATATCAGAAATGTGAAAATGAGACACATAATAGGAGATCTTATGGAAGACGAAGAAATCGAAGAAGGAGAATCACAAAATGTTGATTTTTACCATCTTTAAACATTTTAATAATAAAATATTAAATTGTAGTTTGAATGATATTGAAATATTGATTTATTCTCAATCTAGCAATAAATTAAGTTTTACAGACTCTGCATTAATTTGCACAATTTTATCCTTTATATTCACTTAAAATGTAATTGAATCATATGGTCCTGTGCACCATAGCCTTTTAATATAGACGTTTGGTTAAAAATAATTCAATGTGGCTCCTTTAAAATATTTTATGCAATTAAAATACAATATATAAATCTGTTTTGAAAAAACAGATGACTCATGCCTCTCCTATTAAGAATCTGCTTTTAAACCAACAAAAATGTAATGTAAAATTGTCAATTTTTCCATATTTGAATCTAGAAATACGTAATATAAATGTTTATGAAGTTTGAAGGAAATGACAAAATTTTTCTCTTTCCTTATTTTATTTTTATTTCAATCTCTAGAAATTTTACAACACTTTTTCTAACTTACTTCTCACTAGAAAACATTACATCAAAAATGACGCTTCTTATTACAGTGATTTGAAACAATTCTTGTTGCATTGCTCTTTGGTTTCACAAACATGTAAGTGAATGATGAAAATGCTAGAATGAAGAAGTGCATGATTGTTATATATGTGAAGGTACTAAAATAAAAATGCGACTTTGAAGCACAAATCTTGGCTGCGCTGGAGAGTAAAGCTATTGTAACAAAATATAATAGAAAACCCATGCAAACTATTATAATTTATAATTATTTGTTCTGCGTTTCTAAATATTTTTATCAAGATCTAAACAAAAATCTTAATACTGGATAGGAAACAGACCTTTCCTAAAAAAATGCAGTTCATTCTGGAAATGACAAGGAGTGAAAAAAAAAACATTTTGAAAATACCCTATAGCATATAGCTGAAGGTTGCTTTCTTCTTCAGCAGAAAAAAAACTTGAATAGTCTGATTAAATCAAGATAAGATTTTGTGGTCATTTTCAAATCAGCACCTGGCTTCAAGCAAAAAAGCCTTTCTTTGGCTCCAAATCAAAAGCTCGGACTAGAGGCGATGCCGTACACAATTAAGTTATAGGTTTGCACTGATATAATATGTATTTCTTGATAAGTGTGACTTGAGATTCCTTATAAACTCCGACAATATAATATGAAATTTCACTTATATCCTATTCTTGACTTTTCCTGAACTCACATTCTCAAAAGTTCAAATAAAAAGGTAATTCTCGTATTCCTTGTACGAATGCACCGGTTTGGCAATTTGCAAGGCTTGGAAGTGGGGAATGGTCTCTTCGAGGATGGCCGACGACCTGGATGACCTGCTTTTGTAGTTGTTATTGTTGAAGAGGGAGCTGTTGATTATGTTGGTGGTGGTTTGCACGTAGTGTCTGATGGGGACGTTTGATATGTGTGCCCGGATGGGCTGCTGCTGCCTCAGGAGACCGGAAGGATCCCTTCTGGGCAGGGCAGGGGGCAACTGATGCTCGAAGGTGCGCAGCAGGTGCGGCTGCGTTGTGGGTGACGGCAGGCCAAGATCACTGCACCATTGCTCTTGCAGCTGCAAATTATAAAGTCAACCATGCATGAGTATAACACGGATAATTCTTTTAAATTTAAAACAGTTTCATTAGTTTGGAATATTGTCATAGAAATACAATTAAAAAATGGGAGTTAGAAATGATGTTGTGAAAATAAAGAAAATCATTAATTTAACCAATTTTACTGAAAAAGGGAATTTTTATAGCTTAAACTTTTACGAAATGGAAGTGAAAATAATTTTTACCCCGAGTTTCCGTCTTGGCCGGTGGCGATCGGGATTTCTGTGCAAGCGGAAGTGAGCGTCCGAGTTGGAGCCCCACGACTGCTGCACCTGCAGCGGAAGGTCCTCGTGGTGGAGTTTGCGCTGGAATTCTTCTGACGGACGCACGACGTAAATTGAGAATAGCTCTTTGCGTTCCTTGCTGTTGTAGCAGTTCAGCAGGATTTGGACCAGATCATCAACAGTGGTTTTCTCAGAAATGTGCAGGCTTTTGTACTGAGACTGCGGAAAATTTTAAATTAAAAAATTAATCCTTTATCATTTCTGATGTGCTTACCCCTGTCATCAAGACGCCATCATAGATTTTGACCAGACCACCCTGCCTTGCTTGAAGGGCAAATCTATGAGGGGAAAAATTATGATGATTTACAAAAATGTTTACATTAAAGTTTTTTCTCATATTTCTTTGTTACAATTTCAAATATTTTAATTTATTAAAAAATAATTTTTTTCAATCCTTATTTTCATTGTAAAATTTTTACCTAGAGTCTCCTTTGGGATGACATGACTGAAGTTCTGCTGGACGAGCGTCATCGTCCAAAACCAGAGTGGATCGAATTCCTAAAATAAAGTAATTAAATTGTTTTAGAAAGCATTGATTTAAAGAAACAATTTTTTTTATATAATCAAATGAATGAAAACAAAAATTTGTTAAAAAAAATTGAAACTTGCCTGCTCTGCGAACGGCAACCTCCATGGTGAGATAGAAGAGTTTTGGGTCCTTGTGGCGCATGCGGAATTTTGCGAGCAGCGCTTGGATCACTTCGTAGCTGGTGGTGGAGAACGTGATGGACAGAGTTTTGTACTCGATATCAGGCCGCAAGCAGCGGGCGTACACCTTGATTGCTGCCTGTAACAAGATATATCCACAGTTTCATTTTTCAATCCAACACACGTGATCATAAATTATATTATTTTTAATTTTTTAGAACAATGAAGAGGAAAAATGAAACCGCAGCACACACAAATGATTAAAAATTCTCATTAAGAATAGCCTTGCTCGTTTGTGGAAATGTTAATTCTGAAGAGAGCAGTGCCTTATGTGATGGAAAAGGATGTGGTCCATTCTACAATAAAAATAAATTGCTACTTGCGGCTGGCCGCGCGCCGGTTGTGGGCAATTCCCATATTGATATATACCGAAGCCGGAGCGCAACGAAATAGTTTCTGTTCCATAGAGCGCTGAAATGCTTGAGCGACTTTTCTCGACTGGCTGCTAATTGCGTGACTGCAGTGTGTTTTTTTTTCGTTTATTGCAATGCTATTTACTGATGATTAGGCCAACAAGTTATGGGAACAGACACGTAACGTCTCAAAAAGAGGCAGGAAACTTGATATAATTGTCCAATTTTTTTTTAGATAAATTTTCACACAAACGTAAAATTAATTTTATTGTATAGAGATGTTGAAATGAGTGATTTCTGCATAAATGCGACCCACTTTCCAGCATTAGGAAATATATTTTTGACGATCAATCGCCAATAAATCAAACGTCGTTAATTCGCATTTGTTGCGGGGTTGACCTCGTTTCGGGGGCGCCTCTTGTGTGTTCTTCTCGTTTTTACGTAAGCTTGTATGTTTCTGCGTAAGAAAGCATAGGAAAGTAGCAAGTTTTAGTATTATGTTCTCACGCTGAGAGGAATCTGGTTCGCTTCCTGCAGAGCCGAACAATTATTGCCGCAATCGCCGCCTCTTGGTCTCGTTAGCGCCGAAGAAAGGAGCTACAGAGAGAGAGGACGTGCGGGTTTTATCCAATGCAATCAGATAATCGCTTTACGCTGTGAGGGAATTTTTCAGATACACTTGTCAATCCCCACGGGGGCAAACCTGTTACTTCATAACAATAATGACAAAAAATATATTTGTTCACGATAAATATTGTAATTATATTTTCATTCTTTTTACCTAATTGCAAAGTAAAGCTAAATTTTGAGCGTTTTTGTTTAATTCGTTTTAAATATATATGATAATATTTAGAAAAGTTTTTTAATCTGAAGTTTAAAAATTAAATGAACTTAAATTTTTTTAAAGAGATTTATTTTACAAAAATAATAGTGAACTGGGAAAAGGTTTTGATCGATTAAAAAAATTGCACCCATTTTGGAATAAAAAAATCGCGCAGCAGGTGTTTGGTACTTTTTGTGAGAAATGTTCCGAAAAGCGCTCCCAGGATACACGATACGGTTTTTTTGGCGCAGTGTCTTGTGAACTGTGCGGGTCCGAGAATGAAATCTCCGGTGTTGCGGTTAATGGTTCACCATCAGCGATCGCGGGTGGCTCTCCTCAAGTGTCGCTCGTGCGCGCCGCGTTTTTCCCTCGGTCTCTTTTTCCATCGAGGAAGTCGCCCATTAAAGAGAGACTTCATCTCTTCGGGGTGCACGAGAGCGGATTACATTAAAACGATTGAACGCGAGCCCACTTGGTGCTCACAGAGAACAGAGCATCGCCATTGTATGCGCTCGAAATAAACGCTTGGCGCCGAGTTCGAGTGATAAAATTTTACATCAGAACCAGCAGGAGAGATGAATTCTCATCCTTTCTGTGTGAATTTCTTAAAAAACAACCAATTTTCAACGCTAGCTCTGACTTCGATTTCAATGCCAACCGAAGCGATAAAAATATGAAAACCGTTGCTCTCCCTTTCTTTCTTATATTATATTTTCCGCTTCGAGGTGTATTTTTTTGAGCAACGCAATATCGCTCCAAGGTGATCTGAGATGGTGTTCAGAGTGAAATTTTATCTGCGAGCAAACAGGGAGTCGGACGGCGCGCGGACACTGATCCCCCGGCTTGATCCATATGAATTGTTTGCGCAACAGGGCGTGGAAAATGCGCCACCATTCAATCCTTTGATTGCCAGCGATTCAGCACCGAGATCCGACGCCGGCTGTGCAAATTTAGACAAGAATCGCAAAGTCTGCTGTTTGCACATAAAAAAATTTTAACGGATTTTTGCAGACCTTTCATAAATAAAGAAATTAAAAATTATTGGACCTAAAAAGTTATAAAAAAATGTCTATATTTTTACTAAAAATTATTTGTATATAATTGTCCATCAGGAAACAATTCTTATCAAAAATAAAAATAAAATACCCTGAAATAACAATTAGATTGGAGCTTTCCCTCCGCAAGCTCAAAAAGGGCACAGGCCGACAAGACTTTCTTCTTGGCCTGGCAAAAAAAGAAATACTCACATTAGTATTTATTATGCGGTATACAGGGTTTTTTTTATGCCAAATTTTTGGCATCAATTTCAGGTAACATGGGGAGATTTCAAATCAGATTAAATTCAAGATCTCAGATTTGCTTCCTTGAAAGAAATAGATTTTCAAAAATTCTATATAAATTTATGTTGATTTATTTCACATCAATTGAAAAAATATATTCTTTTGTCTTGATGAAAAATGTTCTTGATAACAATTAAGAAATGCGCATCAGCAAAGGGAGGCCGTGGATGCTTATTGAGTAGCATAGCGCGAGGCTAAAGGATCTTGACATGTGACATGTAATAATTTTCATTATTAAAACAGGAGGCAGATTGACGACGGGCGGCCGCGGCGGCGGGCGCATGACGCCAGCAGCAGCCAGATGAGCTGCACAGCCAGCAAAACATTATTCGCTGTGTGACTTGGTCGAGCTTCTTAGAATAACACAGCCAGCTTGCTGACATAATCAAAAAACCAAACGCGAGATGCTCTATTTAATTGTGCAGCCTGACTTCAGACTGCGAATTGAACATTCGAACAAAAAGGGCACAAAAATACCAGGAAACAATCTTTAAAAATCTTGAAATAAACATATTAAATATATAAGCAGAGTTTTTAGAAAGATACTTCATGGAGATAAAAAACTATTTAACTAAATGTAAACTTATTATCAAAATTTATCAGCAAAACAAAAATGAATTTTTCACCTCAGATTCCAAATTCATTATAATTTATTATATTTGAACTGCTTGGACTCAATTGGAGCAGCTGCAGGGCGTGTGCCACAAATTGGGCAAAGGAATTTTTTCATTAAAGTCTGCGTCAGCACTTTGAATATAAAATTAATCTTAATTTGACTTTACGACTATCTGGACAGAAAACCAAGTGTTTTATATGTGGACACGGTAGAAAGGCAAAGGGAAACTAAATCTTATCCTGCTATATAGTAAAATTCCAAGTGCGGCAGGATGTTATCAATTTTTAAGTTAATTGCCACTAAATTAGATCATCCGCTTTCAATACTTATCCTCCTCCACATACTTGACTGAGAATAAGCATAACAATATCCACAGAGGGTTTAAAAAAATTATTGTTTGCAAATTTGCAAAAGCTTTTAAATTTGCTGGTAGTGCAGTTTTCGAGCCGCACAAAAATTAAAAACAAAAAAAGAATACAAATATTCAGACTGATGAAATTTTGCAACAACATAGATTTTGTTTGGAGTTTGTGGCACTCACCGTGTTTGGAATGGCCTCGTTGAGGGAGCTGTAGCTGGAGGAGCGCGAACTCAAAGCTTCCGGCGGCGAACCGCCCAGGCTCGAGTGGCTGGTGCTCGAGCACAGACTCATCGAGTCGGCCCTCGACCTGCACGGACTGATGTGCACGTGCTTCAGCATCCTACCCTGTCAACAGAAAAAGTCACGAATAAGAAACTACCCTTTGAAAATTGTAATCATTTAATGTATTATTAAAAAAAATTAGGTACAATAATTAAAAGGGACGGTTGCGCGGCGTCCTGTCTGAATTGGCCCGAGGGGGATATTTGTCAACAATTATGGCAGAATTCGATATATAGGTTTGCGCGCAGTCGACGGGCAAAATCGCGTGCAGCCCTAGTGGTGCCCAAAGCGGAGGAAGTGCGAGCAATTGAGCCGCCGCGTGCAGGTGAGAGGCGAACAAAGGCGGCGGCGTCAAACCTGCACACACGACGAGTCCCTTTAAACTCATATTTTTTCACGTTCAATGCGCTATTCAGCGACGCCATGTGCGCGCAGAGGGAGGATGTTTGAGAGCGGTGTTTTCCTGCCGCACATATAGGGCGCCCCGGGTGTGTTTCGAGCGAGTGCTTTGGGCTGCCGAGGGGAACCATCTGCTGCTGAGGTGCGATACACGCGGGTCATTCAATCAAAACAGGAAACGAGCAGAGAGAAAGGTCGCTGCCACCCAAAGTCCAATACCAATTGATATGTCTACTTTCAATCATACAACAAGTTTGATGATGTTGTTTGCTCTTTGTGTCGCTAGCTGATGAAAAAAGGAGCCGTGGGAAACGCCAAGTCAATATTTGAAATGGATTGGTTGGAGTGACTCCAATGGATTCAATGATGTTGGGTTTCAATAAAGTCTGTAGGTTATTGAATCTAAAAATTAATGGCGATTATAGTTAATGCCAGCCATTTTCTTTTCGTTACTAAAAAATTGTGCAACAAACAAAGCACTTAAATTGAGCTTTTTACTTTTAAACTTAAAAAATTAAAATATTTTTTGCATCAGATTTATTTTTATTAGTTTGGATGTACAGTAATGAATATTATATTGAGTTTAAAATCAAACAAGAAAAAGGACTTTTAAATAATTTTCATTAGAGGAGTGACGAAAACCATTTATTTTGTACACTAAATTAATTCAAAAGTTATCCAATAATATTTCCGACCTAATCAACAGAAAAAAAATTATTTACAGGAAAAACTATTATATTATGGATAAAAAGTAAAATAAATTTGAGAAAAAAATTGAAATTGTGCAGAGTGAATAGTTTTTGTTCCACATGATTTTTCTCAGAACATAAAATCTCTTTCACTTTTAAAATATTATATAAGCAAGGCTCATTCAAAATTATTCATTAAGTCAATGCACAGCTCAACACATCTGGCTTGCTGCATATAATCAGAAAAGCAAGCGATGAACTGTTTTGAATGGAAAGGATTATGAGTTATTTTAACCTCGTCAGTCAGAGCTTTCATGAAGTTTTGAGCTCTTTTTTAAGTGTAACCATATGTTTAAAGTTCTCTCCCTTTCTTCGAAGTTCAACAACCAAATGTTGCCCCACACAGAAATACACACCCTGCGTTTCAAATGCCGAGAAGAGCATTTGGGCGATGTCACGCCTCTATAATTGTAAGCCGTCGCCGAGATGAAGCTTCCTTTCACACGCGGACACTTTGCATTTGGCCGCGCCATAAACGGCAGCAGCGAAAGACACCCTTCGTCTCTTCAGGCTGCAGTTGGCGTGCAGCAAAAGTTCTGCCCAGCACTTTGTCATTCATTCGTCGGACGAGTCGCGCCGCTTGATGAATACAAAGTAAGAGATTTTGTTCAGCTGCACATACACGGTATTCACATCGGGTATGGAAAAAGGATGAGGTCCTCTTTCACAAATCATCATTTGTGTTTGAAAGAGGGACGAATAAAAAGAGAGACACCCAATGAAAAGGAGAGAGACGCGTGAAAGGATTCAAAATTTCTCAATTTGATGATGGGAAAATATTTGTTATGAGAAAGTTCTGAAGGTGAAATTCAACAGTAAAAAACCTTACCAAATCCAGATATTCACATTTTTAACTAACATCAGGTAATTGGAAAAGTGTTTGAATAAAGCTGAATTATAATTTTATACCCAATTTATAAAAAATAAATATTGAAAAAGTCATTTTTTTACAGGCGAAATTATGCGGGTTTAACTTTTATAGTTGAAAAGGAAAATTGCTAAATTGTGATAAACATAATAATTTTGCAAAAACGTTTTAAAGTCCATGAATATAAAAAAGCAATTTTTTTTCTGGAATCAGTTAAGTAAAAACGGTCACTTAATAGCCTCGTACATTTTTAACTAAATTGACATAATTCCTTGCTAGGATATCCATCATAAGAAATAAATTTTAAGATTTGATCAAATTAAAGACTTTTCTCACCAGTCCAAATATTCCTATTCCCAGCAGAACAAACGTTTTTTATGTGTGAAATAAAAGAAGTCGAAAGATCAAGAGCGCGCCGCTAATTTGACGGCAGCTCGCGATTTGTTTCAAATTGGTGTGTGATGAGCGTTCATTGAATGAAATGAATGAGCACTTTGGTCCGAATACGGTTTGTTGAGAGGAGCGTGTAAAATACATAATATCGAGCAGTGGAAAAGTTAAAGCCCAACCGGAAACCGGTCGACACGCATGGTTGGAACTTCCATGACCACTTTTTGTGTCTCTCACAGACATAGGGGTAGAAAAAGTGCAGGCAGGAATGCGTGCGGTTGATTTTGTGGCTTTCCACCGCAGCACTTGTGCGGGCGCGTCAAATATTTTTTAAATGTCACACGCTCGCCAAAGAATGCATAATATACAAAAATAGTCTGGAATGAATAACATCCTCCAAAATATTTTTTAATGAAAAATACTAACAAATCGTGAAATTAAGTTATTATAATACAAAAAGTCTAGCAGAGATTTAAAATGTAAAGGCCTCCCTTCATGGCACGGATTCCTGCGAGCTTATACATATTTAATTTTTATATAAACACACTTCAGATTAAATTAATGTCATGTAGACTTCTCTTAGCACATATATAATTTTTATTCTCTTAGGAAGAGAACTGATGATTTCTTTTATGTAATGTGATATTCTCTAAATGCTGCGCGTTTATCCCATTGTTGGAGAGAAAAACGGAATTCTTTTCATTTCACACAGTGGAGTAAAAGATGCGCTCTCTCAACGTCTGCAGACTGAAAGAGAGCACTCGAGAATATTTGTATACATAAATTTTTCTCCGATTCCCACCGCGGCGCTTGGAGACAGATTCCTACTTATAATTCTGTCTGAAAATAAATTTCCATTCACTACAATATAATCCCTGCAAGTATCACCGTTGTGCAATTGTCTGCAGGCGGCACAATTTTCCGCAGCAAAACTCTTTTCCCACACCAGCTTTTTGCTGCAAAATCTCAAATTTGCAATTCCGCGTGCCCATTAGTTTATTCAACAAGGTCGTCAGATAAAGATAAAAATATATGCGTCTCTTTTAATTTGCAACGCGTGTCCGTGTTTGTGTGTCATTTCTCAGGGAATATCCAGTAGTGTATAGTAAGTGACGTCAGTGGCCATTCTATACTCCTGATTTTTATCTACGCAAGGTATCACAAGGTATCACGAGCGCGAGTGGCCGCCGGCGAGGTCGGCCGAGCCGGATAAGCGTGCGACTTATGTAATATTGCGACGACGCCGGCTTATTTCGAGACAAATCCATTTATCACCAGCACGACCCTCCACCTGTCTCGACAAAAGCGGAACCAATTGAAGTCCGGCTATACTTTGTCCGATAACAAAGAAAAAAATAGAACAAGGCAAAACTGTGGTCAACAAATTGACACAATACAATTAATTTATTAACTACATTATAATTTGCGAATAAGTGCGTGTTTTAATTTTCTATCATTATTGGAAACTAGATTAGCAAAAAAATTCAAGTTCAAATTTTACATTTTCTGAATAATATCAATGATTTTTTTTTTTAATTTTCGCGACAAAATGAATGAGGAAATTATTATTCAATTTTCCATATAATCTTCCTAAACTTTTAAATTGTATTATATAGAAATAACCTCTGGAATTTTTTTATCATGATAATCAATTTTTCTCAAGGTGAGAAAAGCCTGAAAGGGTTTGGTCGAGCAAAAAATGCTAAGTGTCACACCATCCTATTCACGACATATCAAATCTAATCTGTTGGCGGAGGCGGAAATGCGACGAATTTCAATAAAAATCCATCTCGGTGTGGCCAAATTGGCTCTTAAGTAGACAGCTGAGGTCGTCGCGCGTAGGTGCCATAATGTTCTAATAATGAGCTAAAAAGGGTCTATATTCTGCAGCGAGCGCACGCCCTCCCGGATTAGCTCACGTGGCATAAATAAAAAAAGAAGTGCCATATTTCTTCCTCCTTTGTGCTCGCTCGGCAAAGCAACTTCATTTTTGCTCCCACGCCCACGCGTGCACAAGGGCAAAACGTATCCAGTGACGTCACTTTTTGCCAAGCCAGAAACAAAAACACCATTTCTGGGTGTCATGCCATAATGATCTTTTCGCCCTTAATGAGTTCCGTGACTTTTTATTTGATGAAAACTTAAATTTCAACAAATTTCCAAAAAAAAGTATTTATCAATTTTTTTTGTATACTATTATTATATCATATTAGTACTTTTTTATTTTTTTAATATTGTTTGTTATTTTCAATTTCTCATGGATGAAGTCCGTCCGTTATACGCGGCGCTTGATTGCCCAACAAATGTTAACAAGGACCTGCTGTTACTTTTTAATTGTTCGATTTTACAAGGCGAAACCGCAAAAAGACCAGAAAAACGGAACCCTTTTATTGGGAGGATTATTCTTTTTTTTTTAATTCTTTAAGACTAGCTTGAATTGAGTCACGGCCGCATGTTGCGTCAATCAAACAGATAAAGAGAAAAACCGGGGAAAAAAGTAGAAGAAAAAATAAATATAAAAGTGGAGTTTTAATTTTTAATGTTATCTAATTTGAAGAGTGCTGAAAAAAGCCTTTTATTATTGAATTTTTCTAACTCACTTCACTTGTCATTCTGGTAAAAGATTTTTACGAATATATAATGACATTCTGAGTTATGTAAAGAATTAAACTAACTTATTATTTAATACTTTTTCAGGACTTTACAATAATGCTATATGCTTTTATTGCCTTAAAATATAGGGTTCTTCCACAGAAAAGTCACCTCATGATAATAAACTTCGCTTCACCAGTCTTAAGTCTTAAACAATTAAATATGGCATAGTGATCGAACGCATTTAATCAAAGTGATTGGATTTATAACCATTTTAGGGCAGAGCCGGATTCGAACATTCCAAAAGCCTTGGACAAGTTCCGCGTCTATTATACGGAGCCAAACTCGAATCTGTCCTCCGCAATGAATGAAAACAACGCACTGATAATGAGAAGCGAGCGTGTTTCGATCGTTCAGGGTGGAGCCGCGAGAGAAAGATGGGAAGATTCCGAAGATTCCCAGAGAACGCCCAAAACTCATGAAAACAAAACGCGGCGCAAGGACATCACTGCTCAAAAGGTCACGCCATTGTTTTTCTCACATGCGAGCATTACCAGCAGCAAGTCAAGTACTTACGTGCGATCTCTCATTATTTCTGCCATGGCAACAACATGACTTTAAAGGAATAATAATAAAAAAAAACATCGCATGTGAACTTATTTTTATAAATCGCAATAGGCCAAAGGGATCTCTGAGCAAGTTGGGAAACAAATAAGACTTTATGCCTCATGACAAATTGTAAACATTTTCCATTTAAAGCCAAAAGGTATCATATAATGTGATATAATATTAAATATTTTGAGGTTTCGTAATGAGGAAATTAAGAAGAGTAAATTCGTTTTCATCACGGTAGTAAATTGTAAATTACTCATGCATAGTTGCACGTCATTAATGGAATGTAACGACTTTTGCCTCTAACTACTTTTAAGAGAGGTAAATATAAAATTGCTAGAATTATGACCAATTTGCTACACCAAGGACACATTAATCAAATTGTTTTATGGATTTGTCAATAATTATATACTTTTCAATGAGAAAATGAATGAATTAATTTAATATTTGCCTATCAGCAAAGGAATTTTACAAGGATACAAAAGTGATTGCATTTCAAATTCTAAATATAGAGAAAGAAATCAAAGGAGGCTTTGAAATAGTTATGTTCATGAGCCGAGCCATCAGGCGCCGAAAGTAAAAAAGGGTTGAAGCTTGAGCAAAAAATCATCTCCGCGTCTTCAATATGGGAAACACATGTTGCGCGTCTCCCTGTCTAATATTAATTCCCACATCTGCAGCGAGAGTATGAATAGCAGGGCAGATTTCGTTTCACAAAGCCCCTGCCCAGAATACTAAGTCTGCGAGGGAGGTCTCGCTGCTGGCTCGACGATGACAATAAAAGATTATTATGTGCGTTATGTGAATGCAAGGTCTTGTGGTTCCGAATCACAATGCGCCGTACATCATCTTTATGGAAAGAGAAACACCCCCACACGCAGCGTATTATTTTTTGACACTCGTCCAACGGATATTTTGGAGGGCGTAAGTTTTTTTATTTATACCTGCGCGATGGTCCCCAAAACCAAATTAAAAATTCCCTCGTGTGTCAGTTTAATTTCCTGGTTGTAAACTTTACTCAAGAATATTGATTTCACAAACAGTAAAAGCTATTATAAAAAAGCGCCCACCGCAGAAATATCGAGAAAAAAATTGATTTCACGCATGAAATTTTAATTAACATCTTAATAATCTCAGAAAATCTAAGGTTTGAACCTTATGTACAAGAGTGTTAAATTTTAATGTAGAAACTCTCTTGTATATTTAGTATTATTTAGTCTTGGAATAAAACTCCATTATTTATAATACAAACTCATCTTGTATAATTGTAAATTTAATCAAGAAAAAAGTGAATTAATTATATTTTATAATTTTTTAGAGAACAAGATGGTAATGCAAGGAAACAATAATAAACACATGCAGTGAAAGTTTGATGCTCTGCTTTAATTTCTTCCAGAATAATTATCGCCTGTCTGAATTAGTGTGTATTAATAAATATATCTCTCTCTAGCTTAAGTCAGTGAAAGTGAAGTGCATGGGAAATTATACGATTGTTCGAAATCATCTGCTGATTAGGCAGGAAGCAAGGAGAGCGGTGGGTGCAACAGATTTTATTCAGACGCCATCAGGTAATAACAATTTTAAAACGCCATATAAGAGCGGATATGCATGCAATAAATTGTTCCACAATTCCTAATGAAAATAATTATTCTCAAGTGGCAGGGAAAGTGCAGTTTTCTTTTACCAGAAAATCAACTTTTGCATTTATTTCAGCAATAATTTTACAAGTTTTTTTTATTTAATTACTGTACAAAAATTTAAATCGAGAGGAAAAGGTTTTTGACGGTCATTTTAATAATTGAGGCTGTCACAAATTTCAGACTTTCTACATGTGCAAAAAATGCCGCGGCGTGATGAATCAAACAGGATTGCGGTGCCGTGGGCGAACTGGGTGCAAAAAACGCTTGAATCGGTTTTCTCTCTTGCGGTGTATCATAAAGGTAAGTTTAGTTAGCAGTCATCATGAAATGAAGTTGTCCAAAGTACTCATCATTGCAATAAGAATGTATACGTTTGGAAGTGAACACAATAAAGAAAATGAATCACAAATTGAACATGCACCAAATTTGAGTCGATTTCACTTTGCAACAAAGAAACAGTTCCGGATATACAAAAATGAATCACAATCTTTGATATTTTTCAATATTAATTTTTGAAAGTAATATTTTGATATATGACTAAAATCTCGTATTTTGTAATTTCTGCTAAAATTTTTTATTCAAATTTCATCAGCATCAGCATTTCTGCATTTAATTAAAAGATTTTCCTGCTCGCCGCCAGAATCTCTACATTTTTCTGCGAATTAAAAGCATTTATAACGCGCTTGTGACATCACCGAGAAAATAATCGTCGGCTTTTCTTTCCTCCTTTCATGGCTACTGACGGCGTGCCTCAACTCTTTCAACACCAAGTCGCGCCGCCGCGTCAACGCCTTTCATTTTCTCGCGGCTGATAATAAGTATTGAATTCGACCTTGTTGACACAAATATTTTTATCGACACGGACCTGAATTAATTTCTATGCCTTTTTAGCATTCAGTAAAGGTATAGACACTTTTTCTTGATGCAGACATACACAAGCCAGAAGACAATGAAATTTAATTTATTTGACATTCCTCGGTGTTTTTGTCACTATATGAAATTCAATTAATTATTGTCAACAAGTACCAAAGATTTTTTTATTAAAAACGAATTAAAATTAAACACTAAAAATTCAAAACTAAATTTATTTTTATTTCCTCTTATAATTTCCTGCTCTGTTTTAAAAGAATTGTGTAAATAAGGGTTTGTTATTGTTTAAAGAGATTTTGCTATTTTAAGATGAAATAACAAGAGACGCTTGTTCGGCTGGTGACGACCGACAAATTGGTGGCAGCTTTGTTTGAACACGAGCACCACGCGTTCATGTCCTTTCAAACCAGACGTAAACAATGTTAGCGCGGCTCGTGTCGTGCCCCTAGCTGCTGACAGACAAAAGCAGACGGATGGACAACCACTAAGCTCGTCCAAACAAAAAAACTCGCGGATATTCTAAATAATTCCAACCAAATCGCGCGTGGAGCGGAAAAGAGGAATTCGGCCAATTCGTGCGTCGGATCCGCTTCAATGGGCCCTGCGCTGATAAGCGCGCACGCATCGCCTGCAATTACGCGCTCCACACAGATAAAATACAAATAATTTGGAGTATGAAATCGTTTCCGCATCAACGGAATGAGTAACACAAAAGATGCGCCAAAATTTTCATTTCCGTGTTGGTACAAAAGAAATTTGTAACAGATTCTTATCTCACATACAATTGAATACAAGATTTTTTCTCTACAAATTGGGCAAATAAACAACAATATAACGTCAATTTGACGAAATGCATAAATTATTTAAAAAAATTATTCCGTGTTTAGTTTGATTTTTTTCGCAGTATTTTCTCATTTTTTTTTTAAATTAAAAAAATTTGGAAAAAATTAAAAGAAATTGATTTTATTGATTTAACTTTTTCTTAGAATCACTTGAAATTTAAGTTTCTTTTAAATATACAATTTATTACTTTCAAACCACTTAACATTGACACAAATGTTTTGAAATTGAAATTGTTAACAAATTGGTTCAGAAATTATCAGCCAAGGTTGCCTTAAATTAGAAAGACGTGAATTGATAAAAAAAATACACTTTCAAGGAGAGAGTGTCTCATTTTTCCTCTTTTACTTCAGTAGCAAAAAAAAAATGCTCCAGATATAATTAACTGGCACTTTATTGGCACTATTTTCTAAAACCATCTATTTCAGCAATAATTATCATAATTAAACAGCCAAATCAAAGAGTTAGTTATGAAACTCACGCAGGCGAAAGAAATTGCCCAGCGATTAAAAACTGACCAAGGCCAACGTGAAAGTTAATTGTCATCCAAATAATCTAGACTTTTATAAAAAAAAATCAATCACCTTTGAAAAATTAGTAAAATTTTCACCTAAAAAATATGATGACAAATCAAAGATTTATCAGCATTAAAAGGAAATTGGCAAATATTTGTCCTAATTATTCATTATTTAATATATTATTATTTTTGAAAAATAAATAAATATTAAAAATTAGGGAAAAAAACACAACAAAAACAATTTGATGAATTAATAAAATACATGTACATAATTACACAATATTAAAAAGTGGACTCTATTAATTAAATATAATTAAAAAAAACTTTACCGGATGAAGAAAATGAGGCGAATTAAGCGATGACAGCAGTCACCGTGGGGTGTCCAATGTCCTTCTGGACGTCTGCACTCGAAGCGACCTCCGATCCGCGAGTGGATGTGGTCTCTTGATGGTCTGTGGCCGGACTCTCGTGCGGCGTGGAATCTGCGTGCGTGCCCTGTAAATCCACACTCGTCGGCTCGCGGCTTCACTCTGAATCTGAAGAAGGAGTCTGCCTTTTGTCAGCGAGTGTGGGAATGTGGGGGAATGTGCGGGCGGCACCTCGACCATGCCCAATTGGAATGCAATCACAAAAGAGGGGATCAGGGAATCCCTCGATCCAAGCTCCCGCTGTGAATTCCTGACACGCTGGCGACATCTGTGGGGTTGAGTGGGATTTTCATGAGTGAACCAAAACCAAATCATAAACAACAAAACAACAACAAAATAACAAAATAGAAGAACGAAAAACGAAAGCAACCTGTTGCCTTCGTTGGCTTCGATGCCTTCGATTTAATTTGGTTGTTTTTGCTCTCGTTGTCTCGTTGATGAGAGCTGAAAGCGCTATATAAAATCTAAGTGATGTATTTCAAATCATTCTTTGTCTGCTAAATAATTTTTTCTAAGAAGTTTTATCTTTCTAGGGTGAAAGATTTTGGCACATGCCTCTATGCAACAAAGCTCCACTGATTGTATGAGAAGGCCGAACGATGAACAACCCTTACAAGTCGTTGTCGAACCTGCCTGGGTATGGCGCAGGCGAAGGACTCTTAATCAACCGCATGCGAGACTGTCAGCCCTTTAAAGCCGGCAGTCCTAATGACCATGCAAACATCGAAGGTTTGTTGAAATATTTTTGGTCGTCGAAGTAAAAGCTGATTGTCCATTGAGTCCGATGCTTTAAAATTCCGGAATTATTAATTAACATTTAAAATACTGAAAATAACACTAGCAAGTGAAATAATGACATATTTTATTACCATAATTTTCTTTTCCAGCTTTCTTTAGAGCACAAGATGATACTCTGACTGATCTGCCTGAATTTCCATGGACGAAAGCCCCGGATACGCCTGAAGATGCAATATCAACACAGCATCATGCTCTGCTTGAGAAGTTATTTGCCAATAACAAATTGCACGAATCACTTTTTGCAACCTTTGCATTGGCAACCCCCGAATTTTTGGAAAAAAAATTCTACAACTGTGGCCTCCTGATCCCGGACGAGAAGAAAACCGAAGAGGATCGGCTCTGTGATCTCTCCAGAGCAACTCGGCTTGCCTTCCTCATCAACAACGCAGGGATCTACTTCTGGGGAATGCTGGACGAGGCCATCCAAAGTGGAGACGAATCATTGTTGCTGACCTTGAGATCATTCATCACAAACTACTCTGCCAAAAATGTTGCTGAACACAGGAAGAAAAATCCTCCAAAAGAACGAATTGTTAATGGTGAATTTCTGTTCAACCGTGGTATTCTGTGGCAACTCCACTTCAATCCTGTCTTGCTCAATCAGTGGCTATTAGCAGCTCTCCAAATCACCCAACAATTTTACTTGCGCTCATTTATTAAGTATCTTCCCATTCCTGAGCAAGTAGCATCCGTCACTCAAGAGATCCAGGTCTTCCTTAGAGATGTGCTGAAGAGGTTGAGCTATGGATTTGCTCTGATTGGTTACCAAGTAAGGAGGCATCCGCAGAAAGATGAGCGAGTGACCAAATTGATCATGGAAGAGGTGGTTGACCCCGTTATGGCCTCCATCAGGGTCATGAGTGAACCCCCCTTTCAGCTCCTTTGCAAAGCCCTGCCTCATATCCTCATTGCTGCTGCAAAAGACGAAAAGATGTCTCTTGGAAAAAATGTCTACATCGATCCTAGGAACTACTCTTTTGACACTGAAGAAAGCTTTGAATTCATTTACTCTTTTCAGTACTGGATTACTGAGGGAATAGTCAAACATTGTTTCGGGGATGTTAGGACAAAAATTGAGGATGTGAAAGCTAAAATCAACGAGAGCAAGACATTCCCATTTCTAGACAAGATACCAGTTTACATGAGTAAATTGGACAAGGCTGCCCACGAGCTCTACATCATGAAAGAGTTAGATCTTGATGATCTAATTGAAGGTGGAGATGATGTTGTCTGTGAAGTACATGATGTGGAAAGCTTTAACACTTTTCTAATGAAAGTGTTCTTTAAAACTCAAGAAATTGACATCAACCCTGGGAAAAGTCGCATGGACAGTTGCCTACTGCATTTGTTGCTACAAGAACATACAATCTTGATTAAGGATACGTCAATAAGAGGATTAGTTATTGCGGAAAATCTCCAGAAAATAGTAGTTTGCAAGGATTGCAGCCCTGAAGACATTGAAAAGGCTTTGTCATTCATAAAATGCTACAAGGAAAACACTTTTCGGCAGCAGGCTGATGAGCATTTGAAGAAGTGGAATAGTACAAACCTCATTGGTCCCATTGAGTTTTTGGGCACGGTTGACCCTACTGCACCACAAAAAACCATAGAGGTATAGTTCTAAATTTCTGGTTATTTTCAAATTAAAACTGATTATTAATATTTAATATTAATTTGCAGGAAAGATCTATTCTCCTGGCCGGACAAATGATTCATTTGGACTCAGAATTTCGTCCAAGATACCCTGACTGGACCTTCATCTACTACATCTTTCCAGCCTTTGTGATTTGCTTCCGTAAGACAAAAGGAGAATTTGAGCACAAGTTGTCCAAGTTTTACCTGGAGGAACTGCTTTCCCTCCTCACCAAGGATTACGATGCTTGGAGGTCTGGATCAGGACTTGCAGAAATGTCCACAAACTGCTACCTGACTGGAGATCCGAGTTACGTCACCTCCCTCCTAGCTTGGAGGAAAAAGTTCCTAGATAGAATTTGCCATGCAGTGTCCAAAAAGTGCAAAAATGTCACTGCGCCGATCGAGAAACTGAATGAACTGCTTTCTCTCAACGCAGCTAACAACGTTCCCTCTCGAGACCCAGCCATGACCTACGCGCTCCATCGATTTGCCTTTGATTGGACGCTTCGGGGCATCATTTGGACCAACATGATGATTTTTGCCCTGACAGAGGCAATTTCTAAATGCGCAACAGAACCATCATCAAATCTCAAAAGTCTGCTTCTAGCCATTTACTCCATGATCGAACTGGTGAGTTTGTTTGAGACTCAATCTTCTGAGTTCAATGCTCAGCGTGATGATCTGAACCTGAGATTCCAAACTCTGGATGACGCCTATCTGGAGCTTATGGGAGAAAATAAAACACTTTCAAAGAGCAAAGGTGCAGCCAATGCTTGGCAGAGGCTGGGAGTGATTCTGCACCTGCTTTACGACATGTGCAAAACTGTAGAGGTCCCGGGTAACTACAAGCCACCCATCTACTACCCTGAAGACACAAAACTCATTATCACCCATTTTGCTGAAAAGAAACTGGATAAACTCAAGATTGCAATTGCCTCAATCTGCATTGATGTCAACCGTCAAGATCGGACCTGGACCTCGTTGGAGGTAATGAATAATTCACCCCAGAAGTTGTTCACTCCGTACCTCGATAGAATCAAGAAGGGCAAGATCAGACGCTGGCATGAAGATGTGCTGATTCCTGTCAAACATTGCCGATTTTGCGGAAAAGTCAATGGCAATCTGGTCATGTGCAGCGCCTGTCAGGACAATGATGACTACCCTGACGTCAACTGGTTCTGCGGAGAGGAGTGCGAGACTAAAGCCTTTCTTAAAACTTCACACAAAGAAGATCATGAAGATTTCATCATACATCAGATTAGCTTTGAATGATTCCTTGATTGAATGATTTAATTTTCATTAAAAAATGCATACTAAAATTAAATATAAATTTTTGTGTTTATTAAGTATTCTTATCTAATCCATTTAATTTTTTTTATGGAAGGAAAAAATATGATATTATGAATTTTCACTTAATTATAAATATATTATGATAAAGAATTCCATTGTGATTAAAGAAGGTCTGAAAACCAATAAACAAGTAGGTTACCATTGAAAAAGCTGCTTTTAATCACTTATTCTACATGTGTAGTGCATTATGTATTTATTTTGCATGATTTAACAATTGAATATAATAAAAAAAGATCGATATTATAAATTTAATGATAGAGCGCCAATGAGAAAAAAAAGAGGAAGATGCTATAGAATAGAAGGATAGTAAATATTTCGAAATATTTATTAGTTAAGAGAGAGAGAGTTATTAGTGGAGTGACTATTGTTAAATTATTTTAATTATTTTATTAAAATACGAACCGTAAAAAATACATATAATAAAATTCCACGCGTTAAACCTACAGTGCGGCAACATAATGTGAGAGAACATCTTTTATAGATCCATTCCAATCTATCAAAATGAAAAACTGGTATGTGACTCCTCCCCCTTTCGAAACTTGTATAGCCTTTTTGTTGCTTGTACAGTCCAGCTCAACAAGGTCCAGCTCCTTGGTCCAGCTGCTTGAGAGTCATCAAATCATCAACATATGGACATTAGAAGCTGGATTGGTCGAGACGCCATTTTTCGGTTTCAAGACCCCGGGCAGCCTGGGGTCTTGAAACGGAAAAATGGCGTCTCGACCAATCCAGCTTCTAATGTCCATACATCAACATCGTCATCAGTAAACAAAACAGAAAAGTCGAGAATCGCATTGTCGCAGTCAATGAAAACCGTAGGCAGAGACAGGTAGGAGATAAGATAAAAGCGATTTTTCCTCTAAACTCAGGACTTATAATTTTGGGCGTGCTTGTTTTACACGTTAGGTAAAATTTCCTCTATTTTTTTATTGTGTATTATTCTATAAATATATATAAATTATAAAAATTTAATATTATCTTGCGCATGCACGTGTGTACTTATAATAATTACAACTTCATTTTTAAATCTAGTACAAATGCAACGGAACAGCAGAATAATTACATTGAGGCCGCACAATGGACAACTTGTGTGACCTGCTGTCCACCCTTTCTGAGTTTGGCGACGCTGCTGTTGTTTTTGTCGATCTTCGGGGTAAAAGTCCACCCGTTTCAGACAATGAAAACCATGAAGACGAACCAGATAGAGGTACGTGTTTTATTTAATCAAGATTTAGGATGAAATTTAAAAAAAAAATGATTTTGTTTCAGTTTTTCTCAAAAGACAAGAAGTTAATGTAGCTTATCTACCAGATTTTCCTCGGCCAGATCCGCCAGGTGAAGTCATCTTTATGGAAATGTTAAGCAGAGCTGGCACGCAGGCGATTCCTCTACATGAAAAGTTTTTTGCCAAAAAGCAACTACACAAATCCCTCTACACTACCTTTGGAGTGGCAACGCTTGAGTTTATGGACACTGAATTCTATGACTGTAGCCTCCTGTTTTCCGACAAAGCAAAAACCAAAGAAGATCGTTTCTGTGATCTGAGCAGAGCGACTCGTGTAGCCTTCATCACCGACAATGCGGAGCTCAATTTCTGGTCCATGCTAGACAAAGCTGTAAAAAGTGGAAACGAATCAGCGTTACTGACTTTGAGGTTGTTCCTTACTAACTATATTGGAAAAGATGTTGCCGAATACATGAAGAAAAATCATCCCAATCAAAACTTCTCTCCTGGTAAATTTCTACTCAACCCTGGTATTCTTTGGCAGCTCTACTTCAATTCTGCGTTGTTAAACCAATGGCTAATGATGGCCCTCTTTATTGTCTTGAAGCACGAGGCATGCAGCATTTCTTTATTCAAGCACCTGCCCATTCCAGAGCAGTTAGCCCCGGGTGTCCAAGACCTTCTGATGTTCTTCAGGGACCTGTGGAAAAGGCTTAACTATGGCTTTGCCCTGCTTAGTTATCTGGTCAAGATTCATCCGAATACAGATGAGCAAGTGACAAAACTGATTATGGAGGATGTGGTTGCTCCTGTGTTGGCCTCCATCAGGGTCATTTTGAATGAAGAGCACCATTTCGAGAAGCTTTGTGTTAACCTGCCAAAGGTCATATTAACCGCAAGGCAAGATGGATCCTTTGGTAAAGATGTCTTCATCAACCCCAGGAATTACTCCGTTGACCAGACAGTTGAAAACTTTGATACGATTTACACAATTCGATACTGGGTTTTAGGAGGAGAATCCAAGGAATGCTTTGGTAGTATCAAAACCAAAATTGAGGACTTGAAAGCAACAATAAATGAGAGCAAAATGTATCAGTTTATGGACAAGATGCCCATCTTCGTCAGCAGCCTAGACCGAGCCGCAAACGCACTTTATTTAACAACAGATTTAGCAAGTAAAGTACATGATTTGGAAAGCTACAAAAATTTTCTATCTAAGGTGTGGGAAAAAAATGATGAAGTCGACATCAGTCGCGGCAGCAAACTTGATAGTTGTCTACTCACTTTGTTGCATGAAGAACAACGTGCCTTGAAGAACAGTGTTGGAGCAAGAACCTTTGTCATGCAGGGGAAGAAACTAGAAGTCGTGGCTAATTTGTCAGTTGTGGAAGAGACTATTATCTTAGTGAAGAGCATAGAAAAAAGAAAGCTTCAAAAGCAGGCTGCCAAATATTTGAAGGAATGGGACGGAAAAAACTGTATCAACCCTTTCAATTTTTTGGAAAAGCTTGACCTGTCAAACCAAAAAAATTCCATTGAGGTATTTCCACTGAATTTTATCTGTAACTTTCAAAAATAATTATTTATTTTTCTTGTAGGCAAAAACTTTTAGATTGGCTAAACAAATGGTATGTTTTAAATCATCACCAGGTTACCCTTACTGGACTTTCAACTACTGCATCTTGCCAACATTTGTGAATTGCTTCCGTACTAATAAAAAGCGTGCTAAATTTGAGCACAAGTTGTCAGAGTTCTTCCTCGAGGAACTGCTGTCCCTCCTCACCAAAGATCACGATGCTTGGAGGTCAGGATCAGGTCATGCCGAATTTTCTACAAAAGACCACCTGTCTGAAGATGAAAGTTATGTCACCTCTCTCATAGATTGGAGGAAAAAGTTCCTGGACAGAATTTGCCATGCAGTGTCCAAGACGTGCAAAAATGTCACTGCGCCCATTGAGAGATTTAACAAACTGCTTTCCCTCAACGCAGCAAATACCTTGCCCACTCTGAATGACATCATGACTGCCACTTTTCAAAAATTGGCCTTTGACTGGATGCGAAAAAGTGCTTACTGGATCAATATGATAATGTTTTCCCTAACGGAGGCAATTTCTAAATGTGCAGCAGAACCGTCAATCAATTTAAAAAATCTGATCCTAGCCATTCACACCATGATTGAACTGGTGAGTTTGTTTGAAACTCAATCAACCAAGTTCAATGCCCAGCGTAAAGAACTAAAACTGAGGTTACAAACTCTAGACGACGCTTATCTTGAGCTGATGGGAGAAAACAAGGCACTTTCAAAAAGCAAAGGCGTGGCGAATACTTGGCAAAAGCTCGGACTGATTCTCCACCTGCTTTACGAAATGTGCAAGACTGTAAAAGTTCCAAAAAACTACAAGCCACCCACCTACTACCCTGAAGACTCCAAACTTATTATTATGTGTTTTGCTGAGAGGAAACTTGATAAACTCAAGATTGCAATTGCTTCAATTTGCATTGATGCCAAACGCCAAGATCAAACCTGGACTACAGTGGAGGTAATGAAGAATTCGCCTGAAAATATGTTCACTCCTTGCCTCGAAAGAATCAAGGAGGGCAAGATCAGAAGCTGGGACGAAGATGTCCTGATTCCTGTGAAGCACTGTCGTTTCTGCGGGAAAGTCAATGTCAAGTTGATGATGTGCACTGCGTGCAAGGATATGGACGAGTACCCTGACATTCACTGGTTCTGCGGAGACAAGTGTGAGGCCAACGCCTTTAAGAAAACTAATCTTCGAGATGATCACGAAAATTTTATTCTCGATAAGATGGTTTTTTAAATGGAAAAAATATTGAGAAGGTTAACATCAAATATTTAAATTTCTTTGGATAGTCGGTAATTTTTTTTTCAAAATTATTTTTTATTTTCTGCAAAATGGATATTAGTGTGATAGATGTCTAGCTTCATTTTTAATGTGTTTTTGATGTGATTTTATTTGGATTTATAAAGTTTTTAAGAAACTAATACGGATGTATACGGACAAAGTGAGAAAATTTAAATTTTTACAATAAATTATTGCAATTTTTAGCTATCAACAAATATTTTAAGTTGTCTTTATTAAAATATTCTAACATTACTTAGCAGATGATTTACTTTTCTTTCCTTGCCTCTTCATTTTCTGATGCTGGCTTTCCCAATTAGGATATTCCTTCAGTTCAGGGATCACATAGTCTTTGTTGAGGTCAGCAATTTGGGGGAAGCTGTCGACCTTTTCCTTCTCCATCAAATCCAGCCTCTCGGGTATGGGCCGCAACTGTCTGATGACATTGGTGACTCTGGCTGCCACTTCCGGGTCGACTTCTTCATCTGCATACAAGTGAAGTCGCATCATGTTGTGTCTTCTGAGCAAGTTGCCGTGCATGCTTGTGTAGACTGCTTTTTTCATGACCTGTGGATAGTAACAAAATATAAAAATCAAATCCATATAAATTTGCGGCTGATAAATAAGTTTTGGAATTATAATCCATTATACCATGGTCGGGTCTCTGGTGTGCATTTCCCATGCTGGTGTCCATGTTGCAGTACCGGGGTAAGTTTGGTGATGAAAAAATACCCTTTTCCTCCACTCATTGCCGGGTAAGGCAATGTGACGGCAATTTATCACAACCACGTGATCACCACAAAGACCTGAAGTTTTTTTAATAAGTTAAAAAGCTGTTCATAAATTTTGATCAAAACTTTTTTCAACTTACTCTGTTCGCTATACAAAGGTTTTTGGAGGCCCTTCAAGTGCTTGGCAATGAGTACCCCTGAGTCGAAAGGGTTTTGCCACCTGGCGTCAAAGAGATGCCAAACTCGGGCAAAAGATGCCCATTGCTAAATTGTTAAGAAAAGAAGCAATTAATGAAATAATTTTTGTTAAATAAAAGCTTTCTCACTTGAACTCTTTGTAAAGCAGTCATGTGTGGTCTTCTTTGTCGTCTGTTTCTCAAGAAATTTTGATCCAAAAGTTCAGTTCAAACTGTAGGTCCGGGTTGTCGAGGTCAGTGATGAGGGTTCCGAACCAGCTTCAACAAACCTGAGGGTCAAAATTAACTTCAAACTTCGGCAAACAAAATACCCCTTTAAAATTCTGTTGTTTTGCTCTTTGCTTGCTTTTTTTAAGTTTTAATACCCCCACTACCGAATATATCAGCTCCCCACCACAATAATGTGAACCTGATGTGAACCTTCCGCGCATGACTTTTTTCGCTGACGAAAACAAACAGATGATTCAAGATCAAAACACACCCCTTTCGCCAATCCTGTCACTATCGATCCGTGAATTTTTATTTACATTTTTTCTGTTTACGTTTGACTGCGCCTGTTGTTGTCAATTCGATTTCGGCACCAACGTACACAGATATGCAGGTAAAATAAATTTTTTGGTGCGAATCGTTTCTCACTCTCGTTTCAATGGAGAATTTGGATTGGAAAAAAAATCCGGTATCATTTTTGTCATGGAACTTCTATGTGTCTTCTGTCTTTTTACTTGGCAAGTTAATTATTTGATTAGCTGTCGGAGAAATTTCAATGTTTGATAGCTAATGACGACGTTGTTTATAAAATAAAATCAGCTTCGTAAAATTGCAACTTTCCTTGATACCAAATTTTACATGAGTTTAATATAATTAATTTATTTTTAATTGTGTAGAATTTCACGTCTTCCTCTACAATGAAGTCTATTAAAATTGATCAAACGGAATTATTCGAATTATATTATAAGCTGGATCATTTGAAAAAATCTTTAGTTTTCATCAGCAAATAAATAATTATAAATAATATGTAATTATATTAATTATAAAAAAACATGCTTTACTTCCTCAGGAGATGCAGCTGTATGGAATTTGCTAACCTTTGAAGCTTCAAGTCCAATCGAAAATGGTGGTCAAAGACAATTTTGAGACGGAGTATTCTGACTCGGACCCTGGTGAGTCTAAAATAATCGCCTGTCACGCAACTGCCAAACCAGACCTGTAATTGTTCCATTTCTCACACCACCTCTGTCTAACTTTCAGCGCCGCAAGAGCCGGGCAGTAGCGCAGCCGAGTCCGAGGCGGCGCCCACCGACGAACAACAGGGTGAGTTTTTCTCCTAATTCCACTTGCGGATTCACGGACAGGCGCGACTCGTTTCTGCACTTGCACGGCGTCATTGTCAACAAAAATTATCATGCTTTTGTCTCACAGAGTCAAACATGAAAATATTTTGTTTTTTATTATTTCATTTATTTTTAAAGTTGTGCAAAATATATTCAATTAGTAGGCGCTTAAACATAATTTAAGAATTTTTTTGCGTAAAATACAAATAAGCTTAAAAGAATTAAATATAATTTATTGATGTAGAGGACGTTTTCCAGCTCTGGCATTTAAAGTCGTCTAGAAAGGTCAAGTTTATCTTAAATCGATAATTTTTATTGGGGCATTTTTTATTCAGCCTAGAATGAAGCCTAGTAAGCGCACGGAGTTGCGAGTCACGGAAGTCACGCACTCGTTAAAACTTGGGCTACTGCTTCTTGAGTACCTTTTCCAGACTGATAATTTTATTATGCGTCCACCACACACAGAGGACAACTGCAACAGAAATTTTTCACTTATCCATCTAAAACAAGTATTTTTTTTAATTATTGCTATTCCTATCAAGAGCAGCATTGAATTATAAAAAATTACATAATTTGGTGATTTAAATATTTCACTTTTTTAGAGCTGCGCGTTAAATTAAATCTTTATTCGAATTTATGTAAATTTTACCAGAGCATATTTTTATTACATTCATCAACTTTATTTTTGGCACGGAATGGGAAAATCCGAGCATAGCGCGCATTTGCACCCTCACTTGTAGGGTTTCCTCCACCAGTGTGTTTGCGTTATTTTGCACTGCTTGCAACTGACCACAGTCGAGGAGGTGGTCTTCCCTCTTTAAGTCGCCTCAGTGTCTTTTGTCTATACCAGTGAATCAGTGAATCGTTCAAATTTTCCTAGAGGTAATAAAACCACGTTTTTAAACTTCTAGACAAAAGTTAAATAACGTACGGTTGTAATTTGTATGCGCAAAATTAATCATTGTGTCATTAAAAACTTATCTCTCTCTCTCTTAAAACCTTGACTTAATTTTTATTCACAATCTGATTATCTCTTATCTTTGGGGAACTTCAATTATTCAAACCAATTGAAATTTTATGTTAAAAATTTTATAATTGATTTTAATGTTTTTTCAATTATGAGAGTACAATTTATTCACCTGCCCTTTTTGATAACACAGTAATTTCGGTTCAGGAGATAATGTTGCACTTAGTAGCACCTGCGCTGCTGGTGCATCTGCGGAGATAAGAGATAAGCTCTGAGCACTCTTATCTTTTAATGCCAAATTTTGCTGCGTCTGTATTTTTCCCTACATTAGTTGGCGCCTCTCTTTCTGCTCTTTTCAGATGTCGACGACCCGCAGCCCGACCCACCGAATTCACCAACTTTGGGCCACTCGGGCGCCTGCCCGTTGCCTTTGACTGCGCCCGAGACGCCGACTGAGGAACACCGAAACTTAGCCAGCCCTTTTCCAGACTCTTCAGCCGCCACTCAGCTCATCCACTCGTGCACAGATTTGGAGTCTGACGAGGAGGCTGCCGAACTTGAAGACGAGGCTGTCGATGTCCACACCCCAACCGAACTTGGTAAGAATTTTTTTTAGGACCTTTCAATATTAGGCTATATCTATATTTAATGATATCTTTAAAATTTATTGCCAATAAAATAAGAATTAAAAAAAAATCCAAACGAGGCTCTAACACCGTTGAAGAATTAAAAATAAAAATAAAACTCACTGACTAAAATCCCAGGTTGGTAAATTACTGGTAGACCACAAGTCGTCTTTTATTGTCCATATTTTCCAACGATGATTAGCTCTTGGTTTAAAATTTGTCATGAAATTCACCTGTTAACTTTCAATTTAGACTTCACGGATAATATTATAGCGATTTTCTAAATTGTATTATATTATTAAATTGTGAAATTTTAGAGGAAGACGTTGCGGAGTCTTCTGTTGCGCCGTCGCTGAAGGCTTTGGAGCCCCAGAGTCCGCCGTCAACTTCAACTTCGAGCAAGGACCAAACAGCAACTGTTCTGCCTTGGGGTGCTCACAAAGAGCGATCACCATACCCGTCTAGTGTGCACATTGACATGGACATCAAACCTGGAGAATATGTCATGCGAACTTTGTTCGCTGAGTTCACTGTACAGGCTGAGCGAAAAATCGAAGCTGTCATGGCTGAGCCTCAGGCAAGCAAAATTTAAATATTAATCTCCAATCGAAATAAATATTATTATAATATAATATTTTAAAGATTTTAACTATTTAAATCTTATAACAATTATTTTGTTATCAAATTTTTAACATTTATTGTCAGTATGTTTTACTTTTTTTTTGCAAACAAAAAATCATTATTATTTTTTTAAACCCTTTTTTGGAAGTTGAATTAACAAACCTACTAAAAGATTTAATTTTTAATAAGAGATTTAAATTTATATAAAAAATATCTGCAGGAGAAGCCTCTATCCAAATCCCTGCAAAGAGGTGAGGATGCCCCTTTCGATCAGTTGTTGGGAGCTTTTGGCTCGGTGGCAGAGCACTGCTTGCCGTCGCTGCTGAAAGCCCTGTTTTCTTGGTACGAGAGACAGATCAGCGTCAACTCGGGCACAACTTCGCCAGCCTCGTCAGCCGCCTCTCCCGAACAGAAACGAGTCACCACTGAATCCAAGGGCAAAGTTGCTGATTCTTCCGCTGCTGCCGAGGGAGACGTGGCCACAGAAAAGAGAGACCTTGCAGTTGAGTTTCTTTTCTGCTTGGTGCTCATAGAAGTCCTCAAGCAGCTTCCTTTCCACCCTGGCCAAGATGACTTGGTCACTTACATCGAAAACCTTGCATTCAGACATTTTAAATACAGAGAAAGGTACTTAATTTTATTCAAAAGTTGGTAATTTTTAAATTTTAAATTTATTTGCAGTGTTCAAAGTAGTCCCAACGCAGACAACATTCACATCATGGCTGACTTGTACGCTGAGGTCATTGGAGTTTTGGCTCAGTCAAGGTTCATGTCTGTTCGCGCTCGATTCATGGCAGAGCTAAACGCCCTGAGAGCCAAAGAACCCAGTTCTGCCACCACACAGTCTGTCATTTCGCTATTGATGGGAATGAAGTTCTTCCGAGTCAAGGTACAAAAGCATTAAAATAAACTCCGACGCCAAATCATTCCCTTCTCTTCAGATGGTGCCCATAGAGGAGTTTGAAGCTTCTTTCCAGTTCATGCAAGAATGCGCACAGTACTTTCTTGAGGTGAAGGACAAAGACATCAAACACGCCCTTGCTGGTCTATTTGTGGAAATCTTGATTCCAGTTGCAGCTGTAAGTCTATTGATCGCATGATATTGACTTTTTTTCTAATTCTGAGGTATTTCCTCTCCAGTCTGTGAAAAACGAAGTGAACGTTCCTTGTTTGAAGAACTTCGTAGACATGCTGTACCCACAGACTCTTGACATGTGCACCAAAAGTAAACACAGACTTGCAATCTTTCCTTTGGTCACTTGTCTGTTGTGTGTGAGCCAGAAAACATTTTTCCTCCAGTATTGGCACTACTTTTTGGCCATGTGTTTGTCACATTTGAAAAACAGAGACCCAAAAATGAGCCGTGTTGCGCTAGGTAAGATTCGAATAGAAATTTTCAAACTAATATTTTAATCCCCGATAATTACAGAATCTCTTTACCGTCTTCTCTGGGTGTACATGATCAGGATTAAGTGTGAAAGCAACTCTGCAACTCAATCTCGACTTCAGAGCATTGTGAACTCGCTCTTCCCCAAAGGCTCCAAGGCTGTGATGCCAAGAGACACGCCTTTGAATATTTTCGTTAAGATCATTCAATTCATTGCACAGGTATGGCTACTAAAGTTTTTGCTGGGAAAACTCTGAATCTAATTTGTTTCCAGGAGAGACTGGACTTTGCTATGAAAGATATCGTATTTGAATTGCTTTCTGTCGGTCGGTCAATCAAAGTGATTATGACCCCTGAGAGAATGAGTATAGGCCTGCGAGCCTTCCTTGTGGTCACCGACTCCTTACAGCAAAAGGAAGGGGAACCACCCATGCCAAGGACCGTTGGTGTGTTGCCATCAGGAAGCACCCTCCGCGTCAAAAAGACCTATCTGAACAAAGTTCGAAGCTTAATTAATATTTCAAATCTATGCACTAACAAGTTATTTGTAGATGTTGACTGAAGATACTGCAAGAAGTATTGGAATGTCTAACTACTTTTCGTATGTAAGACGAACTTTCGATGACATCCTCAGAGCTTTGGATGCTCAATTTGGAAGGCCCTTGATGATGACCAACACTCAAAATGTCAACAAAGTGTGTTTAAAGATAGCAAATCTAATCAAATTTTTACATTTCCTTTGTAATTCCAGGAACCCGATGAGTTAATATCTGGAGAAAGAAAGCCTCGAATAGACTTGTTCAGAACCTGCATTGCTGCCATCCCAAGGCTGATTCCTGACGGGATGACTGGGCCAGAGCTGGTTGATCTTCTCTCACGACTGACTGTTCACATGGACGAAGAACTTCGAGGTCTCGCCTATCAAAGTCTCCAAACTTTGGTGATCGATTTCCCAGACTGGAGGGACGATGTAATTCGAGGTTTCACCCAATTCATCGTCAAGGACATTCCTGACACATCGCCGCAGTTGCTGGACCAGGGTTTGCGGATCTTGCTTCAACTGCTCACCAACTGGAAAAACGCTCCTCCCGGCGCTCCCAAGAGTGGAGATCCCCTTCGAAACAATTCATTTATCACTCATGGAGCGGTAAGAGCACTTTTGTTAAAAAAATGGATTCATCAAAATTGAACAACTTTTCAGTCTTACAAAGTTGAACCACCGTGGGCGGTGACCAATGTTGTTGAAGGATTTGCTCTAGTCATGCTATGCCATTGTCGTCTCTCGGTGAGGAGATTGGCTGTCCACATTTTGAAGGAGGCTAAAACTCTGGTGTATCTGCTGAGTAACTTTTTGTAATAACATAAACATGACTTAATTTTTCTTGATCATATTAGACACAGCCAACTGCAGCTCTCCAAACCCTCCCGTCATCGACGTAATCGACAAATGCTGCGCTCAAGTACTTGAGAGATGCTACCATCTTTTATCTCCTGCTGAGAAAGCGGCCGCCATGTCCACCTCACACATAGATCTGCAGTGGATTGCTGACAGGAATTCTTCTGTTTGGACAGCTGGTACATTAAATTTTGATCCTTTGCAGAAGTTCCTGGAATTTAATATATTTCTATTACTAGGATACATTGATGAAAATTGCACCGCATCTCGAAGCTCGTCTTGTCTCAACTTGAGCGGTGTTGACCCATGGAGTGCTTGTTTGTTTGGGTTTCTAGAGGAGGGCAGAGTTGTTACCCAATGTCCAGCTGCAGTCAAATACGCGTGGCCTGTTGTCTTTGCCCGACTCAACACTCTCTTCACCGTTGTGGACCCAACGTGATTGAACCTGAATTAAATTTAATATGTGTAATAATGTAATTAACTTTTAGTCCCGTGAGTGACAACAGAGCTTCTCTGTTAAGAAGTTCAGCTCCGCCAAAACGACCAGCTAATGACAAAGATGTGCACTTGTGGAGGAATTATGTCAGTTTTACATTCCGGGTGGTTCCCACTGTTCCAAGTCCGATAGTCCGTTGCGCTTCTCCAGATCTAAGTTTGAGGTATTTGGAATTTAAATCAACTTTTTAATTATTAAAAATATATATTTTTAGTACCAGCCCAGACAGCCTGTTGGACAGAGTGGAGAGCAAATCGCCTGGCACCAGTATTATGGCTGGGATGGTTGGCGTCACAGGTGGCAGTTTGGCCAGCGGTGTCCTGGGCTCGAGCTTCTCTTCGTTCTCGTCAGGAACTTCATCTTCTTCAACTTCCTCCACATCCACGGCTCATGCTTCCCCTGGCGCCCTTTACAAACTTGTCGTTCCTTTGCTTAGATGTGAGTCAACAGACATTCGAGATGCAGTGGTCCAAGCCATTGGAAGGGTCAACCCTGAAGCTTTGAAGTATTAAAATCAAATTGATTGCAATTGATACATTTATTTTTCTTTAATGCCTTAAAGGGACTTGATGGAAGAATTGGTTCCTTATGTGAGAGAGGCGGTTGATCGAAAGCAGGAAAACATGCGACGCCGACGAAGAAGAGATGCTCTGCGTTTGCAGTTGGTCAAAGTTTTTGAGTTGGTGGCTGAACATGGCACTTTTGGCATTAGGTAAGTGCAATAATAAACTAAAATGAGTAATATTTAATTTCCTCTTAATATAGTCAATGCGTTTTGGATCGTGATTCGTCGAGTTTACACCCCACTTTTGTTGAGTATGTCGAAGGAGCTAGGCAGTATTTGGAAAATGAGCCAGACAAAGATTCGTCTGTTGTGAAAGAAATCAAGCTCCACTTCTGTGACTTCTTGCGAAAAATGCTGAAAAGCTTTTCAAGTAAACTTAAATTTTTTTAGTTAACCAGAAAATTAATAACCTATTTGCAGTGGATTCAAGGAGGATGCTATTGAAGCGAGATTTGCACAATAAATTGTTCTGGCTGCTGAACGGCTGGACCACCAAGTACACCGTCAATAACACAGCCGCTTTCAATAACAAAAATGCTGCACAAGCTTGCAAAAAATGGTAAATTTTCATAATTATATTCTGAGAAATTTTTACAGAAATGTTTTAAATAGTGTTGAATTGAACGAAGCTGCAAACCAATCCTCAGACGAAGCTTGCTCAGAGTTGGAATTTGCAGCTCTTCAGGCAATGTCTGCTCTGCTTTCGTGCGGTCCGTGCTTTACGAACCAAGGACTTTGCTATGAGGGAATCTTCTATCCCTGGCTAGACATGATGCTAGACAGTTCAATTGAAAAGGTAGTCGGATAACTAGTTTCTTTTGATTTTCTAAATCATTTTGTTTCCCAAGGTTTCTCAACTAGCACGAGACACAAGCATTCTGCTTCTTGAGTGCAACCCTGATGTTGGCTCATTGCTTGACTGGGCAATCGACCGCTGCTACACAGGCACCCCTGCAGTAGCTGATGGATGCTTCCTTTCTTTGGCTGCTATATTTAGCACAAGGTAAAATAATTTTTTTGTCTTTAAAACCTGATAAACTTGATTTTCCTTTTAGAGAGTACCCCTGTGACAGCTATGTTGCTGTGATCAATGTGACCCTGATGGCCACAGGTTGTCCTCGCCCTGAGGTGCATGAGGCTGCCCTTCAGCTTTTGCAAGTTTTGGATAAGCGATTTTTTGGAGCAGTGCTTCCTCTAGCAACTGATGGTAGAATCATAATGCATCTAATTTTTTAAAATGAAATCATTTTTTACATCAGGGTCTATGTATGGTCGAGGTCGTGAAACTCTGGACCTTCTCCTTTCCAACACATACTGCCGCTCACAGCAGTACCTCTCGAGACAACTCTCGCAGCTCCACCCCCAGCTCACCATGCCAATGTTCTCAGGTGAATAGTGAATATTATAAAGAGTTAAACCCTAGAGCATATAACTTAATATTTACTGCAGAGGTATCCCACCGGCTACAAACTGCTCGACCTGAGGTTCGGCAGCTTCTGCTGCAGTATCTTCTGCCCTGGTTGTACAACATGGAGCTAGTGGACCCAAATGTGCCTCCTGGAAATCCCCTCTCGTACTTCCAATGCTACAGCTCTGAAGTGCGTGGCATCTGCAATAATGGCAGACGTGAGGGATGGGGTTCAGCGGAGGCGACGGAAATGATTTTGAACAATGTCTTTTACATAACAGCTAAGGTAACAAAAGTTTAAATTTTCAATGAATTTGCTTGAATCATTCCCTGTTAGTTTGCTGATCATCACCCTAAAGAAGTTGAAGCACTTTGGTCCGCCCTGTGCGCCTGTTGGCCCAACAACCTCAAAGTCATTCTGCGATACTTGTTGATTGTGTCAGGCATGTCTCCAGATAAGCTCTTGCCCTACGTAAGATTATTTGTTTTTTCTATGCATAAAATAACATTTTAAAAAACAATTTCAGGCAAAAAGAGTGGCTGTATACATAGCCAGGGCAAGACCTGAGAGGTTATTGGACGAAGTTACTGGAGAGTTGCAGGCAGTCGAGACCCTAAACTGTCTGATCGAGCGGACAGAAACACCACCCTTCTACCGACTGACCTCCATGCGCAAAGCTTCTTCACACTCGGATGGTCCTGGAGGTGTGGGAGGCAACCAAGGTGATTCCGCTGGCGCAGGAGGACTGCGAGTTGACATGGCTGTGGAGAAAGGAACAATTCACACCAAGAGACACAGTGGAGAGGAGCACATAAAAACAGGGTAAATATTCCAATTTGTAAAGTTTATATTCACTCAAATCTTTGAATAAATTCAGCACCTCAAAATCGGACTCTGCCTTGAAGGCCATGGGAGGCTACGCTCCACTTACCCGCAATGAAAAATCACGCACCATCAGTGGCCCAGCTGTAGCTCCTATCCTCATGCAGACTGATGAAGGGGCCACTTCTCCTGCAAATGCAGATGTAATTTATAAAATAATTTTATATATATACTTTTCTAAGCAATAAATTTTAGGCTGCAGATGGAAACGAGTCAGGAAACCCTACAAATTTTGAGTCTGCCTCAATGCCGTATCCACTACCAATGCCGGAGTTTGGTGGCTATTTTGCACCTCTAACAGAATTCCTCCCTGATATATCTCAACCTATTAGTGGTTTCCATAGGTTTGATGCTACAATATGGAATTTGGTAGTAATTAATTGTTTTTATCAGGTGCAATTTGGCCGTCATGCTGTTGGCCGACGTTGTGATTGACGGAGTTGACGTTGATTGGTCTATCCATGTGCCATTGATGCTGCATATGGCCTTCCTCGGGCTGGACCACACCCGCCCTCTGGTTCATGAGCACTGTCGGCGCCTTCTTCTGAATCTGCTGCTTGTCTTGGCTGACCACTCGGACAGTTTCACTGTGGCCAGAACCCTCTTGAACTGCAAAACGGCCGGTCTGGGCTTGGGCTTGCCAACGCCATCTCTTCCAGTCATTGTGCACAATTTTACAGGTTTGAAATTTGGAAAGAAAAATTGGGCTAGGGAATTTAATTTAAAAAATTTGAAATTCCAGAGCCACATGCTGAGTTTGACGCATACCTCCAAAACAATGGAGGCCAAACCACCACGCCTCAAGGCGATTCTCTTACTTCATCAGGTCAGTAATCTTCATAAATTTGCATTACAACTTTTTTTTTAATTCTTGTATCTGTAATTTAGAATGTGGTTCAGTGACCCCGCCGGCTGTGATTGTGACTTCTGAAGAAAAGGCTCCATGGAAAGCTTCAAACTTGACAACTCCTGATGTTGTCAAAGCTCTCATTTGCTTCTTATCGTCAAGGTTTTAAAGTTTGTTTAATGAGATTTGGAATAGCTCCAATGTTATTCATTCCAGAGGGAACCAGCCTCTTTGGGGTTACGAGGACATCACGGCTAAAGTTTGGACAATCCGAAGCGCTGAGCAGATGGATGTCTTTCTTCAATACATGTTGAGAGTTTTCCGTGAATCACTTCCACACGCTCTTATAAGCGAAAGATGGGCGCAAACTGCTCTCCAGTTGGGCCTGTCATGCTCTTCTAGACACTATGCAGGGCGATCTTTGCAGGTAAGAACGATTTAAATTTGCATAATTATATAAAGAAAATTTAAAATAATCCATCTTTTAAAATGTTCAGCTCTATCGATCACTGCGAGTTCCGATCACTTCCAGAATGCTATCAGACATTCTCTCTCGACTTGTGGAGACTGTCGCTGAGCAGGGTGAAGACATGCAGGTCAGTTCAAAATATTGTAATAAAACAGCTTGACATGATAATATGAAATTTTACTTAGGGTTATGTGACGGAACTGCTTCTGACGTTAGAAGCTGCAGTCGACTCACTTGAGTCTGACTTCCGTTCGCTCGATCTGATGAAGGAAATCTTTAAATCTACCCCTAATCTGAACAACAAGGACCAACTCAGTTCGGTTTCAAGCTCAGCAAGCAGCAAAAGAAATGCTCAGACAGTTGGGGTGGCGCAGGGAGCAACAATTGCTGCAGCTGCTAGTGGCCAAGTTAGTGCCTATCAAGCCATTTCAGCTGGTGTGGCACCTCACATTACGCAACTTGGTCATGGTCGCAGCACCAGCTACTCTGTTTCCTACGGTCTGAGGAAAACTTCTGGGTCACCAGCTTCAGAAACAAAAGGTAAAATATGTGAAAGGGATTTTAAATTTTATTGAATATTTTAACGTTGTGTGTGAGTGGAATATTTATTTTTTCGTCAATTTTTTTCTAGGCCGTGGAGGAATTACCGAGGAAGGCGTGGGTCGTAGTGTGATAGCCAGTGGGCCATGTGCAAGCAAGATTTTCTCCAGCAACCTTTCAAGGTCGCGCTCAGCTCAATCATTGAAACTTCTAGGAGACCAAGCAAGCCAAGACGACAAACTGACGATTCTAGCGCAGCTATTCTGGCTGGCCGTTTCTTTGCTGGAGTCAGACTTTGAGCATGAATTCCTGCTGGCACTTCGACTTCTAAGTAGGGTGCTGCACAGACTACCACTCGACAGGCCAGACTGCAGAGATAAGGTAAGATGGAGGAAAAAAAATCCCAACAACTTCATAATCAATTTTATTAATTATGATGCTTAATTTTGTTGTTCCAAAATAGATAAGTAAAAGTTTTGATAAATTGGAAATGTTTTGTTCTTGAAGGTTGAGAAATTGCAACAGCAGTTGAAGTGGAACGGAGGTTTCCCTGGTGTGCATTCCCTCCTGCTAAAGGGCTGCACACATCCATCCACCTATGAGCCAACTGTAGAGCTCCTCAGCAGATTCACTTTGCTCCTTGAGCTGCCTGTTGTGGACCCAACACTATCGTTGGCATTTCCTCTCAATGTCGTGGCTCTGCTGCCTTATCTGCTGCACCACTACGAAGACGCCAATGTGCTGTGCGTCCAGAGTGCCGAGAACATTGCACAAGTAAGCATTTATTTATAAATTACAAGGGTCTGATTAAAATTCAATCAGGTGAGTGCTGAGAAGAGCAAAAAGTTGGAGAATCTGGGTACGGTTATGTCTCTCTACAGCCGACGCACTTTCAGCAAGGAGAGTTTCCAGTGGACAAAGTGTGTTGTGAAGTACCTGTATGACACTTACGCCCACCTTGGGCTGAACATGCTTGCATTTTTGGTCGAAGTGAGTTGCAAATTTAAAGTTTTTTATTCAATCTGAACTACCTAACGTCTCTTAGGTGTTGGAGAAAGGCCCTGCATTAGTGCAGCTGCCCGTCCTAAATATCATCCACTGCATGCTGCACTACGTTGATCTGAACTCATCAACCTCGCGACCAATCAACAGTGACCTGCTGAGGGTTATTGCTAAATATGTTGAGGTATTTTAGTTGATTTTTTTCTTTTTTGCATATAATAAATGTGCATTTCTATTCAATCAGGGGCCACACTGGAAAGAGTCGCTGAAAATTTTGAAACTTGTCGTAACTCGGTCTTCGACCCTAGTTGCTCCACCGCTGTCTGTCCACCCGACTTATTGGGACAGCAGCAACCACGGAGTTTTGTCTCATCCTTCGTTTGCAGACAGTGAAGTTTTCATGAAGAAAGAATTACCAGGTCATTATTAAAAATCAGTGCTTAGAATTATTTCAATATGATTAATTTTAGGTCGCACAATGGACTTTACATACGACCTCTCCCAAACACCTGTGATCGGTCGGAGGTATATCGAACCCATCGCCAAAGAGAAAGCTGCTTCTGGCCAAGCAAATGCAATCCACATGGCATCATCTCCAAGAAGGTATATCGCTTTTAATATTTTTAGAAGATTATTAAACTGACAAAATTTTGCAGATCTGTTTCTCTCTCGCCTGCTGATAGTGGCAATATCGCTGGCTGGAAGAGGCCTTGGTTGTGCCAGGTAAAGTATCGTCAAATTTTTTGAAGGAGAATTAATTAAGAATAATTTCAGAGCCGAGTTAGAGAGTGTCTAGTGAACCTGCTGACCACATGCGGCCAGAGAGTCGGTTTGCCCAAGAGTCCCTCGGTAAGCTCAGGATTAATAATTTATGACTCAAATATTTCCCTTAATGGTTTTGGAAAACAAATATTATATTCTTTGCTCCTCATATTAAATGCTCTTTCTCATTGACTTGGAACTTAATTTTTTACAATTATTCAGGCATGGACTGTGTAATTTTCATAATTTTTCAATTAAACCCTTTGCATGCAAAGTCCAGGTAGAGTCTTGCTGTAACTAAAATTGACTTTTCTAAATGTATTAGGATGGTTATTTGAGCTCTCTAACGCTGAGCAAGGTAAATCTACTTGTGGGATTCGCTTAGGACGTTCATTAAACTTAACACTCCCAAACTCTTTGAGTGCAAAATCCCAAACAATTTGCACGATTGCATGAAACTGCTGCATGAATTGTGTTTCAGTTGGTTTTTTTATCCAGTGCTCTTCGGAGATTTCCCATGCAAAGAGTAGGTAGCAGCAGATAATTGTTTTTCATTAGGCCAAAAAGTGATGTCCATATATTAGTATAAGTAATACAAAATGTATTATAAGTTAACAAACACGCATCATAGATAGAACTCAATGCTGTGCAAATCTGCAACAACATAAAGCTTTGCTTCTCGATAATCGCAACTTGCTTTGTTAAAAACGCATCTGCTTATTTGACAAAAGCCTTCATGTGTTTTTTTTTTATAATTGTTTTTCACTTCAAATCGTTCATAGCTTTTGTCATTGTAGGTGATATTCAGCCAGAGCTCTGATTTGATGGAGCGCCAGTCAAGCATGGCCTCGTCTACTGAGGAAGTCTCCGCTCCAAACAACGATTTGTCTGGTGGCTCCAGAAGGGATGATGCCGCGGACCAATTTGGGGTCTTCAAAGACTTTGACTTCCTTGAGTATGAGAGTGAAAGTGTTGAAGTGAGTACCTATTTTCTTTTAAAAATTTCTTTACTAATTCCTTCTTTGTTTTAGGGTGAGAGCACAGACAACTTCAACTGGGGAGTCCGTCGCAGACCTCTTAGTGACGGTGGAACTGACGTCGAACTTAGTTCTCAGCCAGTCAGTGAAAATTTGGTCACTGAAAGGGAAACAACACCTAACTTGCCTCGTCATAGGGTACCTTTTAATAACAAAATAGGATAATTATTGTTGAATTTTGAATCAATTTTAGAGAGGTGCAGGTCACGAAGAGTCATCGGATGATGAAGTTGGTTCTGAATCTCCCCTGGATGAAGTTGGTCTTCCCCAGGACTATGCCAGTGGCAGTGGAGCTGCAAGTTCGGTGGCAAGTGCAAGCGGCGTTTTCCCACCTTCTTCTCTCAGCATCCGGGAAAGAACCCGACACGATTCAGGCACTCGTTCTGATACATCGTTAGTTTTCAAAAATAGATTTTAAGAATTTGGAAAGAAGTGAAAATGATTTTGTTCCAGTGGTTCAAGTGCTGGCGACCTAGGAGACGTCACTCCGTGCAACGCCTCGCCAAGCATTCCTGCGTTCAGGCCGTACACCAGAGGAGACGCCGAAGAGTCGTGGCGCCGCCACATTCAAGGCTTGTTGATGCTTGTACCCACCGCTCCACCTCTGCGGTTGTTCCAACTTTTAAGGAGACTCGCCCGCGACGTCTGCTTGAAAGCAACAGGCAAGATTTCCTTTTTTAAAATTTTTTTCAGACTTATTTTGCCAAAATCCAACCAGGAATAACCTTGGACGTGGGTCGTTTGCTGTCAACTCCGTGTCCAGCACTCTGCACCCCAGTAGGGCAAATTGCAGAGCTCCTGGCCAGCGGGAAAGCAGAACCGCCACTGGTGTGGTTCAGCTATGAAATATTAGCAACGGCTGGTCCTCGTCTTGCCGATCTGTTGAGATTTGGCGCACTTGAGGTACAGGAGCATTTGGAAACCTTCCTTGACAGACGAGATGCAGCCAACGATGTAAATTTAATATATATTTTTTCAAGGATCATGTATTTTTATGTTTTTCCTTTTAGAGTTTGAATGCCATCAGAACAACAATGAAACTGCATTTAGGCAATGAGCCAACAAATTCAACCGAAGTACCAACAAGCGTTTTGGTGGAGGCTGGCCGATCGCTTTACAAGCTGCTTTTTCAGCTTGTGTTGCTCCTAGAAGCGACCCACAAAATGGTCAACGCCCTTTCGACCACAGCTAAGACTTGTCAGGTTGGTTAAATTTGATTTTATTGCATCATTCAAAATTTTCTAATGCAATTGCTTATTTTTAAGAGTTGTCTCCTGAAATTTTGCGTAAGAGATGTTTATTATCCAGCATTCTTACATGGCCCTCAAATGATTTTTACGATTTTAATCTGGAGTGGTTATAGATTGTCTTCAAAGTAAATTTTAAACAAAATTTTAAACAAAATATTTCTATACACTTGAAACAAAGCAAGGCGCCACACCACATATCTTTCAAGTGGCTCACAGGCTTTTATACCACTTCCAAAAGTTCCATTCCAAAAATGATTTTTTTTTTGTTAATTAAAAGTAAATAAATTACAACAAATAATTACCTTGCATGTTAAATTTTTTGGCAGCTCACAGATCTGTCGTCTGAAGTTTCTGTCCTGGAGGGACACCTAATCGGCGCCTTGGACGATGGCGTTACAGCTTCGAGCAACTGGGGTGGCAGCGGTGGTGCCGACTCCTCCGGCACCCCTACCCCAACGCCAAGCCCTGCCCACAGCATGGTCGCAGTCTCCTCTTCCAACAAAGACGACTCGACTGTCGAGAGTGACGCTGACAAGATCATCGACCTGCTCAAGGACGGAAACTGGACGGCCGCTCTGGGCACATCTCGTAGATTCCGGACGTCCTTGCTCGGCACCGACGCAGTGCTGGCGCAGTACGAGGATGATATTACCACCATTCTGCACCTCTACTGCAGACACCTGTCCAAGGACAGACCTGGTTCGCTCATTTTTTTTATTATTATTATGAGGCTAACGGTTGACTTATTTACTTTTAGATATTTTTGTGATCACTCGATCCCCGAGAGATGGCAGTGAGGCCATTTCCCGTTTGCTGGAGGCCCTTTTCCAGATGTTGGCCGTCTTGGGCACCCTGGAGCCCACAGCACCAAGAAGCCCAGCACCCACAAGGGCCCAGCTGGACTCGCTGCTGCAGAGGACAGATTGCTGAGAGGCAGGTCATTAATTATTATACTCTTGAGTAGTTAGTTGCAAATAATGATTCGGTGATTTACACTTATGAATTATGTGGAAGAACGTATTTCAGATCTTGATATTTGTATCTTATATTCTCCAGAGTAGTATCACATTATATAAATAAATCATTTAAGAGCATGGTATATGCAAACAAAAATAACAGTTTATAAATATTTAAATTTAAAAATCCATATATATTATTTATTTTGGTGCTATTCTACTATATCGTACATCAAGTAATTATTTTCTGATTTATAAAAAATATGTGAAGTAGGTCAATTTCACAGAATAAAATCCTTAGGATTGGCAAGACCTGCCATGAACACATGCTCTGGAGTTGCTGGTGGCTCTGAAAAAATTATAATTTTAAATTTATTTTCATTACTTGATTTTACAATAGAATTTTAATTACTTAATTGGTAGTAGTCTCCTGGGTCACCAGCGTCCACCCTAGCTGAATTTAATGCAGCCGTAATCGCAAACAGCGTGCATATGCTCATGTTGAGCGGAGGCTCTCCCGTTGCTAAAATTATTAATTATTTCCTAATTTTTTTTAAATCTATAAGACGAAAGAGACCTTTTGACTGCAAAACGCCGGTAGGATTGTTAGAATTTTTCCTAAAATATATCCTGAAATCGGCAGGAATGTCCTTTGCTCCAGGAACTTTGTAGTTCTAAAAATTGTAAAAATAAATAATAATGCTTTGAGTGAAATTTAAGAAGTGAATGCTGACCCAAGTTCTGGTGTTCAAAAGACGCCCTGAGTCAGGGTCGTGAACGAGCTGCTCGGAGAGCCAATAACCCATTCCCATTACAAAGGCGCCTTCCATTTGCCCAACGTCCACCATTGGGCTCAAACTCTGACCTGCGTCCTCTAGCAAGTCAACGCGCAAAACCTTCCCGAGAATTTATTTATTATAGAAATAGAATTAAATAAATTCTTGCACAAACCTGCTTTTCTCCGGTTAAGATATCAACTTCCACTTCGGCAATTGTAACACCCCAAATGTTATAGTCCTTGACGGGGTCGTTTTTGGTAAACCTGAAACGTGGATCCAAAAGTTTGAGAAAACCACCGTTTAACTTAAAATCATACATGTAAGTTGCAGTGAGGTCTACGTTTTGGAAGTAAGCTGCTTTGACCAATTCAGGCCAAGTGGCTGAGGGCATTGTCGCCTTGACGGGCTCCAAACGCGCCAAGATCTGCTTACAACACTCCACTGTTGCCTGAATTTAAAAAAAAATATCATTAACGAAATCTTCAATTCTTACATTAATTCTTACAAAGCTGATAGTTTCGCTGGCCAAGCTGCTTCCAGTAACAATGGCATTTGCCCCGCTTATGGTGTTACTCGGCTTGACTGAAATCACCTCAAGAGGCACTCCGAGGGTGTAAGCAGCGACTTGAGCCACCTTTTTATTCAAACTTTCAATTTGATGAAACAAATTTTACTATCATAGCGGTTTACTTTTGTGTTCAGGCCCTGCCCCATTTCGATTCCGCCGTGAGAAATTGCCACCGACCCGTCACTTTGATAGACAGTCACGTGCGCAGGCCGATTTCCCCAAAAGTTGAAAGGGTACTGCATGGGCACCAGGGAAATTCCTTTCTTTTTCCACCGATTTTCCTAAAAAAAGTTATCATAACTTTATAAATAAAAAAATTAATGATTTTGTTACGGCGTTGAATTGTTGAATAGCCGCCTTCCTAAGGTCGAAATCCGCCTTGGACTTGAGGTCGTCGATCATTTGGGGCAAAGGGCTGTCGACAATGTTCATATTAGCCAGGCGCACCGTTAATGGGTCCTGCTTCGTTTTGCTCGCGATGTGCTCCATGATTTCCTCGATGAAAGCGATTCCGTCGGTGGAGCCTGGCCCGCGACACCACGTGTTTGGGGCCGTGTCTGTTGTGATTTGCTGCGTCTCGAGGACGAACTTTGAGGTGTCGTAGCAGTTGCTGAAGTACTCGCGGGTTGAAGCAAGTGGACTGTCGTTCAAATTGCAACCGGCGTCTTGATATACTTTTGCGTTTAAATACTGAATCTTGCCGACTTTGTTGACCACCACCTTTTGTAGCACCCGCGAAAAATTAAAATATTTGCAGAGAAAATTGATAACTCACTTCGTAATTGTTTCGAAGGGCGAATCTCTTTCCGGCCAATTCCATGTTGGTCGTTAAGGGCAAAACCATCCTTACCGCCCTGTTCAGTTTTTGAGAGGCAACGGCACAAGCACCTGCCAATTGAGCCGGTCTGGCGATTTTTGAGCCGTATCCTCCTCCGAGCCGGCGTACCGACACGTTCACCCTGAATTAAATTTTCAATATATTTAAAATATATTTTATTATTCAAGTATTTTCTCTAACTTGCTAGCCTTAATTCCAAGACACCTGGCGACCACAGCCTGCATCAGGTCGATCCACTGCGTTGGAGCAAAAACGTCAAAATTGTCGTCTTCTTTGGGCACCACCAGACACGTCTGGTTCTCCATCGTCAGGTGGTATTGTTTTGAAAGCTCGAACTCACCCTTGACTAGGGTAGATTTGGCAGCCTCCAAATCTTTACTCTTACAATGCACTGAATTTCTTTTTTTTTAACAAAAGACTTGATTCTTCTATACCATTATTTTTGGAGGCGTTTTTCTTCTCCGTGTGAATTCTGTTCCCCGCTTGGTGCAGAACTTCTCCAATACTCAGCACCGGTTTCAGGACGAGTTTCACATAATCGATGCTCACCAACTCGGCACCTTTCACAGCGATTTCTCTGGTTTTGGCCACAATCAGGCCAACTGCTTGTCCTGCATATTTGACCTTTCCGCTGCACAGAATCTGAAATGGATTGATTTTTATTATTATTCAATTAAGAAATTTTAGGGCCAAACCGGAATATCTATGCATTCTAAAAATCACCGAAAAATTGCAACAAAAATAAATAAATTTAGGTCGGTTAATCAATCCCAATTTCACAAGATTTGTTTTAAACATTATTTTTCGACAAAATATATATTTAACATCGAGGCTCAAAAACTTTTGGCGAGTCAACCCGTTCCAACGCTTTTTATCAGGATGCGGATTTTTTAATTACGATTTGAAGTTCACATAACAATTGGCCAACTTTCACATTTCAAAAATTCAACAGTGGGTTTTTAATAATCGCAATAGTTCAAACCTCATCCTCCTCTTCATAACCAAAGTCAAGAGGTGTGAATGTGTTGTATTGAGTCAGATCAGTTTGCTTGAAAAAAGCGACTACCCCAGGCAGAGCCTAAAATATTATTTTTTTATTAATAAACCTACAAATTTAACTAATTAAAACGCCAAAAACTATGATTTAATCAAAAAAAATTTGAATACCAAAGCGGTGCTAGAATCAATTTTGGAGATGGTGCCCGAGGCAATGGTGGTGAGGACGAAGGCGGCGTGCAACTCTCCAGGAATTGAGTGAATATCGTTGACAAACTCGGCTTCACCGGAGGTCTGCGCCAACGCTTCGATTTTGGGGATCGGTTTGTTCAATGGGTGCAGCGAAGCGTCCGTGTCAAATTCCTGGGTGCCACTGGACAATGGGCGAACCAGATTCTCACCACCGGACTTGTTTGCTGGACTTACCTTCAAAAAGTAAAAAAATTTATTAAAAAAAAAATTCCATCCAGAAATTTCATTAGTTAATTATTTGTGTATGTACCTTGCTCTGATCAAGGCCGAGAACAAATTTGTAGAAAATGGCCTGCGTCAAATTTTTCCTGTACTCGGCACTAGCGTCCGGCAGAACCATGTTTGGGATCACTTGGAGGCCGAGCTCTGTGATCGCAGCGGAAAGCGTCAAATTGTCCAAAAGCGGCTTCCCGACCAACAGGGTTTCAATATTTGTCGCGTGAATCTTAACAAATTAAAGACAACTTCAGCAAAAAAGCAAGACAAAATAATTAAAATTTGTACAAAATCCGGGCTGATTCCGCCGTAGACGATGCTGGGCTGCCCAACCACCTTCCACGTGGTGGTGTTCTCGAATTCAAAACAGAAACCAGCGTTGACGTAAGCGTGAGCGTTTTGGGCGCGCGGCGTGATTTTGAACGTGCGGAATCTCGTGTTGCTGTTTTTGGGCGTGAATTCAATGCTGGCGATAAATTTCTTGTTCATCTCGAAAACCAGGTAGTCAACCAGGGTGACTTTACTGACAACCCCAGAGGCATCCACTTTGAAGAAAAAATTTTATGTTTTTTTTTTAAATAATTATTATATTATCAATTAACAAGGTTATATACTTATGTTGAGTTTTGCGCCTGCTGCCTCAAAAATGGTGAAAATGTCAGAGGGAAATTCACGGTGAGCGTGCTTAATTGACAAGCTTCCAGCCAGGGTTCCAATCTTATCAATAGAAAAGGTTATATGAAGAAAATTAATGAATAATTTCGTTGTAATAATTCTCACATTTCTGACGGGGACGTTGGCAATCCAGTCGATGTGGGTTCCAAGTTGGTTTAAATAAGTGAACCCCTTGTCCGTAACACTGTCAAAAAACTGCATTGCGTCGGTCAGGGTCACGTTTCCACCCACAGTAATCAAGTTGGGCTTTTTGTCAATTGTACGCAATTCTGGAACGCGCTTCACATCCACGTAGGCCAGAATGCCCTCGCTCCGGTAAACTCCTGCGTTTCAAAATCGTGATTTAATTTTATCACGGTCAAATTTGTGTTGAAAAACCTTCAGCCGTGTTTCCAGCAACAAGTTTGTATGGCACGTCGCCTATGCTAGTGAGCGCCTGTTGGAGTTCAATCAAAGTGGTCACCGTCCTCCAAGTGACGGCACCAGCGCAAAGGTCAACAGACTTTTGGATCTTTTCCTCACAACTTCTTCCAGAGCAGGCCTCGTTAGTTTTTGGACAGATTTTGTACAAATCCTTTAAATTAAGTTTGTATAAGAAATCAAAGGATATAAAATAGATAAAAAGTTTAGCTCTAACGTCTTATTAAAATTTTTCTTTTATAATTAATTCCAAAGAAGATGAAATATTAAAATTTATATAGATGAAGTTTAAATAAGTACCTCGATGTCGGCGCAGGCGGCCTTGAGTTGTGGGGTGGCGTCGGAGGCGAGGGCCTTGAAGGCGTCCAGGATGGGTCTGTAGCCGGTGCAGCGGCAAATGTTGCCGCCGAACGCGTTTTCCACGTCGGCCATCGTCGGCGCCTTGCCGCCCTCCAGCAGACTACGCAACCCTCGTTACGATCGAACCGGAAACGAGTTTTAAAGAAACTTACCTGTACATGTTCATGACCATGCCGGGCGAGCAGAAGCCGCACTGGGTGCCGTTGAACTTGGCCAGCTGGGCCTGCGTCTTGTGGTAGCCCTTCTGCCGGTCGCCGATGCCCTCCACCGTCCGCACCTCCCACCCATGGCACGAAAACACCCTCACGAGGCACTTAAAATAATAATAAATTAAATATGAAAAAATTTTGGGAAAATTTAAATCAGTTACCGAATTGACGGCCTTGGTCTCCCGCTGCTTGGAGACGGGGTGCTCGATGGTGGCAGAGACGATGCACGCGCCGCACCCTCCCTCCTGGCACATGAACTTGGTGCCTTTCAAATTGGCCACATTGCGGATGAAAGTGTTCAAAGACGTGTCTTGAGGAAGTTGTTCAGCACCGACTTCAATTATTAAGAATAAGTGAGCAGGAAAAAATGTTTAATGCATATAAAACTATATTATACTATGACCAAAATCTGTGTGTGGCAATGTCATTTTTTATTAATTTCAATTTAATGTAGAGATTTTATACCTAATTTTATTAATTTCCAAAATTAAGATAAGGAGAGATATATTGTTTACTTTGATGTCCTAGAAAAAATAGATGCATTGATGTGATAGAGAAATGTGAAAATTCATCAAAAAGGATGATCTAAAATTTTTTTTAATTTATGCGACTACATAAAGCTAGAATTACCGGAAAAATTTCTTCCATTGATGGTGAATGACACTTCATTGGTTGGCTCAACCTCCGAAGTGGAGCTGAAAATAAATTTTGTAATTGTTTATTGCTTCTAAGAAAGTAGAAATGTGCTGGAAAAAAGGAGCTTAATTTAGAACGTGCATAAAATAAATATATTTTTAAGTATCAATCTATCTCACTTGGATTTAAAATAATTATCACGCCGTATATTATGCAACTAATCGAATGCAATAGAAAAGTCCTGCAATTTTAAAATAAACTTTCCCGTCGCCTTCTGCATGAAATTCAAATACATACAACAAACTGGTTCATCAGGTGGCAAGTTATATATCTGTGGTCAAATACTTGCGAGTCATCAAACGACAGAACTCACGTGAGTTGGCTAAGAGTTTTTTTCTTGCGCCGTGCCCTGCATGCGTATCAAGGTGAGAGAGTTTTGCCTTTTTTTAACTGGTGAAAAACAATCTGCATCACGTGCTCTAGAATCATGTCGTTTCCTCTGTAACCCACAGCTCGCCCAATCCACTGAATTTTTCATTTTATTTTAATTTTGTTTTCTCTCGCATTTTTTAGATTTTTGATGTTATACAAAATTTCAAATTATTTATTAACCTATCAATTTACTTGTTTATTAATATGAACGGGAAAAAAATATTTAAAATTTAATGGTATTATGTAATAATGATATTAAAAAAATTTGTCCCATTGAAGTGCAAAACTTGCCAAAGTTAATTTTAGTATGTTGTATGTTAAAGATAGAAAAAGCCAAGGAAATTTTCTGATGAAGAATATTTTAACTAATTATTGCATTTTAATTACAAGGTCAAAATAAAATCATTGTCTTTCTAGTATATTAGTGATTTTTGTTAAAAAAAATTAAACAAGAAGAAGAATAGGATTAAAAAGAGCAAAATGATGGCGTGAATCCTTGTTCTGATCCAGAGATATTGGATAATTTTGTGTAAATTTAATTAAAACAAAAATAATTAAGCGATTATAATTATTATTTACAAATTTCTCTTGTTTTTACTCATTTTTACTAAGATTGAAATTATGAAATGTTTCAAACCTTCCAAATATGGCATTCCACATGGTGCCCAGACGAGATGAGTGTTATAGGTCGCAAGAACACTGGAGACTGACCGCAAACTCGAGCCTTGCTGGAGATTTCAACGCGTGCAGTTCAGAAAAGAGCGTGCGCCGCGAAAAAGGCCCCTTCCACAAACAATAGGCGCTAACGCATCTCCATACCGCGACACTTACATCTACACAAAAATAATAAAAATAATCATTAAAAAATTTGACAGATTTTTTCTAATATCTAGAATTATATTATGCTTTAAACGTGAGCGATTTGAAGCAAATGAAAGTTGAAAAATGGAATTTTGGCCGAGGCTTTAATTTGAATTCAGAATGATGATGATATTGATTATAATATATTAAAGGAATCCCCCAATAAACCAAAGCTTGCCTTTCGCAAAAATTTTTAATGTTATAAGATGCAGTTCTTGAAGAAAAATAAATTTTATTTTATTTTTAATTATTCCATTCAAAATTTTATTATATCGCAATTTATAAAACAACTTAATAAATTAGTAGTATTATAAATAACAAGTATAATTGGACAAAAAAAACTAATATTTTAATAAACATAACATTTGGTTACAAAATCATCAAATTAATATGGATCCGTTATAATGCAAGAAGCGTCACAGCTTGAATTCCTTTGGGCCTGCAACTGCAAGGCCAGCCAGATAAAAACGTGTTCGGGAGTGGTCTCTAAAAACGTCTAATACGTGACTTTATTTATTTTTTAAATATCTATTTCTACCTAATTGGTAGTAGCCTCCAGCGTTAGCAGCTCTCCTATAGATAAAATTATAAATTTTTTAGAGTTTTTTTATGATCTTTTCAATGCAAATCTTATTAAAGTGGCAGGATCTTTATTTGTAAAATCAGCTGGAATATTGTCGCCGTTGTGACAATCCATATGATCCATATGTATAAAAATATAAGTGGAAATGCACATAATGCAAAAACCTGATGCGCCTCAGACGAAACTCAGCATAATTTCCATAAAAAAGCAGCCTCGCCTTTAATTAATAATCAAGGGACATTCGGACCTTCAGCAAGCTAATAAAAAGAACTCACACTACTCTTTTGACCACAAACCTCATGTTTCATTTGGCATGTATTTAGTCAGGAATCAATTCCTTGCAATATCTTTTGCTCCTGGAAATGTATAAAAAGAAATTATTTTCATTCTTTTTTATTATTAATTTAAAAATAACACAATGCAGCCTTAACTAGTTTGGACCAGCTAGGCGTCCATGAGAATTGACACTTCGATCGATGGTTGGCACTGTATATTGTTGTACAAGCGACTGAATTGTTTTTTCTTCGTGATTTTTTTTTTCCAAACTACCTCCTACGTTTTTTACTTGACAGAAACAACTTGGAGCGGCACTCCTGCAGAATGTATGGCCAGCCACACTGGCGACCTTTTTATAAAGCGGAAAATATTTTATTGCCTTTGATAGCAAAAGTTGTCGTGTTTTATTGTTTCACTTTGGTGTTGGCCCTTTTTATTCCACGGCAGAGATTAATGAACATTTTGACGATTTGGGAAAAAAGCACCATTTTGTGTAAAAAGCTTTTAACCATCAACTTTTAAATGAAATAAACAAAATTGCACATGTAACACAAATATAGAATTGTAAATCAAAGTTTCATTATCATCATAGACATAAATCCAGTTTTGTCTCACCTTTGAGGTTTAGCCACTTTATTGCCCAACATTTTATTTCATCTCCTATCTCAGTAAGAGAATTTTCACTCAAAATATTGTTTCACGCATTGCCAGGTAAAGGGAAGATTAAATTTAGCAGTAGGTATTTGAATCAAGAAATTAAATATTAACCACTTAAATCAATGAATCCATAATTACCTACAAACTAATGCGGACATAAAAACGAACGTCTCATGCTAAATATATATTTTCAAACAGGTTTAGCAAGCTTAAAGCTAAAAATATCCTTGCAACTTTTGTGTGCAGGAAATTTACATGATTCTAGTCCCACACATAAATGCTGTCTCTGCTGAATGGAAAGCGCGCCATGCCTGATATGTGCTAATTAATTGCGTCAAACCAATGTAGTTTTTTTACTCGAATTTGTGCATTAATGGAGGACGCTTTAAATCCAAGAAAGCTTCTTCGAACATTGTTCAATCTTGCAAAATAATTATATAGATAAATAAAATAAAAAACCTTTTAACTCTATTGTTGTTAAGTAGAAAAACCTTTTTATTTTTACTTTCAAAATTAATAAAACTCTTGGAAATTTAATATAACGCAAACAATAATTAATACTTTTTCATTAATATGGATGAGTATAAAAAGTGGCCCCGAAATAGCCAAAAATCTCAATAAATTTTACAGCTTGAAATCCTTGGGGTCAGCCAAACCAGATAGGAAAATATGTTCAGCAGTTGCAGGTGGTTCTGCAAACAGGGAATAATTTAATTTCTAGGTCTTTAAATAATGAAAACTGCAGATCTTACTCAGCTGGTGGTATCCTTGAGGGGCGCCAGAATCCTGCCGAGCAGAGTTAAGCGCCGCAGTCACAGCAAAAAGCACCACAATGCTCATGTTGAGAGGCGGCTCTCCAGTGGCTGCAGGTAGAGCAAATTTCAATCAAAATTCCAGGCTGATTAATGCGTTTTGGTGAAACATTCTAATTCTTTCAATAAATGAAAATTTTTAGGATCAAATTATAACCGAAAAAGTCCCATGTAAAATATTTAAAGTATTGTACAGGAAGTAATTATTTTAAATAAATTAAATTATTTTTTGTCTCAAAAATTAACACTGTCCCTGATAACACAATATGATATTTTTTAAAAATTATGAATTGCTTTTTAATGCAGTTTTTACTTTGTAGTATATTTTCAAAAACTAATAGTTTTCTGCTACCAGTGTAATAATGAGTTAATTTACCTTTTGACTGCAAAACGCCGGTGGGATTTTTGGAATTTTTTCTGAAGTGGACCCTGAAGTCGGCTGGAATGTCTTTTGCTCCAGGCACTTTGTAATTCTGAAATTTATGTAATAAATTTTTTAGAGGAATTTGTTGTTAGTTTTTGTATTTTTATAAAAAAAACTTACCCAAGTTCTGGTGTTCAAAAGGCGCCCGGTTTGCGGCTCATGAATGAGCTCCTCGGTGAGCCAGTAGCCCATGCCCATGACAAAGGCGCCCTCCATTTGTCCGACGTCCACCATCGGACTCAAACTCTGGCCTGCGTCCTCCAGCAGGTCAATGCGTAGAACCTTCGGAAATCAAATTTTAAATTGAAAACAAACTCGTAAAAAATAATTATATTTTGCCTGCTTTTCTCCCGTCAAAATATCAACTTCGACTTCGGCAATTGTGACGCCCCAAATGTTGTACGCCTTCACATCGTCCTTTGTGGTAAACCTGTACAAAAATTATTAAATTACTTCCAAATGCACATTTCAGGTTGAGATCATCACATGTAGGTTGCAACAAGGTCCACTTGCTTGTGATGAGCCGCTTTAATCAATTCGGGCCAACTTGCCGTGGGCATTTTCTCCTTCACTGGTTCCAGCCGCTTCAAGATTTCCTTGCAACACTGCATGGTGGCCTAATCTCGAAAAATGTTTCAGTTTTAAATTGTCAAAAATTAATTGCGGTCTTACATAGCTGATAGCTTCACTGCCCAAGCTGCCTCCAGTGACGATGGCGTTCGCGCTGCTCAGGTTGTTGCTCGGCTTGACCGAAATCATATCCAAAGGCACTCCCAAAATGTGCGCAGCAACTTGAGCCACCTGAATTTTGATTTGAAACACCGCAGAAAATTGCAACAATTTTTACCTTTGTGTTCATTCCTTGGCCCATTTCGATGCCGCCGTGCGAAATAGCAACAGAGCCGTCGATTTGGTAGACGGAGACGATAGCAGGGTGGTTTCCCCAGAAGTCAAATGGGTATTGCATCGGAACCAGGGCCAGGCCTCTCTTCTTCCACCTATTGGCCTGAAATTCAAATTTCTATTTACTTTCATGTTGTTAAGGCGCTTTTGTCAATATCTCTATAATTAATTTGAGAGGTCAATACGGTCAATACATAAAAAATTTTGCAACATAGTGGGGAAGAATATAATTATTAAATTTTTGATAACATTTTATTTCGTTTTTGAGATATATACAGGGCCATCAAAGGATAAAATAAATGTTTTTTATTAGCAACTTTTGCATTAAAAATGATATTGCATTCCCCCTAACTTTTTTTATTGTGCAAGAAATAATTGGTTAAATTTTACCTCATTGAATTGCTTGACCGCGGCCTTCCTGTTGTCGTAGTCTGCAATTTTCTTGAGGTCCTCGACCATTTGAGGAATGGGGTTGTCGTCGGTGTGCATGTTGGCAAGTCTGACCTCAAGTGGGTCCTTCTTTAGGTCCGTTGCAATGTGCTCCATGATTTCCTCGATGAGAGCAACACCCTCAGTGGTGCCTGGGGCGCGGCACCAAGTGTTGGACGCTGTGTCCGTCCTGATTTGCTGGCTCTCGACCTGGAACTTGGAGGCGTTGTAGCAGTTGTTGAAGTGCTGGATGGTCGACCTCAAAGGGCTGTCGTTCAGGTTGCAGCCAGAGTCTTGGAAAAACTTGGCCTTCAGGTACTCAATCTTGCCATTTGTGTCCACACCAACCTATTCAAGTTTTAATAAATGATAAATTTCTCATTTTTAAATAAATTAATTATGTACTTAGAAGTACAAGAAAAGAAATACAATTTGTTAAATTATTAATATGAGAGACTCTATCAGGTGAACTGTTTGAAATTTTTGTTAGTTGATAATTTTTACCACTTTTACAATTACAGAATAGTATAATGGACCCTAAAATTTATTAAAATTAATTTTTTTTACACATTTTATAAGTAAAAAAATAATTACAATATTTAAAATAAACAAAAAAAGTTAAAATTGAATTATATGATGAATAAAATAATTTAAATATTTTGTTAAAGTTTGTAAAATGTATTAATTTTTTTTATTGAAGTATCAACCTTTAAATTGTTTTGATTTTTAATATTTTAAGACAAGAGCTCTTTAAATTTTAGATTGTTTTTTTTTTTATAATAAAAATGAAAATTTAATATTTGATTAATTCTCTCTTTTCTTTCGTTTTCTTTAAATTATTTCTACCTCATATTCATTACGGATGCCAAATCGCTTTCCGGCCAACTCCATGTTGGCTGTCAGCGGCATGACCATCCTAATAGCCTTATTCAATTTTTGGGAGGCCACAGCACAAGCCCCTGCCAACTGCGACGGTCTAGTGATTTTTGCACCGTATCCACCTCCGAGACGCCGCACAGACATGTTGACCCTTTCAAAAATTAATATTAAGGAAAAAAACCAAATTTTCCTTAACTTAAATTACTTGCTGGCTTTGATTCCGAGACACCTGGCGACCACAGCCTGGCCCAGATCAATCCACTGGGTGGTGGAGAACACGTCAAAACTGTCATCCTCTTTGGGCACCACCAGGCAAGACTGGTTCTCCATTGTCAGGTGGTACTGCTTCGGAATCTCAAACTCGCCCTTGACCACCTTTGCCGCCTGCACCTCTGCTTCACCTTTTAATTTGAAAAATTGAAATCCTATAAAAGTAAATAATTTTGTTTTCAACCTTTACCGTTAGTTGTTGCAGCAGGGGCGTCCGTCTTTTCTGCGTGGATTCTGTTGCCTGCGTGGTGCAGAACTTCGGCAATGTCCAGCACAGGTTTCAGAGTGGCCGAAGTTTTATATTCGACCTTGACAAGGTCAGCAGCCTTCAGGGCGATGTCCCTGGTTTCCGCGACAACCAGACCCACAGCTTGGCCTGCGTACTTAATGGTGCCGCTGCAAAGAATCTGCACAATCCCATTTATAATTACTATTCATACTGCAAAATAAAAAAAAAATAAAAATATGCACCTCTTCTTCTTCAACGTAGCCGAAATCCTTTGGCGTGAAAGTGTTGTACTTTTCCAAGTCCGTGTGTTTCAGGAAGGTTGTTACGCCAGGCAGCGCCTATTGAAAAAAAAATTACTCCATTATTTGATAAAATAGAGCCATATTAAATTTATAAATAAAAATGTCACACAATCAAATTTTTTACTGCAAAAAAACTAGGCCGCAACTTTTATAATGTAATAACTGGACTGGCAATAAAAGTGTGACATTAAGAAAAAAATTACATCAAAATTATTTTGGGATTTTTTTTTTTTATAAAATTCAAATTTGAAATATATGGGCTTTTTTAAATTTTGTTAACTATCCTTATTTTATTTGCACTTCAAATGTAAATTAAATTCATACCAGGGCCTCTGTGGCGTCGATGTTCGAAATGGTGCCTGTGGAAATGGTGGTGAGGACAAAGGCGGCGTGGAGCTCCCCAGGAATGGTCGGGATGTCATTGACGTATTCAGCCTCTCCCGAGCACTGGGCTATAGCCTCGATTTTCGGCACCGCTTCGTTCAAGGGATACAGACTTTTATCGGTATCAAAGTCCTGCTTGCCGCTGGACAGAGGACGCACCAGGTTGTCTCCTCCAGACTTGTGAGCAGCACTCACCTGAAAATAGCAAACTCCAAAATCAAGGAAATGAATTTTGAATGGTGAATATTCACCTTGCTAGAGTCGAGGCCGAGCACAAACTTGTAAAACAGGGCCTGCGCCAAATTTTTCCGATACTCCACACTTGCGTCCGGCAGAACTCTGTCGGGCAAAAGTTGGCGGCCCAGTTCGGCAAGCGCGGCTGCGATTGTAGAGTTTTCGGTTAAACTCTTGCCGGTCAGGAAGGTCTCAATGTTTGTTGCGTGTGTCTATCAAAAAATATAAAAGTAATAATTATTCTCTTCAAATGGTCTTTCAAAATGATCCTGTTAAAAAAAAATTGAACAATAGCGCCTTTTGAAAGAGCGATTTGGAGAAAACAAAAGATTTTTTTCATACTCAAAATGTATAAGTCTACATAATAGCTCAACTTTTTTTAAACAGGATATTTCATTTATCATTTTGAACCATTTTGCACAGTAACAGTCTTTAAATCAAATCGATTCTTACAAACTCAGGATTGATGCCTCCAATGACGATCCTGGGTTGACCAACCACCTTCCACGAACTCGTGTTTTCGAACTCAAAGCAGAATCCTGCGTTCACATAGGCGTGCGCATTTTGGGCGCGCGGCGTGATTTTGAACGTGCGGAACCTCGTGTTTTCACCTTTTGGAGAAAACTCTATGCTGTGAATGAATTTCTTGGTCATGTCCAGCACCAGGTAGTCCACAAGCGTCACTTTTTTCACGTCCCCTGAAGCGTCCACTGATATGAGCAGAAAAAATTAAATATTATAGTTGTTCATCAAATTGACATGGGAAAAATTACTTATGTTCAGTTTGGCGCCTGCTGCCTCAAAAGAGGTGAAAATGTCAGAGGGAAACTCATGATGAGAGTGCTTGATCGACAAGTTTCCAGCCAATGTTCCAACCTTCAAATATTCAATAATATGAATAAAATTAATTGATTTTATTTGCAATTCATCGAGTAAATAAAAATTGTTGTGAAATAATTGTAAAAATGATATCAAATTTGCAATAAAAACAGAATCAAAAAATGATATGTTGTTTTCTCACATTTCTGACGGGGACGTTGGCAATCCAGTCAATGTGGGTTCCGAGCTGTTTGAGGTAAGTGAAGCCTTTGTCAGTAACGCTGTTGAAGAACTGCATTGCTTCGGTCAGGTTGACGTTTGCCCCGAGAGTGATTTTGTCCGCCTTCTTGTCAATGGCCCTCAGTTCAGGGACACCGTTCAAGTCAATGTAGGCCATAATGCCCTCACTGCGATAAACACCTATCGACAAAATTACAATAATTTTTTTTTTGTTGCACAAAGGTTAACAAACCCTCAGCAGTGTTTCCAGCAACAAGTTTGTAAGGCACCTCCCCAACATTGGTAAGAGCCTCTCGCAGTTCAGCAATGGACGTCACCGTGCGCCAGGTGACCCCATCTGAACGCAGGGCGACCGATTTGGGAACGTCTCTGCACGTTCCAGAGCACTGCTCGTTGGTTTTTGGGCAGATTTTGTAAATGTCCTGTTGGAGAGAAATCAATAATGTATGTTGATGAAAAAAGTAATGATTAATTGAAAACTAATTTTTTAAGTCTTTGCGGACCTGATCCAATATTATGTTACAGTTAAAAAAAAACTCTCTTATATTTATTTATTGTTAACTTTGTAGTTTTAATAAATTACTAGAGTCCCATTTGATAATTTTAAATGAAATAAATTCATTACAAACAAGTTGACGATTTGTATTCTAAAAATAAAATTTACCCATAATTCAAACAAAGAGAGAAATATTAATTAATTAGTAAGGAAAAGTGCAAAGTTATACCTCGATGTCGGCGCAGGCGGCCTTGAGTTGTGGGGTGGCATTGGACGCGAGGGCCTTGAAGGCGTCCAGAATGGGTCTGTAGCCGGTGCAGCGGCAAATGTTGCCGCCGAATGCGTTTTCCACGTCGGCCATCGTCGGCGCCTTGCCGCCCTCCAGCAGACTACGCAACCCTCGTTACGATCGAACCGGAAACGAGTTTTAAAGAAACTTACCTGTACATGTTCATGACCATGCCGGGCGAGCAGAAGCCGCACTGGGTGCCGTTGAACTTGGCCAGCTGGGCCTGCGTCTTGTGGTAGCCCTTCTGCCGGTCGCCGATGCCCTCCACCGTCCGCACCTCCCACCCATGGCACGAAAACACCCTCACCAGGCACTTCAAATAGAAAATTAAATTGAAAAAATTTGGGAAAATTAAAATCAGTCACCGAATTGACGGCCTTGGTCTCCCGCTGCTTGGAGATGGGGTGCTCGATGGTGGCCGAGACGATGCACGCGCCACACCCGCCCTCCTGGCACATGTACTTGGTGCCTTTCAAATTGGCCACATCGCGGATGAAAGTGTTCAAAGACGTGTCTTGCGGCAGGGTCGCATCAACTGCATTTATAAAAAAAAAACTTGAAATTTCATAAAATGTGACTTGCACAAAATTAATCATTATCAAATCTTTGATTTTCAATTATAGATATATTATTAAAGTAAAAAATTTAATTTAAATGTACAGTTAACTCTGGGGAATTGTTAATGTGCCACAAAAATTTAGCTACTTCACTCAAAAATGTTTTGGAGACTTATTCTTTCTGCCGGCTTTAAAACACTTAAAGATAGAGCAGAGAGAAACTTAAATGGGTCTATTATCAGAATAGTTCACCTTTGTACGTTTTTCCATTGATGGTGAAAGTCACTTCGTCCGTTGAACCCGTGACTGCCACCGGCTCAGAGCTGCAAAAAGCATAATTTATTTATTTATTGCTAAAAAAGACTAAATTATATTTTTTCTTTCTAAAATGCACAAAACATAAAAAGTAACATAAATGCACTCATGTAAGAAAAGTCATCACACTAAAAACTAGGCCAAACTATAGGCGAGGAAAAAGAATTGCAGTAGCCAACAAAATCACGAAATTCACACAAGAAAGTACACAATTCTATATTAAATTTATATTTCTTACTAAATGTTGGATCGCGAGCCCTTATTGCTCGAACGGAAGCACTGCATGGTTGTCTCGTCTATAGTCTATCTATAATCAATTTTTTTTAAAGAAATCTATTCTTATTTTATAATGTGATTAATTAAATATTGTTGATTATATTACAATTAAAATTCACTAACACAGGTCCAAAATGCAACGTGGTTTTGATAGAAGTGGCAAATAGTTAGAGAGGACGATCATTTAGACTAGCTGATAAGGGGCTTTAAGCAATCGACGAAAATTTTCTGATAACGTATCTCGCCTGTCGGCAATTATAACTGAGATGTTGTGCAATTGTTGTAATTAAAAATTATAAATATAAATTCCTTTTTTTACCTAATGCCGTATCACATTTAAATTTCTTAAATAATTTAAGATAATATTTTTTTTTACTTTTGCAGTATTCTCGATAAATCAAAGTATTTTTCTAGCGGTTTTTTCTTTTGATACTTATTCATGTCGGTGCATGATTTCGGCGTATTTTGTACATTCTGCTTCTTGTTCAACGTAATGTTTACCAATGAATTATTAAAAAAAAGCTTTTTTAAATGTCATTAAAAAAAATAATAATTGGCTGAAATTTTAAATTTGATTACTTGTTAAAAACAATTACCAAACATTTTAAATTGAAATTATATTTTAATGGCAGCAAGCTTATTATTCACTAGATAGTTTTGATCAACAGAATTCCAAAATGCAGTGGAAGTCGTAACTCGCGTTTAAATGTGGAGGTGGAGGTGTGTGGGGCTCACTAGAGGGATTTGCCTCAGCATTGCATTCGTGCTGGAGACCTTCTGACACACTTACGCGTGATTATGAAGGTAACATTTAAATAGAAAATCGTGAGATGTTATGGGACATACAATTTATTTTAAAAATTGGAAATAACAGCAAAATTGGACTACCTAAGATTTTTATAATTCCTAACAAATTAAATTATTGTCCTCTGCTGATCTTGTGCAGTTGTGCTAGAAAAAATACCACAATCCTTAAAGTCATTTACTAAGTTTGTCCTTGATACATAACGCGGTGTATGATATAATCACGTTGCGCCGGCCGCCTCTCTCCAGTTAACAAAGTTCTAGCTTGGAGGTTTAAATCTTTTTTTGTTCGCGGACCAGCACGTCGCGCTTTCCACTCACAATGGAGTTTATTACATTCGCGGCATAGCAACAGAGAGGCGCAGAATGAAAGTCTAAATTTTTCACGAATTAATGCTCCACCAGCAACGTATGCAATTAATTTCAGAAATGTCTTTTTGACCAAACTGCGTTTTAATAAGCTGGACAACAAATTAATCAATACTTAATCTAATCCGGCAATTTGAATGACTTTTAAGCACGATTTTGGCAAAATTGTTACTTTATACATACGAGTTGTAATTAACAAAAATGGGAAAAATGTAAAAAGCGCTGACCTTCCGAAAATTGCACTCCACATTGCAGAAGAAGTTGTGCCGGTGCTGAACCAGTCGCGCTGTTCATCCAATGAGACCGACAAAACCTAAGTAGAATAGAGAGAGCATTCAAAAACAACACAGCGGAACCCCCACTTTACGCGCTTTATCCTCTCATAGTCCCGACCCCACCAAGCGCAAAATAAATAATCGTACTTGATGCAGGCGGCCCACAAAATTACATGGCGCGCCGTGAGATGAGATCATAAAAAATGACCCTGAACTTCAATTATGTGCTGAATATTTGCGTAGCCACCAAAAACTAGCTAGTTCCTTAATTGTAATGAAAAGCAATAGAAAGAATAAAGTTTACATGCATTATTTTTTTTTAATTTAATCCTTTTAAATGAAGGGGTATTAGAAAAAATTAAAGTAATTAATTATTATTTTTTATTCCAAATAGACTGTTTCCATTTTAAGCATTTACTTTTCATTCGCCCTACTTGGTTTAATGTTTCTATGCAGCCAATAATGTTACTCATTGAAAACTGGTTTTGAAGTATTGATGAAAAAACCTGAAAGCATGTAGCGCTCAGCTCCAAACATAATTATTCACTACATAATCACCGCTGAAGATTTTAAATCGGAGAAAAACTTAACATTTTACCTTTTAGGTATATAGTCAGATTAAGTCAGAAAAATTTCATTAGTTTACAAGATATTATATAACCACAGTCCTGCGGTGCTTTTTTTTTACCGCAGGATTAACCGAAGTCCTGCGGTACTTTTTTACCTTCTGAGGACAAAATCAAAGCACTGCGATATAGTCCATTTTTTTGAAAATGTATCAAAAATCAATGCTCGGCTAAATAGTCGAGGATTTTGAAAGCTTACAACTTCAGTCCTGCGGTGCCTTTTTACCGCAGGATTAACCACAGTCCTGCGGTGCTTTTTTACCGCAGGACAAAATCAATGCTCTGCTAAATGGTCGAGGATTTTGAAAATTTACTACTTCAGTCCTGCGGTGCCTTTTTACCGCAGGATTAACCACAGTCCTGCGGTAATTTTTTACCGCAGGACAAAATCAATTTTCTGCTAAATAGTCGAGGTTTTTGAAAATTTAGTCCTTCAGTCCTGCGGTAAATTTTTACCGCAGGATTAGCCACATTTACCGCCAGGCTTAAACGCAGTCCTGCGGTAAATTTTTACCGCAGGGTATAAAAACAAAGCACTGCCAAATTAGTCGATGATTTTGAAAATTTCGTCCTGCGGTAAACTATTACCACATGCAGACTTGCGGTTAATTTTTGCAGCAAACAGTCCTGCGGTATATTACTACCGCAGGATTATTTGAAAGCTCCACAAATTAGTCGAGGATTGAAAGACTTCTAATAATTAAAATAAATCGTGTGAAGACCATTTAAATGTTTTTATTGCGAGTCCGTAAAGAAAGTGGTCATCTGTTTGTGGAAGCCGAATCTCTGGTCCTTGGTGTGGATGGACCTGTGGAGGGCGGCGGTCATTCGACGTATGGTGGCCCAGCTGCCCAGCAGTTGGTATCTATTCTTGATCAGGGCGGCGCCCTTGGTCTCCAACTCTGCCAGAAGGACCTTTTCGAGATCATCGGTGCCCTCTTTTTGGAGGGGCAGCCACGTGTCAAGGAACTCATCGGCATCCTCCTCCACCTGCTCCCTGCAAAGGCCAGGGTTGAGTAGCACTAGGGCGATAATCTCGACCTGAAAGGTCACAGATCCACGCGCCTCCCTCAGATTGCTCGTCCAGCAGAAGACACGGTACTTGTCTTCGAGCCGCTTTACGGCCTCCACCAGCCTCCGCTGCCCCTCCTCCACCGCCTGCTGCTTCCACTCCATGACCCGCACCACCATTGGGTCGCAAATCACCTCCGGGGGCGACCTTTCGCCTCCGAAGGTAGCCTCGCCTGCCGCCCTGACCTCCAGCAGGTGTTGCCGCTCCTCAGGTTTAGCCACCGATGAGCTCAGGTGCTTCTTGAGCCACGCATCCATCACGTGGAAGACGTCAAAGGCCTCCAAGACCTTTGACCCTGAAGCCTCCTCCACCCTGGCCGGCTTCAGATCCTCCAGTCTGCTCCAGGCTAAGAAATCAACCTTTTCCCTTTCAAAATGCCCTGATTTTTCCTCTTTTTCATCCATTCTGCCCTCAGACTTTTCCTCAGGTTCGGCGAACGCGGCAGGTATGGACAGGTCGATTTTAGTCACGTTCAGGTCACGATGCCGCAGAGTCAGACCCATCTCCGCTTCAGCCCTCGACTTGTCTTCGTCGCCGCCCTCTCCATAGTGAAAATTGAGGGCACACTAAAAGTTTGTATTTTGGTTAATTTCATAAACTGAAAATGGCAGTTCAGTATTTTTTTTTTGCAGTTGCAATAATGGCAATCTTGTATTAAAAAATATTTGTATTTTAATACTAGTAATATTGCAGTTACTTTTTACATTAAAGTTCGGCTTTTAATAACGAAGCACTATATCCACCAAAAAAAAAGAGAGAGGTAGAAAAGTGTTTTAAAATCTGCTCTTTATCACTCATGATTTGTCTGACTTGAGTTATAGATTGAAGTTAAAACTTTATTTTTTATGTGGTTCCCTATATTATGGAAATTGATTTCAAATTTCTGCTGTAAGACAATCATCGTTGAATTATCGTAATTAACCTCTTGTCCTAAAAATTTTTTATAAAATTTAATTCATTGTATCATTTGACTTTTTGTTCAACACTGGTAATTTTGGTAAAAAAAAAAAAATATTTAATTTTCTATCGACAGGTTTTTTCTGTTTTTGGTGTGCAAACGATAAAAAAAAACCCCCCGGGAAAAAAAGCGCTCGGTAATGTTACATATTTTGTGGAATGTTTTGTTCAGTTTTAAATTGCTAAAATTTTTTCCCAAATTTTAAACAAACCTTGAACATCTCCTGGAACTTTTCATCCTGGACCCGAATACCTGGCAGCGGACAAGGTCGGCGCGACCTGGCGAAGGGGAAGTTGGCGAAATGCGCCCTGTCCGTGGGCAGGCACTCGGCCTGTCGGAACTTAAGTCTCACTTTGCGGACGGCTGCGTCGCGCGCCTCCTTTTGCTGCAGCGCCCTGGCGTGTAGGATCTGCAGGTCGGCCCTGATTTGCTGCCTGGCCGCCTCCACCTGGCGCCTCAGCCGCCTCTTCTGCAGGTACACGTGGCCAAGGCGCTGCTCCGTGCGGCGCCGCTGGGCCTCCGCTATCGCCGCCTCTCTTGCCCTGAACTCTGCCAACTCGCAAAACTTGACCGACCTTCGATCCTGACAGGTCGCGCGCCGCCACTCCACCATGTTCTCCGCCACCGGCGACTTAAACTTCTTGCTCAGGTACAGCCACCGGATTGCCACGTCCACCGCTAAGTTCTCTTCATCCCTTCACAAAATATAATAACAACTTATAAAATTCACAAAATAAACTGGAAATAAAAATACAAACCTGTAATTTGGAAAACGAACTCCAGCTTCCATGACTGACGAGAGCGTTCAGAATTTTCCAACAATTGATTGATGATTCAAATTCAACAATGTATTATGAATTGATATAATGCCAATAGTTGCTGATGCTGACATTATTATTTTCATAAAAAATATAGGGTCTATACATAGTAATATTTTTTTGCACTGTTGCAGTCAAGAGAAAATGGAACAGTTTAATAAAATAATTTTGAAGAGGAGAAACAATCTATACTATTTAACTCTTTTTGCAATAATTGTGTGCAATAATTCTTTTTTACTGAATCACATTTATTTTTCTCTTTCCGTCTCTCAAACCACTTAAACAAACTTTTTCTTTAGTTTCAGAAAACATATTTTATAAATTCTTATTAATTTTATAACTGTTACATCTTTTCAAAAAATTGTCAGGAGAATAATTATGGTTTAGTTAGGTTTAGTTAGTAATTAACACCTCAGCCACCGATGGTGCTGCAAGTACAATGTGGAGTCGAGTTGCCGAGCCAGACAGGGTTTGGGTGACATTTTGAGCAATATGTAATAAAAGAGCTTATCTTTGTGTTGACGCGAGAGAGAGCAGACGTGTATTGCGATAACTGTGCAAAATAACACAATTATTTGGTAGAAGTAAGTTAAATCTCTTTCTCATCAAGCCTCAATAAACCCCAATCCAGCATCAAGGCTCATGTGCGCGCGTAAAGCCCTCCTCAGGACACAACAGCAGAGGTCCCCCGCGGGTAATAGGTCCATCTTCTAGTAATTGTAGTCATTCGTTTGCAGGCAGTAGAAAATAGGATTGAAATAAGTTTTAATCTTCAATAGCTGGTCAAGTCCTTTTTTTTCGATAGTGTGGGTTTACCGCGGCGGCCGTGTCTCTTTTGATGTCGGGCGTTTTAGCAGACATCTGCTAGTTTTAAACCCTTTCTTCTCTTTTTTTCCCAATTCAAAATTTTGTATTGACCGAGAAGAATAAATAATAATAAGTTACATTATGTTAGAGTTTATGAGGGCGATCTGAAAGCCTAACCTAGCCCAGGCTAAATTAGCCTGAACTGGGCTTATTTAATCCTCCAATAAATATGGCTGGTTGGTTAATTTAGCCCGGGCTCGGTTAGGCTTTTGGATCGCCCTCAATAATTTGTATATTAATTTAAGATTTTGAAAAATATGTTTTCCTGACGTTTTATTCTTAGCAAAATTCAATGTAATTTTGTAAATATCATTTAAACAATTTATATCATTTGTTCAAAACACCCGTAAAATGAATAGGGTGCAATAAAATTAAAGAATGACAAAGATAATTACTATCAACATAACAATAATTACAAGAAAAATCTAATCAAAAGAGAAATAAATAACGAGTGAACGTACAGCCGCGAATTTTCGTATCACAAATGAGATTAGATAGAGATTATTAGGGACCGTTTCAGGTCTCTTTACTTGCACACGTATAGAGCCAATCATTGTTCGAAAGCAACTGTCAGAGGAGGGTTAAGGAAAAGCTGCTGGTGAGTGAATTTCTTCCTTATTTCCAATAATTTCAAACATTGGAGCGTTTATTTTAGTTTCAAATAATGTTTGTTGGTATTTCTCTGAAAAAAGAAATAGCAGATAATTCAAAAATACCAAAAAAAAAAAATATATATATATATATATATATATATATATATATATATATATTTTCCCTTACAAATGCATTCTGACAACTTTCCATTTCCATATTGCGCAGTGTTACGTCTAGAAAACTAATAATTAATAAGAAAAATTGACTGCAGGCATTAAAAAAATTATTTTTCCTGATTTTTCCTAACTGGAGATGAAAGTATCTTTTAAATAAATAAATAATACATACAAGTCTTTTTATATTTGCAGGTATAGACTTTTGTGGGAAAAATTGAAACTTTTGCCACTCTCTTTAAAAATAATTTTTTCTACATATGTAACAGATTCACAATTTTTGAAAGAGATATTTTTTTTAATTTAAATTATCATCTTAATTGGTTTTTTATCTGACAAACGTACATAAAAATAACGTGCATAAAAATAATATGATTCCTCGGATAGCTTGATAAAGCCATGAGCTCGTTACCATCGTTGTATTGTGTTATTTTCAATATAAACCAACTAAATCCAACTTAATCGAAGCTTCTATAAAACATCGTGGTTTATCACAGTTATCTTAGCATTTGCGAGTATTGCGAATGAACTCATTATTGCACAGCTCATTAGAGCTCACTGTAATCACCTACACTCGACACCAAAAATATTCTAGAAAAAATGTTACTTTTAGTTTCAAGTTTTTTTTATCTGTTATTGGAACCAGATAAAAAATATTGAACCCCAGTATGCAACCTTCCAACAAATATTGTGTAATGCTGCACTAGTAGAAATTTGACTCTAACTATTTAACTATATGACCGTGAAGCTACAATTTCCTGGATAGTCATAACGTCTGCGAATTTCGGTGGTATGCAACCTGTACGACGTAAAGGCACACTGCGGTTGCGTTTCACATTTCAAGGAGTTCTATTTTTTAAGAGGCATTCGGACGAAATATTGATAAGTTTAAATTGAAAGATAATAGAGGAATATGTTTTAAAATTTAAATAAATCTATTAGAAGCTGCATTTCCTTTACAAGAGATAAAATAAAACTATCGTTTTAATTTTTTTCCTTTCAGATCAGTCGATTTTTTGTATGGATTCGTTTCAAAGCTCTTTACAATGCCAGTATCATTGACTTTAGATAAAACTCTTCAGGATGGTAAAAATTAAAAAATTTATCAACATTTAATTTTAAAGATTTTCCGCTTACAGGATTCGCCCTCGGCTCCCCTATAGGGCCGGCGAGACTCGGATTCTTTGAGACTGACGGCGGCGAGCAAAACGCGGACAAGTATTACGCATTTAATATTTTCCCATACAATCGAAATAAATTTGATCCCAAAAGTGTGTTTGTTTTTGTGGCACACTATGATTTTAAAGGCGGTGTACAGTCCTGGTCTCGGCCTGGTGACGAAAGAGATGTAGAAAGTCTGAGGGAAACTTTTGCTGATAAAAGGAACTGCAGATTCCGCGAGTGGTTGTCGCCAAAGAAGGAAGACCTTTTGGCTCTGCTCGCTGACGAACAAAAAATTAAAAGATACTTTGCCTCAGAGGGTTGTTTAAAAAATAAAAGTAAATCAAAAAAATTTTAATAAATGTTTGTGGACATCTTTCAGATTTGGCGCCGTCGGTGTTCATTTTGTATGTTTTATCTCACGGAAATGAAGACGGATTGATTTACACAGACAAACTTCATTACCTCGATCAATATGATACTTTCAACGCTAAGGATGTTTTTGATTCACTGCAACAAATATTTCCTGAAAGCCTCAAATTCGTTTTTCTTGGCGTTAGTTGATTTTTCGAAGCAAATATGAAATTTTGAAAAATTTATATTTTTCAGCCTTGCAGAGGATCATTGGAGGATAAAGTTTTCAATCCTAATGACGGCCAGGTGGAAAGTAAAATCTCAAGCAGAGTTTCATTCGAACCACGAATGCGCAATCTGGTCATCTTGTATTCAACCGTGGAGAGTAATTTTGTAAAATTCGTTGAATAATCGAGTCTCACTAATTTTTCGGTTCTGTATTTAAAGCGACAAAAGCGAAGCGGGACGACGCAGGCACTTGGCTGGTTAAGTTTTCGTGCATGCAGTTGAACAAAATGAGGGAAAATGAGAGTGTTGTGAAGTTTTTGACAGGCGTTCAAAACAGAATTCACTTAGAGACGACTACATTTCGCAAGGAAGGACAGACGCCCGAATTCAAAATTAATCCGCAAGACAGAAAATTCACATTTTCTTCTCTTTCTATGTAATTTACATTTCCATATCTAAAAAGAACCTTGAATCTTTTCATATTAAACGTTGTAGTGAATTTTTTGAAAATGATTCACCGAGAGATGGATCGGACGCCAAAGGGGCGATTCACATCTCAGAACATTCACAACCTGAGCAGCCGCGATCGATTTACTTTGATTGGCGGAATCCCATATCAAATAAGCTGCTTAGAGGCAGGCGGGCAGTCATTTTCCACCAAGGAAGCGAGAAAAGCGATGATATAGAGAAAATTGACTCTGCTCTGATTAAAAAATTTAACTTTGAGACGATCAGGGTGAAAATTGACAACGATGGATTGAATCATTACCTAAGTAAAAGAGGTCAGCATCTCAAATATAATTTTGTTTCATTCTATTTAGTCGACTGTATATCCAGGTAGGAAATCGATCCTGGCAAAGCGATCAGTACAATTAAAAAGTGCCATCCCCTTTTTTTTATGATTTTTTCAGATTGGTTTACACTACAAAATCCTGAACTGCTTGTTTTTGCTCCCGGGTTGATAATAGAAAACATGGATTTTTGTAATAAGTTTTAGCAAAATTCTTGCTAGTGGTGTTGCCGTTTTTTCCAACAATTCCTTTATTGAAATAAATTGTTATCAACAGTTGAATACAAACAACGTATTTGTAGCAATGTTTTTTTTTTTTTTTTGCTTATGGTATTTGTGAGCTTATTAGGCTATTGGGTCGGTCTCTTGCCGAAGTCGAGCACCCTTAGCACATTTGTGCTTCCCAACCAACCTGACCCTTGTTCGGGGGCTTTCTAGCAGATTTGGTGGTGCTCGCATGGGCCCCCCACCCCCCTTGAGACCTTGCCCCTTGACCCGGCCTTGCCACGAAGGACTTGGAATGAAACACAGGCCACACAAGCTGAGTTCTTCCAGCTTGTGGCTCGGAGGAAACGTGGTAAACCTCCGAGTGCGAGTCGGTACAGCTTGCGCCATACCTCCCAAATTCCCGACGTGTCAGCCGAAATGTTATCAATGATTCGCATACCAGAGATTATTTGTTTCCACAAAGAGCCTCAGGCTGAGCATTAATCCCATGACGGCCAAGGAACACACTGATTAGAATACAAGCATTCTAACCACTGGGCCTGTATTTGTAGCAATGTAGAAAAATGAATAAAAATAAAAATTAAATTATCCAATGTGAAAATGCGCTCCTAAAAAAATATTGCCGTTTTATAATTTAATGCACCACGAAATCACCAACTATCAATCGTGACATTTTCTTTCAAAAAAAAAAAATAAAAAAATAAATAAATAAATAATAATAATAATTGAAACGGGAATTAAATTAAATTTTACATCGCTGCTTGAGTTTATAAATTCTTTTTTGTAATTTTCAGAAGGAAACAAGTCGTGGGAAGATTATGGTTGCTTTGCTGCCTTCATTTTTGCTGAGATCTCGGAACCGGAAGATGGAGAAATTTGCATTTGCTTAAATGAAAATGAAAAGAAGCCGATCGGCGAGTTAATCCATGGATTGCTCGGACCGCGAAATGACGACTGCATAGGAAAACCCAAGCTTTTCTTTTTTCTTGAGCAACAACATATTTATACTGACAGCACATTGATGGTACATTTTAGAAAAGTAGATTTTCGAGTGTTTATTTTGTTTTGAATATTTTATAGGAACAAAAACCGAATTTTGAATACATGCGGGCCACCAATCACAGCGGTTGGCTCGTCTGTGTCATCCGAGATAAAGGTGCGTCAGACTACAAATTATTATTTCCTTTTTAATAACTTTAACAGTGTTTCAATGAAACTATTAATCTGAAAATTTTCAGATACTTGCCAGGCGTTCTTAAAAATGTTTGAGCAAGAGGAAATGAATTTCGATTTAAAGAGCTTGCAAGAATTTCTGGGTGATTTGGTCGTGGGATCCGGTACTGGTCAAAAGGTGATGCTTGTTTCAACTTTGCCGCACTTGTTGCATTTTCCAGAGTTAAAAAGAAATTTTATTGAACCCTACTTTGCCATGCCAAGAGGCAGTTACTGGAACAACACACATGATATAATTGAATACAACACGTTTATTGAACATGCAAAAAACCTTGAAATGAATCGGATTTGGCTGCTGTCTTCAGATCCAGGCTCTGGAAAGTCAACAGTGTTGCGTGAAATTGCATTTGAACTGCAAAGAGAACTAGGAGGTGCATTCAAAGTTTTGAAAGTCGATCTTTCTCAAATCACACTTTCCTCGTCTGGAGCAATAAGAAAAAAAAGGAAATTACCGTCTCTTGGCTCTGTCGTCGCTCACGAAACAGGAAATCGAGAGGAAGATATTCAAAACTGGATCAAAGAAGAGAAATTAATCGTGATGTTTGATGGATTTGATGAAAAATGCCCCATTTACAGAGATCAAGTGCTTGACTTGTTTCTGGAAGCAATAGAAAAAAACGTTCCTATTTGGATTTCAACGCGACCGCACGAACAAGAAGCCATTCTTGTCAAATTTGGTGAAAAAAACAAAATCCGCATGGCATCAATTTTCCCCCTAAACCCGAATCAGCAGATTGAACTTTTTAAGGTGACTTCGAATAAAGATGAAGAGGAATGCAAGAAACAGATGAATTTTTATCGCAAAAATGGATTCCACGATATTCTTAGCAACCCTCTTCATTTGTCAATGATCGCAGAAATTAGTACCTCAGATTGTACAAAAGGACCAAACTTGTACGAAATTTACGAAAAAATTGTAGACAAAAAAATGAGAATGGCGCTGAAAAATTTGAACCAGAATAATGCGAGCTTTGAAGATGAACTTGTCTCTCGAGTCAAAGATCTGGAAAAGTTTTCTGCTGAAATATTAAGTCAGTGCGGTGAAATGTCAATTGATCCAATAAAAGGTCTAACAGAAAACAATGGGCTAGTTACAATAATTCATGAGCAAGAAAATACTCCGGGTATGATCAATTTTGTTCACCAAACATTTGCGGAATTCCTCGCGGCTGGTTATTATATCGATTGTCTTGAAGGAAAAACGAAAGTGCCCTTTGATATATTCAGAATTGGTTACCACCAAGTTTGCAAGTTCGTTGTGATGGGAATATCTGCCTTGAAAGATCTTGATTTGTTTGTAGCATTATTAGGAAATCCATTTGAAAATAATCTCGAGAAACAATCAATCATCATGCAAATCATCTTTGAAGAAAATCCTGCAACAACATTCAACATTGTCAAAAACGAGATAACCTTTGGTGAGAGCAGTAGACGTGGAAAATTTCATTTTGCCGTAACCGATGATATCTTGATAAAGGCTTGTGAGAAAAACGAAGAAATTACTCTTCGCTTATTGGACATGGGTGCTTTTCAAAGCGTAAAAGACCCTCAATCTGTCACCATCAAAATGCTCACAAGTAGCATCAGAAACAATTTTGTGACACTCTTTTCAAAACTAGAAGAAAACTTCTCCAAATCAAAAATAACCTTGATGGCTCAGCATAACGATGATATTAAGAAGAGCGTTGTTGAATCAGCTGCAAGGAATAACCAGCAAGTGCTGAAATTAATTTTTGAAAAAAAGCTTACTAACGCTTGGGTATTTAAGTCTCAGATTCTACGCAGTGCACTAGAAAATAACAGCGTTGAAACTGTCGAGCTTTTAATAGACTCTGGAGCTAGTACTGCCAAACTATTTAGGTTGGAAGATGAATTATCTTTATTCAGTTATCATTCTTTAAAAGTGAGCACTGTAGAAGCACTCCTCAAGACGAGAACAGAGCATCCAGTCAAATTGGCAGATAGAATTTTTAAAATTAGCCTTTCTTGCACAAATTTTGAAGTAGCAAAGTATTTGCATGACAGATACCAGGGTCGTCGTAATCAGCCCGTCTCCTTTTCAGTACACAAAAGTAGCTTGCTCCATGCAGTAAGCTACAAAAGAGGGCCAGTGAATATATTTTCCCCAGAAGAAGTAATTAAAATGAGTTACTGGCTAGTGGATGAGATCGGACTAAACGTCAATGACAAAGATGATGATGGTATGAACGTCTTACACCACGCAGTCATATTGGGAAATTTGGAGTTGGTCAAGTATTTTCTTCAAAAAGACCCTGAACTTGTGAATTCTGTGACAACTATAGGCGAGAATGTCATTCACTTGGCAGCTCAATTTGAACACGAGCGGCTTTTTGGAAAACGAAATTTGACCGTGATTGAATACCTAAATCGGTTGAACGGCGAGTTAATACTTAAAAAAACTCATGTAAAGCAAACAGCGTTACATTTTGCGGCAAAGGCAGGGGATTGGGATACTTGCAAATTGCTAGTGAAATTAGGCGTTGATCTTGATGCTGCTGATAACATTGGATGGAATGCAGCTCATTACTGGGCTTTCTCAGGAAATGTAGGTTTTCAATTGAGAATAATTATTTATTTGCACGAGAACGCCCCTCAATTGATCCAGCAGAGGACGAATGATGGAAACACTTTGCTCCATATTGCTGCTGAAAATTTTGCAATGAAAAATGAAACATTTGAATGGCTGATTCAAAAGGGTATTGATTTGAGAGCAGAGAACAATCGAGGTTTGAGCGCTTTCAACTTGGCAGCGATGCAAGGAAATACTGAATTTATCAAGATTCTACTTGACAACGATCGGGACCTGATAAACTCATTGACCAACGCTGGTGAAAATGTCATGCACCTGTTAACAGCTTCTTCTAAGGAACTAAAAGTTTTTGAATATTTACATCAGTTGAATGGAGATTTGATCAATCAAAAAACAAAGAAAAACCAAACGGTGCTCCACTATGCAGCAGAACGTGGTTGTTTAGAGGTTTGCCAATGGCTCGTAGATAAAATGAACGTTGAAACAAACGCAGAGGACCAAAATGGTTGGAACGCTATGCATTTCGCTGCTACTCGTGAACGGGGGGCATTGGAAATAGTTCAATATTTGCACCATAAAAATTACCGACTTATTCTGAAAAAGACTAAAAGAAACGAAACTGTGATGCTCATAGCAGAGAGGTGCAAGTCCTCAGGACTTTATCAGTGGCTTTCGGAATCTGGTGCCGATGTTTCTTTAGAATGACTCATGCGTGACCTGCGTGTGTGCACATATCATCCGTAGTTCTATTTAATCTTTAAAAAAAAATTATTTTTCACACATACTTATTCAAATAGATTATTATTCTTAATAACAGTATGATTAATAAAATGATGTTATGTTTTAATATTGAATGCGTTTAATTTAAAATATAACATTTTAATGTCATAATTATTTAATATAATTACATAATCAATATAAAATATAATTATTATTAGTTTGATGCAATAAATGAGAGGAACAATAATCATTACAGAACCAGAGAAAAATAATATGTTTCAATTATCACTTTGGAGGTCTCACAAATATATATATATTATTTTTTTAATTTTTGTAAATTAAGAAAAATTACACGCACTTCTTTTGAAACGCACGTCTGAAAAATTACGCTACACTATTGATAAAAATGATCTTTAGATTATGCTAAATAGGTCTAAACACACTCAGCAGATACTGTACAAGCTTTTCATCAGCTCTTTTCTCCAGAGAGCGGCGGTGAGAAATACGATAATATAATGATATATCCTAGCTCTCGCTTTAACTATATTGTTGCTGTTTATTATGTGTATTTAATTTATTATTTCCCCCGTTTTTTTATGTTATAATCATAATCTCATTATATAAAAATGTTATTGACTCTCTTAAAAAAATTTCATGTAGAAAAATAATTGCATGAATTCTAAATTATTGAAAACTTTTCAAGGCTTTGGAAACCAGCGAAAAGTATGAACAAAGTGAGGCTTAAATTTTTTAAATAAATTATTGTTATTGAAACATAAACTAAAATTTTAGATAAAAGTTCATAGAAGATAAAATTGTATAGTTCTCATAATTCAAATTAGAAAGATAAAAATGCATTTTTATAAATTATGATGGTGGCAGTCGTTACGGATCCTTTTTTATTTACACAAGATTGTACTAATTAATGAAGCTAATTTTAAGGCTCAATGATGATTTTTTTCAAAACTCTTCTGAACTTCTGAATGTTCTATCAGACTCGCATAATTTACTGAGAAATTTACCTGCTGCCGCCGCTGGAAAGATGATCAAATTAATGGACCTCCGCTTGTCGCCAACCGGGTCGAAATTTCGCTGTTTATTTTCGAAAACACTAACTTGTAGATGAACAGGCACTGAAGTGAATGGTGATTTAAAATCGGCTTTTCAAATCACCACTCGATTGTGAAATTCTATCACAAAACTGAGTACCAATGTTTCTTGGCCCATTTGTTGCTCATTTGTAAACAAATACTGGCCGGCCGGCGCCACCACCTGGCCACCACACCCATCTATTTCCCCTCTGATTTAGCAAAAAAAGGGCGCGATCGATTGCATAATGGATACTGATGCAGCACGTGGTGCACCCTAATTTTTATAGCAAAACGACTGAAAAAAATATTTTTGCTAATCAGAAAGAAAATAGTACCAATAATAATAGCAACTGCATTGTGACGTGATTTTGTATTGAAAATTTTGGCTAGATACAAGTTAGGAATTTAATGTTTTTTTGGTATTTTTTGAATTTAAAAAAATTTCAGCTTCAAAATAAAATAATGTAGAAAATAAAATCAACTGTTTTTCATAATTTTTTTTTGTAAAATTCTTGTCTAAAAACGTTTATTTTATTCTCCAATCCATTTTTCGTTTTGCAAAATAAATTGATTTAAATATAATATGCCAATCTTATATACGCACAAAGTTGTGAAAAACGAGATAAGCGCGATGACGAATGGAGAGGTCATTGCTTTGATTGACCTCTCGCCTCTATCTTCTGACATTATTATGTGAGAGGCAATATAGTGCGCTGCAGAATAGGCAGAGGAGGCAGAGAGATGAAGAAAATCGTGTCGATGCTGTTGTTGGCGCAGGTAGCCCTGGCCGCCGACCTGTGCACCCCAACCCCTGCCGATCTGAACGTCAACCCCTACGGCGTCGGACAGAAGGTGATGGTGGTGGCGCTTTTGGACGCCAGCTGACACATGTGCCAGAGGCAGGCTGTCAAGTAATTTCAAATTTTATAATTATTTAAAAAGTAAGCTCAAATATATTTGTAAAAAAAGGTTGCAAAACCTTCAGCTGCGCCTCGAGGAGAGCGAAGAGCTCAGAGCCAAGACCTCGTTTGTGATCGTCAACGAAAATCACCGCAGGGCCAGGGAAGAGTTCGACCACCTGCGCAATTTGGCTGGACAGAAAATAATCACTATTCAAGGCAAGAAATATTAAATTATTGCTTTCTTTTTTCAATTAAAAATTAATTTTAATTTGTAGGAAATGGACAGGAATGGAAATCGGTCAAGGGTCGCAAGGACGACATTCTCATCATTGATAAGTAATTGGAATAAAATTTTATTTTATTTTTCAACACTTTTTTAAGTCAAATCTCCGAAATGTATGAAGCCTGCAAAATTTGCAAAGATAAATTATATTCGTTTGGGGAGCACATAAAAAATTGAAATTTAATGAGTGAAAATGAAGGCTACATTAAATAACTTTCAACATACATGAATTTAATTTAATGTGAATAGAAGAATAAATAATAATAATAACACCAAAAAAATTTCTTCTTTTAAGAAACGTAACAAAATTGCAATTTTTTTTAACAGAATTACTTTTGTTATCAATTATATTTAAATAAAATGAAATTTTTATTTGAAATAGAAAGTATGACATTCAATAGATTTCTAACAATACTTGCAAAACATACGGGTTCAATTCTGCCGTTATGCATCTGGGCCATATTTTGGAAAAATCCTCGGTTTGTTTTAAATAATTATGCAATACAGGTGTGGACGAATTTCCTTCCACTTGAGTCTGCCGTGGAGTAAACTACAGCTGGCGTACGTCAAGGCGGCCATTGTTGCCACCATCAAGGATCAACCCTGTGGCTCCTGCTCTCAAGTATATTTTTTTTCTCATTTAAAGTAAAACAAAAAACAAAAATCCTTAATTAACAGACGATAGATCTATCTGAGAACAGCTTGGATCGGACCGTCAGCGCCACACAGGACGTCTTGCCCATCATTCAAACGCTCACCAACACTACAGAGGTATAGTTCTAAAAAAATAAAAAAAATATACTTACAAAATATATACAGGAAAATAGCAACAATGCGAATGGGATCGAGGAGGAGCAGAAGAAGCAGCGGCAACTCAACTGGATGCGGCCCTACCTCAACTACGAACTTTAAATTAATTGATATATTCCAAATTTGGGAACACAATTTGAATCAATTTCCTATGACGAAGTCAATTAAACCACAAATGAAGTGGAAATTGATTTTCTGACGCTTTTAATGATTCACTTTGGTTTCCAAGTTGACAGAATTAAACCTTTAAAGTTGACAATAAACAAAAATGCAATGGGATTTTTATTCAAAATACAAAATAATATTTTATGGCTCCCGTTAGAATTCTCATTTTACATTCAATAATTAATCAATATTTTTCTACTCGCTTTTTTCCAATTAATTGATGCTGATGTTGGATCTAAAACTGACCTAATTGCAGGTCTTGATTTTTTGACAATTTATCTCCTCCGCTTGCAAGCAGTATTTTTAGCAGCGCAATTCTAAAGTGTTTGTGATTGTTCTTTTTTTCTTGGCATAGCGTTGGGTTCACCGCGGCGGCCGTGTCTCATATGGTGTCCGGCGTTTTAGCAGAACGCTACTAGTTTTATACCCTCATTTTTTCTATTTTAATTGTAGCTTTTTTGACTCCAGTAGTATGTAAAAAATAATCAATTAAGTTATTTGAATTGCTGGCTCGCAATCAGTTTTCTTCTGTACTTTGACACTTGACACTGAGATGTTTGGGTGCAGAAAGTAAATGGATCCGTTCAGATAAGTGTGAAATTTGTCATAATCATCGTTCTCTGGATCTAATTGGATGGGCTCGTTGCACACCGCCTCGTTGACTACATGAAAATGCTTTTTCAAGTCAACCTCACGCTCAACTCCATCGTCCCAAATTTTAACCATTTTTTCCTTCGTGGTCACATTATATTTCATTGCCAGATCTTAATTATAAAAATATTAATTGCTGTAGAATTGATGCAAATTAAAAAAAAAAAATGTGCGTACCAGTGTTACATTGTCGGACACACGGCCCATTGAGACAAGGACAAGCCCACCAGAACTGTCCATCCCGCCAGAAGGTGCCATTCTTGAATGTGATGCCATCCTAGGGTTTGAGAGTACCGCCTTCAATCAGCTCGCCATCATTCACTTTGGTCCTTTGCAGCTCGTCGCAGGGATCGCTGCCGAGGGCTAGACGCACCCCGCAAAGGACAAGACAAAATATTATATGCTTCGTCCCAGCATACTCGATCGTTGTTCAGCTAAGAGTGAATTTTTTTATTTATGCTGGCATGAGTTTGTAGCTCATTGGTGCGGTTTGATAATCGATAAAATGTGTGGTCCCTTATGACGTCTGTGTGTTATTTATGGTTTGTCTTAAAACCACCGAATGATTAAAATTGGAGTTAAGCTGTAACGCGGTTTGAAAAGTGGATTCACGCAACTGCTGGGTTCCAAATTTAACTATTACACATTGAGCGATTGTCTCGTAGCGCTTATCTTAAGACTTGAGACAGGAAATTTGTGGATCTATCGAAGGATTTCCGGTTCAAGAGGGTGATTTTTTTAGCGAAGAAGAAAAATTAAAATTCTTATGGGACAAATTGCTAGGGATATGTTTTTTCCATCATTTCTGTGCCACCACACTTCCTCGTATTTGAATGGAAAAGTGTGGTTCCTTTCAATATGAACTTCTCCATCCTCAATTTAAAAGGATTCATATAAAACAACTCGGGTGCAAAATTCGAGCACCCTTCTCAGCACGAAATCCTGCGGTTCCCGAACGACTTCAGCTAAGAACAACCCTTCACTAACAATCCCAGGCCCCAGCATGAGAAATCACTCAGGTTCAAAAATCCACCCTAGTGGGAAGTGGGAAACTCATTAGCCACTGAGACGGCCTGCGTGTTCCCGCGCTCAGATTCCCGCGCTCCCCCTCCACACGACTCCGTCTAAACTTTCGCTCGTCATTTGTTTCCTGTTTTGTTGACTGAAAATATGGCGACGGTGAAGGATTCGGCGTGCCGCAAACTTGTCAACTTTATTCTCGATGCCGCCCTTTAATTTTTTGTCGTGACCTGATATTAAATAAAGGTATGAAAAGCTGTTCATTCGCTCATCTCAATTTCATCGCGTCCGAGAAAATTATCTAAACATTCGATGCAATTTCCGCCTTTCCCTCAAAACGTCTGACCTGGCAAAAAATTCGCACATCTTTTTATAATTTTATTCCATTGTGTTCGCTATTTGTGAGAAACCTGAAGGTACTTGTAAATAAAAAGCGAAAAATAAGTATGACGATAATTCTTAGCAAATTCCGCAGTTCTTTGAAAATGAATTTGTCAACTTAATGTATAAATTAAATTTTTTCTTATAACTTTCCCAGCTTTTTCTCTAATACACTTTTATGCTAATAATCTTTTTTTAATTTTTAGATGATGCAATTTGGCCACCCACCACCGTCGCTGCCCAACATGTCGGGGCCTCCACCACACGTCCCGACGCCATTCGGGTCCAGGTACAACAAATTATTAAATTGCCAAAACTTTTCTACATGAAGTGAATTTGCAGAATTTTCGGGAGCGGCCCGCCAGAGAAGTCCAAGTTCTACACACCATTCCGCAACTTCAACAAGGGTGGGATGGACGCTGAGTTTGACGGCAAGCGGCTTCGGAAGAGCGTGATGCGCAAGACGGTCGACTACAACTCGGGGGTGGTGCGAATGCTGGAAAACCGCGTGTGGCAGCGCGACTGGCGCGACCGCGCCGCCCTGCAGCCGGACATGTTGTACGTGCCCGAGTTGCTGCCGCCGTCCGCCTATCCGGACAACCCGAGCAACGCCATCACCACCCGCTTTGTCAAATCGGCCACCAACAAAATGCGTTGTCCGGTGTTTTGTCTTGCGTGGACGCCCGAAGGCCGCAGACTTGTCACCGGCGCTTCCAGCGGCGAGTTTACCCTCTGGAACGGACTCACCTTCAACTTCGAGACAATCCTCCAGGTACATTCTTTGTTTTAAAAAGCATTTGGCATTCCTTGCTTTGATTACTAAACTTGATATGCTTCCATAAGTGGACTTGAATACTAAATTTAAATAATCTATTAAATGAAAATTTTGAAAATCAAAAGCAAGATTGTTACTAAAAGTAGAAGAGGTGGCAAATTGAAATTTATACACAAATCACAATTTAATGAGCTATTTTTTTCTGAAATATTTGTTGGTCAAAAATTGACTGCTTCATTAACACTGAATAAATATAAATAGCTTTTTGTTGAGTTGAGTGTCAATAAATACTAAAAATTTTATAAAAAAAAGTATCCAAGCCGATCTTATAATTTTAAAATTCTTTCAGTAATTAATTTTGGGCTTCATGAAAAAAACGCATCAGCTCATTTTAGTTTTTTTTTTTTTTTTTTTTTTTTTTTTAGAGAGGAGGCTTTTTGTTACCCTTTTATTTTTCTGTATTAATCACTCGTAGAAACTTGTTGAAAGTATTTGAACGGCGTTGTTCCTTTCAGGCGCACGACAGTCCCGTACGAACAATGGTGTGGTCGCACAATGACATCTGGATGGTGACGGGAGACCACGGCGGCTACGTCAAGTACTGGCAAAGCAACATGAACAACGTGAAAATGTTCCAGGCGCACAAGGAGGCCCTCCGCGGCATCAGGTACAGCTAAATCCTCACACCTACCTCATCGGGTGTTGGTTCCCCATTTTATTTCTCACTGCCTGTTGCTCTCAATAAAGCGATAAAAATAAAGTTCAATAAATGTCCTAGCGAATACTGTGATATATAAGGCTAAATAAAGAGAGATCTCGTCGCCACCCACTATAATACACAATTTTTCCAATAAAATGTTTTCTGCGGGCTGTGCTCTTGTTTCTGTGTGACTGCTTTTCTTTCAATAATAAAGACTGAGATTTTTTTGAATCAAACCAATCTCGATTGGACGATTTGTAAGGCGAGAATAAAGTTTGTTCTAAATCTATATTCGCTCGGATGCAGCAGCAAACGCGGCTTGGCCGTTTTCCCGCTCTTGCAAAGAGGAGAAAGTGGTCAGCCGCTTTGGTGCCAATCTTATTGCACGCACACGGGGTCCCCTGCCTACATATTAAGAAAGCGTTTTTGTGGTGTGACAGCTTCAGCCCGACGGACCAGAAATTTGCCACTTGCTCCGACGATGGCACCATCCGCATCTGGGACTTCCTGCGCTGTCAGGAAGAGCGAATCCTCAGAGGTAAGGAAAAAATTTTTGCGTCCTTACTCGGTGCTGAGCCAAGGGTATTTCAGGGCACGGCGCTGACGTCAAGTGCATCCACTGGCACCCACACAAGGGCCTCATCATCTCCGGCAGCAAGGACAACCAGCAACCCGTCAAGCTGTGGGACCCCAAGACAGGACAGTCCCTTGCCACCCTGTGAGTTTTGTTTGTTTGTTGCTTTGTCAGTTGTTCGAATGAAAAAAATTAACAGACACGCACATAAATCGACGGTGATGGACGTGCGGTGGAACGACAATGGCAACTGGCTTGTCACAGCCTCCAGGGACCACCTGCTCAAGTTATTCGACCTGCGCAACCTCTCGCAAGAAGTGCAGACCTTCAGAGGACACAAGAAGGAGGCGAGCGCTGTTGCCTGGCACCCTGTTCATGAGGGACTCTTCTGCAGCGGCGGCTCCGACGGCTCACTCCTTTTCTGGAATGTCGGGTAAAAAAGAAAATATTTAAAAAAAAACTTCCTGTTCAGAATAATTCTAGAAGCTGAAATTAATCGCAAGAGCAATTATAATGACATGATAAAGTTATAGTTTTTGAAAAAAAAAAAAAAAAAATAGAGATGTAATTATTAAGTGTCCATAGCGTCCTCCAAGTTATTTTTGCATGCCGGCCTCACTAAATTCAATTTATGACAAGTATGCTAAATTGTTTACAACTACACCAATTTTCAGATTAAAATGCTTTTTGTTCTTACTGTTAGATTCTCATTTATTTTATATTTTAATTGAATTGTATCAAAACTTTAATATTTATCACAATATAGTTTTACAGACGGAAATGTTGAATTTCCGCCATGTTTAGAATTATCAGCAAAGTACTGATTTCTGGCTCTAATCAAAATTTCAGTGCCGACAAGGAAATAGGCGCGATCGAGCAGGCCCATGATAGTATTGTGTGGGCACTGGCTTGGCACCCCTTGGGCCATATTCTCGTCTCGGGCTCCAACGATCACACCAGCAAATTCTGGACGCGGAACCGTCCCGGCGACCAGATGCGGGACAAATACAACTTGAACACGCTTCCTGCAGGCATGGCCGGATACGATGACAACGAAATCGGTTTGTGTAGAACATTGCGGAAAGGGTGACCACATCTGATTTGTTTTTGATTTGCAGACGACATGGCCCTAATCCCGGGCATGGGTCCCGAAGACAAGGTGGATGTGCCTTCGGGGGCAAGTTTCACGCCCAGCTCGAGTCTCGATCCATCGGTCATTCCAGGCCTGGACTTTGACAGTCTGCAGGACCTGCAAAAGCCGACCAAGAAAGTTCCTTATGCCAAGCCCATTCCCAAAAACTTCCAGGCGCAGTGGAACGAAACTAAGAGTAATTTATTCAGACTTTCAGTTTATTTAAAAATCTAACATTGAATTGGAGTAGATGATGAGGAAGAGGGGAAGCACAGGCGAGGCCTGACAGAGGAGCAGGTTGTCGAAGTGATAACAAAATTTATCGCGAAAAACCCTCCACCCGGATTTGTTCCTCTGAAGGATGTAGAGCCGGAAGCCATCATTCTTTTTGGACAACTCATCAATATTATTCGTGAGTTGCTTGGCATTTATTAACTTTGTCTTGAATTAATTTTGCCCACAGCTGCCTCTGCCTTGTCGGAAGCAATCAAGAGTGGCTCCGAGGCAGTCATGGAGTTTCTCGAGTCCGGAGGAATCCCTGAGTTGGCGGATGAAATCCAGAACTACAGAATGGCGGCTGAAAAAGAGGACGATGACACAAATCTGGAGCTCCGTCCAGAAGAACATGAAAGTTATCAGGGTGACGAGGAGTCGCAAGATGTCGATGAGGTAATTAAACTTTCAATTTCTTCTTCTTAAAATAATTTTTAATTCACAGTACGAAGACTACGACGAGGAAAACGAAAATGAAGATTGGGACTATGAGGAGAAAAACTCAAACTATGACCAACCTGAGAACCCCTTTGGAAGGTCTGGTAACTTTGGGGCTAAGGAGAACTTTCGACCTCAGAACCCCTTTGACAACCCAAACAATTTTAACCCCAACTTTGGCAACATGCCTCCCCGCTTTCCCCCGCGCATGGACTTCCAGCAAGGAGGCGGCTTCAGACCCGACTTCCCTCAGCGACCTTTTGGGCCTCGAGATGGATTTGGCGGACCAAGAGGGCCCTTCCAAGGTCCCCCACCAGGTGGCTTCAACGCCAACCAAGGCAGCACTGGTCAGCAGGGCTTCTTCATCAGGGGACCTGACAACTTCAACCGCCCTCCAGGACCCAACGCCTTTGGAAACCAGGGCAAATTTGGTAGCCAAAACAACCAAGGGAACTTTGGAGGACCCCAGGGTGGCAACTTCCGGCCGCAGGGAAACTTCGGTGCAAACCAGGGTGGCAACACCTTTGGCCAGAATTTCGGAGGCAATCAGCAGACGGGCAACTTCGGCCCAAACCAAGGGAATTTCGGAGGAAACCAGGGAGGTAACACTGGAAATTTTGGAGGCAACCAAAGCGCAGGTGGCACCTTTGGCTCTAATCAAGGAAACTTTGGCCAAAACAATCCGCAAGGGAACTTTGGCCCAAACCAAGGCAACTTTGGAAACAATTTTGGCCAGAACCAAGGAAACAACCAGGCGGGTAACTTTGGAGGGAGCAACTTTCCTAACAACCAAGGAAGCTTTGGGGGCAACAGCCAGGGTGGCAATTTTGGTGGTAACCAGTTCAGTGATCCTCGCTCAGGGGCCAGAAATCAGTTTCAGTCAAGAGGCGGTGGACCCGACCGCAACAGAGACAGACAGGGCGATCAAGGGGGCCGCGGCGGCTGGCGGGGCGGAGGCCCTCGTGGCCGGGGTTTTGGCAACTGGCGGGGTGGCCCTCCAAGAAATAACTGAATTGTGTTTGTTGTGCTGGACGTTTGTGACGCGACTGTTGAATTGTAAATTATTAAATTAAACACGAGCAACTTTTCAATGAACAGTATTTTTGTGTTTGAGTGTGCCTATCTTTATTTTGCTCCACTACTTACAAATGATTTCCAAATAAAAATATCCTTTTGGGTAAGTATGATAAACATCTTTTGTTAAGAGATGTGTTATTACAAACTAGGTAATTTTGAAACCAAACAATTTTTAGTTGGCCTTCATAACACAATGGAAACTAGTTTCGTATCTGAACAGCATTACAGTGATGCACTATTAAGTGAAGTAGTAATTATTAATATTATATATATTATAAGCTTTCTTAAGTATTTACGTAACATCTTTCAAATTGTACAGTGCAGTCCCTTTGGCTGCAAGTGATTTTTCAAATAAAATATAACGAAATTGAGAAAACAATGTATAATTATATAAGGTAGAGAGAGAAATATCAAATCAATATAACTAGCCCTTTAGTCTTTTGAAAATAAATAAGAATCATACATAATCCATATCTTAGGTATTCAAATACTAGAAAGGTTACACAGTATTCTGTTGAAATAACAAATCGATTAATTGGGGGTTAAATGATAAAATAAACTAGAAAAATTTTGTTGAGAGAAAAGCTGCAACTCGGTAAGCAGCGTGAAAATGGACTTAGCCTGCGAGATTTCCCTTCAAAACACTGCTTTTTGTCGCAAGATACAACATTAACTATTGTTTTTTTCCATCTTACATATATTTTATATATATTTGTCTCATTATCTCTTTTCCCCCTATATGCAGTTCTCTTGCTAAAGTTGCGAGTTTCTCCAACTACTTGGACACCAAGAACATGATGAGCCTGGAAACAAAAACAACTCAACCGACTTGCTAGCGGCAGTAAGAGTGTGAAAATACCTCAGACTGAAAGTCTTGGACGCGAGCAGTCGGTTGCATTCGTTGGTGTCCGGAATGGGGAGGGACACGACCGGGCCCTCGCAGCTCTGGTCTGAGAACTCAGCCACATATGTCTGCGGGTTGACCTTAAGGTCACCAAAGGGTCCACTCAGGACCATGTAGTGCACAGTCAGGGGCGAAGGGGTGCTTTTCGACTTGAGTACCACCTGCGCAATGCAATTATGAGATGATTTAAAAATAAAATACAGATCTCGAAAACGGCACCTGGTAGTTCATGTCACGCTCCGAGCACTGAGTTGGGTCCCTCTGATTCTTGGTGTTGATGAACGCTTTCACCACCCACTGGTTGTTGAAGGCCGTGAAGCGCGCCGACTCGTAGAACAGCTTGTGCACAAATTCGTCAGTCCGGTACGGTTTCATCTGCAGATCTGCAGGGAAAATAATAGGTAGGTTAAAGTGCAGATACTGCATATTATGATATTATTGATAGAGTTTTTTTTAGAAAGGAGAATATCGGAACTATGAAAATATTCACTTAAATAATATAGGTCAGATTAAACATATTGGGGAAAATTATATTTTAACAATGATTTTTCTACGGGCAAGCAAAAATTAAAAAAAAAAAAATCACCAATAGCAAATTAAAAGATCGCCAAATTTCTGCTGGAAAATTATTTTGATACAATTTGATCCAGAGTTTGAAAAAAAAAATAGATCCAATAAGTTGATAGAAATGTGTATTTCTTCATTTTGATTCTGGCAATTCCTTTTTTGTCATGATAAGAAATTCTTTGGATCAAGGGCCATCTCGGAGCGCCGCGGATTTTTATTTTAAAACCGGATATTTTGGTCTTTTTGCCTTGAGTTTTTTTTTTTTTTATATTTAATTTTTGTTTCTTCAACGTGGCCATGGCATGGCTATGTCGTGGCCATGGCTTGGCTATGGCGTGGCCATGGCATGGCTATGGCGTGGCCATGGCATGGCTATGTCGTGGCCATGGCATGGCTATGGCGTGGCCATGGCATGGCTATGGCGTGACCATGGCATGGCTATGGCGTGACCATGGCATGGCTATGGCGTGACCATATGGCATGGCTTTGGCGTGGCCATGGCATGGCTATGGCGTGACCATGGCATGGATATGGCGTGACCATGGCATGGTTATGTCGTGGCCATGGCATGGCTATGGCGTGGCTCTTCAACGCCAATAACTCCTTATGATAATGTGTATAATGTGCAATAAAAACACCTGAGTAGGTCTTTTAAGTTTTTAACAAGGAGTGTAAACTATCACATTTTATACTTTTCTTGCATAAAATCAAGTGAAAATATAGCAGAATTTTGCACTAAAGAGCTTTTTCATTCACAAGGTACTGCGCATGCGTGATAATATGCAGTCGTAAAGCGCGTAAATAAAGCTTTTGCATAATTATTTATTTTTACCATTGAAAGTTATTTTCTCAAAGGAGAGTAGACTGACGAGTTGGTTGAAGATGGCCTCCTGGGCCTCGGCCTTGCTGTCCAGGGTCTCGAGCAAGGGCATGAGGTCGCGGCCGGAGCGGTTGGGGTGCGGACACTCTGCGGCGTGGCTGACGGCCTCGTGGTGGGGACCGCACCACGGACACCCGAGGCGCCGGAACTGGCACTCGGTGATCCTGTGTGCAGATTTTCTTATAAGACAATTTCGGTGTCAGGTCAGGGGGGCGGAGGGGCATCACCTTTCGTCGCACAGCTCGTCCTGGTGTCGCTGCAGCACGGCCCTGGCAAACTCCTTGCCGCAGAAGGTGCACGGCGCAGGCAGCTCGCTGACCGCCTTCTCCACAGCCAGGTTGCGACACGCGGACGCCCGGGACAACTCGACGCGGCAGCTCGGACAGCTGGCCACCTCGTCGCGCAGACGCGCGTCCGCCAGCACGTGCGTGAAGCATCCGGCGCACAGTAAGTGGCCGTTTGAGCACTGAAATCACACAAAAAATTATTAATTTTTCATGATTTTTCACATAAATATTTTCAACCTAGCTCCTGATTGATAATAATAAATAAAAATTCTGATAACTTTCAGATAAATCAAAGAAATAAATTGATCTTGCTTGGAAAAATTGTCAACGAAAAGAAATAAAAACTGGGTGTTTCTTAATTTGAAAAGGAAAAGTAAAAATTTGATAATTTAATAATAACGCCTGCAGAATGGAAAGGTAGGCAACCTGTATTGTAACGTAGCGCAGCGTGTTGCATAATATACAAAAATAAAATGTCTGCAAGCGATGTGTGACTACTATGTACATAATACCGCATAAATTGATAAATGTATCATCTGAAAATAATGAATTAAAAAATTAAAATTCAATATAAATTTTTTCCTAGCTGATAAAGAAAGGACTAATTCTTGCCACGCGTGACTCTGATTTTCAAAATAAATAATAGAGATCAATTTTTGGTCCCAGCCCCGATTAATGAGGTGAAGTGTACTATAAAAATATAAGATTTTCTGTTTTTTAATTTATATAGAAATTTAGCTCGCAATTCGCAAATGAACTAATTATTTATTTTTAAATCTTAAAAATATTAAATTTAGTGAGTTGTGTTTCATAGAGTGCAAATTTAACAGTTAAAGCAAGATCACCTGCCAAGTTTAATTCGAAATCCGTTGTCATCATCGGCAAAAGCGTCTCCATTTTTAATCAAATTTTAAAAACTTGTGCTTTTCAAATATACAATGATTTTGATTTTTTTATTCAGAGTTGCAACATCAATCATCATTTAATGCGATGGTTTCTGAGGAACTTAAATTTATTAATAATTAACATGGATTAATCCATGAATTAAATTGAGCACAGAAAAATTCGTTTGCAGAATATTTTCAATTCATCATTTTATTTTTCATCTTTCAACTATTTAGAAACAAAATGTGGCTCTATCATTAAAATGAGGCAAAGTCGAAAGTGCGAAGCGGCGCGTGTAAATTTAATGTAAGGTGAGAGAGCCGTTGTCGTATCGAGTTCCCTGGCGAGGAGCGAAAACGGAGCCAGACTGCGAGACTGCAGCCGATGGATGGCAACGCAAGCAAGGTCATTGACACGCGCGCGCAGGCAGGCCAAATCGGAATATAAAAGGTCTCACTCGCCAATTGGCTGCCGAGTTCCCCTTTCACTCGCAACCCCCACCAATCACGTGCCAGTTATGCAACTCTCGCAACTGTTCCTAGGCCACATACACCAACAATAATGATAAAAGTGCATTCCTTTCGAAAAACAAGCATTTCCAATGCATGCTTCTCAATTGAAACGTTTCATTCCAATCCTATTAAACTGAATTTAATTTTTCAGCAAAATTTAATGAAAAATGTTATGAAAAAAATTGCAAAATTTGCATTTTGGATCGAATTTTTTGAGGACTTCCGTGTTGGAATAAAACGAGTGGGGATGGACGGAAACGGAAAAATTTGAAAATTTTCAAGTGGAAATGCGAAAGTGCGTGAGATTCGCGGAGTGTCAGGCGAGAATCGCTGGTGTTTTGGGCTGTGCAGCAGCTGAGGCACTCCCCTCGCTAGCCAGCTGTTTTTATACGTACTTGGTAGACAGCTGAGCGGGGCAGGTCGAGGCAGACGGCGCAGCACAGGATGCCGCCGAGACGGTGCTCAAGCTTCTCATTGCCCTTTTCGGGCTCAATTTTCGGCTTTTTCGCGGCCGGCTCGGCATTTTCCTGCTCTGTCAGCGCCTCCGCAAGGCCAGCACTTGACGACGGGCTCTCCACCTCAGCCATTTTTAAATAAACTGCGACGTAAAAGCCCTCGGGTCACGTGACTGCGGCCCCGAGTGCTCATTGGTTCTGAAATACTTCCCGGGTGACCGCACAGATGGCGCCACACGAGCGAATAACAAATCGAGTGGAGGGGGATTTCGCTTCTCTAGCCCATGTGGTGTTTTGCTTTCTTGTTTGCTTCCAGGCACGTGTTGAAGGATTTTGGTTAAATTCGAGTTTTGGAAGAATTTGGAAATGGTGAAGGCCGCGGCGAAGAGGAGAGCGGCCCAAACGGCCACGGCTAAAGAGAGACCACAGGTGGAGCTTGTGAAACCGGCGGAAAAGCTCTTCGAAAAGGTCAAAATTTGGTTCTTTAAAATGAAAATTTTTTAATTTAATTTTGAAAACAGCAAGAGGATGACGAAGATTTGCTGGGCAGCATTGCATCGGAGGACGATGACAGTGAGGACAGTAGTGACGAGTACCAATTGTCCGAGGAAGACGAAGAAGGAGAAAATAATGAAGACGAGGGTGGCTCAGAAGAGGTTGAAGAGGAGGAGAGTGGTGATGAGGAGGAAAGTTCAGAAGGTTCCGATTCGGATGCAGGACCGTCCGAGGAACGTCCGGACAAGGAAATTGAAAAGAATGACGAGTACGAAAGTGGAGACACATCAGATGAGGAGGTTAAATTGATAAAATTACCCAATCGACTTTATAATGTATTAATGGAATGATTAGGATTTGCGGAACACCGTCGGCAAAATCCCAATGCACTGGTATGACGAATACCCTCTGCTGGGGTATGATTGGGATGGAAAGCCCATTATGAAGCCCGAAAGGAGGGATGAACTGGACAGTTTCCTCAAGAGAATGGAAGATCCCAATTTCTGGTAAGCTTACCAGAAATTATTCTATGATTTAATCGATGGATGTTTTTTTTAAATTAAAGGAGGACAATTAGAGACCCTAGCACAGGGCAAGACGTGGTTCTGAGTGGAAAGGACCTGAACCTGGTGAGACGCCTGCAGGAGAGCAGGATTCCAAACCCGGAACACGAAGAATATAAAGTGAGTTTTGATAGAAATCAACAGTGCCTAATGACGTTTAGGATACAAAAATGGCCTTTCAATCAAAACATTTCTAGTTTATTTTCTTGTCTCAAATTTGTAACTTTTTCTCAGCCCTGGATCGAGTGGTTCTCAAGCAAAGTGCTGACAACTGCGCTTCGGCCAATCCCTGAAAGTAAAAAATCCTTCCTGCCATCGAGGTCTGAGCGAGAAAAGGTTTCCAAAATGGTGCACGCCCTGAGGATGGGCTGGCGAGAGCCACGGGCTGTCCTTGAGGAGCGCCGTGCCAAGGAAAAGGAGGAAGGCCCAAAGTTCTACGAGATGTGGGGTGCGGAGGGGGAGGAGGAGAAAAAGAAGAGAGGCATCATCGACCACATTCCAGCGCCTAAGAGGACGCTTCCTGGGCACGCCGAGTCCTACAACCCCCCTGCCGAGTACCTCTTCACCGAAAGAGAGGTTCGTCTCTTCTTTTTAGGTTCGATTTGCTTGTGAACTTTTGTTTGCCCAGTTGGAGCAATGGAACCGACAGTCGGAGACACCCTGGAAGAGGAAGGTTCACTTCATTCCGCAGAAGTTCCCCTCACTCAGGGCAGTGCCTGCCTACCCTCGTTATGTCAAGGAACGATTCTTGCGCTGTCTGGATCTCTACATGGCACCCAGAGCTAGAAAAAATAAGGTTAGGTTTAGAATTCTTACTATTCTTAGGAAGTTTTGTCCTGGAAAAATCTTTAAATTTTTAATGTTAAAGGAGCAAACGTGAAAATTGGCGTGGTTCTTTAAATTTGCCCTTTTTTCTGAAATAAAACTACATTAACTATGGCAGTCTTTTGATATTCATTTGAAACTTCTGAATCGCAGCTCACCATTGAAGCGGAAGACCTTTTACCCGAACTGCCCGACCCGAAGGACCTGCAGCCCTTCCCAACAGCCCAAAGTCTTGTCTACACAGGCCACACAGACATGGTTAGGACGATCTGCCCCGACCCCAGTGGCCAGTTCTTGGTGTCAGGCTCTGACGATTGCAGTGCCAGAGGTAAATCACCGCTTTTCAGTTCATTCTGAAGCTTAAAACCTTTTTCAGTTTGGGAGGTTTCTACTGGTCGTTGTCTGAAGATCATCGCTGCCGGGGCTGAAGTGACTTCGGTGTCATGGAACCCCAGCTCCCATTTGTCCTTGCTGGCCATCGCAGCCGGCAAACGCCTCCTTCTCTGCAGCTCTATGGTCGGAGATGCGGAAAAGTTGGCTTCGACAGATGAGCTTCTCTCTGTTCCACCTGACACGGACCCCACAGTGATTGGTAAGTATTGTTTGAAATGTTAAATTTCTTTTTTCTTGGTCGGGCCAAGACAAAGTATTTGCCTTTTATTAGTGGTACAGAAGGCACCGCTAAATTTTTATTTTATTTTCCCGTTAAATCCTCAAAATCGATTTTGAAACCATTGTTGCATGCGCTCATTGCACCCTGTGATAATTTTCATCAAATTATTTAAAAATTCCTGCTTTCTCTTTTCTTTTAGTTCCTGAAAGGGTGCAGACGGCTGTGAAGTGGGAACAGGCGGAGGGCGCAGACTGGGACGCAGGTCAGCGGGTGGTTGTGACCCACTTCAAGGAGTTGAAGCAAGTGGTGTGGCATGGTCGCGGCGACTACATGGCGGTCGTGGTGTCTGAGGGCCAGAACCGCTCGGTCATCGTTCACCAGGTGTCCAAACGCCGCTCGCAGATTCCCTTCAATAAAGCCAGAGGCCTTGTCCAATGCGTCCAGTTCCACCCTGTTAGACCCCTTCTTTTCGTTGCTGTCAGTTTGTCTTGATTTATAAAATATCTTTCCTACTCAACCCTTTCTTTTGCAGACTCAACGGACCATCAGGATCTACGACCTCGTCAAACAGCAGTTGATCAAGAAGCTGCTCTCAAACTCAGCCTGGATTTCGTCCATGTCTGTCCATCCAGGTTTGTCTTTTCATATAAAATGGATTTTTTTACTCAGTCCGGCTGAATATAATGAGTTTCTTTGAAAATGTAAAAGTTGGCTTTAAAACATTGCATGAGCGATTTTAGGAGAAGATTAATTATTATTAAAGATTAATTGAATTTCCCTTTTTAATTAAATTTGCTAATGAAATGTTTTCAGGAGGAGACAATTTATTGGTGGGCTGTTATGATTGCAAGAGCATTTGGTTTGACCTGGACCTGAGCGTCAAACCCTACCTGAACCTGCGTCTGCATTCGGCAGCAGTCAGAAATGTGGCTTTCCACCCCCGCTACCCCTTGTTTGCCACTGCCTCCGACGACTGCTCCCTCATTGTCTGCCATGCCAGAGTTTTCAAGTAATTTTAATAATATGCAATAATTTATTTATTTATAATTTCTTTGCAGCGACCTTTTGCAAAACGCGGCAGTGACGCCGGTCAAGAAGCTACAATACCACACGAGGAAAGACGACTATGGCGTTTTCTGCGCTGCCTTCCACCCTACACAGCCGTGGCTCTTCTCAGGGGGTGCCGACAATACCATTCGATTGTACACTTAATGCTTTAAATAAAGAACAACTTTTTAATTGGATCGAGATGCATTTTATTTATTTTTACTTGACACTTAATTATTTCTCAAAAACAAAGGGACTGCATCACAAACTTAGATTAAGAGAGAAGAAAAATAAGCTTGGAATTGATAAGTTTATCGTCTCCTGCGACTGCTCTTCTTGTGCCTGAAATCAAGTAAGATAAAAATTAGATCTAAAAATAAATAGCAATTATGAGAGAGATTGCAGGCGAGTTCAATTCTTGGTTCAATAATTACAAATTGGAATCCAGAAAAGTTCCCACTATTTCATATTTTTGAATGGTTAGATTTGTGGCTTCACTTTTTCCTACTTATAAAACTATACTGTTGAAGCTAAACGTCAAGGTTATTATTTGGCGGCTCCTGGTAAAAAATTCATTGGCATAGAATAATCCTGCCCCCATCAATATTGTTCATAATAAAAAGAAAATTGAGCAGGCTTGAATTGTGAAATAGGTATGGGACTGTGAAAAAGGAGATATTACGCACTTTTTGGGTCCTGTGACAAAACACCAGTCAACATTGATAGGCTGTCCGCAAATGTCGGAGCCGTTGAGGTTGTCCTTGGCCGCCTGAGCCTCCTTGAAGGTTTCGTACTCGACCAATGCGTAGCCCTGCCGAAGAAATCAGTTAGCATTGTTTGAACCAGATTATCAGCAGGTTCTAACCTTGATGAAGCCGGTGCGTCTGTCCAGGTTGAGGTGCAAGTTCTTGATCTCGCCGTACTCAGAGAACAAGTTGTGGATGTCGTCCTCCTGCGCCTCCTCGTGCACCGCCGTCACGAAGAGTATCCACCCCTCTACGGCTAAAGAGGCCGATTAGTTCTTGCATTTTATTTCAGATTTTTTTTGTTTAATCAATTACATCTTTGGGGGCCGGGCCCATCAGCGGCAATGGCCGTCTCGTCCACATCCATAGTCTCATACTGGATCTCCTCCCTGGCCGTGCCCTCGTCATCAAAACCGCGGCCCTTGCGCTTCTTAGCGCGCTCCTTCAACTTGTCCACGCGCTCTGCAATTTGGAATTATTTAATTACCCTCTAAGTTAACCGGCTTCCCGACGGCTGCCCGGAAAGTGCCCGATTTGGCCACGGAAAGTCATCCGGACAGCCAACTTTAGGGCCAAATCGTGAAATACGATTTGCAGAATTAATTAATGAGACGCATTTTTGGATCTTACGGTCTCCATCATCGTCAACTTCGAATTCTTCCGTCTGGTCGAGATCGAGCACGTCTGCCATGTTTGTTTAATGTTTTGTTTTCTGTTTCTGGCAAAAAAAAAAGAGCATCGGCGACGGCAGCACCATCTATTGGAAATTTAAAATGCGCGCGAAACAGAAACAAAGCATAAATCAGATTATATCATATTATCCACTCAACAATATCCATAAGAAAAAAAATTTGACCCTTTAATTCAATTTGGTCATTAATCACAGTGAAAATCAAAGAGAAAACTTTTACTTACAAAAAAAGTTTGATGTAAAATTTTCAATTCTTATCTAAAAAAAATATATACATTATCACTGGAAACCGAGAAATTGGATAAGAATTTTGCAGTTCATAGAGTTTCATAGGTATAAAAATATTAATATTATAGAATGTAGAGACAAGAAATTTTTTTCCTTAGGCAACCAGTTGAACCACCACGCTTGGCAGGTTGCCTACATTTCGTTGAATAATAGTTCAGGTCAAGTTTTAGGGTGAAACAAATAGAAAGGTTTGAGAATAGAAATGATTTTATTTTCTGCTGCCGCAAATATCACTACGTACAGTGTTGCTGGTTGTCGTTACAGTGGTTAAATGCGCAACCCTAATAGTTTTACTCATTTTTCGTCTCAACAAGCTTGCAGGTCACGCACGCGTGGCGGCCACGATTAATTGCGATTGGTCCTACGTGTCGCCCCTAACAATTTATTCTCTTGCTAGCTCTGCAGCTTTTCAACATTTTTTTTATTCGAGATTCACTAAACATTGTTCAAATCTTGTCTAACAATGAGATAAATTTTCTCTTTTCCATCCTTCGCAACACTACGTTAAATTTTCTTATTCTTTGAATAACAATCGGAGATAATTGCATTGCTGCTGCGCTACCAACTGTGGCTCTTATTGCTCTTTTCAATGCACTCGCCCTCCTCTACTTAACACCACTTATTTAATCTTGTTGGTAAATATGCATTATTTTTTTTTGTATTCTCACTAATTACATGTACACCAACTTAGCTTAGGCCGTGGCGATTCGTAATTGATCCGTGAATGAGCGCTATGTGGTTTGTTTTGTGTCTGCAAAATATTTCTCTCTAAATAGAACTCTGTTAGCAGCACCCTGTGCGGCGGGCGACACCCGCCTTTGTGCAAATAAAAATTACATAATAATTTACTCGCGGTCCGTCTCTGTCTCTCTCTATCTCGTCCAAGTGGAATGTGAGCGCCCTCTTCATAAAACAACAATTGGGTAATGCAGGGCTGGTCCGAGACCGACACACTTTGTATTATATCACAAGCTACCCCTCTTTGTTCACACGAACGCCCAGCACTCGAGCGTCTTCACCACAAAGTCCTCCCCGTCCACCAGGGCCGCGTTGCCGTAGGTCGAGCACGCCTGCGTCCGACCCTGGTAAAGATCGCCGTCAAGCCACAGCCCGAACTTTCCTCTGCAAACACATTTACAAATTTAATCAAAGAATGTATTCAACCTCCTGACATTTTTTTACAGAAAAATCTTTAACCAAATAACCTGGTTTTGATGGAACTTTTTAAGATGAAAATGGATATAAGACAAAAATTGACTTTGCTTTGCATGTTTATTGTTTTGATGTGGATAATACACATGGATAATTATTTGAATGAAAAAGATGATTCCAATGATATTTAAAAAATAAAATAGTTTTGAATCCAAATTGGCAAAGCAGGATTTTACCAAACACAAACCACAATTTCATCCAAAATGGTCTGTTATAGAAAAACTTGAATTACCGTTAATTTTTAAGCAAAAGTCAATTTATGCTTTCATGGCATCATTTGGAAAAAATTAAAAATTCGATTCAAAGAAATTTGTGACCCGCTTTCAGATTGAATACGTACTCTCCAGATCCAATGGCTAGACTCTCGTTGTTGCCTTTGATGAAGAAAATGTTTTCGCCTGTCCAGTCGAAGACCTCGAGTTTGCTCGGCTGTGGGCTGCTGCTGGGACTAGTCACTGGTTTGGCCTCATCGGCCTCCGCGTCGGCCTCTTTTCCAACAGGCGGGGCCTCCGTGGCCGCCGGCGAGACAAAGCGGAAGAGGAAGGACTCGCCGGTGCCGTAGAAGTGGTCGCTCACTTTCAGGGCGCATGACGTCATCGCCCCAAAAACCTGCAACATCCAAATAAATTTTTCCCTAAAAGGCATGAAACTTTTATGACCAGAACATGACAGAATAGCATGAAACAATCAAATTGGCAGTCATTCATAAAAATATCAATACTATTTATGGATATTTATAAATTTTGAAGAGAGCAGAATTGAGGTTTCAACAGGCCATCTTGGTTTTTATAAAAATTATTGCACGCAAATTAATAATATAGTGTTGCTGAGATACAAGGAAATATTGACGGCTAAGTATTCCAAACATCACGTGAAATACCATGATCTTTTACGCGGGTAAATATTCAAAGGTAAGAAGCGGGAAGTGGAGAAGGCAATTAATTAATTAATTAATTTTGATAAGCATTTTTACAAAGTTCATAAGCGTGACTTTAATTCAGTGTGGATCTAGATAGGCGTTCATAGGATTTGGGTTTTTGGGTTGACTAAATTCAAAATGGCATTTTATTGAATATAATATTACTTTGCGAATCAATTTTAAAATATTGCACGTTCAAATTACAAATTATGGATATTTCCATGAACAGAACAACCCGATTTGATTGAGCCAAGGAGTCAAAATATTTTTGCATCTCGGTGTATAAGTCAAAGCAATTGTTTAACCATTTAAGAAAATAACTAACGTGATTTTCGGTGTCTTGGACGACAACAAGGATGGGAGAGTCGACCTTGGCCATCTTGCGGAACATGGAGTTGAGGGAGAAACCGTGCTGAGAAGTGGAGAAAACAAGCGTCCAGGGGTAGCCCTCGGCACGCGCCGGCAAGTGGCGCAGAAGGCGCAACCGGTGGCCGTCGGTCAAGATCTCGGTGGTGCCGATCAATTCGGGCAACCCAAACACATCCAGGTCGAACGAACCTGCCGTAGACCCGCCTGCAGCGTAGAGCGCCCGACGCAGCTCCTCGCTCATCGACAGCACCTGACAAAAAATTACAGAAATTAGAAATTGGAAGGAAAAAAAAGCACCAATGCTACCGCACGGACTTTTCTTAAACCGACACGCGCGCGTTTCATGATTAAAGTGGACATCAACTTGCAGTCAGGTCTGCAAAAATCGCAATTGCAAAAGTGGAGGGGGATTTTCAAATCTTTAATTGTTAGAGCACTTGTATGATATGAAATCTTCATTAATCCTGATTTTATCAGTAAAGTTATCTGGCCATCTTGATCGATCAAATTTTCACTTAATTAGAGGAGGGGGTTGGATTTTTCACATTTTAAAATCTAACAATTCATGCAAATTTTATTATTGACTGCAGATTTCATGATTGTAAATTCCACTTTTTTATAAGAATTTTGATATCCACTTTAATAGGTTTTAATTCACCGATTGCTGAAGGTTGCGTAAATAGTTTTCTAAAGCTAAAATACAGAAACAGACAATTATACAACTAGTGTTCCTATTAACTGTGACGATTAATTGCAGAACAAACACAATTGTAAGTAAATGCACATGTTTTCTAAGCTAACACAAATTATTCATCAGGTCCTTTTCTTAAATTTTAGCAGTCCAAGATACAAGTTAAATCCTTATTCTGGAGATCTAAACCAAATTACAAAAATAAAAATAGATAATTTAAAAATTGAAATTTTTAAGAAACAAAACTAATATTGAATGTTTTATTCCAATTTAAAAAAAAACTAAAGGCTACTGTTAAAGAGAAAATTATAAGCTGAATTTTTCAAAAATAAATTATTTGAAGATCACTAGGAAGTAAAGAACTCCCAAGGATCCAAAAACTCTATAATGGATTTTTTAAAATCAATAAAGTTTCAAAACCAAATTGAAAACAAAGAAATAAAAAATTTATTAAAAATGCAGACGGTTACAAAAAGATTCAAATTGATTTGATTCTAATCTAAAAGGAATTTTGTAAAAGTAAAAATGCAATCAGATTAATTTCCAACGCAATAAAAAAATAAATTTAAATGAATCAGGTGGTGTTAATCCTCTTTGTTTGCAATTGAGAGCGGACATTGACCCTCTTGAAAATAAAAATATCATTAATATCTTTGCATTTTTTGATTAGTCTGAAGATCGAGTGTGCAGCATCGAGATTAGGAGGAAAAAGAGAGCGTTTGTTTCGGTTGAGAGGCCGCCCGCCCGGAAAGAGAGCCAAGGCCTGAGATGCCCGCAGGAAAAACGCATTTTGCTTGATTTTTTTTCGCTTTCGTTGAAATGAATAAAAAACGAGAAAAAAAGCCAAGACTTTTTCGGACTTATAAAGAAGGAGTTATTTGTACAAATGGAGGAAAGTGCAGGTGGTGTTCAGTTCATTTGATTTGAATACAAATCGAATACTCTCACTTTTCTCAGGGCCCCTTGCCGGCGACCTTAACTCATAAAATTGCAAGGCAGCCTCCGACCGGCCGCAATTAAAAACACTCTAGTTAGACCTCAAGGATGCGAAAACAATCGCTCCCAACTTCGAATCTCCATCATTTTGGCTCAAAATTCGTCAACAACATTTGATTGAAAATTTGAAACAAACAGGCGCAAAATTTACGAAGAAATACTTTCTTAAGTCAATGTTTATTAGAAAGAAACCCTCTTTTGAAATTATCTTTAAAAAGGGAATGAAATGATAACATTTTTAGAAAATTAAAATCCCACACTTAAGCAGATCTTTGCTGGTTTTATCCTTTTATGTGAACAATAATTGACAGTTTACACAAGATTTTCATAAAAAAAACTAATATGTCTGCCAGTAGGGAAACTTTTAAAGTTAATAGCTCCCTCAATTTTTGTCCATAATCAATATTTTTTTAGACACTTTAATTGTCACTAAAAGATTGATAAAGTATTCCTAGATGTTTAAGGGATATTGAAGTCCCTTTAAGCACCTTAATGTTGTAAGATTTGAGAAAATCTAGGCGTTTTTTTAACTTAATTGTTTTGTTTTCAGGTCAAAGGTCGGCGACCTTTAAAGTGGTGCGAAATTCTTTAAGTTTGAATTTGGACTCACGAGGCTGGCGATATTGTTGGCCAGGCTCTGCATCCTGGAGACGGCCATTGCGAGGGTGCGCGACGCGACCACCACTTTGCATTTGCCACCCAAGCAAAGCCAGCAACAAGCTCCTCCAGCTTTGGCTGGAGCACTGGCGACCGCTGCGACCGCACCAGCCGCGCGCTCTCAAGGCCTCACTCGCGCACCAGAGAGAGGGAAACGAAAGAAACCGCGCGCTGCACGTAATTCCTCTGGTTTATTGTTTTGCCCCTTGACAGCCGCAATTAGCATCGCGCAACAACCGTTTCCGATTCAAAAGCCTATTTCTATTTTAGTCTCCTTCAAATTCAAGCAAACTTCTGCAGAGATTTAGAAAAGAGAAGTTTTGAAATGAAGGGACGCATATTTAAAACACTCGTTTGAATATCAAACCGGAAAATGAAAAACAGCAAAATTCATTTAACCATGAAAAGTGATAAAGTTAAAAAAATTATTAACTTTTCTGCCAACTTCAACGTTTGTTGGTCACTTATAGTGCAGTTAATTTTTTTTATTTTTATAATTTTGAATTAAAATAGAGTCTTCCTTTAATATAGTGAATACTCAGATAAATAAAAAAGAATAATCCTTTTATGAAGTGGATAAAATTGTATTTTTAAAGCTACGTTTTCTTTGAAAACTTTGAAAAACAAAATACAATTTCTTCTATGTAAAGATTTAAGTGATTCGCCCACATATGATTTTTGTAAAAACTTAATATGAATGTTAATAAGAAGTTCAAGGATGCTACACATTTACGCAAACACACAGCAAGTTAAAAGCCTAAGAAATTAAGGTGCGATAAAACCCAAGTCTGAAAATTAAATTTTGATAGTAATTTTTTTTATCATTTGGCGTATATATTTGCACTCTAAAAGTCAGTTCTTTTTTAAGACGTCAGGATTGACTTACGCCATTTTTGCTAGGGTAGGTGGCTGGAGTGCGCGGGTCGCACTTGACCTTAAGAACTGACAGGTACATCATGAGGACCTAACCAAAGCTGGCAGTTGCCGAGTGTGTGTCCCAGGCTGGACACTGCTACAAGTGCTACGACCCAGGCCTAAAGCCAGGAAGTTCCAAATTGAGTCTAATTGCCACAGCAAAGAACAACCCGCCCGGCACACACCAAGTGTGATAAAAAAAAATAGCTGCAAAGATAAAAAACTATGAAAAAAAAATGGGAAATTCCAAAGTTGTAGTTGTTGTTGTTTTTGAACGCTCGACTCCAAATTATGCGCAAAGCCGCCAGGAGGCACCAGACAACAGAGAGCCAAATAAATATGAGGTCAAATTTTTGACCATTTCAGGTGTGCGCTCAGAGTTGATTAGAAAAAGCACCTACTCATTTTTGTTGGTAAACAAACACTGCCACAAAATCTTTTTGAAACCTCTTCGAGAATGCGCTTATTTTGCAGCAAACTACATAGAATCACAGAATGTATTTAACTGTTTCAGAAATAAATATAATCCTAAATCTGCAAGAATTGCTACTAGTTCTAAATAATATTTCAAATTATTTAAATAAGCTAAACAAAAATTATACCACAGTCAACACAATTGGGCAAATATTTATGTTGAAAACGATTGTCTCAAAATCAAAATTTTAAAAAAGCGATGCCAAGTCTGAAATTTTTATACCGAAGAACAGTTAATGAGAGCGGTTTGGGGTTTTTAATTTAATGCAAGTACCCATATTATTTAAAAAAAAAATCGATATATTTTTGAAGTTTAAAACTAAACAGCCGAGATGGCTTAAGAAAGCAAAGCAAGTTTTGTACACAGCGTAATTAGGGCTTATCTAAATTGTTTTGTAGTTAATAATAAATTGCATTACAATGACTTATTTAGTCAATCACCGAATGTTCAACGACTTTAAAATCATAAATAGAAATAACACGATTTCAAACAGAAAATTTGACTACGGAAGTTATAGAACTGCTATAGGTAGGTCTAACACAATTAGTCTGAATTCTAGGTCTACAGAACGGACAGTCCAGTTTCTAATTAAAGAGGACAAACAATGATTGGAGAGAAAGAGAGTGCCACAGAGAGGCAGCTAAACCTCTTTTTGCTTTTCTATTTCAGTCCAGTCTACACGCGACACAACAAAAAATCTGCTCTAACAGTGAGAGTGAGTTTCAGTGGGTGTGCCAGAATTTAACTCAGGTGGTAGTAATCCAGTAAAATTTATTAAAATTAAGATCTGTTGTTATGATCCAATAATAAAAAACTGATCTACTTTTAACGTTAAATTTAAATATAGGGATTTTAAAACAGAAATTTTGTTTGGGTTAACTAAAACAAAATCATGTTTTTCTTATCCCTTGTCATGTCACAAGTATATATATACTTAAAAATGACTTTTTACTTAAATTAATAAATTAATTAATTGTTGCATCATATATTTCAAACTGATGTTAAAAATAACATAAAAAGCAAATAACTTTTGCTTTTTTAAGCAAAAATCCCATTTGAAATTTACTTTCTAGTTGTCATTAAATTTTTGCTTACACGTTGTATGCATTTGAATTTTTTTTTATCACATTATGTTGATAATTGTGAGTACTATTTAGTATTTTTTTTATTTATTAAAAATTTTTCTTTTAAACAAATAACTTTTGATACAATACATGTGGAACTTTAGGGGAAAATAATTTTCTTCATAATTATCTTATTCAATGATGACTGGTTTATTTGACTACTAAACATTTCAGTCTTTACTTTGTTCAAATTACTACCACCTTAAAAAGGACAACAATTACAGACAGACAAGAGATATAGAGAGCAAAACAGTGAATGGATAAATGGTTGTTTCCCACCTCTGGCCTTGCCTCGCACTCAGAAGAAATAGTCTGAGTCTTCAGGAGCGTGTAGAATTTTACATAGGGCGCCTTCAAAACCTGCCAATTTGACACAAAAAACGCATCTCGCACAGTTAAAAATGAAAAACCAAAAAAATCTATTCCCCCGCTACGATTTGCTACGCCCTGCTACGGGTCTAAAGGTCCGTGCACCCCAAGAAAGGGGTGAGGGAGCAGCTGACGGCTGAGACCCAATCAGCGCCGCGTCCGAGTGACGGCCATATTGTTTCGGCGGGAGGGGATGCACGGAGCTTGATTTTGGAGGGGAAGGAAAAAGACATACCTCCCAGGACTCCCGTGTGAGTTCGCCAAGTTCGCCGGCCGACGAGGTTGAGCCGCGATTGTTGTCCTTGTGGTCAGCGTCGGCCGCCTCCTCAGGCCACAGCTCTGTGTCCGAGTCGACCAATTCAAAGCCCCGCTCGGCCAGGTCCATCTCCTCGATGTCACCGTACAGGTGCGGCACCCATACTTGAATGAACTGGTACAGATCATCCACCCTGACAAAAACAAGGAAATTTGAATTTTATTGGAGTTAAAAATATGAGCAAAGAGTATTAGAATTTAGAATAATTAATTCATGGGTTTTTATTTGAGTAACGTCAATTGAAAATACTAGTTTTGATTTTTTTTTTAAATTTAACTCTTCATAGTTTAATTGCCTTGGTACAAGAGCTTTTAATTGGCATTATTACAACAGTAGCTGAAGTGGCTATAGTGATTTCTAATCTCTAATCACTGTCAAAGTATTTCTGTTAATGAACGGTCTGATGATCACGTTTTTTTTTTATCTTTATTAAAATTGATAAGTAATTTTAATTTCTGTTCATACATTATATGGTACATCTGATTTTTTTCTTGAGGATTACCTACTTAAACACATGGCGTCTATTGCAAAACACAAGTTGCCTCCAGACAACGATGCACCCATTTAAAAGATTGTTAATTGTTTGTTGCTTCACCGCCAGGGACTTTGATTGAAACGCCAGGCATTTGTCGCATGCTCAAAACATGCTTGGCCAGAAAGATGGAAGAGGACGAACAGCGGTTCGTCCGAATTTCTCAAAATTTCATCATATCAACTATCCAAAGACAATTTGGCACGATAAAATCTACAGGTAGCCGTATAATTAGAATTAAAATTGATCTGCATATATGAGAAACGCTTCATTTTAAGTTTTCTACATATATATCATAAGCACTTCCTTAAAGGACAGACAAAGCTTATTTTTTAATCGATTATCAAACACAGTGCATAGAGATTCCAGTGGAGCTTAGAAATTGGTCCGAGATTGATGGAACTATCAGCTTCCGAAGACATTATATATGGACACAACTTGGAAAACTTGAGAAGCTAAATGTGGAAATTTTCATTTTATGAAGTGAGTTAAACAGAAGGTCCTAATATTTCCACAATGCATTAAATTCTTTAGAGTGTAAAACCATTTAATGAATGCCTAGTGGTTTACCTGTTTCTGGGAACGCTGAACCAGTACTCTGGGCGCATCTTCTTCTTCCCGTAGGACATTATGGGGGTGGACTTAGAGACGCGCTTGTTAATAGGTTTGCCCATGAGCAGGCGAAGGTACATAGGCGGGTCTTCGCTGGGCCGCGCCGGCCGTGGTATCAGCTCTGCAAATTGACATTAATTTAAGTTTTCATTTCAAGTGCTTGTTTAAAAGCCTATCATAGCGGGACAAGAGGCCCCAGGGCAACCCATTTGTCGGACAAGATTTGGAACTCACTTTCAAAAGAGACGAAGAGCTCAGGCATGTCCTCGACGGACACCATGCTGTGGTAGTTGAGTTTGGCACCCGAGTCGGCGGCGCTGGCCCGTTCAGCCTCCAGATCTAGTTTCTGCGCCTTTCTGCTCGCGTCCATGGAAGACCTCCTGCTGTAAGTTTCAGTTTTGAGTTCATTTTATATTCACGTTGGAAGCGGACGGACCTTGAGAAAACTTTGGAGAAAACGGAGAGATGCTCCTTGAGGTCGGCAGAGTTGGGCTGCGACTGTGACGATTCGAGCGAGTCCTTGTCACAGCTACCAGGGCCCTCCACCCACGACAGCGGGTAGCTCAGTCGTTTGAACCCCTGCAAACAAATTCAAGCAAACTTTGCTAACCAATGTTTGCAGAACACGAAAAACAATATTTTGACCAAGACTTTTTCCAAAATACAATTCCAACAACAAGTTGTTTAGATTTGTTTGAAATTAGCCTGGTTTTCTGATATTTTAGTCAAGATGGTTGTTGGATAAGGAAAAAAAAATAAACGTTTTAGACAACATGAGATGCGGTGAGGCAATTTGTCTCCCCCTTAGCTCTCTAAGTTTTTGGTACCTTTGAGCGTTCAGGCCTCTCTGCGGCGTCCGATGAAGGCGTGTCAGTGGAGAGGGACACGCTGGATACCTTTTTGCGATTAACAGTGGCAATGGCTTTGCCCTCTGGATTGGCGCTACCGCAGGTCACTTCCTCCTCTGCAATTGGTTCTGTCGCGTGACAAGTTCCAGCGCTGTCCCGCATGTCGATTCCTAAAAATAGAAATGATAATTCAGTTAAATAAAATATAATTATTATTTGCAATTAAATATGGGACAATTATTATAAAATAGAAAAAATTATAGATAATTAGTTTTATTATTGATTCCCGCCTTCTCAGTTTCAAGTTATTTTCCCAACTAGAGGTAAGTACATTAAAATAATAAGTCATTAAAATGCAAAAGTAGCTATACGGAAAAATTTTAGACTGAGAATAGATTATACAGTGCAATTAAAACATTTGAACAAAAAGACAAATAAACTGAAAATTTAAGTTTCCTTCTTATAATCAAATTTTGAAGGAAACCTACAAGTTTTGAATTTGGTGGGAAGGATTTTGGGGTGACAAGAAGACAGGAAGGTACAAACCTGAGTCGTAAAAGGTGAGGGTCCTGTCATCGGGTTTGGCGGAGGCAGGTGCAGCTGAGTCAGGGGGCACGGTAGGGGTGACCAGGTCGCGCTCAAAGGCCTTGGGAAAAGCGTCGCCGTCGCGGGCCTTGGCGTTGGGGGGCTCGCTCGAGCAGAGACTGGCGGGCGAGTTGGAGGGGGAGGTGGAGGTAGAGGCGCGCAGCTCAGGGAAGCACTCATCCTTGGAGGGGGAGCCTTCCTTGTCACCCTCAACTTCACCCTCGGGTCTGTAGATGATGGGCTTGGCCGTGGGGGTTGGTGGGGCCGCCTCACCGGGGGCACGACGCACACGCATGTGCGCAATGTCGTGGTAGATGGCCGCGTTAACCACAAACTCCATGGGGGCGATGACCCCGTAAGACTCGGGCCCGTGCTCGATCACCAAAGGGTCTGACACGTTTGGGTCGAACATGACTGCGTTTGACGTCACCAGCAGCACGCCACCTACTACGCCCTGTAACATACATACATGATAGCATGAAAATAAAAATTTTCCGAATAAATAGGGTTTCCCTTTGTTTTAAATATACAGTTGAAACATTTTAATCAATTTAGTTGATACCAACACCAACAGCTTAAATAAAGACAGACAGTTATGCAGGCTGAGAAATAGAGAATTTTTTTTTACAACTTTGCTGTTTTATAAAAAAAATAATCATATCCTCAAATCAATTTTAGGGTAAATTAATAGTTTTTAAAAGTCAAAAAAAGTGAGATGATTAAAAAGAAATTAAATGCAGGTTTAAATTAGTGGTTATTTTAAGCTTTAAAACGGATCATTTGTACCAAAATCGGAACAAATTATTTTGAATAATATTTTTTACAGAGGAAATATTTTTATAGTGGTGGGTTTTTTCTTAATATTTGAACACTGATATTAATAAGTGTAAATTTGGACTGACCTGTCCGTCAGTGATGTGCCTGACGTTGATCCTGAGGAACCTGTCTCGGGCCTTCTTACTCTTAAGGGGGCAGGAGGCCGCGTCAACAGTGGCCTCGGCCAGCGGCTTGCCACCGGCCCCTGGCAGCGGTGACGCCGGACGAAGACTGTCCAGCAGGTCTGCAGACAAAAGCGATCAAAAATCATTCTCAGGGTAGGAATTCGGAGGGCTTGCTTGCGAGGGCAAATTTGCTGCGGAGGGACGCGAACTTTTTCATCGCAGCGAATCGAGGACGAGAAAAACGAGCTAAAGTGCAAAATATTTAGCCTTTGCACCGTTCAGGCTTCCGGCGCGATCGGACACACGCGGTCCAACAACAAAACGAGAGAAGCTCAACAAGTGGCATAAAAATTAATCGCGACGCTCCCTTTTCATTTTCGCCCTTCCTTAAGCAAAAAACTGCTCAAGCCATAGCAAAAAGAAACATTATCTGAATGTTTTTATGAAAATCTTGATAGTAAAAATTTGTAATTTTCATAAAAACTTTCATCAATAGTTTTAACTACATTTCAATGAATCTAAAGATTTTATAATTTGATGAAAAAATGAAAATTTGTTTCTTAAGTCTAGATCTCCGTAGGAAATTATGCAACAGGCAAAACAACTTAAGGTAACAGCTTAATTTCTCCCTTAAAAATAAGAGGGCGGAGAATATATAGAGAAATTGGTAGCACATAACTTCAAAAACCTTTTTTAAAAAATTTTAATTTTTACAAAATATTTAAAATAATTTAAAAACAATGCTTTGATTTTGAAAAATCAAGCTTCAATTAATTTTAGTCCATCTTTAGTCAAATTGAATAAAATTTAATTGAAGAATTTAATTCAAGATTATTTTATCAGTTTCCTTGTCAGAATATTTTTAGGCCGCACTGACTACGCGTGTGAGGAATTTTGTGTGAAAATCGAGGGCGCCGGTGCAAAAAGGAAAAGGAAATCGGAGAGTGGCCGCGGGCGTGCATCTGGATTCGCAGCGTGACCTTGGCGGCCGTCGACGCACACGACCTTATAATTAATAGCGGGGCCTTGAGTCAACAAGAGCAGCCGCACAACAAAGCTAATTAAAACCGAAAATCCCATCTGCAAATAATCCTTCCTTTTCGGCTCACCAAAATATAGGTCATGGAGCACCCACATTATTTCACTCTCAACTTTACACCCAACTTGTCCAGTGCATTTCTTTCTGCTCCAATCGAGACATTTTTTGATTAAGTTTCAAACCAAGAAATAGTATTTCAAAAACACTGACTAAAATAATGAAAAAAAAAATATTCAGGAATAAAATTAAAACAATGAGTTCTATTAGAAGCAAGGTTTGAACGTTAGAAGTGGATATGAATCATACTGAACGCCTTGAATTTTCATGTGGGTCATACATCATTAATCTATTTAGGGAAATGTTACAGTAAATATAGGTCAAATTTGAAAAATTAGGAACTCTGTAGATAAGATTTATTAAAGGTCACTTCCTTTAATGAAATCTCAAAATAAGGACATCTCAGAACTCACGTGCATATATTACTCATCATGAGGAAAATCATAAAAATGAGGTTACAAGGAATCAATTGGTGACCAAAAGAATCAAGGCCACTTTCAGATTTGTGAAGAATAATCACAAATATTAGACAAACTTAATTGTTCACAAACTTTCAAAATTTATTATAACAAAACAAAAATAGTGCAATATATATCATTGGAAAGGTATAGTCAACGGGAATCAATTGGTGACAAAATAATTCAAAATTCAGTCAATTTCAGTAACCTTTAACTAGCCAAAAAATTATTCCCCAAATTTCAATTGAATGATTTTGGAAACCTCCTCAAAGTTTAAATTTTAATATTGATAATAAGGTTTTCAAACAGAAACATACCCCTTTCCTCGTCTGGTTCGGTGGAGGCATTTTCCGGGTCGAGGAGGTTGGAAGAGTTTTGGTCCGTGTCGGGGGCATCGGAGGCGACCGCGGGGGCAGGGCGGTCGCGCAGGGGAACAAAGAGCAGCTGGCCGGGGAAGAGTGGCAGCCGCTGCGGCAGTTTATTCAGTTTGGCTAGTTCGCCGGGCGTCGTGTCATAGCACGCGGCCACCGAGGTCAGTGTGTCGTTCGCCTTAACCTGTCAAGGTCACACAAACACACAGTCAGCCACTGCATCAACACAACTTGATCTTAATCTTTACCGTGTAGGTGGTGGTGTTGGAAGGCTGCACAATTTTGGCAGCCACTCTCGGCTCTTTGTTTCCACCTTCATTGCTGCTTCCTTCGTCTGAGAAAAAATATTGGAAAAAAATCAACCTGAGAGTTAGGAAAATTTAGTAAATTACAAATTAGTAAATATAAAAAGACTTTCCTTCACTTATGTAAATTTACTGTTCACGTGTCAAAAATTTGAAAAAGTCCAAGTGATAATTAAGTCCAAGACCGAAAAAAAGTCACTTTAATTTTTATAGAGCAAATTCTCTTTTTTCTTCTTAAATATTCTATTGAAAAGTGCCAGACAAAAACTTTTTTAATTAAGGCTAATATTGTTAATACTTAATTTAAAATTTTTCTCATAAATTATTGAGAAACGTTTTCCAAAACAAAGAGTATAATCTCAAATTTTGTTAGTCTTTAATTGCACAACACGTGAGAACAAAACTGTTCGTAAACTTACATAATTATGTAGGTGGTTGATATTTTAAAGAGGATGGTACCACCTAAGGGCAGCAATATCCTCCACAGAAACTGATAGTTTAGGCCATAAGGATCATTTTGATAACCAGAAAATTGGGGGTCACCCCATAAATTTTTGAGAAAAACGCGTTTGAATTTAACATGGTTTGCTAATGGACAATTTTTATGAAAATCATTCAATCCCATTTTAAGTAAATGAAACTAACTTTGGCAAAGGTGTGTGACCCACCAACATGTTCCTTGATATCCCTGCTACAGATTTGGCACCAGAAAATTGGGGGTCACCCCATAAAATTTTGAGAAAAGTTTAATTGAATATTAAAAAACGTGGTTTTTTGCATTTTTCTCGTTTCGGAGAAAATCAATCCAATTTTAGAGCGCTTGGAATTTATTGATTTCTATAATCAAATAAAATGATAGTTCATACTTTGGTTCCTACAATTCTGAAGTAATGAAAATTTTTCACATTTTTCAAAATCCAATATGGCCACCGGAGAAACATAAGGGTTTATTAAAACTGCTGCCAAATTAATTTGGGTGAAGATTTTTTAATTTCCTTGAAAGGAAGTTGAAGTTAATGAACCAAGGTATCTTTTCTCAATGGTCAGTAAGTTTCTAGGTCAAAGGTCATTGACCCTGACCAAAGGTCAAAATATAAAGTTTTATGCCCCTTGAAAATAGGCAACCGGACAAAAAATCCGAGATAGCCATTAGATGCGCCTTGTCATTTTGCATCCGAATACAAATTTTCAAAATGTTTGAACAAGCCGTTTAGAAAATTTTATTGAGTTATGAATAGGGTCCGAACGACTGAAACTGTTCCGTTCGGATGAGTTAAAAATTAGAAAATGATGCTTTTTTAATCATATTTGAAAAAAATTGAGTATGTTTTATTGTATTCCATTAATATTTGAAGGATTTGAAAAACATTTTGTAGGAGGTTCCATCTACTTTAATAATTTCAGAATTTATTTCAAAACGTGAGTGCTGACGAACAAGGCAAACATTGAATTAAAAACTACTATCCCAAGTTGGTGCACAGCAGACAGCACCTAAACACAATTGCTTAGAATGGAAATATGGTTGCATAATTTTCATCTTTAAAAATGAGCCTGCGTCATCTGCACCACTTAAATCAACAGATTTATTCATAGTCTCGATCCCTTGCAAGGTCACAAAATTGGGCCAGCAGTGACTTCCTTATTTGATAAACATCCCAACTATCCCAAGACTTTTTGCAGGTTTCTTTTTGCTCACGTTGACGATTATCATTATGATAAATTGTCAATTTTTTAGGATTCCCAGTAATTTTCTTATTTAACAATTAACTTCAAAACAAACCTTCAAAAATAGCAATTATTTAAAAAAATAGATTATATTGAGTGAATATTTTCTGCATTAGTTTTCTCGAGATAACTTTGTTGAAATAAATTCTTCTCTGGGAAAACTGTGATTTTAATACAAAATACTCTAAATAATTTTCTAACGCTAAAACTTGCATTTCTGCAGCACGTTAATTTGAGGTAAAAAATTTGCAATAATTTGAATACTTTTGACATACAATTTGACAAAAACAAACAGCAGCAATAAAAAGATTGTGACGTTTGATGTTTGCGTTGGTTACTTATTCATTTTGTAAGGTTTTGATTAACGGTGCTCAAGAGGCGCGACCTTGGGCGGCAGCAGACCTTGTGGCGGCGGCAACCTTTCTTTCTTTGCTTCCAAATTCCTCTCATGCATCTTTATGCATCTAACAAAGGAAGGGAAGTGAACGGGGATACTGACCATTGCTGGGGGGTGGCGGGGGGTCGTCGCCCTGCACCGCCTCAATGCGACCTTCCACCTTGCTGCGCAGCGAGTTCAGGTCAAATGACATCAACAGCCCGTGGTCCACACTCCGACTTTTGCTTCTAAAACAAAAAACAGCACATATGAAAAAAAATCAAAATTAAATGACGAAAAATATGGAAATTTTAATTGCTTTAAATCCTAGCACGCATGTATATTCAAGACCAATGGTAAATTAAAAAAAAAAAAATATGTCTAATTTTTAACCAAAACTTTTTAATAATTTTTAAATTTGAAGTTATTAAATAATTATTTGAAAAAAAATTACGTTTACTGTTAATTGAGGTTCAATATGGTCTTTATACAACCTCTTAATTTTAAGAAATGATTTTTTTCTAACAATTTAAAGTTCTCTCCCAACAATGTAAATTTTTCTAACAATTACAACAAATCAACTAGAAAAACAATTAAAACACATAATCCAAAAATTCTCTCATATTTCTATTTTATTTTAGAACTTCAAAAATAAGAGACAAGGTTCGACATTAGATTGCATTAGACGAGAAACGTTTAAGAAATATACTTGGTTGCTCACAAGAGTTGCCCCACATGAATTTTAAATTCATTAGTTTCTTGGTTTTTTTTTAGCGTTATAAATGGTGATGATTTGTTGAGAAATGGAAATTAGCGAGAGCTGCTCCAGTTTGGCCGTAAATGGAAGCGCAAACGGAGCGAAATCGGTCAGTCAGGAATTGGAGAGCGCCATTGTCGCAGCAGCGCATCAAATTAAGGCACGCCAATTTCGTTGCACGCCTTGTTTGAACCTCAATTTGGCCCTTTCGTTTGCTTTTCAATTATTTGTTGCGTTCGCTCATGAAACAAGTGCAACTTAAAATTAAAAGAGAGGACGAAAGAGAATTACATGTTATAAATTCTTCATTAAGAAATTCTATAAACACAAATCGGTTATCCTAAAATAGTTAAAAATGAAAAGTGTGAAGGGGTGATCTTATTCTTTATATATAAAAGATAGTAATATTTTTTGTTTAAAACCAAAATTTTCCCGGCTAATGTGAAATAAATCTCAGCTTTTGGTGTCACAAAAGCGCTAAAAAAAGGTCTGCGCATCACATCAATTAGAGCAAATTTTGGTTGCTGCCAAGCGTTCTGATTGGTAAAAATCTGAAACAAAATCTCTGTGTTTCATTGCGAAAAATGGAATAGATGGCGATCAATTAAATTAAATTAATAATGCTGATGTTGACGGGCATTCTATTTAGCATTAATTTTAACTATAAGTGACAAAAACTTCTAATAAATCTTGCGATTTTTTTTGTTCACAAAAACTATCAATTTAAAAATTTTACATAAACCAAACTAAGAATGGCATCATCTAACTAAAAAGATATATATTTTAATTAATTTCAGTTAACTTTTCAATTGAATTTTTGACCAACAAAGTACGCTTAATTAGATGCAAATCACAATAATTATTAATTAAACGTGACCTTGAACTACATTGTTTGGTCACCATCGCAGAGCTGTGGGGTCTACAGAAAAAATATACAATTTGAATTATTATTTTCCCAAATTTTCTTTAAACAAGATGGTTGTGCCAAATTATTTTTTGAAACCGCAATCGCGCAAATAGAAGACGGCCGAGTGGAAGTTAAGAGCAGAAACAATCGAGAGAGAGAAAGAGGAAAATGATCTTGAGAAGAAACGAGGTTTCAAGAGCGGAAAGAAATCGAAGCGTGTGGGAATCACTCGCCATTCATTCTCTGCAGGCAGCGCGCGATTTATGGGCCCTGAAAGGTCGCCAACCGACTGGTTAAGTAAGCGAACCTTGCCCGCCGGCCGGCCGGAAGCACCTTTGCCCCGAAATTTCCAGATCCTATAAGTTCACCACAAAACCGAAAGCTTGTTTTCTAATTATTTTCTTGTTTATTTATAACTTTATATAATTATTCAAAATAAAATACTTTTAATAGGGCTACTGATTTAACATTTATGGCTAGAAACAAGTTCTTATAATGCGTGAATATCATTTTGTTTAAATTTTAATTATCTTCAAACTTGGTCAAAAAAGCTAGAAGTAATAGACGGTCTGAATAACATAAATGGTTTGACAGGATTAAAATGCACAATGGCAGTTTTCTTACATCACCTATTTGAGGAATTTTAATAAATATTTTGAAACGTATAATGTGTTAGCTAATAAGGATTTTACACTGACTCAGCTATTTCTAGATACAAAAATACAGTCGAAAATTAAGTGTTATATGAAACGATTATATAATAGGAGGAGATCCGTGCTAATTATAATTTAGCGGATGAAAATCCTACCCCATAAGTCAACTCATCAATTGAATAGTTATTTTCTTGTTGGTTTTAAAATCCAATTTTTAATCATCCAAACCAGGATTTTCAATATCTGACCCAATTTCAGGTTTTCTTTTTCAAACAGGAATGGCTGATTTACAGCGTTTCCAAGTTAGTGTCTTGTCAATTTAAACATTAATTATTATTTAATTGAGAACATTTGAAAGTGGAACAAAAAATAATCTATTGTGATCCATTAAATATCTCATTGCCGTAAAGTTCTTTCTTTTGAAACATGTTAGAGACGGTGTAAATAAATAACCAGAGTGAACCAGAGTAGGCTATTTATAAATTTTCAGAATCTTCTATTTTTTATTATTATTATTATTTTATCGCTATTAGGATAAATTGAACAGCTGAAGGGTTTAATATTAAAAATTCCTACTTCTGGCAGTTTGAATTAGAAAAGTTTCAATATCTGATTGACTGATCCTGAGTAAATATTTTTAATGAAGAGCGATTTAGAAACCATTAATCTTTCTATATCAAGTAGTTAATTAACTATTAAAATGTAATCATAATTACACATTAATTTTGTATTTACCTTTCCCTCATTTCAAACAAATTAAAGAAAATAAAATTTATCAACTTTTTTTTTAAATGAGAAAAATTATTCTGGAGATTTTTTGTACAATTGAAAGAATCTTTTGTTCAATGAATTGAAAAAGAGGAAGCGTTGGCGGATGGTAGGAGGAAGAGGTTGGTCACCTTGGCCAGTGGTCGGCGCCGAAAAAGTTCCACCACGACGACCTCCGTTTGGGCTTGCAGTTGAGGTTGGCGGCGATGGCAGCAACAGCATGTGGGTCGGCGCCGCCAACGGCGACGACGACGCCCTTCCGGCGGCGCCGCTCAAGGCGGTGGTGCCACGACTTGCGGCGCTTCGCCACCTGCTGCTGCTGCGCCTCGTCCAGCAGTGATTGCGACGCCGGCAAAGCGTCCCAGGCACTTTGTCGTCGCCCTGGCGTCGACGCGGCACCGCCCGAGGGCGGCGCCGCCAACAACTGGGCCACGCTTTTCATTGCCGCTGCTGCATCACCAGCAGAAACAAAACTGCCTGCCTTCCATCCGCCAGCTTCCTCGACAGACCTGCACTCCCCTCCACGCACACGTGGCCCCTGACGGAGGGGAGGGCAGGCCGACCCTATCCCCTCCCGTCCCAAGAGGTAGCCTCAATTATGCAAAAGTCCAAAAACTTCAAAGACTTATTCTAACGATTCGTAAATTTGATTTATTTTAATTCCAAGAAATTAATTTAATTACCTGATCTTCGGTTGAAAACATTTAAAAGTTCATTCCTGTTATTTATTGATTTACTGAAAAAATATCCTTTAAAAATTGATGTCTTCCCCATAGATTGATGTTTTGTAACAACTTTGATCGCTGATAAAAATTCATTGATATAATTCTTCACTTTGGCAACGCCAAATAAGACAGCAGTGGAAGGAACAAACGTTGTTAAGTTTAAATGCTTCAATAGTTTATGGTTAATTCTTCGTCTTAATAATTACTCAGTGATCAAAATTTGTTTTCTTAAGATTACAGCTTTCTAATTTTTAAGAAAGCATTGTTTCTAACCAAATTTATGATTTTCTGCAATTTTATAGAATTTTAGGTTTTTGAAAATACCACAAAAAAATAATTTGAGTGTAAAATAATACTTATATTGTTCTCCAATATCTGCCATAATTATATTCCAGGTTTTATTGGTCGATTGAAGCACTTGAGGTTTAATTTTTATGTATTTTTATATTACAAATTTTGTGAACTGGCATATTCGGGAAACAAAAATACTATTTCTAGAGACATTTTCTTTCTTTTCAGTCAGATACTGGCGGCCCTGATCGCGTTTATTTCTTGTCCTTGGTTGTTGACCGAGGTGTATGCGAGTGAGAGAGTCGCGCATCCATCACGGCTCTGCCTTTCGCTGCGCCGCAAAAACGCGTGCTGCCTTTTTTTCTGCTCAAAGTGCACGCAAATTGATTGCTTTATTGATTCCTGCACCGCCACCAACTGGATCACGCTGCGACCAATTACCTTAATTGCGTCTATAACGAAACAAACGCTTAATTACCGCAGCTATACGTGAATGACACACTTGCACCAAGTGTCGCAACGCGCCATCAAAATTTCACGTTTCGCCAAAGGCACCTTTACGCAAATTTATTGTCTTGCAATTAACGAAGACGAAAAGAAACTAATTAAATGCGAAATTCATTTTCACTAACTAAAAGTCCAAAAACAAGCTTCAAAAGTTTAAATTTGCTTATGGAACTATTATATACATATAATATTTATTATATATTTAAATAATTGCCACATTCACTTTTGAGTACCCCTGGCACATCTTTCATAAAAAAAATTGCGAACGCTTTTAAATCTTGAATTATTAATGATGATGGAATTAATTTTAATGTAAACGCTTTGTTTTCAAACTGGAGATTAACCAATTTTTAACTTCTCAATGTCACCAACCTTTGAAGCATAAATTTATTTCTTTATGAGGCATTTATGGGCTGAAAATTGGTTAGACGAATAACATGAATTCTGTACAAATTTATAATATGTGCAGTGTTTTGTTTCATTACAACTAATCTAGCGCACTGAATTATAAAATTATTTATTTTATGATTCTGCTAGAGACGCTCTTTTCTCGCGTAATATTAAAACTTTCTCAATGTAATCCACATAATATCACATTAAACAATTCAGCACAATAAAATCACTGGAAATTACAAAGAACTTCTGATTGTGAGTCAAGCTTTTCTTAGTTTTGATACATGATTTTAACATATTATAAACATTTCTCTCCCACTGCAAAAAAGCAAGGCTTTGAATGTGATTTATTTTCTCTCTTAAATTTTAACAGCTAGGGTATCACGCAATCATTATTTTCTGCTGATTCCTATAATAATAAGCAACGATAATTTTTATTTTCCATAATACATACATTATATTCAAGTTAATTTCAAGAGGCACTTGGTTTAATTTTTTTAAATTTTTTGCTTTTTCTCATTTCGTTTCACTTGAAATAAAAAACTGCACATCATGTTTTCACCCATTAAAAGAGTGAGTCACGTGGTCACACAATTAAAAAATTCCACGCTAGAAAAATTTACAAAGGAGCAAAAATTTGGCAAGGAACTCTTTGGTGGGGGGTGGGTGGGGAGGGGAATTATATACGTGCTGGAGGAAACGCATGCGAGTGAAGAGTGACCGTGACCTTGGCCAGGATATTTCGTTGTAGTTTTATCTCAGTTAATGGGTTTAAAAACGTCTGGTTGTTTTAAAAAGGCTTTAAATATTTGCAGAAGACAAGCCTGATAAATGTAAAAATTGGAAGGGGAAAACGCAAATATTATAAAGAGAGAAAATATCTGATCGCAGAATAAATTTTGAAAATTTGAATCTGATATTTATTTGATCAGTTATCAGTCACATAATTAGATCTTGCCCTGTTTTTTTTATGATAATAATTGGTATAATGTAGAAAAAATCAAATTTTTCATAGTGTTTGCTCTCTCAAATAAATTGAGTTATTGGTACTCACTGCCAGGAGAAGCTGCCGGTGATGCCGTCGCGGAATCGGTCCTTGAGGGAGCGTTGGCGAGTAGGCAGCTGCTCGTTGCCGCCCCCAGGCGGGGGCGGCTTGGCCGGCGAGTTAGGCGGCGTCTGCTGGGTCAAAGACCCTGACGACCCGGAAGACATCCTGCCGCTCACCAAATTCACATTCTCCATCTGAAACCCACAAACCGCAAAATCAGTTTTTACCCAATTAACTGGCAAAATGATTTTTTTATTTAGTTACAAATTAGTTTATTTAATATCATTTTTTTTTGTTCTTCCTTCACTTTTGGAAAATCGCCAAATATTTTGCAATCAGTTTTTAATTCAAAGCAGCTTCATTTTGATTGGACCTTATTCACTGATTTAAAGCAGCTATTGAATAATTCCGCATTCGATAAGATTAAAATCGCGTGCTTAAGTTTTAATCGGTTGAAGATTATGCCGGATTATGCAGGGTTTTGAGTCGCCTCCATGGACCGCCTAGGAGATTAAAATTCTTTAATTTTCTTTATGCTCCTCAATGCCGATAAGCGTTACACTTGTTGCTGCGACGCGTTGCTAGTACGTGAAGAAATATAAATTACACTGTCATTTTCTGACCCATTAAAAATTGAGTTTAATAGTTAAATTATGTGTGAAATAATTTTAATTATTGTCAATATTCGCCCCCCTTGAATTAATCTCTATATTATTTGAAAGAAAAAAAATTAATAACGAGACAAGTTCCATGCAAATAAAATCTGCTGCAAATATATTGGGAAAAAAGCTAGTGTGGGGGTGAAAATGTGGGATTATTTTTTTTTTATTTACTGAAATTACTAAAAAAATCTACACCAATTCCCAATTTATTGCATAACTACCCCTGCAAGAAATAAAGGTAATCTAAGGGCGAACAAAATAAATCTGATGGTAAAATCAAATAATAAATTTTAATCTGCAACATATACAAATTAATTTTATTATAAGCGATGCTCCGAATGATTTAATGATTTAATCGCAAAAAAATTTCATGCAAGAGAAGCTATTAATGAAAAGCGGTTGCTAAAAGATAAGATATACTGAATTGGCTAAGAAATTTCGCACTTGGATAAATTTCGCATTTTAGCAATGAGTGTGGCTGAATTTGTGTAATGTATTATTTATGTCAAAAAACGTGCAAAAAATTTCCAAAGCGTGCGCGTTTTCCTTTTTTTGGAGGCGGGAGGAAGAGCAAGGGTTTTTAAGTAGGTTGCGATTTGCGATCGATCCAAGTGAGGGGTGGATGGGGTGGGAGCGGGGAGGGGGCTATTGATCGGCGCGGGTGCGAGGGGACGCATCCGTGTCAAGGTCGAACGACGCACCACCATCGATTGACCTTGAGCAGGGGCGGGGGTGTGTCCCCTCCCCCGCATTCGCAGATGGGTCTCTTTGTTCAGCAGAAAAGAAAAGAGAAAAAGAGCCCAATTTGGCTGCGCTTCTTCTCTTCAATCCCCGCCAGCTGATTTTGGCAAAGAGTCTCTTCCTTTTGTTTTGCGCCTAATACCACCCCCCCCCCCCCCACCTAACGCTCGGCCCTCCACTATCAGCACTTTATTGTTTTATTTCCGTTCTTATCATTCTTTTCTAGAATTTAACTGTTTGTTGAGCAACTGCGTGATTTTATTGTACCACTCAGCTTTAGGGATTAATATAAATGTCGCGACGAATAATATTTGAGGACCAATTTTTGTTCCACAATTTATTTTGAAGATTTGAATCTTTCAATTTTGAAAACACTTCATGATTCTCAAAGGTAATTAGCATTCCGAAGCTTTAGAATTTTTTAAACTTATAGTTCAAAACGCTGTCAAATTGAAAGTAAAATAGATTTTCTAAAAAAAATATTCTTACAGATTTTTCAGGATCTCGCAATATATTATAATATAAATATAATTTTGATTGTCTGGGAGTTTTCATACCCTTTTACTGATTTTATGTTTATTGAAAATCGCATCCAAATAAGCAAAGTTTTGAGCAGTTATTTGCGTTTTAACTTCTTAAATAGAAATTTTAATACATTTCAAGTTGAACTAGGATTCTATGAAACAAAAATTGGTGACAAAAATTACAATAAATTAAGAAACTTAAAAAGATTATTAGATATCCTTGCCAAATGGAATCAGAAATGCTGTTTATTTTACTAAGGTATCCAATGCACCGCAATGCACAATAATTGCACATTGAAAAAATCCCAATTGATCCCCATGTTATTACTGTTTATTACTGTCAAAACTTCAATTTGCAAAAAAAAAACAATATTGATCATGAATCTGTTGAAACTAAATCCTAACAAAAATTTAAATTTTACAAAGAAAATTAAAATGTTATTTGAAGAGTTCGAAATAAGCAAATGCAGAAAAGTATTTAAATAATTTTTATTTTTTTTTCCACCAAAGAATGTGAAACAAAGGAGGCGGATGGAAAAATCCATAGCGGAGAAAAGATGGGCCCAAGTTTTAGCAAGTGGTGTGTGTTTTGTGGACAGGTTTGATGCGCATGGCCCGCCGAGGCATGCGAATCAATATCGCGAATCAATACGCGGCCTCGAATTTGGGCCGCCTCCAAAGGCCGTCTTGCGGGGGCGGGCCGCCGGAGACCGTTTCGATGGCGCGACCTGTTGGCCACTGACCCCGCGACCCACTTATCCCTGTTTTTTTCGGCGGGTGCCAAAGTGCAACAACCCCGCCCCTCGCTCGCCAAATAAAAATAATCAAATTTTTGCGGTAGAAAAAAAATCAAAATAAATAAATAAATAACAAGCGTAAACGTGATCATGTATATACCTGAGAACAGGACACTCAAAAAGGGTGGTCTTGGTCACGCTCAGGACACACACATCCTTTGGTTGAGACACCGCACCTTCGTCCTTCGATTCTCCCTTCGCCCTGAGAGAGACGAGCGAGCAGAGACGACGAATGTTTGAACGCAGGTTTGACACCGGACGTTGACCTGATAAGACCTTCGACCTGGGGCCGTTCGCGAGGACGCCCGGCCCTCTCTTGTCCTTCCGCTATTGTTTGTCCTTCCGAAGTTGTCGTCGCACTTTTGGCAGCAGGACGACGACGATAGCAAAATCCAGCAAAATCGAACCGACTACCAAGTGCCTCTACTGTGGCGCCATCAAGCGCTTACTCGGGCAACCTACAATCTAATCATCTAGGGAGCCTTGCTAGGGAGCTCGACCCAATTCTCCAAAACTTTTGGAAATATTCTTTTAAAATTTATTTCCAAATCACGACATGTTAACCTTTTGTCATTTTCATTATATATCGGATTTCAAACCGGGTGCTTGATTACTAGAGGTCATTAGTCATTATTATGATTATTATGAATGATTTGATAAGAAATTTTAAAATGCGCGGTTTCCCTGGGTGGGGTGTTTTTTGAGGAGCAGAGATGGCGCTTGGATGGCTTGGATTACTTTTTTTGTTCTTTTTTTTTAGTTGAGATTCGACCGTAAACAAAACACAAAACACTAAAACGCCGGTGAACGCACCGGGCTTTTAAATTAAGAAAATACAGATTAAAAATCCTTTGGTACATATTGTATTTGAGGCAAAGGGTCAGATAATTCAAAATGGGTGGAGTAGAGACGGAGGACAAGAACGTGCTGAAGAACAGAGAAAATCTCTACCGATTGATCATCAGGTTTTACATTTTCCCTTTTTTTAATTTTGGAAGTTTTTTTACCTTCATTTTATATAACAGCCAGCTTTTCTACGACGGACACCAAACCCTGGCGGTCAGTTTGTCGTCGCTAGTGCAAGCAGACCCTCCGTGTCCGCCGTCGGACAGATTATACCACCTCGTACAGTGCGGTCTGCAGCATGAGCCAGGTTTGAAAATTGATTATTTACCGAAGGAAACGAAATTATGAACAATTATCGTAGATGCTCCTCGGCCGGTGACTAAGGTGGAAAGTCTGCTGGGTGCGGGGCTTGACCTCGAGTATGAGACAGATATCCAGAGTTTGGCGCCTGAACCAGCGCTTTATGAGACGGCGTATGTGACCAGCCACAAGGGACAATGCCGCGCAGGGGCCTTCAGCGCCGACGGCAACCTCGTTGCCACCGGCAGTGTTGACGCCTCCATCAAGGTACCCTCTCTTATAAATTTCATGCAGACAAATGGAGGGTTGACCAAACGTCCATTTTTTATTACATATTCTTAATTATTTGTTGGTGAATTTAAAAAAATTTAATTTAAAAAAAGTAAGAGTCGCTAATTATGAATGAAACTCCTGCACTATGTTTGGGGAGGTTTTTTCATCCAATTAACAATTATTTATTGCATTACATAATTTCTATTCCTTTCAAAATTTTTGTTTGTTTTTCAGTCAATCGAACTCATTATTTTCCGCAGATTTTGGATGTGGAGCGAATGCTGGCCAAGTCTGCGCCGGACGCTGAGGATCGGTCATCAGTGCATGACCAGCAGGGCCACCCTGTGATCCGTACGCTGTACGACCACTTGGAGGAGGTGACCAGCCTCGAGTTCCACCCAAAAGAGCTTATTCTGGCGTCAGGAAGCTCTGACTTTACAATAAAACTGTTTGACTTCAGCAAGACGTCTGTCCGCAAAGCATACAAAACCATCACGGTAAAAAATAAGAAATTCCTTTGTAGGACTGAATTCAATTGATTTGATCTAGGACTCGGAACCCATCAGATGCATGAACTTCCACCCAAGCGGCGACTTCCTATTGGTCGGCACCAGTCACCCTGTGCTTAGAATGTACGACGCCAACACTGCCCAGTGCTACGTCTGCTGTTTCCCCTCACACCAGCACACCGATGAAATCACCTCAGTCAAGTAAACATTCAATTTTGAGCTTTACAATGTGTGCTATAAATTAAAGCCTGTAATTTGATAATTCTAGACGTTTTTCTCTTGAAAAAATTTATTTTTCTTGCTTTATTTGAAATTGTCAGCTTTTTTTCAATTTGAAACCATTTGCGTTAGTGAAATCTTATTTTGCACATTTGTAAAAGATATTACGGATTTGCATCTTTTTACAATTACTATAGTAGATTTTTCCATTAAAAAAAAAAAATAGTTCAAGAATGTAAGTTAAATTTTGTGCCAAATTGCAGATTTTCAATGGATGCCAAGATGTATGCATCCGGTAGCAAGGACGGCAGCATCAAGTTGTGGGATGGAGTGTCCAGCAAGTGTGTCAACACCTTCAAAAACGCGCATGATGGAAACGAAGTATCTTCGATTTGCTTCACTCGGAATGGAAAGGTAACATTCCAATTTGTTTGAAGAAGTTGACACTCGAGGAGATGATCATGCAAATTGAAGAGATCAGGCTTTTTCCTCATAGCAGAGCGGTTTTGTTTTTGATTTCAATAAAAAATAATTTTCTGCTATGAGGAAAAAGCACGATTTCTTCATTTCCGTAATATTCCAAATTTAATATAAATCTGCCTTTATATAGTTTTCAAATTAAGCGTTTTAAATAATATTGATTTAATTTTGTGTATAATTCTGTTAGTACCTATTGTCCTCTGGGATGGACTCGTTAATCAAACTGTGGGAGTTGTCAACAAGCAGGTGTCTCATTGCGTACACAGGCGCCGGCACCACAGGTTCGAATAAAAATCTACTAATAAATGTGTATACTTAATTGGGGAAAAACATTTTAGGTAAACAAGAGCACCGAGCGCAGGCGGTGTTCAACCACACGGAGGACTACGTCATGTTTCCGGACGAGGCGACCACCAGTCTCTGTGTGTGGAACTCGAGGAACGCCTCTCGCAAGCAGCTCCTCTCCTTAGGTACTATCCATTATTTTTTGTTATATAGTTGGTTGAAAATTCTTCGTTTCAGGGCACAACGGAGCAGTGCGGCACCTTGTACACTCGCCCAACTCCCCAGCGTTTCTCACCTGCTCGGATGACTTCCGCGCCCGCTTCTGGTTCCGACGCATGGCTCACTAAACAACGCAAATTCATTTTTCATAATTATAGAAGTGGCTGAAACTTTTAGTGAAAATGTGAGCAATTTTGAACTTTGTGTAAATGGCATCATTACAAATAAATTAAATTTGTTTAATAAATAAACCATAAATTATCCAATTATAAAAAACATTAAATTTAATTATTTTAAAATTGTTAGACAAGGGTTTTGGGGCTGCGCAGTAGGAACAGTCATGACAATGCTGCGCATTGGCGCCAATTTTGAAACTTTCAAAACTATTTGTTTACCTCTCATAATTTGAAACCGGCATGCAAGAAGCCGGCATGGGCCAAGTAGGAGTTGTTTTGTTGATCATCTTCTTAGTCTCAACCTGTCGTTCTGCAGACGACGACGATGGGCTCTCGGAAGGTTTCTGCAACCTCGGTGACCCAAGTTGTGCTGACAAGTACACACGAAATCTGCAGTCAGGCATGTTCTCGTAATTCAAAAGTTTTGCAAGTTTCATCTTTTTTGTAATCTTCATCAGAGCCGGCCAAGGACAGCAGGTGGGACAAGTACCTTCGACTGATCGACGCAGCGGTCGAGGCGTACAGACCGTGCGAGGTCACGGAAAACTGCTCAAGTTGCCATCTGGACGTGATTAAAGCCGACCTGGCGCCCTTCAACCATGGGATCACTAAGCAAATGCTTGACGAAGTCGCCTCAAAGTTTGTATTTATTTTTAAATAGCATATCTCTCTAAAGTGAAATAATTATAAACCTTTTCCAGAGGCACCGTATACCAAATAATCGGACACAAGGTGTACCGACAGAAGGAGTGTATGTTCCCAGGGCGTTGCGCCGGAATCGAGCATTTTCTTAAAAAGGTACATTACCATGAGATTCTGAAAGGGGTCAATTCTGAGGGTGAATTTATTGCAGGTGGCTAAAAAGGTGGCAGACGTAGAGCTGGTGGTGAATACTCGAGACTGGCCACAGCTCAGCAAGCACTTTTCCAGCACGCCTTTGCCCGTCTTTTCCTTCAGCAAGACCAAGGATTACTGGGATCTCGAGTACCCTGCGTGGGCTTTCTGGGAGGGTGGCCCGGCCATTGGGTTGTATCCAAGGGGCCTCGGCAAGTGGGGAGAGCACCGCCGCTCCCTCCAAAGAGCCGCCGAGCAGTGGCCCTGGGACAAAAAGCACAAACGGGCCTTCTTTAGAGGCTCGAGGACCAGTGCCGAGAGGGACCCCCTCATCCTTCTCTCCAGGGCCAGACCTGAGCTTGTCGATGCCAGGTACACCAAGAACCAGGCCTGGAAGTCTCCGTCGGTGTGTGCAATTAAAGAATCTCTATAATATTTGTTGCTGAAAACATCTTGTTTTTTTTATCAGGACACGCTGATGGCTGAGCCTGCTGAGGAGGTGTCCTTAGAGGAACACTGCAAGTTCAGGTTTCTGTTCAACTTCAGGGGCGTGGCTGCCTCCTTCCGCTTCAAGCACCTCTTCCTGTGTGGCTCGCTCGTCTTCCACGTGGGCCATGAGTGGACTGAGTTCTTTTACCACCAGATGCAGCCTTGGGTTCACTACATTCCAGTCGAATCCTCTGCCTCGCAGGACCAAATCAGGTCAGTTTCTATTAAACATATATCTTAATCTGAAAATAATTTTTTTTCCATTTGAAGAGAACTAATTGAATTTGCGATGGAGAACGATGATGTGGTTTGGGAAATTGCTGAGCGTGGCAGATACTTTGTAGAGAGCCACTTAAGGGTCAAGGACGTCTCCTGCTACTGGAGCCACCTTCTTCGAAGCTATTCTAAGTTGATCAGGTACAAGCCTCAACTCAACCCTGACCTGATTTTGATAGCCTAACATCCCTGTTTGTGATTCTCTGATCTCCTTTTTGTAATGAAAACATTATTCTTATTTAGAAATTAAAATTATTATATGTTTACATAATGAAAAATGCTTGTTTTAACACAATTTATAATATTTTGGAAAAAACAAATTTAATTGCTAAATGTAAGAAACGAAATATTAGAGGTGCCATAAAAGTGAGATGGTTAAGAATTCTATTTATGCGATAATATGTGTTTTTATATTTTCCTTTTACGGTTTAATTTAATTTTGAAATTGGAAATTCGGACTTATTTTTTTAATTTGATTGATTTTAACGGATTTTAATCTGAATGGAAATGGGAAGCGGTGCGAGGTGCGAACTAGGTGGAGCGACAAGATATCAACGTCCGACTGAGTATGTATGTTTAGGCGACTGACGTGAGTATTATAGTCCTTTGACCATATAATAATAGAAGATAGAAGTTTTGAATTGTGAAACTTGTTGCTTTTATTAAAGCAAAGAAGCTCACAATGAAAATTAAAATATTTTCTTTCTTGCCTTGTAAAATTTATAAGAAATTTTTACTTTGATAAATAATTTAATTAGAAATTATTATTTTAGCAGAATTTTTAATGTAGGAGGATTTATATTATAGCGCCCATTTTTAAAATGGTGAAACTATAGGGCAAGAAAATAAACTGAGCATCGGGGGGCGTGTTGGTGGGTGATTCGCGGTCTTTACGCCGTGCGTGTCGGCAACATGGCTGATGGGCAGGATCAGTTTTACCAGCTCTTGAACTCGCTTTTGAGCACCGACAACGACCTGCGCAGCCAGGCAGAGGTATGTCCACAACCTGGGAGGCCTCAGGCGGCCGTCGGTCGCAAATTTGCGGCCGCCGGTGGTCCACAGGGCGAGGCTAGGCGGCCGCCGATTCGAGCCACACCGGCAGCAGCGTGGCCCTTTGGGGCCACTTGCAGCCCCTGGGCTCACCGTCGCCTGACCCCACGACCCGCACTCGTACGCCGCAGACCCTGAGTGACCGACCTGCAATTTGGACACTCAGGGTCATGCCCTCTATCTCGACATCTTTGCACGGCAAAACACGTGCGCCCTTTTGACTTGACTTCGTGTTGCAGGAGGCGTACAACAACCTGCCGATCGAGTCCAGGGTCACCCTTTTGCTAACTTCGATCCTGAACGATGGCCTCGGCGAGGAGCTGCGCCAAATGGCTGCTGTCCTTCTCCGGAGGCTCTTTTCCGCCGAGTTCATGGACTTCTACCCCAAGGTCGGTGACCTTGTCTTGATCTTCGTTGAAAACTTAAAGCAATAATTAACTTTGTTAAACAGTTGACAGCCGAACAGCAAGGGCAGCTGAAGGAGCAGGTGTTGATCTCTGTGCAGCGCGACCAGCCTGAAGGACTGCGTCGCAAGGTGTGTGACGTGGTTGCAGAGGTGGCACGGAACCTTATAGACGATGATGGCAACAACCAGTGGCCTGATTTCCTCAGGTTTCTCTTTGAGTGCGCTAACTCGCCCTCGCCGGCCCTCAAGGAGAGCGCCCTCCGCATGTTCACGTATGACCTAATATTTAATCAACTTCCTACCTAAAAATTATTATCGGAAAGAATATTTTGTGTGGACTGTGTACCCCATCAGAAAGAGAGGGAATTGAGATTCCATAAAATGAAGCCAAATTTATGCTCGATTATAACATAATTTTGTATGAAGAAAGATTTAAATGTCCCTTGATCTGAAAAAGTACTGCAACCGCATATTTATAAATTTCGTATTGAAATTGAAAATAACACAAAATTTTAAATAAAAACCTGCGAGAATCTGTTATCTTGGACTTAAGTCTTAATTATCAATTTAAATTCCAAAAAGTTGGAGAACGACAAGCGACAAGTTTGCCAAATTTTGATTATGTAATATGAAGACTTTAAGTATGCGCGTAAATAAAAAGCTATTATAGTTGCATAAGCTTTGAAATGACAGCCAAGGTGACTTTTTCCTTTTAATTAAAAAAAAATTATAAATTTTTCTGATTACCCTTCTTATAACCTCTCCTTAAAAATTTTCTTAATAATCAGCCAATTTGATTATTTTAGATTTTATTTTACCCAAAAAAATTTTATCTGGTTAAGAAAAATACAAGTAAGAATGACTGCCCAAGAATTAAAACAAAATGAAAATGTGCCTTATTTTTATCTAAAAGGACTTGCATTTTGCACTTCAGTTAATTGCTCATCTGAAAAATTCATTTTGCAGACTGGTGCCAGGCGTGTTTGGCAACCAACAGTCTAACTACCTTGACCTGATCAAGCAGATGCTGCACCAGTCAATGCTGGACACGGCCAACTATGAGGTATATTCATTCCTCTTCATACCCCGAGACGTCTGCAACTAAAAAAAACTTTTTGTCTACAGGTTCGTTTCCAAGCAGTGCGGGCTGCCTCGGCGTTTGCCCTGATCCATGAGAAGGAAACACCCATCCTGAAGCACATGGAACCCCTGCTGCCTAACATGGTGGCCATCCTGGCTGAGAGTGTCCAGCGGTCGGACGACGAGACCCTGCTCAAGTGCTTCATAGAGTTGGCTGAGACCACACCCAAGTTCCTCCGCTCACACCTTGAGCCCGTTGTTGAAATGTGCATGAAGGTGTGTTTGAAAGCCACTGTTAGAAGAAGTTAAATAAAATAAATTGGTTGCAGGTGTTTGCAGACACTAATCAAGAGGACTCATGGCGCCATCTGGCCCTGGAAGTCATCGTGACCCTGTCCGAGACTGCACCGGCCATGCTGCGCAAGGTGGGGGGCAAGTACATTCCAGTGCTGGTACCGCAAGTGCTGCTGATGATGACCGATCTGGATGAGGATGCCGAATGGAGCGTAGCGGACGAAATCCTCGAGGAGGATAATGACAGGTTGATTTATAAAATGTTCCTCACTCACGAGTTTCCACTTTAAAAGTACAAGAAAATGGAGGAGTGAAAGTAGTTAAAAAGTATAAGAGCTATCAGAAATTTACCTAAATAATTTTTTAATTCCTTTTGCTTAAATTGCCATTTAAATTTCTCAGATGCTTTCTTTTTGACATTTTCATTGTATTTTCAATTAATTTTACAAAATGAGTATGTTTTGATGAGAGTTTGGTTTGTGGTTTGCAGCAACTCGGTGGTTGCCGAGTCGGCTCTGGACCGATTGGCTTGCGGGCTGGGTGGCAAGACGATGCTGCCTCACATCATCCAAAACATCCCACCCATGCTTAGCAACAGTGACTGGAAGTACCGCCATTCGGCCCTTATGGCCATATCAGCTGTAGGAGAGGGATGCCATAAGCAGATGGAATCCATGCTGCCCCAGATCATGGAGGGTGTCCTCAACTACCTCCAGGACCCGGTATTTTTCTTTACTAAAACTTTGGATTTTGAAAATTCTTTAGTAAATGACTAAAAGTTATTATCATGCAAAATATATTCTGATGTTTACACTGATTGTAAAAATTGTTTACTGCTTATCTTACAATAAGCAAAAAAAAAAGATTAAATTTGTTGTGTTGGAATTTTAATCATATTGCAAATTTTTTCAAAAGAAAAAAAAATTAATTTTGAAAGGAAACTGAAAAAAAAACATTGCTTCTTAAAATTTTACATAGTGGTTTTTGCCCTTATTTACAAAACTGCTTGTGCTGCAGCACCCGAGAGTGCGGTATGCCGCCTGCAACGCAGTGGGCCAGATGGCAACTGACTTTGCACCGATTTTCGAAAAGAAATTCCACGACAAGGTAGTCCCTGGATTGCTAATGGTGCTCGACGACAACGCCAATCCAAGGGTGCAGGCGCATGCAGGTACTGTATTGGGAAATCCGCATTTATCATAATTTCAGTTTTTCTAAAAGCTCAAAAAATCATTTGTCCTAAATTTTTCATCCTAATATTTTTGTCCTAATTTTTTCCCATTTCTCCTAAATGCATTTTTCCGAAAATTTATTTGTCCTCAATCTAATGAGATACAAATGACAAATGGCAATTGCTTCCTGCTGAGAAAATATTATTTTTGTATTTGTCTGCCGTCTGCCTTCATTTTCTATCGCGATTCTGTTAACGACTCCTTATTGATTAATTTCGGCCCGAAATTTTTCAACCACGATCTTTTTATGGATGCATGGCCACACTAGAAGATGATTCCATGAAAGAAAATAAAGGGTCCATGGGATTAATCTCCAGATTTGATTTTTTGAAATTTATCGTTGCGTCTAATGGGAATTTTTACGTTTTCCCAATTTAAAAAAAAAAAATCTGCCCAAAATTTTTTGCTCAAAATTTTTCAATTTACGTTTTAAATACTGCTGAACAAAACTGCGAGATAAAATTTTTGTTTTCATGGACATAAATAATGTTTATAGTGTAAATCGTGTAAACTTATATTATTTTGCTTACATTCATAAATTGAAACTGAATGCATTAAAATTTAATGAACTTTCAAAGCAAGAAAATAAATTTATTTTAGATTCTATATTTTTAAGACACTTTTCATTTTGGACAAATAGAGTAATCAGTCTTAGGACCAATAACGGCGACTCCCTGTATCACACTGTATTATCCTTTGCTAGATCTTTTAAGTTTATTCTTCTGATGTGCAGGCGCCGCTCTGGTCAACTTCAGCGAGGACTGTCCAAAGAACATCCTGACGCAGTACCTGGATGCCATTATGAGCAAACTTGAGGCCATCCTCAGCACCAAGTTCAAGGAGCTGGTTGAAAAGGGAACCAAGCTGGTGCTGGAGCAGGTGGTGACAACCATTGCCTCTGTGGCAGACACCTCTGAGGAGCAGTTTGTGGCGTATTATGACCGGCTCATGCCCTGCCTCAAGTATATAATTGAGAACGCCACCACTACCGAGCTCAAACTGCTCAGGGGCAAGACCATAGAGTGCGTCAGCCTCATTGGCCTTGCTGTCGGCACAGATAAGGTTTTTACTCTTACTTTAATTACACTCGAGCCTCATTTTGGAATTTTGGAAACCTTCACAAGCCTAGATATTAATATTATTGTTTTCTGCTTGTATTTTTTTTTTTTTAATTTTTGAGATATTTTTTAAGCTCATTATATATTATGTAAAACGCAGTAGATGTAAGTAAATAATTCTATACTCTGAACTCTTTTTAAAGAGTTAAATAAGAAAATTGGTAGGGCAGCCAAAATTATAAATTTTTAAGTTCAAATAAGTTTTAAGATGGCTAGATATAAATGAAAAAAAATTAATTAAACTTGTAAATATTGATAAGATTTATTATGAAATTATTGCAAAAATTGTCCCAATAACTTACTGCTGGCGCATCTGAAAGCGTATGGCAGTTATACGCTTGGGAGACAAAAACGGCAGGTGCTGTCATAAAGCTGCAAAATCATTTTGCAACTTCACTTATCCTGCATACAAACACTTAAACCAAGTAGGCTGAACTCCAAATTTTAAACTCTTGCTCATTGAATTGGTTCCGGTTTGAATTTTCAAAAAGAAGTGTGTTATGAATACTGTGGCCCAGTATTGACTCATAAATCACAGGTAAAGATTTTAAACAGGCAGACTTGTTCAAAATTTAATTTTAATATTATGGTGTGACCTATTATTAATTCACCCTGATGAGGAAAGCTTAATTTAGTGGCCTTTATTTATTTTTCCAGTTCCGGATGGACGCGAATGACATTATGGGGATGCTACTGAAGACGCAGACAACAGAGGAGATGCCTGAGGACGACCCACAGACATCATATCTGATATCAGCGTGGGCGCGTATGTGCCGTATCCTCGGCAAGGACTTTGTGCAGTACCTACCCATGGTGATGGGGCCGGTGATGAAGACAGCCTCGATAAAGCCCGAGGTGGCCGTATTTGATAATGATGATATGGGCACCTTTGAGAATGATGTCGACTGGCAGTTTGTGTCGCTCGGCGAGCAGCAGAACTTTGGCATACGCACTGCTGGGCTCGAGGATAAGGCGTCAGCCTGTGAGATGCTTGTCTGCTACGCCCGTGAACTCAATGAGGGCTTTGCGCCCTATGCTGAGGACGTTGTCAAGCTGATGGTGCCCCTCCTCAAGTTCTATTTCCACGACGGTGTCCGTAGCGCAGCTGCCGAGTCACTTCCCTATCTGCTTGAGTGCGCCAAGATCAAAGGTTGGTATTCTATCCCTTCCTTGCTTTTAGAAGTTGGATCTCAAGGAATCAAGTGATCAGAAACGCTTTGGTCACCAATATCAATTTTCTATAAGAAGTAGATTGGCCAAATTTCAACAAACCCGTTTGGTGCACTATATGAATGATGCAACATTATTAATTATTACAGTTTAAATGAAAATTTTGAAAACACGTATTATTTTTTTATTGAGGAATTTCTCTCTGGACCATAACATTAAATTGTAATTCTTAAAGATCTTTAATATCTTTTATTTTCTTAACAGGGCCTGAGTTCCTGGAGGGTATGTGGAGATACATTTGCCCAGAGCTGCTGAAGGCTATTGACACCGAGCCAGAAAATGACGTCCTCAGTGAGCTCATGTACTCGCTATCAAAGGTAAAATCAAGTGAATTTTCTTGGCTTCGTATGAAAATTATGATTTTTTTTAATGGCTTTGAGGCTGATTACTGTAGTCTTTAATGTTGATGATTCCAGATATTACTTTGATCTATTTTTGTGTTAATTTCATAAGTTAATAAAGACAACTTGTGTTTGTAGTGCATTGAAACCCTCGGAAATGGTTGCCTGACTGAAGAGACGATGACCGAGCTAGTGCGGATTTTGGACAAGCTGCTGAAGGAGCACTTTACACACGCTGCTGACAGGCTTGAGAAGCGCAAGGATGAGGACTATGATGAGGTTAGTCTTGAAATTGGTTCCAAAATTGCAAATAATCAGTGTTGATTGACAGGTGGTGGAAGAGCAGCTTGTTGATGAAGACACTGAAGATGTGTACCTGCTGAGCAAACTGTCGGACGTGATCCATGCTCTCTTCAGCACTTACAAAGAGTCATTCTTCCCCTTCTTCGACCAAATCGTTGGACACTACACCAAAATGCTGGTCAGTTTTTTTTTTCAAATAAATTTACTATGAGGGGTTGCTGAAGAGTATGAAGGGTAGTGGCCCTCGGATATAGCCATTTTTTTATAAATAATATTGACTTCATAAATATTAATTCTCAACATTGCAAACATCCAAATTATGAGTCTCCAATTCTGTCACTCGATGTTTTGATTTTGGAATAGATAGCCGATTGGATGGAATAGTTCGATGCGGAACAATTTACTATTCACCAATTCCATCGTTGCATTGGAATCCAAAATCTGATTCAGAATTAAATTTGATCATGTTTTTGTCTTGTCAAATGCTAGTTAGTCTATTAGATGGTTGTAAGTTGGACACTTTGATCCCAAAACACATCTCAGCAAGACCAATACTGTGATCAGTTTCACAGTTTTGAGATAACAATTTTTTTTGTACAGGGCGATGGAATGACGTGGTCAGACCGGCAATGGGCGCTTTGTGTATTTGACGACCTGGTTGAATTCTGTGGACCCGCAAGTGTGCGGTACCAGACGCTGTTTGTGCAGCCGCTGCTGACATACACGGAGGACGGGTCTGCCGAGGTTCGGCAGGCTGCTGTGTATGGCTGCGGCGTGATGGGCCAGTTTGGCGGCCCTGCATATGCGGCCGCATGCCGTGAGGCCCTCGCCAAGCTGATCAAGGTGATTGCAGCGCCCGAGTCGCGCAGTGTTGACAATGTCAATGCCACTGAGAATGCCATCTCGGCCGTCACCAAGATCCTCAAATACAACCCCGCCAATGTCAACAAGGACGAGGTCATCCCCCTCTGGTCAGTCAAAAACTATCAATATTTCCTTAAAACTTAGTTTGTAAATGAGGCTAATTCTTGACTGATGAGGAAGATTAAATTGGGAATTCCTTATTTTAAGTTCAGCTTGTCCACCAAATCAAAATTAATTTCAAATTTTGTGAATTTTTAGGCTTTCGTGGCTTCCGGTTTGGGAGGACGTGGATGAAGCGCCGCACATTTATGGCTTCCTGTGTGACCTGATGGAGTCCAACAACCAGGCGCTGCTTGGCCCCGAGAACTCGAACGTGCCTCGCATCATTGCTATCATGGCAGAGGCGTTTGCTCGGGAGGCATTAGAGGCGTCGAGTGAGGTGGCGCAACGCATGGTGCGCCTTCTGAGGCACATCCAGCTGCAAGCTGATGGCAAGATGTTTGAGGTGTGCGTCGCACAGCTCTTACCCGACCAGCAACGCGCCCTTCACCAGTTCTTGGCCGCCTAACAAGAAAGAAAGATTTAACCCCCTGACGAATGAATGAAAGAAAAAGAAACGAGCGGACGTTTGAATCTGTTGTTGAATTTTTAACCCGCATTGGTCCCTAGCCTAGTAGGGACTCCATGGTGATAAATAAGTAAGAAAAAAAATAAATGACAGTGATTCAACCTTTGTATGCAACTCATTGGAATGGCTTTCCTTTTGCACTCACAAGACGAGCGGTTTGCCATTGTAATTTATTGGTAGGTTTTGAAAGAAAATTACCCGTCGGCCTGCACCACGAGATGTGAAGGATATGTAATTAATTATTCCTGTTTTTGTAACTGCTGCTGAGTACGAGCAAGAGATAAAAATACATAACAACTGACAAAATACATACCAATTATTTGTATTTAATTCCTGTATGTCCAAGTAAGGGAGCGTCTTTATCCCCTATTGTCTCTTATATTAATTAAGTTTTTAAAAGCTTACATAGAATGCCCAGGCAATTTTTGTAATTATGGAGAAATTACATTTTATCTTGCTCAATTAAGTTGTTGCAGGCCATTCAAATCATTTTACTTAATTTTTCAGGAAATAAACTCATTTCCTCAGCATATAAATATAAAGTTCCGCAAAGTGAAATTTTTCTATAAAATTTAAAAAAGTGGCCTTTTAAAATCTTAAATGTTAAACAAATTTAACTGACATTTTCAAAGATCTATCAGAAAATGTTCAGTTCCAACATTTTAGTACTCAAAAATAAATTATTGATGGAGTTTATTAAATTTTATGGCTCTTTAATATTAAGCTTTTGGAAAAATTTGTAAGGTTGTTTATTACAATTTTTGACAACTAAGTTTTAATCTCCCCAGTCCCTTCTAGCCAATTCATTATAATTATTTTTCATTTGATTCACCGGCTGTCAATTTGTCCAACCTAAAACACCACCTGCATTTGGCCTTGCAGGTTAATTCGTGCGTTTTTTTATGGTGATCAACCTGCGCACCTGCATACTACAGTTTCTCAGTATGCAGTTACGTGGCCCACATCTGTGCTTCAACCACAGATGGTCCTCGACTCCTCAGAGGCGATCTCAAATTCAACCCATTAAAAGGTAAAACTCTATGATAGGAAAAAATTGGAAGATTCCAACTCAACGTCGGATCTATTTCGGTTTTGTGAATGAAAGGATTCGTTTTGCTTGCGTGAGGCGAGGCGCGTGCAAAAAAAAAAAATTGGCGACGTTTGAAAAGTGGGCGCGGCTCGTGTGACGTCGATGACGAGCACCGGAACCCGCCCCCCTTTCCGGCTACGTCATTGGTCAATACGAGCGGTGGTGTGTTTTTGCAGCCCACGTCCCTCTGCCTCTGCTGCGACTTTCGGACCGAATCGTCGTTTCGGACATTGAGATTTTCGGACTGGGACCGATCGGACGCGAAATGCCGTTCCTGTTCGGCTAGCGTCCGTTTCCGTGGTGAGTTTGGCTCGAATTCGAGGCCCACGCTGATGCAACAGTCCCATTTAATAGTTCCTAACCCACATTCGATCGCCGATGCATCGAGACTCTCGGTGCGTCACAAAATGCTCAATTTCTAAATTGCCGTCGATGAGATAAGTGGATCGGCGATCGGCTGACAATAAGGGAGGTGAACTATAACAGCAGGTTTGAAAAGTAGGATTCACATATACGCCAGAAGAAAATTTAATAAAGATTTCATGAAATTGCTGAAAAATTTTGAAAAAAAAAAATAATAATTTTTTTCCACAAAAGTTATAACGCCGATTATTATTGATTTTAAATTTTAGATAGAAGGTGTGTGATTGTTTGTGATTTCCTTAACCACTTAGCCATTAATAACCATTTTTCCAAGAAGGCTAATTCCACTTTGAATAAAAAAAAGTGGTTTTACAATTTTTTTTAATGTGATTTTATGATAATTGATTGTTTTTTTTCTGATTGTTGGCAGATCTTTTTGTTCGAGTGAAGATGGAGAACTCGGCGGCCGTTTCATCGTCGTCATCCTCCTCCTCCTCTGCTGGCAGCAGGAAGAGAGTCCGTGAACAGGCGGCGCCGCTAGCGATGACAGGGGCGCCGGGTCCGTCACGGTGCCCTTCCTCCAGCCTCAACGGCACCAACCACTTTGTCATCAACGCGGTCAGTATTCCCTAATTTTTCCTTGACACACCAACTAACAAATTAATTTGAAACTGAAATCGCAGAAGACTCAGTTTTGTTTTAAAACAACAAGAGTGAAGTGGGGGAAACGATGAGGATATGAATTTTATTAATTAATTTGGTCAAAGGTTGATGTCTTTCGATTTGACCTTTATAAAGATTATGTAATGGTCACTGCGAATAAAGTGGTTTGCTAAGGTCATTTCAATGGAATTGATTTTTTTAAATTTATATAATAAATAATAACATAATTTGTTATTCAAATTAAACCAAAAAATTTAGCATTATGCTTAATTTTTTTTAGTTAAAATTAAAATAGAGCTAGGTTGATTTTCCAAGCGATATGAGCAATCTAACACTCATTAATAAATTAAATTAAAAACCTGCAATATTTTGCATGAATATAACATTTTTATTAAATATTATTTAATATCAGTGCCATTTTACTATGGTATTTTTAGTAATGTAGTTTTTAACATTTTCAGTAATAAAATAACAGAAATGATTCCAAGCAAATATGTCTATTAACAATTGAAGATAAAATTTTAATCACTTGTTATTGTTTATTTTCACAAAATTGAAGTTATGAAGTTGAAAATAAAGATTTTAAGATTGAAATTAAAATTGTATGGAGGCCAATGGTATTTTTTTAAGGCTTTCGCCTAAAGCAAGTGGGAAGCCGCAAAACTCACACTCAATTCTCGTTTCCCAACCGCAGGAATTCATTTAAAAAAAATTAACAACGCTTTTTTCTCCTGCTCGGCCGATGGTGATTTAGCGATGGTGTGACCACGTCAGGGTCATCAGAGGTCACGTGATAACTCACACATCCTCTTTGGTCCCGCGTGTGCTGTGCACGTCTGACGAAATCCTCGCGCGTTTTGCAGAATCGGAATTTTCCCTCCAATTTATTAGCCTGGAATGTCACAATGCAGAAAAAAAGTTAAAAATATTGCAAAGCGCGGCGGAAATTCCGCGACGTGCCTTATCAGCACAGATCGTGATTCACCTCCACCACCCCGCCTCTTTTCTTTTATCTCTCCGCAAAATCGATGAACGTCTCGTTGAATATTCGAACTGAGCTGGAGTTGTTTTTTGTTATTAAAATGCGAAATTCTTTGATGACCTCGTAAGGTGAATGACCAAAAGGATCAATATATTTTATGCAAACATGAGGATAATTTATAATTTTATAAACGCATTCTTCTGCTCAAAGTTTATGTACATTTTTAAAAGTATCTCAATCGGTATTGTCATAAATTTCAGGCCATTGTTCCAAGTGATGATTTAACAGGGGCTAATTTCTAACTCCCTGAAAACTAATGCGAGTTATAATTGAATAAGTAATACAAATTGAAAACTTCATATTATATTTTGAAAATAGTAAAATCACCCTGTGAAATTTGGAGTTCTGGCGAAAACAGCTTTTGAAGTTTTTTTTTATTTCGTCCAAAGAATTTAACAATTGCAGTTAAATTTAAGAACAAGTTAATATTTGTTCTATGACTTTTATATAATATTTTGAAAAATCCCTAACTAATCTCCTACTAGAAATCTCTTCTTAATATAACCCCTATATTTTTTTCAATTGTGTTAACTACTATTTGCAACGGATAATTTGAAACTTAATTGTCTAATATAATGGTAAAAATTAACCCGTAGAAATGATTATTTTTGTGATTTTTCGTCTTTCATAATCCTGCTGAGGCCCAAAGTGCCAAGTAAAATCAAGGTTGTCAGGTTTTTTCAAAAGCTACAGTCCTCCAAAGGGATTTTGATGTGGAATGGGAAGATACTACGAGTACATTTTAAAGATAGGATGAAGCGCCTTAATGGTACGATTGATTGGGTCGGTCAGTCGGCGGTGGCATTTGCACTTTGTGCAGCCGTGGCGCCACAACCGCGCGAGTGGTGCCACGTGACGGTCGGACGGTTTTCAGTCGGCCACCGGCACGCAAGCATGGCACACACAACAACACTGCTCGAGAGCCCGACCTCCATCAGGGCAGTCCTCAAACCACCCAAAAACAAGACACCCGTCCTACCGGTGAGATTAAAAAAGAAAATCAAATTTTCATAAATTATTAAATTTATGGGACGTTTTTCAAGTTCTTTTATTATTTAAAATTGTCCTTTTAGAATAATAACAATATTAAATTTTTACACCACTTATTTTCCTTTTGAAAATATCTTTGACAATTTTTTCCCTCACAAAGAGTCTCAGTAATTTAAAATTAATCATTTTTTTATTGAGATTTGTCATTTTTGCAACTTTTCTAATCTAAAATTGTTATCTCGTACGTCAAAAAATTCGCGGTAATATATGAGGCACGTCAAAATTTTAATACTTATGGAAAAGTTTTTTCATTTTCAAACTTGACATAATTCTAACAGTTTCCGTCATTAAGTTATGATGAGTAGCACCACCTTAAACCAGTAACACTACCGAATTGTTAATGAGCGACGAACTTTCCTCTCTGCATAATTGAAATCTTTCTCTGGGCAACAACACGCGACACACCTGTGACTCACATTCCAAAGTGGTTGTGGGGAAAAAATATAAACTCCCGACCATCGCAACGTTTTGCCTTTTGCCATCCATTGGCTCAAACTAATCGCAAGATTCTCCACTCCCAAAAACGAAAGCGAATTCTTCCAATGCGGTCTATCATTTTCTCTCATCAGCTTTCTTATTTTTTTCGACATGCAATAGAAAATACTTTTTTCTCCTAACACTTCCGGGTAACGAAAAATGGAAATTGATGCAAGCATAAAAAATTAAATCTTATTTTGTCCAAGTTTCTTATTTAATCCCTTTTTTGTAATAAAATTCAGAGGCATTATCAACGGTATGCTGCACCACTAGTGTTGAATTACAATTGAAAAAGATTGCTTTAAAAACCTCTCCTATTTATTCTATATAGCTGCCATTGGCGTAAATTCAATATCTCTGTCCATTTAGGACCAAGTTTGATTTATTTACACCATTGGAATAGTTTTTGAAAAATCTAACTTAATTGTAAACTCAGATTATTTAAATCATATCTCTGAAATAAACAAAATTCTAATGAGATCCATTTGTACATTCAAAAATTATTTAAAAAATTATTTAGTGTTGAAATCGGTTTTGTTATTAATGTAGAGTTATAACTGAAAAACAAATATGAATTCTTAACAGATAATTTTTGAAAATCGTTCCAAGATGTTTTAAATGTTTTTAAGAGGTGCAAACCTCTTTGAATAATGAAATAGTCTTCTAATTTTCCTTTTTTACAACGACTTTCCATATCGATTTATGGTTGGAAAAGCTCCGTGTTGATGTAAAATGTCAGCAGAGTGCATTAGCCTGCATTAAAGGACTTTGGCGCCGCACGTTGATTAGCACTCGGCGCGAAGTGTCGCCTTTCCAAATTATCTCTGCACGGAATCGACACTCCAAATATCCCATTTATGCCTTGTAATGTTAAAAAGTTGATTTTATTTGTCCGCAGTCGATATGCAAGCCAGCGCCGTTCAGCGACGAGGCGGACGCGATTCTGGAGCGCGAACGGTGCGACTACACCCTCAAGATCTCGGTCGCCATGGCTAAGGCAGGAACAGGTCAGAAGTAAATTTGAATTCCGAAATGAAAAATCAGATATTTCAATCAGTTAAAAAAATTAAGATTATTAAATAGCTCAAAAAGTCATTTAAAAGAATTTATTTATTTATTTATTTTTGTGATCTGATTCATTTTAATACATAATTATCAGCTGTATCTATTTTTATTTAGTTTTTTCACAATGTTTTAGAATGTTATAAATATTTCAAGCTGCTAAAATTCTATCAAAAAATTTATCCTGAAAAATTATTTAATTCACCACTTTGTAACACATGGACTTCTGCTGTTGGCAGCAGAATGTTAATTATTCACACTTTATTTTTTTCAGCCCCTAGGCCTATCAGGGTGTACGCAGACGGCATCTACGACCTTTTTCACCAGGGTCACGCCAGGCAGCTCATGCAGGCCAAGAGCCTTTTCAACAACGTCTACCTTATTGTTGGAGGCAAGTCACTTATTTTAAATTGCGATTGTTATTGATAGTGTAAAGTATAGAGGAAAGCAGATATTTTTCTTAGCATGAAATTTGCTGAAAATTTTTAATGACGAGTTATGTTGGCACCACAGCGCGCCGAGTGAGGCGGCCAGGCGTTTATCTAAATTTGTCAAGGATTCTATTTTTTTTTTTAATAAATTCAAAATTTTGGCAAAGGATAAAAGATAATTAATTTGGTCCAAGTTATTAAACTTATTAATTTTAGCACTGCTCTGTTTCCGTGTTAATCTTTTCCCTATTCGCTGCGAATCAACCTGGGCGCCTCGCTTTGCCATCATAAATTTCCAACGATTTTCTATGGTAGAAAATTTTCTGCTCTCCTCTGCTCTTAATTAAAATAAGTCAATCAAATGATTTGTATTAATTTATGTTGTGTGTTTAAATTGATTTAAATTATTGTGAGGTTTCCATAATGAAAGATCTTTATAACAGGTGTAGATGAAGTACACTGCACTGTAAATAATTTACCAAAATGATAAATGTTTTGAAATCCACCCACAGTGTGCAGCGACGAATTGACACACGCGCGGAAGGGCAAGACGGTGATGTCAGATGCGGAGCGATATGAGGCCGTCCGGCACTGTCGCTACGTGGACGAAGTGGTTCGGGACGCACCCTGGGAGCTGGATGATGACTTCCTGTCCGAGCACAAAATCGACCTGGTGGCGCACGACGAGGAGCCGTACACCACCGGCTCAGGTGACGATGTGTACCGCCACCTGAAGGAAAAGGGCATGTTTGTGGCCACCGAACGCACCGAGGGCGTGTCCACCTCGGACATCGTCGCCCGCATCGTCAAGGACTATGACATGTATGTGCGCAGGAACCTGGCCAGGGGCTATTCGGCCAAGGATCTCAACGTCTCCTTCCTCAGGGTACAACTTTGGCTCTTTTTTGTTGCTCTTTAGATTAATATTTAATTGCAGGAGAAGAAGTTAATGATCCAGGAAAAGGTGGACAAACTCAAGGACAAGAGCAAACGCATGTTCGAGACCATCGACGAGCGCAAGTCAGACATTATTTGTAAGTGGGAGGAAAAGTCCAGAGACTTCATCGATGCTTTCCTCCTCCTCTTCGGCCGCGAAGGTCGCTTGGTGAGTTTGTGAAAAGAAAATTATTTCATTTTTTTATATTCAAAAATAAAAAACTGGTTTGAGATGAAAATTCATATTTGTACCAAAACAGACAATCCCAATATTGGACATAATTATCCAATATTAAAATTTTTATAACTTCATCAATTTGTGCAGAAAATTTATGTTGTGATACCGTTTTTGTAGTTAGAAGTATACTTTTGATTAATAGCATGTATAGTAAACATGAATTCAAACTTGATCGTTCAAATAAATATTCTTTTATCTTTTTCAATATATTCGATATTTTCTTTGGCTGGATTTAGGATGTCTCCAACCAAGTCAATTTCAGTCCTAAACCACGTTTCAGCACCTTCTCCAAATCTTCTTTTAAAGATTTTCACTTTTATTGAATAAATTTTTCAACTATATATATATAGTAAAAACATTATTTGAATTTTCAGCACCACATGTTCAACGAGAGCAAAGGACGTCTGATGCACGCATTGTCGCCGCCGGTGAGTCCGCGGCGGGAGGGCAGAGAGGGTAGCACCTCTTCCTCCAGCTCCTCTCTTGACTTTGATGAAACCTCTAGGTACTTTTTTTGACCACTTTCTGAATGCAAAGGTAACTTCTGAATTTTTGCAGCCCACCGCCTAAGGCAGCCCGGTACGAGTCGCGGAGTCGGCGCCGGTCTTTAAGCAGGGACTGTTCGGACGAGGAGGACAACTGAATGTGATAAGGGTGTTTGGACCGAAGAGGATGAAAGGGCCTGCGCGTCGACTGACAAGTCTTGGCGCAAAAGAAAGAAAGAAAGCAAATTGTTGATAATTTTATTGTTTCTCCCTGGACAGGGGGTTTTGTTTGTTTGAGATAAAAAAAAAAATAGCCAAAGCGGAAACACCACAGATCTGCGCTGCACTTTTCTAGTATTAAACAAATATTCTCTCTCGCGCACACACACACACACTCTTTTGACAAAAAGATTCCAAAAGAACTCAATAGTTCCTGCTGCTTTGAGGCTTCATAGGGTTTTTGTATCTTTAGTGCTTAGTAATTTATTCTTGCTATTTGTATCGAATGAATTGGTAGTAGATATGGGTTGCTGAAAGCGACACATTCCTAACTGACTGGACAAAGAATTCTCGATTTTTACTGATTTAAACTTTTGCTCAGACACAAAGAGAGAATGCGAAGCGCGGAGTGGAAAGCTATATTTTAGAAAGCTGAAAATAAATTGAATTATTTCACTTGCTGGCAGAGAGGAATTGTATTTAGAGAATCCAAATGAGGAATAAACAAAACGCATATTATGTCATACACACGTATTCTAATACAAAACAACAAATCGAGTTTCATTCACTGGTCAAAAAGTCCCTTACTTATCAGATAATGATTCTTATCAATTTTTATATCTGGAGCTGCTCAATTTTTAGAAGGTTGTGTCTAGGTTTTTGATTAGTCTTGCTTTGCTGCGTGAGTAGAAGGGTGCCAGAAAATTAACGGTGCAAATGAAGACCAGCCGGAAGCGGACCCGCGACTATGAGGTCAAGGTCACCCCTCCGACCGATAGCCCTTCAAGGACCTTCTGCGGGGTAACAAACTTCCATATTTTATTACTGGATCAGAACTTGTCTGTCATTCAGAAAAAACGCTTACTAAAATATTTATTTTAGATTTGATTCTGATTAATTAAATGTGAAAAATAAACATTGTCATTAATCATTCAACTTAATTTGATTTATACGGAATATAATCAGATAAAAATATTTGATTTTGGTAATTGAATGCTAAATTTGAAGCTAAACAGAATAATAGTGTGGGCTTACCGCGGAGGCCAAGCATCTTTTGATATCGGACGTTTAAGCAGACATTTGCTAGTTATTTCATCTCATTTTAAAATTTCCATTTTTTTATACTCGGAGAAGAATAAATAATAATAACTAAACCAAATTTATATATTATGAGATTGGGAAATATTTCGTTTCTATACTTGAAATTGTTTCAAACATTTTATCAGTTCAGAGATCGTATGAGAACTTTTGTTGATGTACCATTTTTCTTCTTATACTCGGACCAAAATCGCCACATTATCCAAAAACTTTTGTAAAAAATCGAATGAGGAATTTTGACGGAAATTTGCATTTCCCGTTCAAATACTTGGCGATTTTTTTTAACTTTCAGACATAAAACCTTGATAATGTTAATTATGTTGACAACTTAAATGCTCATAATATAATCATCAGTTAAATTAATTGCAACAAACAGGATATATCTTTGTAAAACAACCTAAATATAATATATAACCATATCTGTTGCCCTTTGTTCTAAATAATAATCTTGCATAATCATTAAATACTTGGTCGGCCTTCACAAAAGTGGAAATTTTAATTATCTAATCTTGGAGATGTGCAGTGACCACTCGAGTAATTTTGCACCGAGAGTGAGTAATTTTTTTATTATGATTATTCATGCAGATTCAGTTTATCTGTACGCTGAGAGAGAAGCGGTGGCGTGATCCGCTCTTGATTATACACATACATAATTATTTATCTTTCATCAGCAGAGGTCAGTTCGAAGATAAAAAAAATCATCAACGTGGGCGCGCGCACTTCCAGTAATAAAAATGAATAAATACATTGGTCGGGGTCAATTTCAGTAGGACTCTCGATGCCTTCCCTCGCGTGCGCGCGTCTTACAATTAATCAAACTTGCATAAATATATAAACAGATTATGTGCAACAGAAAATCCCAAGGAAATGTCAAGAAAAAAACTCCATAAAATATTTGATTCATTTTTTTGTTAAGCAGTAAGGCAAAATTTTAAAAATTTTGAATTTTTTTTATATCATCTAAATTGATAATTTCTTTCAAAATTAACTTATTTAGATTAAAGTGAGATAAATGAACAGATTTTTTTTGATTAAGAATACAGAATATAAAATTGGAGAATCTAAGAGGAACTTTAATTTTTAATTTTGTTATTGTTTCCTGATCAAAGAAATTGTTTGTAATGCGCGCTGAATTCTATGGATCGATAAAATTTTGAGGTAAATTTGTGTAATAATAATATTATATGAATACAGACATACATGCAGATTAATATTTTTTTTTTAATTTTTAATTCATTAAAGAAATCATAAAAATTTTGTTTTCACAATCCACAATCACTTCAATTATGAAGTATATCACATATAAAATTTAATTTGATAAATATAGTCCTTTGTTATAGTGTTTTAATTTCTTCTTAACTTAAAAAATGTGTCCAAAAATTGACTAAATTAATTTTGTATGCTTAACATTGACTTATGTCACTAAACGTGTGGAAGAAAAGTCATTTTCCAATTTTTTTATTCAACAAAATTTTTCTAATAATTTTAATCAATTTACTTGAGGTTTAGAGAGTTTGCATTGTTTAAATTTTCTATTTTGTTAAACTTTTTGCTTGAGAATGTTTTCCCGTTCAAAACTTCTACGCGTTAAGAATGTGCTCTTCGAACTGATGAGGTCAAGCCGGTTAAGGTGAGGGTCACGCGACCTGCGATAAAAGTCCGTTTTGGCCAAAAAGCGCGAGTCTTAGTCGCGTCATGGCCCCGCTTGCACCGCCCGCCTGCATCCCTCATCTGCCTGTGCGAATATCTTTTTATAAAATTCGAAAATTTTCATAATTCTCTTTTGCAGTCTATTTGCAAGGCGGCGCCGTTCAGCGATGACCCTGAGGCGGTCGCCGAGTGGCACCGCTGCGACTACACCACAAAAATCACCGCCGAAGTGGCCAAGGCGGGAACAGGTATAGATATTTTGAATTTATTTAAAAAAAAACTGATTTTCGTTTTAGCAAAGAGGCCGGTGAGAGTGTACGCAGACGGCATCTACGACCTTTTCCACCAGGGCCACGCTAGACAGCTCATGCAGGCCAAAAGCATGTTTCCAAACGTCTACCTCATCGTCGGAGGTGATAAATCAAATTTGTGACGGACAAAACGTGTCATGTTTTATCATTGAAATCATTGTAATAGTAACATCAAAAGTGATCAAAAGGAAGCAATCGGTGGCCTCAATTATCATAGTCACCGTAAAATATAATTTGAGAAAATTATTACGATTTTAGATGTTAGACAAGTAGAGTATAAAAACCTTTTTCATGGATTTGATGAATTTTTTTATTATCTAGTGAACGGCGACACGTTGACGCACGCGAAAAAAGGTCGGACGGTGATGTCTGAGGACGAAAGGTACGATGCGGTGCGGCATTGCAGGTATGTGGACGAGGTGGTGCGTGACGCGCCTTGGCAGCTCGAAGACCACTTCTTGAGCCGCCACAAAATTGACCTCGTAGCGCACGATGACGAGCCGTACTTGACGGGCGTTGGTGGCGTCGACGCATACGCCCTTGTTAAGCGACGGGGCATGTTCGTGGCCACTGAGCGCACTGGGGGTGTCTCCACCTCAGACCTGGTCGCCCGCATTGTCAAAGACTACGACGTGTATGTGCGCAGGAACCTGGCCAGGGGCTACTCAGCCAAGGAGCTCAACGTCTCTTTCCTCAGGGTATGTAACTTATTAACCCTTTTTAGTTACTAGAAAGGTTAAAAACTTTTTTGCGTTGCAGGAGAAGAAGCTAATGATCCAGGAGAAGGTGGACAAACTGAAGGACAAGAGCAAACGCATGTTCGAGACCATAGACGAGCGCAAGTCAGACATGATATGCAAGTGGGAGGAAAAGTCTAGAGACTTCATCGATGCTTTCTTACTCCTCTTTGGCCGCGAAGGTCGCTTGGTGAGTTCGTCAAAAGTCAGAAAATCGTTTCATTATCCACTGTGGATCGTCCTTACCCAAAGGAATTTGAAAAAAAGTTTGGATGGAAATATAAGTCAATATGAAACTTCGGAAAAGCCATCTTAGAAAATAGTGGATAGTAAAATCTTAAATTCTACCAATTTCAATGTCAATAATATAAATTTCAAATTTTTCTTTAAATTACAATTAATTTTTATGGAAAAATTTAAGTGCTTTTTCTGCCTAAATATTTTAATTTAACGTTGTCCTTAATGAAACGTAGCAGCACATGTTGACCGAAAGCAGAGGGCGTTTGTTGCACGCGTTGTCGCCGCCAGGCAGCCCAAGCCGCAACAGTACCTCGTCCTCCGACGACTGCGATGAAGTTTTGAGGTCAAAATTCTTCTACATATGATTGAATTGGAATTTAAAAAATTTTAAATATTTATTTTGTAGCCCTCCTGTAAAGACAGCTCGGTATGAAATCAGCCCTTCATCTTCGCACACTCTCCGCGTCCATCCAACAAACGGTGACTTCTCGGAAAATGAAGACCTTTGATTTTTTATGAATTTGAAATAAACTAGCAATAAATATGTTTGTTATTATTATTTTTAAAATAGGCAACCATATTATGAGAGTGTCTGCAGATTTTTGTGAAGAAAATATATAATTTCTTATGTTTGACTATCTCCACTGATTTTCTGTTGATTAATTAATGGTTTTATTTTTGCCTTGATTGATTAAATGAGCAGTTTTAACCAATTCTTCAAATGTAGGCAACTTGCGTGACATACTTGCACTGCCGGTTGCATATCCATCTATTTTTTATGCTGATTATGCTGCAAAAGTTCCACAGGGGATTCCCATGTACAGATTAATTTTCAAATTTACTTCTAATGCTTACGGGCGATATTTATTTTACTTCCCAAATACAAAGACTTCCATACAATTTATTCTTTTAAATTTTTGTTGGTTATTGATTTATATCAAATCCTTCCTTCCGATAAAATTAGTTATATTAATTTAAAGCAATAAAAACTAATAAACCACCAAGGCTGTGAGTGCAGAGACACACATGTTGATCTGAGTGGGACAATATTTTTTAACTGATTCTGAAAGTTTATTGGCATATTTTTTATTTTCAAAAGATTTTGGGGGTAGACTCGCATAACCAGTTTGCACTGTAGGAATGCAAAAATTAAATAATTTTTTTTTATTTGACAGAGAAGTACCCCGGTTCAATAATTAGATTTGCTTTGGTTATCTCTTTACAGCTCATTAACAAATGCAAAAAAAGAAGGAAATTACATTTTTTTTTTTTTTTTTTTTTTTTTTTTAATAAAAACGACAAAAACTAATTAATTGCTCATCAAAGCTATATGGAGCAAATAGATATATTACACAGTTTTGTTTTTTCCTTGAGCAATTTCGGGCATGACAGACAAGTCTGCAGAAGCGGTGACGATTTGGTTTGTGAAGGGCAGCAAGTCAAGCCATGTTAAAGTGTCAGGTTTTCTATCTGCCCACAAAGCGCGTAGATAGAATCGTCCTGCGCGCTCCACGTACAAATAATTGGGGACATAGAAGTCTGAAATAAAAATTTTTGCCAATCAAACGCAAAATGAAAAGACAAAAATAATAATTTTTGAAAGAATTTTTCATAGTAAATTGAGTTTTTTCCGAACATTCAAATTTTATGCTTCAAATGTAAAGACAATAATTGTTGTAGGAGAAGATTGAGTTTTTCGTTTTTTGAAACACTCGAATTTAAGGCTTCAAAAAATTTACTCACGTGGTGGATTCGAAGAGCAGATAATTGAATTGCCGTAGAGGTCGCAGTCGCCTTTTTCAATCTTGTCATCTTCGTAACATGTTTTCTCCGGCAAAAAATCCATTTTTTTAAGCACCCCCTTCTACATTGAGTGGTAAAATTAATTTTATTGTCAGATTTCCTGCTTCGTTTTAAACAATTGAAAGCATATTTCAAAATTTGCATGGGAAAAGAGACAAATAATTAATGCAAACAAAATTAAAGGCTAACCAGGAACCCACCTCAAGTGTCCGCCTCCGATTTTGATGACACTGGTACAAGAGCTAGGCAAAGATGAGTACCGACCAATTTTGGCGGAATTTCGTGCTAATAGCCCCCTTTTGGCCGCTCTACAGTTGGCCAAAGGTTTTTAAGGTAGGCCACCCGCGGGTCCTGTCTGTCAAGATTTTGCATAAAACACCTGAAATGGGCTAATCTAGGCAATTCTTCACAAACAGGATTCGCGGGATGCCTAAATCAAAAGAAAAAGACCTCCAAAAATGGGGCAAAAAGGGGCCATTAGCACACAATTTGGCTGCAGTCGTTCTATACTCACCCCTGCCTAGCTCGTGTACCAATTTCAACCAAATCGGGGGCGGAAAGATGGGGGGCCTCGTTGTAAGCTTGCTTATCTTGTCTTGTTTGAAATTTTACTTTGTATGATGTATGATAAATGTTGAGACTTTTTAATTTTCCCTCGTTTTCAACTTTACGTACCTTTATAACATCGTGTGAATAAAAAGTTTGGTTCACGTCGTTCTGGTTGTTGCCATTCCATAGACAAACAGGCTGAAAATTAGGAGTCAATTCCACTTTTTCGATTCGGAAAACAATGAAAGATTCGGTGTAAAATCTTCCAAGCTCCAGTTTCACCTCCTTCGCATCAAGCACCTGAAACCATTGCCAGGTTTAATAATTTTCCACATTCATAAAAATCTTAATTATATTCAAATAAATTAATGTATATATTTCTGCAGCATAAATATTATCAAGTTAAAACGATTGGTTGGGAGAAAAATTCACCTTTTGTTGCAGCAAACCTCGATCTTTCGCACACTCTTGACCGCCACAATCTCCGCCAAATACGCTGATCGCTTTTCCGAGCTTGAAAGACTTGTACAATCCAATGCACCAGCTGTCTGATTGGGAAATGCAGTATGCAGCATTGGTATTAATTTGAAAATTTTAATCGCCACTCATTTAATTACCACAGATGATTGTTTGATCTGACACGAGAACGCCGTGGTCGGTGTACCTGCCTGGGCTATCCGTCTCTTTGATGTAAACTGACCACGGAGTCATTCGATTGTTTTCAGGTCCGTTCAAGCGGCCACAGTCTTTTGAACTCAAATTTTCCTCGTTGGCAGAACCGAAAACTGATTTTGATGAGATATTAAATTGAGCGAGAAATATTTCATATTTATCTAAAACCCGCCTTAACACTTATAAGTTTTTAATTGAATTTTAGAGGTAAAAAATTTTATTAAAGGTCCAATTTGAAAATGGCTGGATTCTGGAGGAAAAGCTGATTGTGACAAATTTTAATAAAATCCTAAATTTGAATTGGTAATCAAATAATTTTTAATTTATACCTGGAGCGGGATGAATGGACCGATTTTTTCCATAATTCCAGCAGTCTGTAAAGCGAATTTTCTGTGAACCATTAATAAGCAAGTCAATATTTTTCTCGTTCTTTGTTTTCACAAAACTCTTTTACCAAGTGTTTAATGGGTTTAATCATTATAACCTAATTCTTATTAGTTGAATATTTTGTAAAAATTATTTTATTTTTGATAAAATAAAATCAGGACCTCACCTCATTAGCTTCATCCTCAGAATGGGCCTTTGCAAATAAACAGCAGATGGCGAGAAGCCAAATTAAATTAAAAATTTTCATTTTAGATGCGGGTCTCACTGTGTTTTTCTGCAAATTTCGAAAAATTAGTGTTTAGTTGTTCCATTCAGTTTTTAAAATATAAAAAATGTATATTCTTAAAAAAAGGTTGAAAAATGAAAACTGTGACAGTGTTAAATGAAAAAGAAAAATTATTTACCTATTGTTTGCGGCGAATTGATCGAATGCGCGTCGCAAGAGTGGATCTGCTTTGCAGATTTCCAGTTCACGACTTATAAATAGCTCGGGCTGTATCAAGCACAGTTCAGCAAATCACGTGGCAGTGACAAAATAATCCTAAGATAAAAATATGAGTAAAACTTTATGCTTAGATTGCGAAATATTTTGACCCTTGCTTCTTCTGTGTACTCAAAATAGTTTAAAATTATCCAAATTATCCTTAAAGGAATTGATAAAAAAAAAAATGATTGCAAACAACTTCTGATTAGTCTTGCGTCTTTTCTAGATAAAAAATAAATTTTCCTTTTTTTTCAGATTTACACATCATCTGTTTTAAATAAATTTTAAGCAAAATTATTTTTTTAATAGGATCATTCAAAGATTAAGAATCAAAGAGTTTTGGTTCGGAATAAAATTCAAATTAATTAACCTACCCTTTTATTTAAAGATTTTACAAAACAAATGTATTTTAAATCTGCAATTATTGGTATTAACTTGCAGCATCTGGGACTGATCAGCAAATCCCTTGAAAGCGCCAAAGGAAAGCAGCGTATGTATTCAAATTTAAAGAGCTGAAGAGGAAAAATTGTAAAAAATCATTTGCTTAATGCCAATATGTTGGTTCTAAATATTCGCTCTGATTCGCTCAATGACAGAAAAAAAACAAGGACAAGCAAACATTGGCAGGGGACGATTGATAAACTTTGACGCTTAAGCAGCAAACGACACTGATAAATAAACACGTGATTGAATAGAATTAGCGAAATTTGAACCACTAATTAATTTTCTCAAGTCCTATTGGTTTAAAAAAAAAAAAAATAAAGATTCACTCCCTCGCTTTAAATTTTGTTACCATCCACTTTGCAAGTGAGCCACGACAATTATATTTTTGAAAATATATTTTTTACTGAATTTATGTGATGTTTTATTACGTGTAGTTCTTTACGTTCTTTATTAGTTAAGATTTGTGTTTCAAAACTGATAGTTCCAATTGCGATGTGGTGACAAAAATTTGATTGCTTTAAATCTAAAAATTATTTAACATTATAATTAATTAATTAATTTTTAATATTTATTGTTATTTTTTCAAGTATCTTTGCAGGCAGCTGAAAAATAAACCGGAGGTTACAATGGGTTACAATTTCAACTGATGGTCAATGCGCTGTGCAGTAATAATCAGGACTATCTGGAGACCAATTATTAATGCTCAGTACGCCCTGAGTCCCGCGTAAACGTCCAGTGGCCAACAGAATTCAGAGTTGGCCACCAGACGGCAGCACCAATCGCCAAAACAAATCAACAATGCAACAAAGCTCAGCGGCCCCATGCATGTCCATCCATTCGCCGAATCCGAGCTCACGCAGGTCGTGTTTTTCCTTCTTCTTTCGCTCCGAATGATGCAAATTTGTTACGTAAGCGAAGGAAGTAGCAGGCACCCCTGTTAAGGGTCGTTTCCTGATTTTGATTCGGCCAAGGTCGGCGCCTGTCATGCTCAGGGCGTACAAGAACCTGCTGCAGAGGCACCCCTTCTTCACGCAGGCCGTGCAGACCGGTAAATTATTATTTTCATTTGGCGCCTCAATTAGGAAAAAAAATTATTACAATGAATTTGATCTCAGGGTTGCTGATGGGCACGGGCGATGTGATCGCGCAGGTGGTAGTTGAGAAGCGGCCCAAGCTCGACCTGCGTCGCTCCGCAACCTTCACAGCCATCGGATTTTGTTTTTTGGTAATAACTTCAGCCTGGCCCAAAATTTTTCTATTTTAAAATTATTAATTTAAAAATTACTCCAATTCCCAGGGTCCGAGTCTTCGGCTTTGGTACGGCGTCTTGGAGAGGGCGTTTGGCGCAGGTAGGCAGCCGGCGGCCACCCTGAAGAAGGTTGCGCTGGACCAGTTCGTGTTCGCCCCCACCCTGATCGCCTCCCTCCTCACCGTCGTGCCACTGGCGAACGGCCACACCTGGGGCGACGCCACAGACAAACTCAGTAATGACTACTGGACTGTCCTTAAGGCCAACTATGTGGTATGACAACTTGTGGAAAAACTAACCTTAACCATTTCATTAAAAATTTAATTGTTCTCTAAAAGAGAATACCAATAGAGTCCTATAAATCCTATAAAATATGTTATATATGGACTTAAATTGGCTCAGTTGTGGCTTCTTATAAGAATTAGAACATAACTATTAGCCAATGTTCAGAAATTGGAAGTTTCATAAAACATTTCAAATAAATGCCACAGAATTGGTTATGAAATTGGCGTGTCCTTATTATTGTGTAATTCAAATTTAACTGGTTTTTTTAATTTTAATGGTGGCTGAGGATATGGTTTAATTTGATTTGTAGTGAAATTTTGTTGAATGCGTAAACCTCGGCAGAAATTCTGTGAATTGTTTTAATTAAATAAGGTGCTACATTTGCCACGGCTCTTAGGAATCCTCACTGAAAGTCATTTTAAAATCATTTAATTGCTTATTTTATTAATTTTTCAATTACGTGATTTCTGTGAATAGTGGTAGTCAAGACAATACCTAAAAGGTACTGGAATCGGCTTGAATAAGTTTTCAAATGAAAAAAACCATATTTAACTTTCGTGGAAATTTCTAAGTTTTATAACTTTGTCAAATGGTATCAAAAAATTAAAGTGTCAACCTCTTATAACAATTGTCCTGTAAATATCTATCATAATACATAGTTCATTTTGACTTTGATTTCTTTGTTGAGCAGTTGTGGCCTTGGGTGCAGATCGGAAACTTCTACTTCGTGCCGCTGCAGTACCAGGTGCTCGTCGTGCAGGTGGTGGCCCTTTTTTGGAACGTCTACGTCTCCTGGAAGGCCAACGCGCCTCTGGCCAAGAAGACCAAAGTGTAAACCTTTTATTTTTCTATAATTTTTAGACGTGGTAATGTTTGAAGTAATAAAGAAAAGATCCGCGACGGTGCAATTAAATATTTTCTGTTTATTTCCTCTCTCTTTAACATACAGAGAAATAAAAATATATTTCGTTGCAACAAATGAAAAATGTACACACACATGTGTCGAGAGTGCAGAGAGACTAGGGGGGCCAATTTCTATTCTCCGCCGACACAAAGAAATACATGTTTTTTTTTCACAATAGTTATATTTTGTTTCCAGCCTCTGAGTATTATTTTCTTGTGTTGAATTTGAAATGAATTTTTGGCGCAACGAGACAGGAACTGAAGCGATATTTATTAGCCTTGTTTTGCGATTGCTAAATTACACCATCGTTTTTTTGCGCTGCTCTAATTTCTCTACCAGGACAGATCAGAAGATTTTTTATTTGGGGACAAAACTAATGGGGAAAATTTGTACTACATTCAACACCAAACGAATTTTCGTTAGTATGGTACATAGTTTTAGAAAAAGTAGACGAAAGAGAGACTAAAGGGTGAATGAGGAGAGGGGTGTGGGTCAGCAGCAGGGGTGACACGGCGGAGGCAGTCTGTCTACAACACCACGCGACTCTGCAACAAAATTCGCGCAAAATTTCAATTTCAAACTTGAGTGTAAGCAGAGGAAAGGGTCTTTGATGTTTTATTAAAAGGAGAGAGCACAATTGCTGGCCCAGGTTATTAAGTTTCGCTCACCGGCAAAAGAGAAAAGAAACTTTTTATATCAAAAAAGACGGAGGAGGAGGAGGAAGATTATGAAAAACTCACATGCTCAGGGTTGTGGCTCAATCCGTCCGACGCTTTTCTGAAAACAAATATTCAAGTGTCAATCAACATTAACTTTTTTTCATTTTGTGGCATTAAAGTAGATTGTCAAAAATTTGGAGCTCTGTGAAATTAAACTGTGAAATATGTTTTTAAGCTGCTGAAAGAAGCAATAGTGTTTTCGCGTTTTGATCCTCCAGAAATTTCATAATAAAATGAATGACAATTGACAATATAAAACTTTACAGCAGTGGATAGGATCATCAAATTATCTCTAGATGAGGTAATTTTTCTTGGTGAAAATGAGCAAAATTATTTCTCAAAAGCTTCAGAAGACCATGAAAATATCAAGCAGAAACAATTAACTAATTTTTTTATTTTTTGATAGGATCAGATAATATGTAAATAATGTACCCTTCCAATCTCCTAATTTACTGTCATACCTGCTGGTGGTGTCTCTGGCGTGTCGTCTGAAGTCAAAGGAGGGGAGGGAGCGCTTGCCGACAGAATTGAGCATCTCCCTGTTGGCCTGGATTTGACCCTCGGACTCGCGCATCCGCCGCCGAATCATCTCGAGCATGACGCGCTGCCGCAGCACGTCCAGCGGGTTCACGATGGACAGAGACGGGCCACCCACGCCACCCCCGCCCCCTGAAAGGCCCCCCATACCTCCACCCATGCCTCCAACCAGACCGGTCCGCTTGGCTCGCTCAGATCCAACCGTCTGGAAAATAAACAAACAATTAAAATTAAGAACAAAATCAAATTTAGGTAACTGCGAGAAAAGAAAAAAATTATTATAAATTTTAATTTAATTTTTTATCCCACTCAATATTGAAGTTTTTCTAAGTTTAAAATACCTTAAATGAAGAAGAGTAACTAACAAATAAAGAAAAAATAAGAATAGAGATATCTATACACTTAAGAAACATTTTTTTTTTTTTTATCTGAAGAGCTAAGAACAAAAAATTGAAATTATGTATTCAGATTTGTATCACTTTTTTTACATTGCAATAATTAAAATAAAAGGGTGAGTTTTGAGAAGGATTTTCATGCGACCTGTGGCGTGAGGTAGAGGAGAGGCGAGTCGGCGTCATCATCGTTGGCTGCCCACTGCGCTTCGTCAAGTTGGGCGCTTGTGGCCGGCAACGCTATCACCAGCAGCAGCAGTGCCGCTGTTGCAGCGACGCAAGTCGCGGCGCCGCACTTGCCCCAAACGCGGTAACACCTCATCTCTCGCAAGCTCAGATGCCTTAAATCAAAAAATCATTGTGTCAATAATTTGTTTTTTATAAAAACTAAAATAGATTTTTCAAGTGGAAAATATCAAACTTGAATTTGATAACTGTTCAAATATCTAATTTCGTTTGAAAATTTACTATTAACTATCGAATCAAGTTAAATTTTTTTACTTTCCCTCTTGAAGAAGCTGATTTTTTTTGTCTCAAAAAGTAAATTCAATTGACTAGTTCTTTTATTCACAAAAATTACTTTATTTATTTTCTTAGTTTTTGGCACTTTATAAAATTCTGGCCTATCTAATGCTGAATAAAAGTACATAAATTATCCGTAATGTTATTAATAATTATATAACAAAGAAACTTCAGACTTTTCAAAAATGTTCTGACAAATAAATATCTTGGTTATATTAATAGATTTCTATCAATAATGTTTCTGATCAATAACTTAGTTTGACAAAATAACAATTAATTTGACATAAAATTGCTCGTTTTAACAAGAAGGCTTTTGTGCGCTATTTTCCGGTCAGCCAAATTGCGACCGATAAATCAGCGTGGGTTTTACGAGGCGGCGGAAGAAAGAAGGAGCAACAGGCGCTTTTATTGATTGCGCGCGCGTCGGCCGCTAATCTGATTTTTATTACGGCTCATAAAACGGATCTCTGTGGTCGGCAGCACCGGGGGAGGACAAACGCGCTGGCCAGCCACTTTTCGATTAAAACTTTGAATCTCGGCGGCGCAATCCCGAAGAGTAATCTCCCGTGCGCTGCTTTTTCTCAAAGACACAATTTTTCCGCTGCAATCTCGGAGGTTTCCGCGACTTTTTTCATCGATTTTTCTTTCGTCTCATCACTCGCGTAGCTCCGAGATAAAATGCTGGCAGCTGCCAGTTGGCAAAATGAAATAAATAAATAAGAAAATATTGAAGTGTCGCGCCGGTTGCCTACTTTCGACTCTTGCAGGCGTTCTCCGATTCTTTCACTGCAAGCAAGAGATGTGATTGGAAAAATATATTTTGCTCGTTTATCAAACTTTTATTGAAATTGCTTTTGAAACTGAATAGTTATGAATAATGAGATTTTATTTTTCCTAATCATGAAAAAAAAGTTCATTTACAGCCCAAAATTTTCAAATTTGTTTTGAATTTATGTAAACATTATGTTGAATATAAAATGTTTGGCTCTTTATTGACGCTTCTGTTGGGTTTATAAATAAGGAAAAGCTACTGTTTTGTAAAAACTTTTAGATCGTAAAATCCATTATGAATAAATTTGTTACAGGCTTAGTGAAATAAAAAAAATAAAAAGTGAGACGTTTGAAGGTCCCATGGTTTTGTGATGGTGTGTCACGTGACGTTTTGATTTTTACCGATAGCGTCCACAGGGAAATAAGGGGTTTTCAGCACCTGGCCGTGCAGCAATGCGCGGTCGGAATGACAAGTGATTTCCTTCGGGGGCGGCGAACGTGCGTAACTTATTAGTTGCTGGCCACCTCCTCTTTCCACCTGCTTGTTGCGAAAAAAAAGAATGAGACAGGAAGAAAGACAAGTTTGCTAATTTTCCAGGCCGTGGGCAGCGCGAGTCGTTAGCGCTGCCCATTGTTAAAGAGGTGCTGCACGTGTTGGGTGCAAGTGTTGCTGTTCACACCCTAGTTAGACTTGACAGCCCTGTCCGACTTCCAACTCTATTTACAACTCCATTCAGGCAAACTTTCGCTTCGCAAACCTTTCTTGTAAGCTGCGGAATTTGTATAAGCTTCAAAAGTAATTAAATGTGCTGGTACTGAAAAATCAATTAAATCTGCATAATGTAACATTAATTTTTGATAGATTAAGGTATTTTGTAATATAATTGGCTGTCTTCCTTAAAATTTACATTGAAATAATTTATTAAATAAATTTAATAAAAGATACCCATGTTTGTGAAATTCACTTTCAAACCCATAAGAAACGTGCAATTCCTATATTGTGAAAGTTTCTTAGCTTCCAATTATAAACTTAATGAATTTTTAAGCAAATTTATTAATTTTGCCAAAAATTTTATGATTTTTATTTAATTAAATTGTATATTTGCAAATATGATCATTTTGTAGTAGACATTTTTAGTCAAAATAGCTATACACTAAAGGCAATTATTTTTATTTTATTTATTTTGCAATAAAAGACTTAATATGTCACAGGCTCTTTCCAATACATACATATATATATATATATATATATATATATATATATATATATATATATATATATATATATATATATATATTTTATAATTCAGTTAGCAGATGAAACATCATTTTAAGAGTTTCATTTATGCATACTGAAAAGTTAAATTGGCATTCAATCGCATAAATAAGAGCAAAATTTTTTACCACTTCTCTCTCAGGAGATTTTTAATTTCCGCTTGAAAAAGATCGGGCGCTCCATGTGTCTGCAGTGGCGGTGAAATCTGTTTTTGCCGTCGACGTCGCCCACTTGCACTTAATTAACTCGTGTTTAAGCAGCGAATTACGTGTCCCCGTCCGCTTTTAATTAGCCGTGAGAGGGAGAGAGCAGAGACTGCGGCCGGCCACAGCCATCCATCTACCCCAATGACGTCACTTCACTCATCGTCAGCCACCAACAGTGACAAACCCTCTTCTCCAAAAGAAATTGGAAAGTTAAAAGCATATTTTACCCATCAACTCAGGTGACTTTTAAACTCATGAGTCTGTTTACTAAAAAAGACAAAATTAAATTATCTGAAAACCTCTTTGATGGATTTGAACGTTAAATACTATATTAATGCTTTTGACACGAAAGTTCCAGAAAATTTATTTTAAATTACAATTTTTTATTGAGACTTGATTATGTGTGCTACTGACAATTGCGACCTACGGGAATTTAATCAACGCATATATGGCCTGGCGACCGGCGACAAACTTGCCACCGCAAATTAATCAGTGCGACCGACTCGCAAGTGCAAAGCTCGTAACTGCTTACTGCCAATTTCAAATTAACTCCGCGCCGCTTTGACATTTCGCTGCAAATAATTTCCATGTACGTTCGCAAGCTTGAACTACCACGTGAAAAATTCATTATTTTTTAGTGCAGGATGAATTTTTAAAATGACATGCGGGATTAACAATTAATTACAAGAAGATTCAAGCAATGCAAATTTTGCGTTTTTTATTTACATTGAACGTTGAAAAATAGTTCTACATTCGCCAGATGTTGAAAAATAGTTCAACATTCGGCTGATGTTGAAAAATAGTTCTACATTCGCCAGATGCTGAAAAATAGTTCTACATTCGCCAGATGTTGAAAAATAGTTCTACATTCACCATAGATGTTGAAAAATAGTTCTACATTCAGCTGATGTTGAAAAATAGTTATTCGCCAGATGTTGAAAAATAGTTCAACATTCAGCTAATGTTGAAAAATAGTTCTACATTCGCCAGATGCTGAAAAATAGTTCTACATTCGCCATAGATGTTGAAAAATAGTTCTAAATTCGCCAGATGTTGAAAAATAGTTCTACATTCGCCAGATGTTGAAAAATTGTTGTACATTCCGTTGATGTAGAAACATAGATCAAAATTAATTTTCAAGATTTTCCTGCTTATTTGTTAATACTTGATGTTAGTGGATCAACAAATTAGTTAACGCGTGACCCGCTCTGGAACGTGACCTTTTGCTCAAGAGCCCTCGTCGTGCGAAAGAAAACAGGATTGTGTGTAAATTTTTTATTCTTGAGGCGTTGCAGGAAGGGGAAGCGGTGCGTGCATTATCAGTATTAAAGCTTTTAAAAGCAGCGCCGCAATCTCCGCCACCGCTGATCTAATCCATTTTGCGCGCCCACGAAAAATTTGCATCCAAAAAAGCGGGGGAATTTATCGCGGGGCTAAGAAAGAGATATCCCCGAGGCGCAACTTTTGACGAGCGTGACGTCACGTAGCGCGAAATGGAATTACCTGAAAAGAGCAGCGATTTGTCCAAATTTGTTCGCGAGCGGCTTTTAGCGCATTGAGAGACAAATCCACCCTCAGTGACGCAAATAGAGCACCTGCGTCCCGTGAACGAAGCGCCGCGCGCGATAACAAGCAAAGTTTTTCGGGAGTAATTTGACAAGAGTGCATCGCGATAACAAGGAAAAATGAAGCCAATTAATTTGAAAACGCAAAAGTCATTAGTTAGAAAGACAAACTTTGTCATTTTCTCAAACGTCTTCATCATGATCACAGTGATAGATTGCATTGAGAAAATGTTGAGCTCTCACGGAATTTTGCCTTGCCTGCAAATTTAAGTCCACTCAAGCTCAAAATCTCTTAATTTAATTGGCAACCAGCCAAAAATTGGACTATTTTGGAATGTTTCCAATGATAAGATCACATGTCAAGGAATTGATTTGCGTCTGAAAAGGAGAAGGTGACCGTGAGTTTTTCCCCACAGAAAAAACCATGAAAGAAATTAACCATCTCATTGGTTCAAAAACCTTATATTGTTTGCAACATATATAAAATGTGACATATCATGTAATAAATTGGAAAAGACGGTCCAAATCGAGTCGATTGGTGATCTAAATTATTTCAGTCTACCGAAAAAATTGAGTGAAGGCTAATTTCCTTGCTTTAACTTTATAGAATTGGCAGAATATTCCCTAACCACTTTTCATGAAGATTCACATTTTTTTTTTAAAGTTAACTTAAATACCTCATAGGCTCTTCTTTAGTGCTGTTTCATATCCACGTTAATGAAATTGTTAAAATACTTTTGGTTTGAAAGACATGGTGAAACGTGTATCTTAAAATATATTGTATAATTGAAACGTTGGGAAATTCAGCCGCGAGTGCTTCTGTCGGTTTTCCTTTTCTGTGAGTCGACGGAATTTGCGGCGGCCGCTTCAAAGAGTTTGCACGTCGCGTTTTCTCGAGGCGTCTCCTGACTTCGCAGCGAGAGTTGAAACGCAACACCTGCACTTGAAATCCTTTGAAAGCCACGGTGTATCGCATTTCTCGTCGCTTAACAAATTCGACG